AAGAGATGACCAACTAATGATTATCATGTTAATGATAAACTTGATGTCAACTTGAAAAGTGTTGATAAAATCAATCGAGAGGCTCAACAATAATAATGAATCAATCTTGAAATTTGAAATCATTCATCATACCAAATGGTTGACAATTGATTCAACTTATTGATTAGCTAAATTTTCAATTAAATGAGTTAACAATTTTGTGATATTGATCATTTAATTGCTCAACATCACCCGCATCACTTTTATCAATAATAATGTAATGATAATAAATCAGCTTAATCATTAACCATAGTAAAAAAAAAACAGCAACAACAACAATTTGAAATTAAAACCATCGGTAAAACAATCAACTGTTAATGTAAACAATTTACATCAAGGTAACAACAATCATCTTGTGTCTACAATTAACTGTGATTGTAATCATACAATTATAACCAATTTAAGTTAATTTTGTTTTTTTTTTCATCATGATACAGTTGATTGAAAGGCAGATTGTTTTTAATTGTCAATTTATTCAGTGAAAATTGTTATCAACTGTATCAATATCAATGGATACAATCAATAGCTAAACAATTTGTTTACATTTTCTTGTTGATTTTTTTTACACACACGACAAGATGTTTTTACAGAGATGAGGATGAAGATGAGGATGACAAGAGTTACCTTTGTCACTTTTTCATCATCCGAAACCCTCATCATCATCACATCATCTTAATTTTCAAATGTTTGTGTATGTTGATACTGTAAAGATGAAAAATCCATCAACAGAATAATCTGAAAATGAGATGATACGAAAGAGGAAGAGGAAGATGAAGATGAAGATGAAGATGAAGACGATGATGATGATGAGCTAAAGTGCTAAAGTGATACATGAGAAGATGATTTAAACCGATTTATTATATTAAATGTATTCTTCTTGCTCATCACGTTCTCATCTTATTTAAACAAGTTAAATCCTTGTATCAACAATAAGATGATAACGATGATGATGATGATGAGAGAGATAAAAAAAATCCTCATCATTACTGATTAAATATTCAATGGAATTGAAATTTCCATTCAATCAGCTGATTTCCAATTTCAATCTAACATCAAGAATGACCATAAGTTAATATTAGTTATCTGAATCATTATATTGACTTTTGATGATAATAATTACTATTATTGATTGTTGTTGATATTAAAAATTAATTAATTGATTAGTGATCATATTATTAACTCACATGGACTATTAATAAATTAAGTGAACCATTTATGTAATATTGTTATATGTAAATTCATTGATATGTTGTAACAATTACATTTTTTTTTTCATTCGATTGTCATTATATTAACCTTATTGGAGATGATTAACTTATTGTTGATAATCATCATGTTAATCAGCTATCAGATCATGATGAAAATTGAAAATTCAATTTGATTATCATATTGAATACGATCATTAATTTAGTTGAATAGTTATCATTATCATTATCCTCTCTCAATGAATTAACATCACTAATCAATCATTAATTCATTTTGATTAAATAATATGAAATAAGAATACTAAATTAATCTTAATCAATGGGATCATTAACATCATTATCATCATTATCATCATCATTAGATATAAGGTTAATTGTATCCAATTGAATTGGAATAATAATCAATATGATTACCAGGAAATATCATGTATATACATTTACATGGAGTTGAAATGGTGATACAGGAAGTAACATGATAAAGTTTATTAGTTTCCGGAAGTGATGAAAAGGTTTACAGGGGAAAATAATAAGTTATCATGTTAATTTCAAAGGTTATCATCGATTTGGATAATTATTGTAATGAGAAGATGTGAAACTTTTCATTCCAAAAATTAAAGTGATAACCAAATGCTGACAATATAAATGATAATGATAATGATGATGATGATGACGATAATCATAAGATGGAGGGAGGGAGCATGAAACCACCGAGGGAATTATTATATTTTTTTCTGAAGAAAAAAAAATTGGAAAATATCAATTCCATGAGATGATCAATATAATTTATTTGGACTCTTTATTATTACGATGATGATGATGATGATATTAGCCAAGTGGACAAATGAGATGACCATTTAAAATGGGGATTTGAGTTGACCATCTAAAAAGCAAAATCATCTAAAGTGGGTTGAGAAATGATAATTCAGTAAATGGTTTACAAAGGGATGATGAGGATGAGAACCATGATGATAATGATGATAATAATAATAATGATGATGATGAGAAAGACTTAAATTGACTATCGGACTGTTTTCCTTGTTTTCCTTTAATCAGAGTGTCCAGAAAGAGAGATGAAGAAAAAAAATCCTAAAGTGACCATTAAAAGTGAAAATCTATTGCTTTTACATTGGAAAAGGCAACTTTATTTTTCACCACCCACCCCAACCCACCCCACCCTCGACTGCCATTAGTTCAAATTGTGATATATTTGTTGTTATCCAATAACTGACTTACTTTCCCATTACGTTTATATATTTCTCTCTCTCTCTCTCTCTCTCTCTGTTTTTTGTTTTCTCTCTCAAAGAATAGAACTTTTTTTTTATCTTCCTCATCCACCACCCACTTTTCCTATAGAAATAATTTTACCTCCAAGTTGAAAATGTTTTTGCAAAATTTTCACTCTTCAAATATCATCATCAGGTCTCCCTTTGCGTGATCCCTATCATCCTCTTTGCCTCCCACTGAATTTAACATTTTTCATAATTATCATCATCTTCCCTCCCTATCATTGCCATTACCGAGAGAGAATCATCTTCTTCATCATCATCATTACCACCCTTCGATTATGATTGGTCATCATCATCATCGTCTCTCTATCACTATTTTTGGTAGAGAATGAATTTTTTTTTCATTTCATATTTTCAGCATTCTTAGCATCCTTTTATTGTTATCATCTCTTTTTTTTCTGTATCTCATCAAGTGAAAACTCATGAAAGTTTCCATGATCATCGGGCCTCCAAATGCTCAGAATTGAGAGGGAAAAACTATTATCGTTATCAAAAATGTCTCAATGTTTTACTGTCCAGTGTGTAATTGCCTAGAATTTGTTTCAGGGATGAGGATGGAGAAGATGAGTTGTAATTTTCATCCTTAAATCAGTTTCTATTTTTTTCTTCATTTTTTTGTTGTTCGTTATTTTTTCCAGTTCTTTTCTTCCTCGGCATCATCTTATTTCTGCTCCATAGATTTCTTAGTTTATTTCTCATCATCATTTTCTCTATCTTTCTCTTTGTCATCTTACTCTTTCTTTCTCTCTCTCTCTCTCTCTCTCTCTCTCCTTTTTTTATCTTCTTCTCTCAAGGCGATTTCTTTCGCTTCAATTATCGCCTTAGTTTTTTTTTCAAGAATTCTCATGATTTATACCTTCTCATCTTTTCAAATTATCAAACCTTCAGATGACTTGAGATTAAACATAAATTCAATTGCGAGTGACACATTTCTCCTAATTCTTGTCTTCTTGACCATTATGACGATGGTCATCGTTGTGATCATTTATTATAGAGATATGAATGTTTCGCATGCCTCGTTCATCTTCAAGGTGTATATTGTTTCCAGAATTTATAATCAATTATCAAGGTAAATCTGAAACAAAGAAAAATTTGCAATGGGTCAGTTTATCATCTCTTTCATTTCTCCATCAGTTTTTAATCTTGTTAAATGACTGGTCAGCTCTCTCTCTCTCTCTTTCTTTCTTTCTCTCTTCTGCTCTTTGTTTATCAATGAGAAATCCTCTTGCGTGACCAACACTGACCACGAGTCAGTAAATTAGTGGTAATATTATGATTATTAAGATGAATGAAAATGATGATCTGATATTTGAAAAAAAGAGGAGGTGATAAAGGAAGACCTTCCAGTGGCCACGAAAGTGAAAGGTCACTTGTAAATCGATTTCATTTTTATTTTTCTACTAGAAAATATAATTAAACCTCTAAAAGGTGAACTCTACTTTCCTTTATTTCCTTATTGAGGTCAATCCATCCAGAGGTCACGAAATTTACCTATCATAATAGTGACCACGACCACTTTAACGATTCAGGAGAGAGAGAGAGGTCAAAGTTGACAAGAAAAAGGAAGAGGAAATCGAGTAAGAGTAAAGTTAAACTGACCCTAAAGTTATCAAATATTACACAAGATATTTAATCGATTGCAAGTATTTAATCAAATTTACTAATAGAAGCTTCAATTCATTGATTATAAGGGATTAAAATTGATTATGAAACATGAAAATTAATTTTTCACTCTGACAGGATTAACATTAATCTTAAGGTAACCTGAAGGCTTGATCATAATCATTTAACATTATCATCCAGGTAAATTATTACCAATGTGCTGATAGTAATTTGTTGTCAATTTGATTTATTTCAAGTTTGTTGATTATTAATTGTCATGATAATGTTATTAGTTACATTTAATAACTAATGTTATGGGATAAACTATCAAATCTAATCAAGTGTAAATTGTTGAAGGATTAAGGTGAAGAGTAATTAGATGGACCTTGATAGTGATTAATTGATTGTTTACAAATTGAATAAACAATCGTATTGATTATAAAATTGTCGCCGTGATAATTTTAATCAAACGGTTACAATTAATGTTCATTTCTGTGGATAACAAATGATGAAGTAAAGTTTTTCCATTGGTAATCTAAATTATTACTCCCAAAGCAATTGAATTATCATGATGATCATGATGATGATGTATTTTCATGGTAAGGAAATGAAGATGAAGATGAAGATGAGGAAGACAAAAAGTAACTAGTTGATCAGTTACATGGGAGTGTGATGATGATGATGATGAATTGAAGGTTTAATCAATCATAATACAATTACCTTTAGGTTTAACCTTTAACTTTATTCAAGATTATCCGATTAAATCACCATGAACATGTTACATGAACACTAATTGTATTTATAAGAGATGAAAATACATATTGCAACAATTAACTAATTGTGATTTACTTTTTTACATTTTCTTTAGTCTGTAATTCAAATGAATGGTTTTCGTAGTTTGGGCGATGAAGAGGAAGTTGAATTTGAATGTAAGATCTCCGATAAAGGACTTGAGGCCACTTTGGTAACGGGATGTGAAGGGTTGGAGTGTAAAGGATCACACAGAAGACCAATGTCCAAGAAAAAGTTTAAAAAAGTTCGGTAAGTATCAAAATCTAATCAGAATTTTTTACCTGACATTAAACATGAAATCATATCAATAATAAGATACCGATGATCTCATGTATTAATTTAACGATGATAAAGATGATAAAAATGATGATCTTCCAATGAAAATTCAATATTGACCATCGGTCAAAAGTAATAATCGTTTTTGTTTACTCCAGGTAAAGGTGATTAATACACTTTTACCTGGATGGAAATTGTGAACAAAAGTTGTGACCAATTAACAATAATTTGCTATCATTTATTACTTGACCATTGATCTGTAAACATAAATATAACGTTTCCTGTTATTAACTTTATTATTTGACCATTGGTACTAAATTGTTGGCACGTTGTTGGACTGCGATAGGTCCGTGATGATCCGTGTGATTTTGTATTGAAGGTTTATAAACAATAGTTTCCTAATGACCAAAGGTAATAAAAGCAAAGTAAATTGAATTGAACGCGCGAGAGGAGCAAAAAAAGTCCCGATAATTGTGTTTGATCATAATGATTGTTAATTGTTGGCTTGATGATGTTTTGTTTGTCTGTTGGTAACAATTTAAACCTATTGTTTAATGGGGAAAATGATCCAAGACTATTAGTCGATAAGCAAGAGGTTAAAGGTTATCTTCTTATCCGGGTCAAGGTGCAGATGTGTATTATTATCACTCCAAGGTATTATTTAGACAATTGGATTGATTGGAAATCAATTTCATCAACAATTTATAATTAAATTAGATGATGATTCGTGAACCAAAGTAAGATATTAAATTGGATGCAAATTGTTGATTTAATTGTGAGGATGAGAGAAATGATCATCTCTTTTAATATGGATCAAGAGATTCTGATAATGATGATTAAAAATTTCTCGCTAATCATAAATTAATCGCGATTCTAATGAACCATAAACACATCAGCACAATATCAATGATATAATACCTTTAGGTATATAACCTTTGAGCTTTTACCTTTTGTTGTTGTTGCGATTGTAGGTTTATCATGTTCACGCGACTAACACCTTGGCACGAGCGATGAGGGTCATAGGGGAAAGAGAAAACTTTCTCTCTCTCTTTCTCTTTCTGACCTCTGGCTATCGGTTTAGTCTTTAAGGTAAAGTAGGTCACGATTCTCATAAGATTACAAATAATTTCTCGTGTGTGTGTTTATGTTTTACTCTGTGAGCGTTTTCGTGCTTAGGGTCAGTTTGTAATCATAATAACGTATCAATATGGAAACACACACACATACAACTTTTGGGGTTTTCCTTTCACTCATAGACGATTGAAGATTGACAGACGAAAGGGAGACAAGCCCCTTGTCCACTGTCCAGTTTGATTATCTTCATCAACTGACCCATGTTGTTGTTGATTTTTTTTCTTCCTCTCTTCTTCATAACTGTGAGTCCATTGTGTCAATTGAAATGTCCATTGGTGGTTACCTTAGTTTTTCCCATTTCTCCTGAACTTTGTTACGATTTTGATATTTCCTCTACCTATTGGTCAGTTGTTGTCAAAGAAAATGACCACTTCCCCATCTCTCTCTCTCTCTCTCCCTTGTTACTTTACAATAACTATAATGATGTAATAGACAACAATCAATAATAAGCTATGATGATAAGATATTTTTTTCATCTCCTCTTTTTTTTCATATTTAATTTCACGCAACTCAAATACTTCACTTGAAAATTATTTTTGCTGATTGTTGATTGTGATAATTTGAAGATGAAAATATTGAAAAGGACTTTAACTTGTTGAGTTGACCATTGGGTGTTTAATTGACAATAACAATAAACTTGAAATCATGACAACTCCAAGTATGATGGTGATGATGATTGCGATTGATTGTTATGGTGATAGAGATGAAAAATAATGTCACCATCAGTGTTATTATGATTGTTGTGTATTATCAATATAAACAATTTACCTGAAGTATAAAAATTTTGATGTGTTGAAGGGAAATTTGGGAAAAGTTAATTGTTGCCTTTTGGTGACAATTTACTGTTTCATTTTAATTGTAATTTCTTATGTTACATAATACAATTGAAGATCTTCAAGGCAGAGACTATGGTTGTCCGAAAAGTCCTAAGGTCAGAAAAAGACGTTGGTCAGATTAGAATCGATTCGCGTGTCTCTCGAATAATGTTAAAGGTCAATTTATGACTTTGACTCGTGGCAAATGTGTCCAATTGTGAAATCAGGTCAAACGGTAACTATCAGAAACAAACAACAATAACAACAACGGTCATTAGATTGTAGGAGGAGGAAAGAGGAAGGATATTCAATAGTTTCTATTAGAACTTTTTTTTTATTTTCTTTTCTTTAAATTGTATAATCCATTGTGAGAGTGAATAACAATGAATACGGAGAAATACTGGTAACTCCCCCGCACTTATGACCAGATTCATTGACCAGAGGAGAGAGAGAGAGAGAGACCTGAGGGTGGAGACAACATAGAAACTGGACTTTGAAATTGAAAGTGAAAGTACAAATAATGAACCAGGTTTTTTTTTCTTTCATCAATTGATAGAAAAAGAGAAAAGATTTACAACAAAAGAGATAAAGGGAGACAGGGTTATCTTCTTGCTTGTTTATCTTGTTGAGGGAGGATGAGGGAGTAGAAGATCACAATGAGGAGAGAGAGAGAGAGAGATGATAAACCGACACATTGGCACGAGCCAAGAGGCAACATAATATTATGTAGATTAGATATTCTATCTTCTTAAGTTGTAAGCAGAAAAAATTGTAATCTATTGTAATGATGAAGAAAAAAAGGTTTACTCTCTCTCTCTCTCTCTCTCTATGGTCATTTATTCGTTATGATGGCGATGACCAATGTCCAGCTGCCCTTTAGGTCCATTCTCTTTTTTCCATCTCTACGCAAACAACAACATCTCCCCCACAAAAGCAAAAGTTGACCATTGACCACCCCCTCGTGTACGATAATAGTGATAAGCGTAAAAGCAGATTGATCTGAAAACGCACAAAATTTGGACAAAAAAAACCTGAATGAAAATAAAGAAACACAAACAATTTGATATAATCAATGAATCGCGTACTTTTTTTTTGCACTCCTAAGATAAGGTCAGTCTTCTGGTCAGTTTTGACCCTCAGGGGCCTTAAGTTTACTGTTTAGTTTTACTGTCATGTTTTTTAAGCATCAGTATTATCATTCAATTATAATCCGACTTAGTTTTAATCTCTCTCTGTGTATAAACATACAAATGTATCAGTTGCACGATCTTTTGTTACATTGGACATCATCTTTATCTTTCATCCTTATCATTATCATCATCATCATCATTGGAATATCATTATTATTATTACAATATGATGATGATAGTAAAATTTTAAATGATCAACAGTTTTCTAATTTATCTTAATTGTTTAACTTTCTTTTTGTCATCCTAATAGATGTTATAATTGTGGTGAATTTGCAAATCACATTGCTTCAAAGTGCAATATGGACCCACAGCCGAAAAAGTGTCACCATTGTAAAGCCGCTGACCATTTAATTGCTGATTGTCCAGCTAAAGATGTTAAAAAAAATAAGAAAAATAAACGTCAACAATCAACGCAATCAAATTGTATTACATCAACTTCTGATGATCACAATGATAATGAATATCAATCAATATCTACAAGTGAAGTATCAACAACACCAACAACAACACCAACAGTGACCACAACAACAACAACAACGATAACTTTATCGTCATCATCTGAATCAGAATCTAATGAATCAGTATCTTCATCATCATCTGTTTGTATAATTACCAATAATAAATCACCTGAAGATGAGGATGAAGATGAAGTGGTTAATAATTGTTGTGCTAATGAGATTAACTCAATCAACTCTAAATTAGTTGATTCTTGCAATGTTAATGGTGAGACAAGTGAAGATGATGTTTCATTGGTTGTCATGGAAACTCAATCAACATCCTCATCAATTTCATCGTCATCATCATCAGCTGATGATCATCATGAAGGTAAACAGGCTCGTAGTGATTCTGGAATTGTTCATGATGATGAAGATAATAATTGTAATACCATGAGTAGGAACAGTAATTGTGATATAAATAATAACAACAATTTAACGATCAACACCTCGACCACAATTACAACCAAAATCCCTGTTGTTGAATTAATTAATGAGATTAATATTCAACATAGTGGAGAAATCAAATTGTCAACAATTAAATGTAAAGATGAAGTTGATTGCTCTAAATCAATTGAATCAACACCTTCAGATGAAATTATTACCACAACAATTAACGATTCAGCTACTACATGAATCAAGTTAATTAATTGTTTGTCCCTGTAAATAATTATCATCATCATCAAATCAGAATCTAATTTGTAACAATTTCATCATTCTTAATCATCAAACAATCTGATTATCTCAATCAACTTAATCAAATTGAGATTCAATAACAATTTTAATGATAGCAATTAACAATATAAGCAAATCAATTCTTCCATTAATTATAATAGTTAATTAATAATTGAATTTAAATTTAGTTTCCATCAATATATTTACTGTATTGATCCTAACAATTAACTAATTACTTTCCAAACATTTATCATACTATTAATATAAACTCATTACTTATCCAAAGCATTTCAATACAACAATTAGTTGATTACTATTAATAATCTAACTAATTGTCAATTGAATTAAAGGTAAATTAAAGTTCCTAAAGAAAACAATTAATTTCAATCATCACAATTAGATTTAATTTAGATGATTATTAGACTTGATTAACTAATTATTTAGATTTCAATTACTTTTTATTTTGTAAATTCAATTGTTTCAAATTATTAATAAATTAATAATATTCAATTGAGTCGCCATTGAGTTTCAATCAAAACAACAAACCCAAACAATTAACTAACTAATTATCATTTGATCAACAATTAGTAATTATTTTGATTTTTTTTATAAATAATATTTAAATCATCAAATCAATAACAATTAAAACTAAATAAACTTTGTAAAAATAACAATTTAACTAATCATGTAGTTGCAAAATCATATCATTAAATTGAATTGTAGATTAATCAATGAAAGTAAATTGTAATCAACTTTACTAATTAACAACAATTAACAACTGAATCAATAAAAACCCATTGACAATAAAACAAAAACCAAACAAAACCCAATTATTGTAACTGTAATTTAATTGTATCCATAAACAATAATCAAGGTGAACAATTAATCTGATAAATTGTGTATTGCAAAAACAATTAACTAATCCAATTGTAAATGTAAATTTAAATTATTAAACAAAATAAAATGTGAACAAAACAACAACAATTAAGGAAACAATTTAATTTCTTATAGGGTATTTTTTTTATATGAAAAAAAAGTTGATCCAATTGAACTGAATCAAATTGTTAAAAAACTAGGAGGAGGAGGAGGATGAGGATAAATAGGAGGATGACAAAAGAAAGAGAAAAAGAAAGAGGATCAGTGAGACGATCATCCTTATCATCCTTATCATCCTCATCTTTAGAAGCTTCTTGTTTATCAATCTCATGGGGATATTGATTTAACTTTACTGTTCAATTTAGTTTTCTATTTTATTTATATCATCAATTTCATTTCCAGTGACTCCGAAACTCAACTTTCCCCTCCACCAATCCACTCATTCATCCACTCACCATGTTCCCATGAAGGTGATAAATTGATTGGAGAATAAATTTAATCGTTGAAAATCAATAATATCAAAATGAAAATGTTCAATTGGAACTGTAAACTTTACAATTAGCGAATCAAATTTAATCTTCTCTCTGATTGTTATCAAAGAAAACCATTAGATTGATTTTAGATGTTTTTCTCTCTTTCAATTAATCAATTTATCGGTAATTAGGTTGAATCAGTTAATTGAAAAAAGAATTTTTTTTTGATAATTCACTTTTTCTCTTATTTTTCCAGGGAGAAAATTGTTCTATTAGTTGAATGTTTTCCAAAACATTTAACTTTCGCCATGTTTATGTTATGTTCATTTCAAGAACTCACAGAAATCATGATAATAATAATGATAACATGAAATTCATTCCGATAATAAGTTATCTGAATCAAGTGAAGAGGAAGAAGGAAAAAGTTTCACTTTCATCGGGTTAATTGATTTCTAAGGCCTAATGCCGAGTATTAATATCGATATGAAATATCATCATGGGAACATTTTTCATTCGTTTGACCAAAGTTCTGAAAAAAAAAACTATTGACCATTCAGATGATCAATTAATGTTAATCAACGAGGGATTGAGATTAATTTTGATTGATTTGATTATTTAGGTGGTGATGAAATTCAATGATAAAGTAATTGAAGTTGTAATTTGCAATTTTGTTGATTATTGAAAATTTAAAATGAAGAAAAAAGTTGTCGATGATTAAATGTAACTGTTTTAATCAGATTTGTTGATTGTTGACAACAGCAGCAATTGTCATCGAATTGAATTAAATTTAATAATAAATTGTTATCATTATTATGGTCCAATTGTCACTCCCTTTTAAAGAAATCAAAAAATTATTAGTTTCTCCAATTTCTTTTCACTCTATTATCATTATCAACGTTATAATATCTTATTCAACTGACCCTATTATTATGGGTCAATTGAACTGGACATCACTAGTGTAGTAGGTATTGTAACAAGGGAGACAACTGGGTAAGTATTTTATCATTGTTATTATAATAATCATTATGGATGCTAGCTGGACACGCGCCCTCCAAAAATGACCAAAGGAAATGCTAATATGTAAGGTCCACTTTCAGATTATCGTTGTAATAATTTCCAGAGTAAAAAACTACAACCGATATTAAAGGTTAGCGTTATTATGATGATAACAACAACATCAACAACAATCAGAATCAGAATCAATCGATAATCAAAAAAAAGAAAAAGAATAAAATTGCTAAAAAAATTCGGACAAAAGGTGGACACAACAAAGAAAATCTTGACCCAATCTTTTAAATCTCTCTCTCTCTCTCTCTCTTTCGTGTGTCCACTCTTACCTTAATTGAATTTCGAAGGATAGAAAGTTTTTTTTTCGACTTCGGCAAAAAGTATCACCGATAAAAAGATAAAACTTTAATATCGACACTTTGGTTCGTCCCAATAAACAACAATTGGGGTGTTAAAATTAACGCCATTTCATTGGATTAATAAATAGTTAAATCATCAATTGATTGTTAATCACAACAATCAACTAAAACTCGACTGGCACAATAAACGAGTAAAACTTTCTTGGTCCATTCAAAGGAAACAAATTAAATCACCATGATAACAATTGATTCTCAAGTAATTATCTGATTTCCCGTTCATAAACAATAAAAATAAATTTCTCCAACAATCAACGATTGACAACAATTCGAACAATTTATTTTTCTATCCTCCGTCTTTCATTTAGTTGAAGCAAAAAAAACAAATTCGAAAAAAGAGAAAAAAAGTTCTACCTTTCTCTTTTCTCCTAAGGTTGTCTTGCTGACCACTCAGATTAAAACTCTGATTTATTGCTAAATTATGGACCTGTAATTATATTGTATAATAAGCTTATTAACACAATCAAATTCTCTGACCAATGGTCAGTATTTCACTGAAAAATGGGTCCAAAAAAAGAGAGAAAATATAAAAAAAAACTTCCATAAGCAGCGATTCTCACGGTTATTGGTATGTTATTATTACGATTATGATTATCACCATAATCATCATGGAGATGATGATGATAACAATTTGAATCTGTTAACAATGTTTATGACTTTTCATCATAGATAATTTTTTTTTTCTTGATTGTTGTTGTTATCAAACCAAATTACATTTTCTGCTGTTTGGTCTGTGTACACAAACGAGAGTATAATTTGAATACTGATTCCATGTTATTAGAATACAGAGTCAGCCTGAAAATCTGAAAAGATTATTATTCTGAAAAGAGATAGAGATTTTTTCTCCCACTGAACTTTCTCCCCTTTGTTATTATCATACTTTTTTTCACTTTTCTCCCTCTCCCTTTCTCTCTCACTAAATTGACAATCTTATTTATATCATGATGATTATTATTGTTATTATATATCTCTCTCTCTCTCTCTCTCTCTCTCTCTCTCTCTCTCTCTGAATCTTTCTCAAAGTTCTGTAAGTTTCATGTGAGTCCTTTTAGCCTGGTGAAAAAATGGATTTTTCTTCCTTCTCCTTTCAAATTGTTTGCTTTTTTGATGCTCAAAGAAATAAAAAGCTTTCCCATTATCATCCTCATCATCATCATCATCATCATCAAATGATGATGATAAGGTTTACATGATGAAGGACTGAATCGCTGGAGTGATAATATATTTAATAAATTGCTGAAAAAGGACAAATATTATCTGAAGAGTGAATCATAAAGTGAAATGTTAATTTAATTCAATTGAATTTCATTTGATTAGAGTGACAATTAATGATCATTAACGGAAGTAACATTATGATTAGCAGATCATGATGATTCTGGAAAAGTTTCAGGGAATTTGTTATTTCAAGTTCAATATATTAGTTGATTCGGAATTATTTTTGGTGACAATTGTAATTGTTTTCTTAATCAATTTTAGCTTTCAATTAGTTTTTGATTTTCTATTGTGATTAATTGTGTTTTGTTTGCTTGTTGATTGTTTGCTGGGTGATTTATTAAAATATTATACAAATTAGTTGATTGATGACAGTCAAATTTGGTTTTAATTGTTTTGTTACAATCTTGTTTACAATTCATCTTAATTGCTCATCTATTCACACCATCATCATTAATTGTTATCCTTGATAATTATTCATTAAGTATCCATTTCTGTTTTCAAACATAGATTAGTACAATTTAATTAATACAAATTACTAACGATTAATTTACTTTAAATTAATGATGTGACACAATTAATTTAATTGTGAAGGGTGAAAGTTGACAAAAAATAAACTGTAACCATTGATTGTCATTAATTTGACAGTGAAGCTGAAAAACGTGATGATTAGTTGGTTAACGTCATCAACAATTAGTTAATCAATTAACCAACATCAAGATAATACAATCAAAAAAAGGAAACAAAATTTGTAAACATAATCAATAAATAACCAATTGAATCAATAAACTTGTGAATCTATCGTTAATTGTTCAAATAGTGATAGTATTGATTTTCCAATCATGATCAAATTTGCCTCCAAGATATTTACTAAATTACAATTTGATCCTTAGCAATTAAGTCTAACCAGACATACATAATATAGATGGATACTGATTATCCTAAATTGTGATTAAACAACCAAAGAAACAAAATGAATTAAAGCAAGAAAATTGATTTAGCATTTATATTCATCATTCAATTGAATTCATGATTCTGCTGAAAGTTAATCAATTTAATTCAAAGGTAAAAGTGGGAAATCAAATGAAAATGAAAAGATTGAATTGAATTGAATTGAAAAATCAACTTAATCAATGAACCAAATCAACCAGAATCTGAAAGCTTAGTTGCTGATGATCATCATGATGATATAACAGAAAAGGTTCATTTCAATTGGATCAGAATCATGATAAAATAGTGAAAAAGTGACTCAATCCCCTGAGAACTGAATGAAAAACCGATTCGGAATCGAAATGAAAGTTCCCATCAGAGTGAAAATTAGATGGACACAAATTTACACAATTTAATCATTTTCTCAATTTGATTGGGTTGCTTGAAACAAGAATTCAATCAATTAATTGACTGTGAGAATAATAAAAGAAACTAAAAGTGAAAATCAATAAATTGTTAGTCGATAACTAAATTGATTAACAATCGAGATTAAGTTTACAATTCAAATTACTAATCAACTTTCAATTATCAAATATGATTCTTCATTTTGTTCAACAATTACCTTTTCGATTGTTAATCAAATTGTTATTGATTGTTTCACTTTTACAATCAAGATGAGGATGAAAACGAGAGTCTGTCCATTTGGATTTTATTAGAATCCAACTTTTTTTTTCGATATTTTTTATCATCCTCATCCTATAAAATCTAATATCATAATATAAATTTGATATTGTTCTTGTTATTTTTTTTTGTTCCCTTCGACTGTAAAATTATTATCATTATTATGATTACTTTTCATATTAACTCGAGATAAATTGTTTACTTTTGATCATCATCATTTTTTATCCTCATCCTATTTTTTTATGATTCTCATAATTCTTGTTATTATTATTGTTATTATCGATGCTTTGTTTATTAAACTTGACACGGAATTCAAGTTTAGCTACTTAATTTTTTCCCCTCTCCTTTATTTCCGTATATTTATACTGATTATTATTACCGATTTCACAGTTTATTGATTATTGTTTGATTTTATCAGGATAATCTGGTTATTTTTTATATTCCACTTTTTTTATGATCATTTTATGTAGTTTAAGAGTTGGTTAATTGGTCAACAATATGTCCATTGATTGGTTTAATTGAATAACTTTTTTCTTTGTCTTTTCGTTGTCACTTTTTCCTTGGTATTAAGCCTTTGAGTCCATTTGAATCAAAGTAACTTCTAGATGATTATTATCATTATTGAGAGAATCTTTTCCATAATTTAATCAACATGAGATAATTGTTGTAATTTGATTATGTCCATGTTTGTTGCATCAACTATTACTTTTAGATGAGAGGTTGAAATGATATGATAATAGATGGCGATATGTTATGGTTATATTAACATTCAATCAGCTGATGATCAGAGTGTTTCTGATTTTAGAATTGGTTATCCATGAGAAATTTGATTGTGTAGTGATTTGAATTTGAATATCATATTATCGTCGTGATTAGAGTATTCATATAATGTCTGAAGATCCATTGAAAGAGCAAACAATTGAACAGGTAAGTGTGTTTTGTGTCTTTTGATTCACTTGAAGAGGTTAAATTGTACTATTATCAATATAACGTTTTTAGTTCTTGTTTTGATTATTTTTTGTTTGTTTGTTGTCTTTGTTTCTTCCAGTATATCGAATCGCTATTTGAAAGTAAGAACAAAGATGCTAAGAAGAGCTATTTTCCAGGTAAGTTTGAGCCTTTGAAATTACGCCGATTGATTATGTTTGTCATCTTTTCTTGCAGAAATTTTGTTTTTCAGCGGAGTTGCTTCGATGTCTTTATTAGCTGGATTCAGTTCATCACTTGTCCTTACGAAGAGAAAGGATCCTGAAGCTTTTCAAAAAGTAGCATTTGATTTGCATGATTTCGAGTGATAATTGTCATTAATTATGTTCTTCTTCTTGTCCTTCCGTAGGGTCTTCAAAATGTCCAAGCTGCTTTACATGAAAACGGCGTTTCTCTTGCATCGAAGGCTTTGAAAAGAGCTACAATTTATTCAGTTTCAGGAGCAACTTTGATATCTTTTGTGGTTTACAAATTTCTCCTTCCCAAAACGTTACCAGCAAAATCGTGATTTTTTTCAACAAAATTAAATTGAAGTGAATTGTTCCAAATGAAAGAAGTTTATCTTTCAACGTTCAATGTTCAAAAACATTAAAGTTAAATAGTAGATATATAATGTTATCCCATTTGTCGATAATAACAACTCATCAATTGGATCTGTAAGTCCTTTGGACCAATTAATTGTTGATTTGGAATAATAGTATTTATGATGTAAATAACTAGATTTCCAATTTCTAGAGCTCATCCGGACGATTGGCAACACAGAAAAATCTGGCAAATGCAACTCGTTCTGATTCCACTTGTATTATAAATGTCATCGATAATAAACCATCACTGTTTGTGCTTAGATTAAACTTACAAGCTTGATTTAAAATTTTCTGACTCAATTTAATGAATGACATTTGATAAAAATTAAGTTGATCCTCTTCACAGCTTAAAGTGATTACTCCTTCACAGTTTGGATACAATTCGATTGCTGATTTCTCGTAGCTACTTTTAGTTATAAACCTCAGGCACTCTGGATCTTTGGTAAATTCTATACCCAATTCTTTACTTGCAGAATCAAAATCAGCCCAAATCTCTTTGTAATAGGAAACATCAAGAATCGCTTTGTTATTAATATCGGCTTCATCAAGTTCTATGTTGAGAGAATCTTGTGGATCAAAAGTGTACAATTTACATTCGGTTATACATTCATTTTTCTCGATAAGTAAATAGAAAGGATCACCCATTCCTATGAGAAAAAGAAAAAAGAATAGAAAACAACAACAATTATTGATAGAACATGAAAAGAAAAGAAAACACTTGTTTAGCCATTTTGTTACCTTTGTATCGCAACTTGAGATTTGTTTCAGCATTTTTCGATTCGTACGCTGGATCAACATCAGCATCACCGGCAAAAATAGATAAGAACATGATAAGTTCCTTAGAATTGATCGAAAATGAAAATTGATCACCAATAGTAGGAGCTTCTTTAAACAAAGCCCATTCTAGGAAAATGGACAGTTGACAACATTTGGCTTGTTCCACCTTCAAAATGATCCCTTGTTGATTAACTATAACAGTAGCACGATCACCGAAACAGATTGATTGTAAAGCCTTTAATAAAACCCGACAATCTTCAATTACAGCCTCAAAACTAACATCTTGATTAGCGTTTCTCCGCTGGGAACCACCAAAATCCATTGAACAACCAACAGAACCGAAAAGTCTTTACCCGAATTGAAGAGGAGAAAAAGATCTCGAGAAACTGATCAATAATTTCACGAAAAATAGAAGAAAAGGAAAACTAAATTGCTGAAATTGTAACAACAATTAAAAAAAGAAACGAAAAATAATCTAAATCAAAAGAGAATCAAATTAACAATCAATTAAATTGCTTAACAAAAATGAGAAAATGTTGACTTGGAAAAAGGGACTTTCTCCTAATTACAATCATTCTCTTTCCCGGTTTATTCTTCATTCGAAAAAGAAAGAGAAATGAAAGAGAAAAATGAAAGGGGAGATTTTCCTTGATCACAATTTTCTTTTTTAATTAAACTGATCCCCTTTCATTTGTTTTCCTTTTTCAAAATGGAAAAATAAATTATTAGTTAAATTAATTGTTCGTTTTAAATTGTTAATTATGGTTATTTAATTTAATCTTTTCGATCTTATTTAAGCTGATTGTTACGGTTCTTTGATCTCTCTACTATTATGGTTGTTGCCGCTTTTCCAATAGTCAAACTTGGGGCTCTTGCAGCTCGACAAATAAGTAAACCTTTAGCTAAACAGATTCAGGTGAAGGCGAAAACATCACCAGTCCTAAGGACTTATTTGTGTTTGCCTTTGGCTAATTTTTATCATCGTTTAGAGGTAACATTTAAGATGCGATCGTTGAATCTTAAAAAACCAGCAAAAATCTCAAATCTCAGTGAAACCGCAGCCATCGAATTAGGAGCTGAACTACTTGGAGAACTTGTAATATTTACTATTGCTGCTTTTACCGTGACATTTGAATATAGAAGGTGAGTAATTGATAAAATGGAAAGAGTTTAGTTGATTCTAGAACAAATGTTCTTGATGATTATTATCTCTTTTCAAGGTTTCCATCTCATTATATCATCTTGATGTTTAATTAGTGAAGGAAATGTTTTTTCTTCTTAATTCTCTTTAGGCAATCGAAAATTAAACAAATAGAAGCAGCTTCAGCCGAAACAAGATGGTCCAATTTGGTTTGTCGTTTAAGAGATTTGGAAATGCAATTAGACAAAATGAATGCACAATTAAGACACTTTGAGAGGACTTTACATGCAACACAATCAAAGGATAAACAATTAACATCAAATGATTCGGGTAAAAAAAATGGTAATCAAAATTCATCATCTAAAACTTGGTATCAATATTTTTTTGGAGGAGGGAGTTAATTGTTTACTCATCTTTAACCTTTTTAGGAAATTGTTGATCTTTTTTAATTTGGTCTCTGGTCTCGATTCAATTGTTAATTGATCATTTTTCGTTTCGTCAATTGATGATAATCGAGTTTAAAAAAATGCAACGATAAACCAAAGGAAAGGAATCAAATTAATCACTTTCAAAAGGAACAATCAACAACCGTAATTGTAATCCTATCTTTTGATGGAATAATTTATTTCCAATTCTAGAAAAGCCTTTTAATTGCATTTAGGATTCTCACTGATTATGTGATACACAAAAGTAAATGCTACATGTAAGTTGAATTAAAAATTAGTTTCAATCAATCAGTAATCAATTAATTCTCAATGTTTTTCGTAAGATAATTGAAAGAGCTTAATTAAATTTATCTACTCAAATTCAAATAACGTCACGATTAACCAACAACTCCCATTGATGAGAGCGATAGTATTTTAATCACTTGAGCGCCTCACCCACTGGATCGTAATTGCGTAATTTTCAATTTCTAATTGTTAATTAATTGTACTAATTGAAGAGAATTCAATTGATTTGGAATAAAAATTTATCCCAACTTTGGAACTTACTTTTAATATCCTTTTGATTGGGATAGTTTTTACAAAGGAAAAAAAAGGAAATGATCATCAAAACTGGAATAGTGGTAAAAATCAATTCTTTCACGAATTTATTAATGATTAATTTCAATCGGGGTTTCAATTTTATGAATATTATCATGATAGTTTTATGAATTTGATTTTTCAATTTTAAGTGTGTACCATTTATAAATAAAGTATGTAACCTCATAGAGTACCACTGGAATCAATCAGATCTGACTAACAAAGTTGCATTTTAAATTAATCAACTTCCTCGATAGTTGGTCCACTACCAGTTCCTGTTCCAGCACCTGCACCAGCACCCGCTCCGGCTCCGGCACCAGCAGCACCAGCGGCAGCACCGAAATCAGGCATTCCACCGGGAGCTCCTCCTGCACCTTGGTACATTTTTGTTACTATTGGATTGCAAACTTCTTGCAATTCTTTTTGTTTGTGTTCAAATTCTTCCTTCTCGGCAAGTTGATTAGCATCTAACCATTTGATGACTTCATCGACTTTGTCCATGATTTTCTTTTTATCGTCTTCAGAGATTTTACCTCCGGCACTAGACTCTTCCATTGATGATTTCATGCTGAAACAGTAACTTTCTAAAGCATTTTTAGCGGATACACGATCTTTAACCTTTTCATCATCATCCTTGTACTTTTCAGCTTCTTGGACCATCTTTTCAATTTGCTCTTTGGATAATCGTCCCTTGTCATTGGTGATTGTGATCTTATTCTCACGTCCGGTGCTCTTATCAACAGCAGATACATTCAAGATACCATTGGCATCAATATCAAAGGTAACCTCAATTTGTGGTACACCTCGAGGTGCAGGGGGGATACCTGAGAGTTCAAATTTACCAAGTAAATTGTTATCCTTGGTCATAGCACGTTCACCTTCATATACTTGAATCAATACACCGGGTTGGTTGTCTGAGTAGGTGGTAAAGATTTGGGATTGCTTTGTAGGAATGGTAGTGTTTCTCTTGATTAATGGGGTCATTACACCTCCAGCAGTTTCAATACCCAAAGACAAAGGAGTTACATCAAGAAGAAGTAAATCTTGAACAGATTCATCTTTGTCACCACTTAAAATAGCAGCTTGGACAGCAGCACCGTAGGCAACTGCTTCATCGGGATTGATACTTTTGTTCAATTCTTTTCCATTGAAGAAATCTTGAAGAAGCTTTTGAATTTTAGGGATACGAGTAGAACCACCAACAAGGACAATCTCTTTAATTTGACTTTTGTCTAATTTTGCATCACGAAGAGCTCTTTCAACGGGTTCAAGGGTTGATCTGAAAAGATCTGAACACAATTCTTCGAATCGAGCTCGAGTTATGGTAGAGTAAAAGTCAACTCCCTCGTGAAGTGAATCAATTTCAATGCTAGCTTGAGAAGAGGATGAAAGAGTTCGCTTTGCTCTCTCACAAGCAGTACGCAATCGTCGAACAGCACGTTTGTTTGCAATGATATCTTTCTTGTGTTTCCTTTTGAATTCTTCAATGAAATGATTTACCATTCGATTATCGAAATCTTCACCACCAAGATGAGTATCACCAGCAGTTGACTTGACTTCAAATATACCATCTTCAATGGTAAGAATAGATACATCAAATGTACCACCACCAAGGTCAAAGATCAAAATATTTTGTTCTCCACAGCCTTTTTTGTCCAAACCATAAGCGATAGCGGCAGCAGTTGGCTCATTGATAATTCGCATAACATTGAGACCAGCAATAGTACCAGCATCCTTGGTCGCTTGCCTTTGAGAGTCATTGAAGTAGGCAGGGACTGTGATAACAGCATTACTGACTGGTTTACCAAGGTAAGCCTCAGCAGTTTCCTTCATTTTGGTAAGAACCATTGATGAAATTTCTTCAGGGAAGAAAGTTTTGGTTTCACCCTTAAAGTCTACTTGAATTTTAGGTTTACCATCAACTGAGACTACCTTAAAAGGCCAGTGTTTCATGTCACTTTGAACCATGGGATCATCGAAACGCCTTCCAATTAACCGTTTAGCGTCAAAGACAGAGTTTGATGGATTCATAGCTACTTGATTTTTTGCAGCATCTCCAATCAATCTTTCGGTATCAGTGAAAGCGACATAGGAAGGAGTAGTTCGATTACCTTGATCATTAGCGATAATTTCAACCTTACCATGTTGAAAGACACCGACACAAGAGTAAGTGGTACCCAAATCAATACCAATAGCAGGAGCTTTTCCAGACATTTCAAATTAGTTAATAAAAATTACGTTGGATGATGAAAATCAATTAACTACAATATTAAACAATTAAACGAATCAAAAAAAAGGGCTGGGTTGTAAAGTATTTAAGTTCAAAGAGAGAAAGAATAATCAACTTCCTTTAAACAACCGGGTTCGAAAATGAAACAATGGAACAGCGAGCAATCGATTAGTCAAAAAGAACAAAAAATGAATCGATGATTTTCGCTTAAGAAAAAAAAACGTAAATTCACACAGACAGTAAATTATCAAAGTGCGAAAGGTTAATTAGCACAATTATCGACAAAGATAATAAAAAAACAGTTCAACAATTTAAATTTATAGACAACTCATAATCTAATACAAAGATGAATGACAAAGACTGAACAAAGATGGAAGGAGAAACAGCATTGCAACAAAAAGGAAGTAAAAGAAAAGTTCCAGAAAATTCTAATCCTTCTCGCCTTTTCTGTTCTTTTCTCTTATGTGGTGACATCTGTTGACTTTTTTTCCAACCAAAAGAATCGATTCTTTTTCTCCAATTTTTTTATTCTCTTCAATTTTTAATTCTCTTGATTATCTTTTTTTTTAATTAACTTTGTTTTGACTTTCGATCTTTAGTCCAACTTATGTGCCAATCATTTAGACGAAATTTACAAGAGTAAATTGTTCCAATTTAATTGTAAGTAATCATGAAAAATTCTACGGTAAATTTACTTTACTATTTTTGTCTTACATGTAACATTGTTTATCTTTTTTTACTGATTGATTTTCTCTTTTGCTCTTTTTTTTCTTCTTCTTTCAAATTTGACCATCACAGTTTTTAGGTGATTTAATTAATTACCTTCAACTATTCCTTGGATTTTTATTTGTTTCCTTCTTCTTCTCCTCCTGTTATGTGAATGTGATTTTCTGGATTCGTCTATTCACCAAGGCCCATTTTAATGGGATTCCCTTGGAGACAAGCAATATTTTTCTTGGTCATTATCATTGCTGTTTTACAGGTAATTCACATATCATTATTAAGTCGATTGGAAGCCTTAAGAAATGACCGACGAAAACGAAATGCTTTGGCCTTCAAATTCGATAAAAATGACCATGAGCATCAGCTTATTTATACAATTAAAGATATTGAAAAGGATCGAAAATTGTTACTCGAAGCCGTTAAAGAGAGTTCAGTTCTTGATGCATTTGGTGAGATGCATATAATCAACAATTGGATTCGAGCTGAATCTTTGGGAAGTCGCAACCATATCCGTAAAGATATCACTCTGGTTACTCAAACCTCTATCTCAGGTTTACACAATTTAATCACCATAATACCTCATTGGAAAGGATTAATATCCGTTGGTTTATTCACATTAACCAAAGACATTTCAACAGCCATTGAAGCGATTCTTGTGTTACGTAAATGTTACCCGGTGATAAGATTTAACACAAGTTTTCATTTAGTTTACCCTCTCCATGTGCCTCTACCTGATTTGACAATGCACAATGATCTTTATCACCTTTTTCCAACATCACCTCCATCACTTTCATCGAAATCTCAAAAAGAATCTCTTGATGACAATACTATTTGCAATCATTTACCCCAAATATTAGTATCTCTCAAATCTTCTTCGCTCAATTATGATAATGAAGGAGTTCCATTCCCAAACAATTTACTTCGTAACGTTGCCAGAAGAAATAGTCTCACCCAATTCATTTTCGTCACTGACATTGATCTGGTTCCTAATCATAATCTTGACCGTGATTTTATTGAGTTTGCGATAGAAAATCGTTTATTTGAAGAAGAAACTAAAGATGAGAAAACTGTTTACGTTGTGCCATCTTATGAAATCGATTCTAGTCTTGTACCAGATCATATACCCCAAGATAAACGTGAGCTTATGTTAGCAGTTAATTCTGGTTACGTGAGGCCATTTTATTATGAGCTCTGCTGGAAATGCCAAAAATACACCGATTATGAAGCTTGGCAAAAAGAACCACAATCAAATAAACTAAACATATTATTCGAAGTCTTCTGGCATGATCCCTGGGAGCCATTTTATATTTCTCGTAATACAGTGCCAATGTACGACGAAAGATTCCGTCAATATGGTTTCAACAGAATTAGTCAGGTAAAATTTAATAATTCGATGAAATTAAGTTGATTCGCCAGAATAATTTACTCTTTTGTTATCATTTCCTTTAAAAGGTCTGTGAACTTCACATGGCTGGTTATCGATTCTCTGTTTTGAATAACCCTTTTGTTATCCATAAAGGAATGAAAAGATCCGATTCTTTTCATAAAGATAAAGACTTGGAATTGGAAAAGAATCGAATACTTTTCAGGCATTTCAAAAATGAACTTAAAGATCGTTATCCACATTCATCCCGAAGATGCTACTGAACTTAAATGATCTTTCATCAAACCCAAACTCTCACTGATTCATTCATGTGCCATGAAAATTTCAAGAAGCAAAAAAGTCGCAATCAAAAGAGTTCAAACATTCTAAAACATGGGCCATATCAATATTCCCAATCCTTTGTAATTAACACCGATTATCTAAACTGCATATCAGTTTTGATTGTTTGCAATTATTTATTATTTTATATTAAGTTAAAGCAAAGGGAAAAAATTTGATTACTATCCATCAATCATTTCTTCCTGTGTTCCATCAATGTTTTTACAGAGAAAACTTTTCTTTTTATTATGAAAAAAATACTATGTAAGTTTAAAATAAATAGATTAAATCATCTATTTTAAACAAGAGTATCAATGAAACTATCAATTGTCACAATTGATTACCTAATCAACTAACTACAATTTTTGTAGCTTAATTGTTGATCAAGGTTAACGTACAGTTACAATTAAAGTCTCTAAACCAGTTTACCTTTAAAAATGTTACTATTTTTGTGGTTGGTTTAGAGTTCACGTCAATGACCTTATTTCATTTCATTATCTTCACCTGATGGTAATGATCAGTTGTAAATAAGTAAACAATCAATTTCTCTGTTAATTATGTCAACAAGAACGAAAATCAATTCCAAAACAAGATCAACAATTAAATCTTCCCCTTGTGCCGATCCAATTGTCTCCAAAGACAATCCCAATGATGTCAACAAAAGTGAACAAAAATCAAAACCTAAAAAGTTAATTATTTCATCTTTAATCATTCTAATCGTTGCCATTGTGATTAATTTAATCATCAGCCATTTGTATGTTGATAATGGTTATCCAAATGACCTAATCATTTCTGAATCAGGTAAATCATCAAATGATGGAGTGATAATTAAATCTGAAGAAGGTAAAGTTATTACATCACCTGAAGAAAACAATAACAATGTGATAATAACATTGATGGAATCAAATTCAACCAACAATCAAGAAGAAACAATTAATTCTGAGAAAGTAAAAGGAGAAGAGGAAAAGATAGTTTATAGTTTTCTAGCAACAGTCGAACAAGATATTCAACAATTAAGGTGAGTAATCAAACTATCGATCATTTAATTGACAATTAATTGTTTTTCTTTCTCTATTCTCAGTCTATACCAACAACCATGTTCACCGACTGGTTATCGTTATGAGGATTCAATAGGATCAGCGCCAGAAATTTGTGGTGTTACATTCACTGATTATCTTGTTGATGATGAGGCGATTAATAGATTACAATTAATTGCCGATAATTATACTGAATTGTTTGGTGAAACAACAACAACAAACCGAGAATCGTATAACCTTCAATGGATCAATTTACATTCAATCTTCCGAAAACCTCATGGAAAAGGTTTAATTTCTGATGATGATTATCAATTATTACTTAATGTTTCTCAAGCAGCTAAAGTGAGTAAATTGTTTGTTAATTGTTTCGTTTTTAATTTTATTCTTAATCATTAATAGGCGGTTGTTTCGATGGCTTTTGGTGTCCCAGAGGATCGTTTATACTTTACGACTGTTTGTCAATTTACTCGATACGAACCGGTTACTACATTTTCTGAATTTCGACACATTGATAAAGTCCGATCGCCAGAATTAATTGTTACCTCTATTTTATGGCTTTCAACGGTTGATGAACATTTCAGTGGTGGACGATTAGAGTTTCTTAATGGTCCCGGAGAAGAACAATTTAATCCAATTTTAATTGAACCCAAAAAAGGTCGATATGCTGCTTGGACTTCATCCCATGAGAATCCACATGGAGTTCATGAACTTTTCCATGGTAAAAGATTAGCTCTGATCTTTGCATTTACCGCCAATCCTAAATTTGGACATTCAACTATTGAACAATTAAGAACCTGGGCAACTATTAAAAAACCTTCTTTTTACTATTAAGTTAATTACCAAAATTAACTCTTAAATCTTGTGATATGTATTAATATTCATTATTTTTTGACACTCACCTTCGATTCTATGATGATCATTCCACTTTTAAGGTTGTGGAGTTTTTCTCATGAATCGATTGATTCAAGTGACACTTTTGGACCAAGTTCGACTCCATTATCGTTCACAGGTTGTTCGGCTCTCACTGAATTGTTAAATAATCCATGAAAAGACTTTATCAGTGATGGAAAAATAAGGAAGAGAACCAAAAGAAAAGGAAAAATTCTCTCTAAATAAAGATGAATAAAACTCTAAATTGCTGATTCCAAAGTGTTAATCGCGAGATCTTAGTATTTACTAATCTTTGCTGTACAATTGATTAATTCATTTTCACGGAAATAATGAGAAATTGAAGATTCAAATTGAAACAACTTTTTGTTTCTCAGTGATTTTATCCACTTACTGGTAAATAAATTAGATTGTATCCTGGTTATCGAAGGGTTAATAATAGCTGAATGGAATCTGTGAGAAATGTGATTGTAAACATCACTCATTGACCTGTGACCCTTACACAAACGAGTGTATTTCTTGTTTGCATAATACTAAAGGTCCAAATTTTGATCAGTGTATTGAAATAATTACCGGAAATCCCTCAATTCCAGTAGGTTATTGTGTTTCTATTGAATAGCACAACTTCAATTCCAATTTCATGATGATCATTAAGACACAATCGAAAGAGTTAAAACTTCCTAACATACACCCAATCAATATTCTTAATCCTTTGTAATTAACACCAAGCATCTTAACAAAACATTCATCATCTTATATCAAGTTAAAACAAAGGAAAAAGTTCTGACGATTATCAATTATCACTCAATTTTTTCCAAATAAAACAAGTTGATTGTTTCATTTAGAATAGAAAAACAAAATCAATTAATCAATGAATCTGACGAACTCAAATGATCGTCAAAGATTTTTAACCTTGAACTTAATCTCCAGAAATAATCAATCGACTGTTGATTATTTGCTTCGCAAACAATTTAATCCAATTAATTTATCTTCTATTTTTGATTACTAACCATTAGATGTCACTATTTAACTTGCCATTGAGAAAATCTTTTAACTGTTTCGTTGGAAACATCAACAAGCCAATAATCATTTTGTTATTTTTGTTACCTTAATTGCTGAGTAATCTGTTTACCTATTAAACCAATTTTGATAGTTAACTAATTGGCCAACAAGAAACAATGAATTTACCATTAACTTATAATTCTGATCTTCATGATTTTCATAAGATCATGAGCCTAAGAAGTCATTACAATTTCTTGGGTAACACTGGATTGGAAGTTTTTAAAATTGGTCTTGGTGAGTTTTTAATTGTTTGTTTACCAATTCAGTTTAATTTAATTATTGCTTAATTGTGTTTAGGAACTGGTCTTATGGGTAATGATGTTGATTTTGATGAGAATGGTGAACCACATGGAGCCGAATATCAAATTAGAGCTTCAACTGTTTATCAAGCTTTGGAAGAGGGTATTAATTACATAGACACTGCTCCGCTTTATGGGGCAGGTAAGGCTGAAAAGATCATCGGAAAGGTAAGCAAATTGATTTGATCTATTGTTTAGACTAATTAATTAAACTGTTTTTGCAATTCGTTCATAGGCTATCCAAGGTTTACCTCGGGAATCGTTTTATTTGGCAACCAAAATTGGCCGAAATCATCAATGCCAATTTGATTATTCACCAAGAGGTGTAAGGGAAACATTTGAAAAGAGTCTTCAAAATTTACGAGTTGAAAGTGTTGATTTAATTACTATTCACGATGTTGAATTTTGTGACAATTTAGAGTTAATTGTTAAAGATGTTATTCCAATACTTGGTAATTACTATTATACAGCCAAACACTTTTAAAATCATTCACGTTGTTAATGATAATCAAGTAAAGATAACTTTTGATATCTAATCAGCTGACCATTTCAAGAGACTAATTAAATCACTTAAATGAGAGGACAATACTTGTGATCATATCTCTGGGTTAATTGTATCTCTCATTGATTATATTCAACTGTGTGAATGATTTAAAAAGTGTTTGCAAACTCAAAGTCTTTGGCTTTTTATTTTATCAATTGGAGATCATAGCGACTAATTTATCAATAATCTTCATCTATTTCAGAGCAATACAAACGAGAGGGTAAATTACGTTATATTGGTTGTTCTGGTTATCCTTTATCATCTTTAGTGTGAGTTTTAAGTTAATTTAGTTTGATTGATTTACTAATTAGCAAATTTTCATGCATAGTGATTTAACTAATCTAGCGAAAGGTAAACTTGATTACGTACTTTCCTATGGACGAACAACCCTTTTTAATACTGACCTGATCAAGTGTTCACCGTTGGTTAATAATGTAAGTTTTGAGTAAAAATCATGTTAATCAGCTGTAACAATTATTAATAAATTTCACCATCGATGATTTAACTCATTTAGGATTCGCTTGGTTTGATCAATGCTTCACCTCTTGGCATTGGTTTACTTACACCAAAAGTACTTGGTGATCCACCGGTTCCTTATTGGCACCCGGCGGATCCTGAATTGGTGCGAGAGTGTCAAAAAGCAGCTCAAATGTGTCAGGTAATTGAATCAATCACTAATTTCCCTTTTCGATTGTTAATTGTGACTTAATTGTGATTCTATTGCTTTTGTTTCTACAGAGAGAAGGTGTTAGTTTACCTCGATTAGCGACTCACTATTCTTTTAACAAATGTCCACGAGCGAGTTTACACTTGATTGGTATGAATACGTAAGTAGAATAATCAGTTAATCAACAATTATATTCTTCATTTAATTGTTCAATATTACTTTTTGTTATTTAATCATTTCTCTCTATTATTTAATCAACAGACCTGATGAACTTTCAACAAACTTATCCATTCTTAAAGATGGTTTAACTAATCGAGAATTGAAAATCGAAGCTGAAATCGAGCAAATGTTACATCAATGTTCAAAAACTCATTGGGAAGGAATTGAATTAACTCGATATCGTCAAGATCCGCAACAATTTGCTGATTATTTACTCAAAGGTCCAAAAAAATCTTGAAAACTTCCTATAAACTTTAGTATTTTACAAGAATAAAAAGTTTTCTTTTAAAATTAATCCACAAATGATCACAATTAGATCGCAAAAATGAAATCAATTAACAAACAATCAGATTGATGATCAGTTCAATTGAACCAATCACAAGAATAACTGTAAATAACGCAAACCGAATGTACAACGTTGATTAAAATTCCATCGGTGGGGACAAATGTCGCCTTTTAGCGTCAACTTGTACTCAGATCTTATTCGTTATTTTCTAAACTCACCTTGATATTTTTTTCTCTCTCAAATCGAGTTTATCATTTTCGAAATTTCCTCTTTCTCTTTCATCATTATCATCTTATTCTTCTCTCCGTCTTCTTACCTGTTCTCATCCAGAGTTTTCTTCATTAACTCAATAGACGAAAAAATATTTACCTTTTTTGTCCTAATTTAATTGTTTCGATATTCTAATAGTAAACAATTGATTCTTCTCGTGTTAATTGTGTTTTTATTTCGCCAATTGAATTCGCGTCATTTCTTAATCTCTGTTAATTCTGAGAAAGGTAAATCCGAAAGCGAATATCGAAATTGTCGTAATTAATTAGAAATTAACTTTTCACCATTGAGATATTAATCAATCTCTTGATCTGTATCGTAATTGGTAACAATTTATTCACTAAAAGTCACTCAATCAATCTCACTGATTACAATTTCGATTTAGTTTAGATCCTGGACCATCACAATTAAATGATTATAAACTGAAAATCGATCATTTCTAATCTTTTTAATTAGTTTATTTGACCAGTAATTAACTTTGTTATTTCACTGCGATATATATAATATTTATATTGATACAAAAGAAAAGAATTGATTTAGAAATTATCAATTACAATTCGATTTTTTGATAAACATTGCAAATCCAAATATTAATTAGATCTTTTTTTCTCTGTCCATTTCCTTTTCCATTGACAACTATTGATTTTTTAATCCATCAAATTGTAAGAGTGTTGTTATTAATAATATCAAGGTCCAGAAACTGATTGGATAATTGTGTTTGGTGGTTCATTGGTAGCACTCAATTGGTAATTATAAGATCCATTTGATTTGTTTAGTTAATAATCAGCAATTTAGGAAGTGAAAGGAAAATATTAAGCTTGATGATGAGCTGAAATGATGAAGATGATGATGATGAGAGAGAGAGAGAGGAAATGATAATTTGTACAAATGCATGATGATTGTACTAATAATTATGTATACAGATATAGTAACCATATTTTACAAAGTTAATTAATTTTTCATAATTAAACTTTCACTTTCGATGATCAGTTTTAATTGTTGTTCCGTTTTATGGATTTGTAAATATGAGACTCATTTGCTGAGTCCAAGTTTTTCCGTTTCCGGAAACATTTACCAGTATTGTCAACGGGATTAAAGGTGCTCGTGTTGGTGTTTGAGGTCATCGATTTAATGTTTTCCCTTTGGTCACTTGATTCATTATTTTGATTGTTATTTACAATTTTATCTTTTAATTGTAAACTATTTTCATCTAATTCAACTTGTAGCATCATTGATTGTTCTTGAGGTTGTTGTTGTTGTTGTTGTTGTTGTGATTGTGGTTGATCATCATCGCCACCATTTGTTGATTGAGATGTTACAGATTGACAATTAGTAGCACTGGAAGTGTCTTTTGATCCCTTAGGGCATGATTTAAAGGAAATACAAGTTAACCTTTTCTTTGACGATTCGGTGTCACCTTCAAAACCAGCGTCCTCATCATCATCGTTATAACTAATCACTGGACGTGATAATTTAATTATTTTACTTGTTTCACTTGATGAAGATGTTGAATCATCATCTTCATCACTTGTATTAATAAACTCTTTACTTTTAATTGTTGTCGTATTAACTATCATTGCCTTTGCTCGTTGTCGTTCAGCTTTACGTCGACGCCTTTGAACTTTACCATGGGAAAGTTCATCTTCATCTGAACTGGGCGATGAATTATCGCAAGATTTTAATTGACTTTTTTCTGGATCAGGAGATTTAATTTGACTCGCATAAGAATAAGATGATGAACTAGATGAAGAGGAAGAGGAGGTGGATGAGGATGAGGAGGATGAGGATGAAGAAGAAGATGATGATGACGATGAGCTACTTGATCCATTTTCATCTGAACTCGAAGTTATCGCATCCGGAGATTTAATTTGACTGATGCTGGACTTTGATGATTTTGTACCATCATCGGTATCACAATCGGTACTGTACAATGATCGATCTTCATCTTCACTATCATCTACCCTTCCATTGGCATAAGGATCTCCATTGGCAACGTTAAATAGATCGGCTAAATTGGCCAATCGATGAGCCATTCGAACTTCATTGAGAAGATCATTTCCTCCGATTAAAGGTGGATCATCGTCTGAATCGAAACCGAGCGGAGAATCTGGAGAAACACCTCCCCAAATTGTTCGAAGACGAGTCATCATCCGATTGAAATGGCCACGATTTCGTTTACATTCGGTGTCAATTTTCTGAGATAATCTTTCGAGAATTGCAAGAACATCTTCCAATTGTTTCTTCAATTTTTCTTTATCTTCCAAAGTGACACGTTTATTACTCGTTCCACTGGGTTTATCCTCTTCTCGGGCCAGGTACCTTTCTAATTTACGTAAACGAATTCGGGTTGATCGAAGAGCACATCGGGTCACTTTTCGAAGTTGATATTTCTTTTTATCATTAATGAGCAATGAAATTTTATTCGTATCGATATCGCCACCGATCGTCTCATTGGTGCGTCCATTAGTTTCAAAGGTTTGTGAAGTTGTTGATGAAGTTGATGCTCGAGATATTATTGTATTAGATTGACCACTTGAGGAAGGTCCAGCAAAAGATGTACTTGGCTCGGACAAAATATCACTACTATTGTGGTCACTTGTATTAATACTGCTAATTAAATTATCACCAACAAGGTTATTATTATCATTTGGCACATCAGGTTGAGATGGAGATGATACACTTCCGTAAAGTCGGTTAACCGAGGATTCCATTCGTTCACTGAATGATTTAATATAATTAACAATTTGATCGTCACAAATGTATAATAGTTCATTGTCTTCATCACTGGATGAGTCGGACATTGAATCGAGGCGAGCGTTATAACGAGAGGCCAAATTGTAACGTGCAGGAAGATCTGAATCATCGTCAGAATTTGAATCGGTGGTTAGACCTTCGATGTCTCGTTGAACAAGAGAGTCAAAGAAGGCGATCATTCGAGGATCTTCTTGGATCGATTGGTTACTATAATCGTGGGCGGCAAGTTGACCACTTTCAAGGACCAATTGAATGTACTCTTCATGGGAGTAAACCTTTCGATTGTCATGATTGGAAATATTTTTGATATCTTGTTTATCGGTTGGATCGAAGACATCGAAAAGAGACCAAACTTTGATTACTTTTTCAACACCCGAAGAGGCAATGGTTGAATTGGAATAATTGTAACGAACTTGATTCACAATTGAACGGTGACCTCGAAGAACAAGGTGAGTTTGATCGATCCATTTGATTCCATCGGAGGAATAATCTTTCTCCATAATTTCATCAGGAATTTTCCACATATACAAACGAAAATCATCCGAACCGGAAAGTATATATTCATCGTTAGAACCACCGAAACAACAGCTTTTCATGGTACACGAATTATAATAATCTTTATGGTCAAATTCAGCGATTGGATGAGGTGACATTGTATTATAAAGGATGGCTGGTAATCTCCGTCTTAGAGCAACAATTTTGGTTCCCGATAAATTGAATCGTACCGACATTGCTCCTTGAGAGGTAACCAGGCCACCATTATATTTAACCAGGTCAGTTCGAGGTTTCCGTATGTCCCAAAGGCTAACACCTTCACGAGAATTGGCTGTAACAATTAGCCGAGGTTCAACTGGATTATGCATAACCGCATGATAAGCGGAACGGGTTCTAATTAAAACGTTTAGATTATCCAGATTACATGATTCCCGAATATCCAATAAAAATACTCTACCCTCATCACAGGCAGTGGCAAATAGATTATCATTTTGAGGATCAATCGAAAGGCAATAGACCACTTCTCGGTGGGGAATTACTTTCAAAGGTTCACGAGTTTCAACATCATGAATTATAACCTGTTCATCATTTCCACCTGAAAAGATATGACGATTATCGGAATCAAGGCCAAGACAGAAAATATTTGACGTGTGTTCGGCTTGCATCACAATCGGATTATCTTTACTGGATAAAGCCTTTTCCACGTTCCATAATAGTACTCGACGATCATCACCACCTAAACAAAAAAAGGAAACAATTAACAGTTTATTGAATAGAAAAGAGTTGAAAAAATTAATCAACAATTAGTTTTCCTATAAGTCAAATTAATAAACCAACCACATCATCAACCTTAATATACTTGGAAAGGATTATCAATCCATTTTTGTTATCTCTAAATTAATCTTGTCTTTAAGCTATTGAACAACAAAAATCTAAGCCTAAGAATCAGTTAATTGTTACGATCTAATCGTAACAATTAAAATCGTTCAAAGGGATACATGGCAATTCTTTCAAGTGTAAAGATGAACAGGAAGTATGACAGAGGGAGAGAGTGAGTGAGAGAAGATGAGAGAGAAAGTGATCATCATCAGACATTTTTCTTCATTACTAACCTACTATCAGAGATAGACATAAATATCATCCATAGTCTTTGAAAAGAAAAATCAAGATGGAGGATAAAGAAAAAGGAAAATAAAGATATTAAAGAGATGATGGAATAGGAAGAGAAATATGGGAATGATGACAATCGCTTCAGAGTGATAATTGAAAATTGGAAAACAAAATGTCCTAAGAAACAGGGATTGAGAAATTGTGAGAAAAGGAGATTAGAAAAACTAATTGTGAGAAATTAGATTCTCATCTAAATTAACATGCTCCTTTCTCTCGGACAGTAAAGTCAAAAAAAAGAGAATATAATTAGCAATTATATTGTTAATCTTTTTCTTGCTTTTGCGTTTTTTTTTGTTGTTGATAAATCCATGGATTTAACAAGCATGGAGGTTCAATTGATGACGAATTAAGTTAATAATTGTTGTGGTTATGTTCTTGTTATTGAATTAAGAGGTTTAGTTGTAGGTCAACAAAATGAGAAGACGATGATTGACCAACCTGAGACCATTAATCGTCCATTGTTACTAAATTCAATAGCATTGATGCAGCCATAGTGAGCGTATAAATCTTTACTGTACATTCCAGTGGCTTGACGATATCGAGATCTAATTAGATAATCAACCGTTTGATTTTGAGCCAATGGTAAATTGTAAGGGTAACCATATTCACGGGCAGTTAGAGCAGGTACATTGTTGTAGCATTTTTTATCGGGTCCACAGAAATTAGAAACAATTGAAGAAAAGGAATGACCACCATCACTCTCTATTGTAGCCATGACTTTCCTCTAAAAAGGGATGGACTAAACAATAGAAGAAAATTGGATTTTAAGACAAGGTGGGAGGTGGAAAGGATAGTGTATGTGAGTGTCTTAAGGTCGGAAGGATGGTAGAGACTGTAGAATAGAATGAATTCCAAAGAAAACGAGAAGAAAACAGAGAGAGAGAGAGAGGGGAGAGAGAATGAGAAAGAAATTAAATGGATGACGAAGCCAAGAGAGAGATAGAGAGAGAGAGAGTAACCAAAAAAGAGATAAAGAAGTAGTGATGATATTAATTGAGTCTTTTAAAGACAGAAAATGAAAACAAAATGAAGGAAAAGAAAGAGAATAGAAAATTTTTGAGAGAGAGAGAAGGAGAAGGAGAGAAAAAGTAAACAATGAATTAGAATTGAAAAGACAATTCTAAATGGTGATTATGATTGAGAGATGATGAAAAAATGATGATCAACAAGGTTTAAGGCAATTGAAAACCATTGGAAACTGAATCCAAAGTCAATTGGAAGTTGATTGTTGATGAAATTGTGATAAACCCAAAATAATTAACTGAATAGTCACTGATATTATTAGAAAAATTATTCCAATTGGATAATAACATTTTAGCAGAGAATAAAATTAGTTAACAACCCAAAGTAGAAGATGAAAAGAAGAAGATGAAGCCTTCAAGCTAGAATCTTTTTCTTGTTGTTTTGAAAAAATCAAAAGAGAAAGAGAGAGAATGTCGTCATAAAAATAGAAAGAGAAGAAGACAGTAAACATTGAGAAGAGAAGAATAAAAAAGAAAGAGAAGAGAAAAATGGAAGAGAAAGAAGAGAAAGAGGCAGACATTTTTGTTTTTCTTTTCCTTTCATGACGAAAATGTTATTCTCTCTTTTATACTCACCATTTAAACGGAATATTTTTCCCTAATTAACATCAAAATCATTACGAATTTATTGTTGACTTTCTTTCACTTAATTTCTTTCAATTAATTTCCAACAATTAAGTTTTAATTTCTTCTCTTGGTTATATTTTGTTGATGTTTTTCTCTGACTCCTCCTCCGATCAGCTGTTTCTTTCTTCTCATTTGTTGATAAATTTTTTTTCTTTTCTCCATTAGTTTGTATCTCTTGTCATTCACTTTAATCTAATTTCTTGATTGTTGTTTATTCTAATTGAATGTGCAATTTTTCGTGATCAACAATCAATTGTTTTCATCTTTAAATTGTCTTTGCATCTTAAAGTTAATTTTGTTGAAAAGAAAATGTGTAAATGAAAGTTGGCGCGTTTTCAGAATTTTTGAAAATTTGTGAGATTTTTTCTTCTTTTCTCCCTGTTGATGGTTTGATAAAATTCCATCGTCATCATCAATGAATCACCTTGAATTGGATTGCTCATCACCATGGATAATTCTTGTTCTTATCTTCATCATTTTCTTAACTCGTTTTTGACGATCAACTTTAGATTGAGTATAAATGTTTCCATTAATTGTTGACTATCAACTTTGTCGATCAACAAGTTACTTCTTATGTTTTAATCTTCCATCTTGTGATGTGTTCAACTTTTCCTTCTCATTAACAATTAACTAATTCACTTTTACATTTCCAAGTTGATCAGTTTCTGGAACTTTTTGTCTCACTAAATTGTTGGTAAGTAAAAATCTAATCAATACTAAACTAAATTTCAATCCAATGTAAAAGTTGTAATAACTTTTTTGATTGTTTTTAAATTTCTTCATTTTTTGATAGATTATGACAGTTAATCGTCATTTGTTACAATCACTGGCTCGTAAATCATGTCCAGTAAAAAGACCATCAATTAATCGGACACTTTGTCCATTTTCATCGAGAATATCAACCGATCGGCCGAAACCCTATCAATCAATTCCTGGACCTGAACCATTTCCTCTGATTGGAAATACTTGGCGATATTTACCATTAATTGGTGAATATGATATCGAGAAAACACCCGAAAATGGTGAGGCCAATCTGAGAAAATTTGGTCCATTGGTGAGAGAAAATCTTTTCGGTTCATTTAGTATACTTCATGTTTTCGATCCGATTGATATGGAATCAATTTTCCGAAATGAAGGAAAGTATCCTAATCGTCGATCTCATCGAGCTCTTCTCAAATATCGCCATGATAGGCCAGAACTTTATTCCTCTGGTGGATTGTTCCCTGAGAACGGTGAAGCCTGGTACCGATTGAGAAAGTTAATCCAGACAATTTTACTCAATCAATCACAGATCAATCAATTTATTCCTGCGATTGACTCGATAGCCGATCAAATGGTTTCCAATATTTGTCAACTGCGAGAATCAAATGGATCCATTGATGATTTAATGCCACATCTTTACAAATGGGCCTTGGAAACAAATGGAAGGGTTTTTGTTGGTCAACCATTGGACTGTTTGAATTTAAAAGGATCAAAAGAAAGTCTTGATTTAATTCATGCTATTCATGAGACTCATGAAGCAATTTTAACAACGGAATTAGCTGCAATTGACCTTTGGAAATATTTCCCAACCTCTGATTATAAACGATTAGTTAAATCTCAAGATACTATGGGAAATATAATCTCCAAGTACATTGACAAGGAAAAGAATCGCTCTTCTAAATACTCTGATGATGGATCGCAATCAATTGCTAGTCAATTGTTGGAAAATCCTGAAGCTTCAGATCGAGATGTATTTACCCTGATCATGGATCTATTTCTTGCTGGTTTCGATACAACCGCTTTTGTTGTTGGTTTCACCCTGTACCATTTATCGAGTCATCAACTGTATCAAGAACGAGTTCGTTCAGAATTAATTAAATTGCTTCCTAAGAAAAGTGATCAAATTACAGTTGATACTCTTAAAGAAATGAAGTATTTGAAAGCTTGTGTAAAGGAATCGCTTCGAGTTAATCCATTTTCAATTGGAACTGGACGAGTGGCCAATAAGGAAATGACTCTGAGCGGATACAATGTTCCCGAAGGAACCATGATAATTGTTCAGAATCAAGTGGCCTGTAAACAAGAATCTAATTTCCCTCAAGCCGATCAATTTATTCCAGAGAGATGGTTACAAGAAAAGAAAAAACTTCTCCATTTACAATACTACCTTTCGGTTATGGGGCCAGAATGTGCATCGGTCGACGATTATCTGAGACGGAAATCTATGTTCTAACAGCTAAAATACTAAGAAACTATCGAATCGAATACGATAATGATAAACCCTTCCGATCGAAAACACGATTTATCAATGTTCCAGATGGACCTTTAAAATTACGTTTCATTGATTTACCAAATTAATTTATTAATAATAATTTAAAGATCAAAATTTAAACTCTTTTCTATTTCATTTACACTCTAAATTGTTAACAATTTTATGAAAGTGATGCTAAAACTTGCAGCAATTTGAAAGGCTTGAAACAGATCGCAATGGAATTCATCATTCAACTGATCATCAATCTGATTATTGTTCGCTAATTGATTTTGATCTAATTATGGATAATTGATCCCATTATAAATTGTTTCAATCCATTCAAATTGCTGCAAGTTCTAGCACAATTAACTCATGAAGTAACGATTGTTTCTGATACATCAAAAGTCTCATAATTTATCCCCAAAGGTCACTTGATAATCAATATTAGATCAATTAGACTTAGAATTGTAAACATTTGCTCCGCCAATTAGTTTTACATTTGACTCATTTGATTCGTATTTTAATTATCTTTCAATGGTCCAATATGTCTCCATAATTTTAACTGCCACCAGGAATCAATTGGTTTTGATCATTAGCAGCAAATTGTCAATCATTCAAATTGAACAATTGATAATTACAATTGGTAACTCAATTAGTGATCTTAACAACTCCCTACAATTAGAGACTAGAAATTGGAAATTAACCTCTTCCAATTAAGGAATCAATTATTGAGTAACAATCTCAACGATTTTGAATAATTCTCTTGTATCGTTAATATTGTCAACCGCAATTATTTAATCACTTAAAACTTGTAATTAACCTACTCATCATATCCTAGATAACTTCTTTATCTAAATTCTATCAATTGAAATTTTAACAATCGAATCATAATTAATTGTAAATATCCGCTAAGAAACAAGGATAATGTATTAGTGTCCAATCGCATCAACAGATTCTCACAAGGATTTAATTTCTTCAACATAAATCAACATCTAAATCAATGATAAAATTGATCACATAACAAGTTTGGCGATCGATCAAAAATCATCTAATTACAATTAAGGTGCTGCTAATATCTCACAACTTGGAATTCAAAGAAAACAACAATTCAAAAGTGAACTAGAAAATCACTAGCAAAGTGAACATTTAATTTTAAGTAAAAAAACGAACCAAATCAATCACTAATTAAGATACAAAGAGTAAAGAAATGAAGATGAGTAATTATCAAAATTAAGAAGCAACTTGAATGAAATGTCACTTGAAAAGACAGAAAACAATGAAATTTAAGGTAATCAATTGAATCCAATAGAATTGTGATGATTTAACTCGAAACCAACTCATGGAATCGGAATGAGCTACAAAAAAAACGAGATGGGAACTAAATTAGTGACTAACAATTAAAAAATCGTCAACAATACAAACCACTCTCGATAACTTGGACTCTGTACATGTGAGTTATGCTTTGCCCATCGACTAATTCACAATCGTATTCACCAAATGATCGGTCATTAGCACCATCGATCAATAAACTGTTACGAGTCGAATCCTAAATTGGTTGATTATAACAAATTAATTGCAAAAAGTAACAATCAACAATGTAAACTTACGATAATTTCAACTCCAGTTTGATTCCATGGACTGATTTTTCCGGTGGCTGATCCTGAATCGATTCGGTAAATGTCATTCGGAAAAGGCCCGAGCTTTTTGATCGTAAGAGTCCAAGGAAGTTGAACATTCGGGAAGTCAAATGAACAGTTCATCCAAAATGATCCACCACGAACAACTTCAATTCCTGATTAGATTCACAATTAACAAGGAACAATGAAAATGAAACAATTAACAAAGGTGAGAAATCAGAAAAGGTTCAAGTTAAATTGCGAACAATCAACTTACTATTTTCATTAGATTGACAATTTACGTGGAGATTAGAAAAACAAGTAAATAGAATAACAATTAGAATTGAATTTAAATTGAACATTTTTGATTGTTGAAGAAAAAAACACTGAACAAAATTGAACAATTAATTGTAATTGTAAATCCAAAGAGAAACGATCACAACGAGTGAGCAAATTAAACTAATAATCCTTAATCACAAATGGAGAATATGAAAACCATGTGACCAAAGCAAAAGACAAAAAACTTCTCTTCTTTTGTTAATTAGTCTCTTCTCTTTATTAATTGATTTTGAACCAATCATTAGAAGGTTGATTATAATAATTGTTCCACTAATTAGCGGAGAAAGTGATCTATCGCTGAAACGGTTAATCGTTTGATTATTAGAGCCTTTTAATTGTGCTTCTGATTTACTCTTCTAATCTAAGCAATCAACAGTTGAATGATTGTAACCAGATGATCATTTGGAAGGTTAATTGTCATTAGTTAATTTTAACAAATTTTAGTTCTTCAATCATTTCCACCTTTAAGTGTCAACACACCAAATTAAGTGTTGATACAATTAGAATTGATTGCTGACTCTCAATCAAATTGTTTACTTCAAATTGAAAAGGATAATTTAACTGATCCATTAAAAACAAATCCTTTGATAAGTTAATCAATCGCAATTAACGAGGCTTCTAAAATTAATTAGATCAGCTAATTACATTGTATTTGTTTCCAATTCATATCAAAACGCAATTATCTTTCTAATAATAACAATAAAAAAGAAAATGTTTATCATTGAAATCCAGCAATCGAAATGTCTCAATTTGATGAATTAACAAAAAAGAAACAAAAAATTAACAGTTCGAAACTTTTTTATTTCCAATTTCAAATTAACAAATTGACTAGTCTTCCAATAGCTGATTAATTGGTTATCGTCTTTCCGTTTCCTCCTCAATTGTCACTCTCGAATCTTTTGATTTCTTTGGTGGAGACTATAAGTATTGATTAGAACTAGCAAGTGACGATTTTTGGAACCACTCAGCGAACTTTGAACTGACGAAACCACCATGACACTGATTATCGGAGGTAAAGGCCATGATCACGACGAAATAGATGAACATGAACATCCCAATTGAAGAGACAATTTGAATGAATGAATTTGCGAACATTTTTTTTCAATTAACAAAACAATTTAACTTTACTATTGATTGAACTTGTAAAGACTGGTGAATCCAATGGTTGAATTGATTGATTTATACAGTCGTGAAAAATGAGTTTCGAATGGTTTTTAATCATTCGCGCAACAACTACTAAAATTAATTGATAATCTTTATCATCAGTGATAAGACTTAGATGATTTACTCATTGATTTTCTTATCTTGATTGTTTAATCTATTAATTTTAGTCGCTACGCAGATGATTAAAACCATTCAATCTCATTGACAACTCTCTACATAAGCAATTGATTAAACAAAATGAAAGGTAACAGACTCATAACCTTTAATATCCGATTAAAGTTCAACAAATGAAACTGGTGTGTAAATGTCTCTTGACTCTCAATCAGCTGAGCTTTTCACTGCTCTTACCAGAGATGAAGATCCTCTTGAACGTTGAGTTGCTTTCACTTTTCCAACACGAAAAAGTTTTATCGTTCCCAGTGAATCACAAGCAAAGGAAATCGTTTTGCATCCTAAAGTAAAAGTTACCATGAAAACTGATGGTCAAGATACAGAAGATGATATTCAGGTGAGTTTGACCATTTTGTTGAAATTTTGTTTCTAATTTTGCAACAATTTATACTTTTAGGGTAATTGTACAGTCGCTTATTTATCACATTGTTTGTCTTGGAATAAGTAATAAATCATCTTGTAGTTCAATGGGTGCAATTTCTTACCGATGGTTTCATGATGGTTGCTGTGAATGCGTTGGATCTTATTGATTTGGGACTTGATGAGTCCAAATGTCTTCATTGTCCATTGATTGGCAACAAGAACGACGAACCATCCGAAAAAGCACCGAATTCAGTAGTTAATGACTTGTAAATACACAAGCAAAACAATCATCTAATCGCATGTGAAACCTTGGAAATAACCGAATAATGTACATTAAATAATTTCTGGAACTTTTTGTGTCACTAAGTTGTTTGTAAGTAAAAATCTAATCAATACTAAACTTAATTTATATCAACGATTTGTAAAGTTGAACAACTTTTTAATTTTAAATTTCTTCATTTTGATAGATTATGACAGTTAATCGTCATTTGTTACAATCACTGACTCGTAAATCATCCCAGTAAAAAGACCAATTAATGGACACTTTCCATTCTCATCGAATATCAACCATGTGAAAACCTATCAATCAATTCCCGGACCTGAACCATTTCCTCGATTGAAATACTTTGATATTTACCATTAATTGGTGAATATGATATCGAAAAACACCTGAAAATGGTGAGGTTATTGGTTATTTGAAAGCTTGTGTAGGAATCAACTGAGTTAATCCGTTTTCAATTGAACTGGACGAGTGGCCAATAGAAATGACTCTGAGAGAGGATACAATGTTCGAAGGAACCATGATAATTGTTCAAATCAAGTGGCCTTAAACAATCTAATTTCCTCAAGCCAATCAATTTATTCCAGAGATAGTTACAAGAAAAGAAAAATCTTCTCCATTTACAATACTACCTTTCAGTTATGGGGCCAGAAATTAAGTGGTCGACGATTATCTGAGACGAAATCTACATTCTAACAGCTAAAATACTAAGAAACTATCGAATCGAATACGATATTAAACCCTTCCGATCAAAACACGATTTATCAATGTTCCAGATGGACCTTTAAAACTGCGTTTCATTGATTTACCAAATTTATTAATAATAATTTAAAACAAAATTTAAACTCTTTTCTATTTCATTTACACTCTAAATTGTTAACAATTTGTGACAGTGATGCTAATCAATCAATTGCTCTATGAAGACAAAGTCCAAAAGTGGTTGTTGTTAATTTCGACAAACTTTTCGCTATTAAAAATCAATTCTTATCGAATTTGTTTGAGGGGAAAAGTGATCAAGTGACCTGTGGGGATAAATTATGAGACTTTTTGATGTTTCAGAAACAATCAATACTTCATGAGTTAATGATGCTAGAACTTGCAGCAATTTGAAATGCTTGAAACAATTTAAAATGGGATCAATAATCCATAATTAGATGAAAATCAATTAGCGAACAATAATCATATTGATGATCAGTTGAATCACAACAATTACAAGAATAACGCGAAAACGAATGTACATTAGTAACTTAAATTCTCAAAATTGATTAACCTCTAATTAAATGAACTTTCAGATAATTAAACCAATCGAATACAAAAACTCAAACCAATTCGACTTAAAATCATTTAGAAAGTAATTTTAGTCCATAGATTTGATGGTGGGTTAGAAACAAGTTCCACCGGTGAGTACAAGCGTCCGCCTTTTAAGGTTAACTTGTACTCAGATCTTATTCCTTTTGCTAAACTTACCTGTACATTTATTTCTCTCTCTCTCTCTCTCACTGTTTTTCTCATTTTCTTGCCTGAGGGCTCGACTCTCCGTCTCTCTCTTTTTCTCTCTCAAACCGGGTTGATCATCCTTAAGATTTTTCTATGGCCCAAACAAGAGCGATAAACTAGTATAATTCTGTCTCTTTCTTTTCCTCTTTCTCTTTCTCTTTCATCATTATCATCTTATTCTTCTCTTCGTCTTCTTACCTGTTCTCATCCAGAGTTTTCTTCATTAACTCAATAGACGAAAAAAATGTTTACCTCGTTGTTTTAGATTTTCTATTTTTTTCTACTTGTGTTTTATTCTACTTTTTGTTCTAATTTAATTGTTTCGATATTCTAATAGTAAACAAATTGTTCTTTTAGTGTTGATTGTGTTTTTTTTCCGGAATTTAATTGTAGTGATTGTGGACAATCAACTAAATTCTCATCATCTCTTTTCCTCTGTTAACTTTTGTTGCTTTCTAATGGTTTTTGTTTACTTCTAATTGACCATAAAAAGGATTACTTCAAGAGCGAAATCATCAAAATTTTCTTAATTAACTAATTGTCGGCATCAAATAATGACTTCTAGAACTAGATATGGGTCGGAGGCCAGTTCCATTCGATTATCAACTAAATCAGACAGACGAATCTGGGGTCAAGGTAAGATCATCATTTCCATTGAGAACAATTTAACTTTCCAAAAGAGAAACTTATTAATTAGTTAAGGAAATCAATTAAGAAATTAACTCTACCAACTATTTATAGATAAATCTCTTGATTTTCATTGCGCAATTAAAGTTTACATCAATTTCAGGTTTACGTGTGAGTCTTAAATTGTTGACAATTTAAGTAAACAATTAACAACCAATGATTTCTTTGGATTAATGTTGTTTTTGATTAAAAACTGGTAATCATGACATCTAATTGCCACCTTTTAATCAATTACCTTACTAATGGTGAAATTTTGTTCTCAATTTATTAATATTTTCACTTTAATTTTAACAATCAAATTGATTGTATCTCAATGCCTTCAAGATCAATTGTCTTCAAAGGGAAAACTGATTTAGTTTCAATTGTGTTAAATTATACTCACCAAATTGCTTGACTAGTTAATTAATTGTCTTCTTTTGATTTTACTTTCAATCAATAATATGATCTACCAACCCGATTTAGTGACCTCTCCATCAGTTGCCAGTGGTGATTATGAGACGGGTAAAGGAGATGCCGAAGGTGAATCAAGTCCATCGACATTTTCCCGTCGAGATCAAATATTATTCATTTTCGCTCTGGTTTATGCCAATTTTGCCGAAGCTGCTTGTTATTCACTTCAAGCACCATTTTTCCCGAAAGTGGCCGAGCAAAAAGGAGCCTCACCAGCGGTCTATGGGTTTATCTTTGGAATCCTTGAGGTCACAATCTTATTGACCTCACCAATTTTTGGGAAATTAGTAAGTTTATCTTGTTGATTTGTGGTTCTTATCAAATAATCTCTATTCTGACCTTTCAATTAACTCCGATTCTAATTGTTTACTCAGGTCGCTTACATATCTTGTAATATTTTGATGCAATTTGGTCTTGCACTTTCTGGTTTAACTATTATACTTTTTGGGTAAATATTGGTAAAAGAGATTCGGTTCACAATTAACTAATTGATTGTCTTATTTTCTCATTAGGTTTACAATTTATTTGCCTTCAGGGTGGATTTTTATTTCAGTTTGTTTCATCATTCGGATTATCGATGGACTCGGTGTATCCGCTAATCTCACCTCAAGCTATTCAGCGATGGCCAAACAATTTCCCGACAGAATCGCTCTTGTTTTTGTGAGTATTTTTAATATTAGATTTACCTTTTTTTGTTTGGTCAGAGATTTTTGGTTTTACCTGTTGTTGTTATTTTATCCCTTGACCATCAAAAACGTCAACATTGAAAACGAAAATGACCAAAACATGTTTTTCATGTTCTAATACTGGTCATCTAATGGTCATTTCCTAAAACCAGTTTGGTTTATCAGTCAAGTTAACCTTTTACCTTTTAGGTTTTAGTTTGGGTCAATTTGAACAGAGAAAGAGAAATTATCTCAACAAAATTAACTCTTGATTTAAACTTTCAAACTCTAAACCATTTGCATTACAAATTTAATTTACTATCATTGGATTCATCTTTTTAATTGTTTCTCTTAGGGGCTTCTTGAAGTGGCCTTTTCATTGGGCTCAACCCTTGGACCCACTTTGGGTGGTTATCTTTACGAGGTCGGAGGGTATCCGTTTCCTTTCTTGGTTCTTGGGTTGATCCTTTTCTTTGCCACTTTCATTAACTATTGCTGTTCACCTAAGATTGGTAAGTAATAGTACAGAACTTTAATCATTGTGAAATTAACAGAAATCAACAGGTAAATCTGACCTTGATTTCAGATTGACTTTCAGTCCAACAACTTGTTTACCTTTACAAGATCATGATATGTAGAGAGGAGATCTCTTATTACCATTGCTAATGACCGATAGCAACTTTTCAGTTGATTTAAAATTAGATATTACCAAGTAATCGGATTTACTAATTTACTTTTTTTTCGGCTCAATTTTGATTTACAGGTACACCTGAAGTACGACGACCCGTTGCTTTGTCCACATTTTTGGCCGATTTCGAAACTATTGTTGATCTTCTTGGTATTTGTATTACCTTTGTAAACTTGGGTCTAATTAATGTCCTTCTTGAGCCTCATTTACGAAGTTTCAATTTGTCACCAGTCACTTTGGGTCTTGTTTTTGTCACTGAAGGTCTTGCATATGCGATTTCTAGTCCCATAATGGGCTGGATCGTTGATCTCGGAGTAAGTTGACTAAAAGATACAAGTATCATGATAATAGATTGTTAACTAATTTCTGTTGATTTCCAGGTTCCTCCAAAAGTTATGAATCTCATTTGTTGTCCAATTTCATTTGTTGGAGCTTTGTTCTTGGGTCCGATTCCCTTGTTTCATTTTGAACAAGAGGTTTGGATCATTGTGGTCAGTTTGATATTAATCGGCATCGGAGAAGCCGGAAGAGCACTTTGTGGTTTCGTTTCGATGAAAAAAGACACAATCACCCGTCGAGGTTTCCTCGAAAACATTGAGACTTATGGTCTTATTACAAGCACTTTCTTATCATGTACCAGTGTTGGGTAAGTTTCGATATCAATAGTTAACAAAATTTCAATGAAAACAATCAACTAACAATCAACCTGAACAAATAGTTTCGCTCTTGGACCTTCACTTGGAGGAATCGTCATGGAAGCATCAGGAACACAAGTAACTACTCTTCTCATCGTTGGAACAAACGTTTTTATGGTAATTAGTTAATTCACTTTTTCTTAATTTTCTACTTTTACTCACACAGTTAAATTAATTCTCTTTTTCTATGATTCTCTACCTTCAGGCTATTCTACTTACCATCAATCTAATTTATCGAGCTGGTCGAAAGTCAGAATCGGACTTAAATAAACTGACCGAAAGTTCAATGCTGCTCAACAATCAAAATCCATCTCAACAACAATTAACTTCATAAAATTTTTTCGATTTTTTTTCTCTTTTTTCAAAATCTTTTCTTTTTTGTGAATTTTTAGCTTCAAATCTATTAAAATTTATTTCTTTCTAAATCAATTTACAACAATTTAATCGAATTTAATTGTGTCACATTTAATTAGCTAAAATCTTCGCTAATTATACGATTATTAATAGACTTTAATCTCAACATCTATTAACGAATAAGCAAAAATTGTTAATTTGCTTTCACTTTTCGAGGACTGAATCAAAATAGATTATGAAAACGTAACTTTTGATTTAATTACAAAGTTTAATTAACATATGATAGTCCAAGTTACCTATTCGAAGTTCACAATTGATATTAGATCTTTTTTTACGCAATTAATGTTAGAAAAATTCCAGCAATTAGATTAGGATCAAGAGCTTATGAATAGAGAAATTAACTGAAGGAGGGAAAATGTGTCTATGATTTAAGAAACAAGTTCCACCGGTGGGAACATCATTAGGAAATCTTTTCAAGGTTAACCTGTAAGCGAATCTTAATCATCTTGATTGTCTCAACTTCCCATTAATTTTCTTCATCCCTCTAATTTGATTATTGGTTTGATTTACTCGATTAATTGAATCGCTTTCGATCAGTTAATGTAAATGGTTTTCAAAGTGATTCAACTTTTGGAATATTATTTCAATCGAGATTAATTGTGTTATTAGTTGCGAGCAATTAATTATCGTCAATTGTGTTGATTAATTTCCTAGAGATTTTAAACTTATTCATATTCTGTTTTTTTAATCACAATTTGATTAGCATGAAAATGTAATAAAAAATGTGAAATTGTCAACAATTAACATGGAATATTACTTTTTAATTAACAATATGGATCTTAATCAAACAGAATAGCACAGTAAATGATTAAATCAACATAAAAGATAGTTGATAATTATCTTTTCACCCTTGAAAATTAATTGATTACGGTTAATTTGATTAAAAAATTTTGTTTCTGGAGAGATTATAACATAGATATAAATATTATTGTTCAGGGAATAGATTGAGTTGATTAACACACAATTTGTAAACAATTGTTTTCCAATTTAATGGGTCATTTAAATTAACTGGTTCTAAATTAATATTATTATTCCAATGAATTGTAGATGAGAAGTTGTTTTAACACTTTCGATTGACTAGTCTCTCTAATTTCACCAGCAAGAAACATCTCATCGACAACACTGTAGACCTGTGGATAGTATGAGTAAAGAAAATTGAACAATTAGAAAACTTTTAAATGGATAAACAATTAAGATGATTGTAGACTTACTTTGTAGAAATTGAAAACCAGATCAAGTTCACAGACATTATGGAAATATTCATTAAGAACTTCAACAAAATTGTGAATAGCCTCAAGATAGGCAAGATTATTGTCGGAAACATCGACACAGATACAAAAGTAAAGTCCAGCATATCGACGATATACTATTTTGAAGTTTCGGAACTGTAATTAAATAGATAAAAAGCAATAATTAATTTCCATTTGATGAGAAAACTGTCAATTTATGATTCCATAACAATTAAGGGTGAATAGTTTTCATTTTCTCAACATTATCTGAAACCAATCAATCTAATCTCAACAGAGAGATAAATTCAATGGGTGTTAATATGAATCTATTTTGACGGTTTAAACAGTAATCTAATTAGTAAAGGTGTTCTAGAAATTGGAAAGGTTAAATTGAGAAAATTTCACCAATCAATTTTCAATGGAAAAAAGGCTCTTGATGATCCCTGTTGAATGATTTTTTCCCCTGAAGATTAACAAACCTCAACGAAATTTGTGTGTTTAGCATCTCTCACGGTAACAACAGCGTGTACTTCTTCAATCAGCTTTTGTTTCTCATCATCATCAAAATTCATATACCATTTGGCGAGACGAGTTTTACCAGCACGGTTTTGAATAAGAATGAACCGAATCTGAGAAAGAGAGAGAGAAAGAGAGAAAAGAATGAATGAAATAATTCAGAGAATAAAATAAAAGTAACCACAGCACAACAAGCAAGTTATCAGACTCTCAGTCAAATGAAAGCAACAAAAAAATGAACAATTAAAAATTACAAACCATTTTCAAGAAGCAAATTAATATTTGAAACCAGAATTTACAACCAGATATAAACTGTCAAAAAATACCAACAGTTACACTTGAAATAGTATTTTCAGGTTATAAGACTCAATCTGTTGTCCGAATTGTTTAAACTAGAAATCAATGGGATCTCATTAACAATTAATCGTCAATTTGATTTTCCAAAAAATGACCACAATAGTGAAACAATTAACAATTAAAAATCAACCGGAATCAAAATAATAATCAAGGGGGAGTTTCACCAAGTTACTTGGTCTGAATTGTTGCCATGGAAACGAAGGAAAAAGTGTCGCCATCTGGTGGCGGTCGAGGGTAAAAATCGATCGAAAATAAAAGTTATCAAAATTTTGATTTCTTTTTTTTCACAAAACAATTTAGCTTGGATTATGATGATCAACTGATTTTAATCCGATCTAAATGTGTGAAATTATTATCGCGACAAACCGATTGGAATATATTAGAATACTGAGATGGGAGCTTTTCAAGTTTTCGGAAAGTTATTAATATGTTTGGACGAAAGTTGAGTTTGTGATTCTAATTTATTTTTAATTGTTTGATGAACATAATTGATGAGTGTTTTTTTTTATTACTTTCTATTAAAGTGTTGAGCTTGGAACTGTAGATTGTTTTTAATGAAAATATAATTTAGCAAAATTAACATTGACTGTTCTAGAAGAAGATTTCGTTTGGTAATAATTATTTTGCTTTTCGAAAGAGACTGAGAAAGTTTTTCAAAGAGAGATAGAAAGAGAGATGAGTTTAAATACTGTTAATTGCAATAATTTAAACAATGATTTCTTGTTTTAAATACACATGAGAAAAGGAATAGAGATTGAAAGAGAAGAGTCAGTGGGAGCGACAGAAAGGGAGAGAGAGAGAGAGAGAGAGAGAGAGAGAGAGAGAGAGAGGAGAGCTGAAGAGGAGAAAAGAAAATTTTTCCATCCATTGGTTAAAAGCGCATTCGCATCATCATTAAATGATAATGATTAAGATGTCAAATCGATGAAGGAGATGATGAAATAATTCTGGAACTGAAAGATCATGGAGAAAGGGTGAAGAAAACAGGGAGAGGTGGGAGGAAGAGAAGAGAAGAAGTGAAGAAGAATGAAGATAATTAAGAAGAGGAAACAGAAGGTGAAAAAGAAAAGATGATAATGAGGTGAGAGATGGAACATAGGAGAAAATGATGAAAAGGATAAAGAGAGAGAGAGAGAGAGAGAGAGAGAGAGAGAGAGAGAGAGAGAAGAAGAAGAAGAAAAGAAGTGAGGTTAAGAAGGAAGTTTGTAATTAGGATAATTAATCTTCCCTAGTTAATTTAATTTTCTGCCTATAGTATTTTTAATGAATTATTTAATTTGGTGGAGGCTGATTAATCAGTTGGGATTAATCTGCAATGTTTTCTTTAAATTATTCCATTGGCCATTTTATCTCCTCATCGAAATACAAAAAAAAAATCATCATGTGCGCTCAAATTTTATCTTTTCCTTTGATATAAATCAATTTGTGTCTCTTTTGATATTGCAGACTCGGGATTTTCATATGACTTGAATGTATTTGTGTGTGTATATGTTTGTGTGTTGCATGTTTGGTATTAGTATTTTGCTTAAATTATTAACAATATGATGATGATTATTACTATTGATTATTTTATAATAATTTTAATTGATATCGCTATCCATTGTTTATCTCTTTGTTGATTGTTCCTCTGCACTTTAATTCCTTTCTGGGTTAATTTAGTTTTGACTTTTTGACTTTTTCTTTCGGTCCAAACAAACATATCAAATTGTAACACTTTCTCCAAGTTTCTATTGTTGTTAGTAGGTGTGTCTTGTTGTTGATTATTGTTTTCCATGATGTGTATTTAAATTGTCAATCTAGTAACTAGATATCGACGATTGATTACAGTTCCAAATCGATGGGGCTTTTAATCCAATATTTTAAGTCCATTTAGCATTTTCTTTTCTTCAAATGAGATGATGAAATTGGAGGAGGATGTGTTAAAGTTGATGCTGGTAATGAGATGATGGTAAGTTGATGATAACGATGATTTTTGTGTTGGTTGTTTTTATAATAATAATTTAAAGCAACAACAGTTCATATGTTTATATAATGTTGAGAGGTTGACGACGGTGTTGGTTAATTAATTTGTTTTCCTTTCTTGTTTTTTTTTGACAGAATATAAATATCGCTGGTATTTTTTTTTGTCTTTGTTTAAATCCTGAGCAATTTTGGTATCGTATATTTCTTGGATTCTTGACTTATTGTATCGGTGCAAACTTGTGAAACAATTTTTAAATAAACATTTGAAGATATACATTATAATAGATGTATCACAAATCGTGTGTATGTGTCACTGATTTTTTTCTTATGCTTTGGGTGATTTGGTTTTGCGTTTCTTTTGCTGACTTCCAAAGTTTTTTTTCCAATCATTTTTATCTTTCACTTATTTCAGTTTGTTTGGATCGCTTCTGAAGATGCATCCATGACTAGATAAATATTGTACATAAACTAGTAATTGTTAATAGTTGAGGAAGGTAGAGAAAGAGGAAGAGAAGAAGAAGAAGAGGAAGAAGAGAGAGAGAGAGAGAGAGAGAGAGAGAGAGAGAGAGAGAGAGAGAGAGAGAGAGAGAGAGTAAAAGTCGATTGAAAATGATTTAAACAAAATATCGAAGAGGCTGAAAACGTTGTAATTGTTGAGATCCAATAAAATTTGTTGTTGGTTTTTTTGTTTGTGAGTCCAAAAAATAAACGAAGAAACCATATCGCTACGGCAGTCTTGAGAAGACAACTAATCCATTGGATAGTATCATGGGGATGAAATGAAGTTTGCATTAGTTTAACTAACTTTAAATTATCCTTATTATATTAATGATGAGATCTTCAATCAAAATCTAAATCCGAAATAATTGATGAGTAGTTAGGAGGTTGAGGCCTACAAGGTAAAGAAATAAAAGAGAGATAAACATTAGATGATTTGGAATAACAAAAAATTTAAAGGAAATCAAATGCAAGTTTGTTATATAAAAAAAAAGAGTAGCATGAAATTGTGATAGTGACCTAATTAAATTATTATTAAATGATAATGATTAGTAAAGATTTGTGAAAGTCAATAACAATTAAAAAGGTAAAGACAAGTGAGTGTTAAAAATGATAAAACAAGAAAGTGAATTACTGAACAATTAAAACGTTGCAACGTTGCAACAAAAAGAAAGAAGAAAAAACCAAAACAAATTATAAAACTTCCTGGAGAAATAAGGTAACTAATAGCAGAGAAAACTAGAAAATTGGGAAATTTTTTCCTTCCTTTGATAGAAAACAGTTAGTTAGCTAATTAGTCTACTTAGATTAACAGTAAAATAAAGAGAGAAAGTGAAACATAAGAAGGTAAAAGGAACAGTTAACAAAAAAAAAGAGAGATTGAAAAGGGACTTTGATCAATAGTTTGAGGTTTACAGGTTCATGTGCTATCTCAATGCTTAACTCTAATCCTTTGTTTTCTCTCATTTAATCCATAGTGTCAAGTTAATCCCTTAAATAATATAAAAGGTCGATAAATTAGGAAGGAGAAAAACTGACAAAAATGTATCCCAACACACAAAAAAGACTATTGATGACAGGGAAAGGAAAGAAACTGAGATAGAGATAGAGAAAAAAAGTGAGAGTGTGTATGTTAAGTCAAGATAGATCCGTTTCCCGGATGAATAAGGGTAAGATATATATAAAAAAATGCATTAGCTTTTTAAAGGATAAACATACGTTACAGGAAAATCTTGGAAAGCTTGTTTCATCGATGTAAATATAGCTTTGTTTTCATCTTTATAACTTTCGGTGAACAATTGTTGCAGTTCATTCAAAAAATTGTCAAAATTGTCTGCTGAAGGCTTTTCCTCGAGATCGGGTATTCTTACATTGTCCAATATTGATATGAAATTATTCCTCAAAGATTCATAGTATTCCGTTAAGTAGGCTGTTTGTTTACTAATTTGATGATTTTCCTATTTAGTACCAACACAATTTAAAAGGAAGTAAAAAGTTGAAGAAGTTTTTTTTGGTAAGAGAGGAGAGAAAGAGAAAAGAGAAAAAAAAGTTGTTGAAAACAAGTATAAGTTAAGATACACCATTAAGATTAAATGTACACACACACACACACTTCGAGGTTTAGTGTTTTGATTTTTCATTGAAACAGTAAACTTATATATCAATTATAAGATTAATTAAAGGTGATAACTTACCCTTTCTGTGTGTTTAATTTGTTGCTCGATATGATTTATATCTGATTTAATTCTCATCATTTCACTCTCATATTTTACGTTTATTTCTTGAAGCTCATGAATCTCTTCTTCCAGGCTTTTATTATCATCTGGATGCTGATCATAATTTCCTTCAGGTTCCATGGATGCATATGAGCAACTAGACACACTATTAGTCACACTACCGGTTTGACTAATATGGTTACCATTGGTACCATAGTTTGGTGTCCAAATCATTGTAACATTTAGAGTATTTGTTAAATCATCCAATTTGTTACCAAAATTGCGACTTTCTGAAACCCCTGATCCAGCATTGCTGCTACAACTACTATTACCATCAACACCACCAACTCCAACACCGCCTCCACCTCCACTTGCTACAATATCACTACCATAGCCTCCGGTATTCATACTGTTCTCACATTGTTCAGATTGATTGAGACAATTGGCTAAAGAATCGGGTGAAGATGCCGCTGAAGAGGATGAAGATGTAATACCGTTACTTTTACCATGTAACTGACTCGCACTGGCTCTTGGACATCCTGATAGACTACGGTGTGTTAAAAAGCTGCCAGTTATGTGTCCAGAACCATCGCAGCCTATTGTTGGACAACTAAATGGTAGAAATGTAGACAATGATGTTGAAGAGAAGGAGAAAGAGAAAGAGAAAGTGAGAATGAGAGTGTGTCAAAAGTATTATACAATAATCTAAAGATGAACATACCGAATGTTAGGTTCAGTTTCTGGTTTTTCCACAATGGTTTTTCTAATCAAGGAAGATTTCTTTGGTTTATTTGCTCTCGGACAACCCGATAGACTACGGTGGGAGGAATAATTGCCGGTTATGTGACCAGATCCATCACAACCCGGTGTTGGACACTTAAGTTCGACATGTTGAGCTTGAACTTGAGATCTATCAGCATGAGGACACCCAGAAAGACTAGAGAAAGAAAGGAAAAAGGAAGAAGAAAAAAAAGTGTTACAATTGAGTAAATAAAACCAAGATTGAAGAATAGGAGAGAGAGAGAGAAAAACATAGATTAAAGTGAGTAAGAGAAAGGGAAAAGGGAAAGAGAATGAAAGTGAGAAGCAAAAAAAAAGAAGAGAAGAAAAAGTTAACTTACCTTCGATGAGTTGCATAGTTGCCGGAGATATGACCCATTCCATCACACCCTGGAGTTGGGCATTGAAGTAATTCTCGTCCATCTCGCATCCTTTGACTAAAATACTAACAGTAAATATATAAATTTGTATATATTTTGTAGGACTTAAAATCCTCAATCAGTAAACGAAAGAAACAAAAAATATAAAAAGAAACAAAAGACCAATAGAGGGAGAGAGAGAGAGAGAGATAGAAACACAATCAACTAAAGTCAGACCTGTCAAAAGTCCCCTTCTATGAGCCAAAGCTCAATAGATGGCAGATATAAAATGTAAATTGATTGTTTGAATTGGTTCGATGGAAGAAAAAAAATAGAAGAAATAGAAAAATAAGAGAAGCAAGAGAAACAAGAAGGAGAAAAAGAGAGATAGAGAGAGAAGAAATTAAAAAATAGAGAGAGAGAAAAAAGCAGAGAGAGAGAGAGAGAGAGAGAGAGAGAGAGAGAGAGAGAAAAGTGTGATGAATATAATTACTCCAAAAACAGTGAATAACACATTTAATTGTAGTTGAAAGTGAACAAGTTAAAGTGACTGATATAATTTGTAAAAAAATAAACAAAACATTAGAATAACAAGAAAACAGTAAATAGAAAAAAGGAAAGATGAAAATAAAGATTTTTCGTATTTGTAGATTTCCAACCAGAAAGGGGACTAAAGACTCTGAAAGGTCTGACTCTAGACTTTAGAGATCTAGTAACACTCTTCAATTCGGATTGAACATCAGATGAATTCACGATAATGAAAGAGGAATAGTGGGTTAACTTAATAGAGAAAAAAAAGTTTATGTAAGAGTTGAAGTTCCACCCACCAGATGCGCGATCATCTCACCATTCGAATCTCACCACCAGAGGTCGACCTTTTATTCTCTTTCTTTTTCTCTTTCTTTCCATTTAATCGGGGAAATCATTTAGTTTATATCACATTTTTTTCTCTTCTCCCCTTTCTCAGTGCAACATTTTCGCTCTCTCTCAGTTTCCATTCGGTTTTTTATTCTATTCAAAGTGTTTCCATCTATTGGATCAATTTGATACTTTCGATTTTTTTTTCTCTTTTTGTTACATGAAAAGTGAATTTTGGTTTTTTATTCTTTTAATTGTAACAATTTGATTTTTTGTTCTAATTTTTTTTCGCTGGTCATTAGTGTCCGTTGTTTTGGTTTTTGTTTCTCTTTCTCTCTGTTCTTGTTTTGTAGCTGTTTGGTCTGAGTTTTGTCTCTTTGGGGTTTTTGGTTTCGTTTTGGTTGTTTGGTCGATTTGGTTTTTTTTTCTCTTTTTTTGTTGGTAATTTTTGTGATTCTTTAATTGTCTAAGTGAATCAAATTAACCGCTTTTCTCTTTGTGTTTCTCTTTAATCATCAAGGTAAATCTCTCATCATCTCGGTTCTTGGGAAAAGTTTTGTCTCTCTGTCTCTGTCTCTCTTTTCTCTTACGATATGATTTACCTTTTTTTCTGTTTGTTTGGGACACTCGATATTGTTGGCATTATGTTTACAACTTGGATGGTGAATTTGTTGTTTACTTGGATATCGATTATCAAATTATAATCTAATTGTCCTCTATCATTTAGAGTTTTTCTATTGGTATTGTTTTCATCATGTTTAATTTAATTTCTTTGTCTCATTTGATTCTTGTAATCGAGATACTTGTTATTACCTTTTTTATTGGTTCATTTGATTTTACTCGAAGTTTGAAATTTCTGATCAAATTTGAATCAAATGATTTATGAGTTTTATTACTCTTCCAACGGTAACAATTAGTCTGATTGGTTTAAATACACGATCATCACCTTGGAACTTAGTACATTGATCGATCCGCGAAGCGAATGTCCACTTTTATCTTCTCTTTCTTTTTCTTTCTATAGGGTGATCATCATCGTAAATATTGTAACATCTTCTTCCTGGACATTGAATTTTGGTTCCTTACACGCTCAGAATATTTAATATACCAATTAGATGAAGTCGATAAAATTTTCCATCATTTTCAACTCGTTCTCGTTTACTTTCCTCCTTCGAATACACAATTTTCTTGTTCTAATCTAATTACGTCCAATGATAGATTATATCAACAATACAGAAATTAGTAATTATCAATCATACACAATCGATTTTTTAAAATCACAAGCGATTAGAACATTAATCAAACCAATAGAAAAAAAGTTCTAGAGAAAAATTTAATCTATTCCATGAATTTAATTCTATAAATTCTGAATTTTCAAACGATTCCCATGCAAATAGTAAGCCAAAAAGTCTCTTAATTCCTCCATAGATATTATTTAATAATCTCGACATAAGTTACTGAACAATTAGTTTGTCCATTAATCAGGAAAATCCAAATTTCGATAAACCAACAAAAGATCAATAAACTAATAGTAAATAGAAAACACCTTTTCCTCTCTCTAATCTCTTAATCCTAATCCCTAAATTCTAATCCAAAAGGGATAAAAAAAAAGTTCTAAAAATTGACCGTCAATAATTTGCTACATTTTCCTTTGTTGTTGACACATTTTCGTTGCTCGAAACTGACCGTTATCGACCTTTTCCTTGTCCCTTCCCCTCGAAATAAATAATAACCATCATTTTGGTCTCTTCGTCTTCGTACTTGGTTTGATTGTCCTTTTGTGCAGATCTAATGAACCTTATTAAGGCGGATGATGGTCCAATAAGACAACCATGTGGAATGAATGAAAATTGTGTCGAAGTAAAAAAAGTCCAACTTTCAATTTCGAGCAGAGAACCAAAGGTTTTTATTATTAGATTAATTTCGCCTTCGTTAACTCCTTGTTTCCTTCCTTGTTATTTACTATTACAAAGAGACTTTAACAAGACTATTTTCTTATATCTATCGAATCTTTCTCACTTTCACTCTCTCTCTCAGAATGAGAAAGTGGGAGAGGTGGGGAGTGGATTCCAAGTGGGAGTGGGAAATACTAACATATACTGTATATAATATATTGATTAATATTTTTCTCTAACAACAACAGGAAAGGAAAGTAATCAATTTTACCTCTGCAACTACACAAACACTTTGTACTTTATATTTTTCACTTTCATCCTCATCATCATCATCATCTCTCTCTCTCTCTCTCTCTCTCTCTCTCTCTCTCTCTCTCTCTCCCTCCCTCTCCATCATCTTACCAAAGCTAAACACCATTTTGTTTGCACTTCATTTATCGTCTTCATTATTATAATAATTATTATCATATCTGTCAACTAGAATATTTTAACAATGATAAGATACGAACACCGATTCAATTGTGATAATCAAAAAGTAAGAGTACAATCATTAGACAAAAAAAACAGTTAGATCTTCATCTTCATCTTCATCATCTCAACAGTTTATCATTCAAAAATTTCTGAATAATAACAATCACTTTTAAGATTGATTCAGTTAGAGAGAAGCAAAAAAAAAGATTCAACTATTAGATTTAATTGTGAACTTTTCCCTTCAACCTTATTAGTGGATTCTAACTGCTGTTACTCACTTTTAATACCTTAATTGAGTTGTTGTTACCCTGATTTAATCAATAAATTGTTAGTAAAAGAAAACAGAGAAAACAGAATTGATTGTAAGTGAAAATCATTAAAAACCTTGTGAGTTAATTGATGTTCATCAAAGGAGAGGAAAAGAGGAAAAAAAGTTTAAAAGTTACTTTTCTGTTAACCATTGAGATTAAGATTATTGACAATTTACTTTTGATCATCATTTTCATCTCTATATTATAATTATCATTAATATCATCATCAACTGTTCATCTTGATTCAGATTCAACTCTATATCCAACATGGTAAATTGTTGAGAGCAAGTTTTGTACAATCAGTGTGACTATTGATTAGTTTAACTTATCCTGTTAATTTCAAATGGCTTTTGTTGATTATTGATTTTATCCTCTTTCATTTTGATAATCTTACCTGCGCTTTAACAGATTAACATGTTGTTGTTAATATTATGAAACAATTAACTTTTCAATTGTTTCCAATTAAAAGTGTTTCTTTTTTTATTGTTTATTTTGGTTTCATGAGTATTTCAAAATTTACTGATTCACATTTTTTTTGGCTTATGGGTTTGAGATCAATTCAATTGTTTGGGTAAATTTTGGTGGGTTAATTATTGATTATAATGCATGTTTAAGTTAAATTAATCATCTGTAAGTTTTGACTTGCATTTAAATGAGATCAATTTAATTGTATAATTATGTTTTTCTGATGGTGGTCGGTTGATTTATTATTAAATCAATGATCCTTTTCTTTTAGTCTCTGATCGTAAGGTTATCACTTTTGATTGTTTATTGTTTGTAAGAGATGTTGTTGTTATTTGATCTTGTGTTGGTCGAATACGATTTTTGGTTAAAGGAACTCGACTAACGGTACTTGTTTCTTTGTTTTCCTTTCGATTGGTGGTTGATTGCATTTTTATCGCTTCGTTAGGAGATGAAGGTAACTTTTCATAGGTTGAACTGCGAGTTAAACTTGTTGTTGTGCTGGTTGATGATGAGGATGCTAACGGTGTACTTGGAGAGGGATGAATCGATGGTGAGGTTTTTATCTGAGAGAAACTCGAACCAAATTTATTCGGCCTGGACATTGTATTGTTGTTTACATTTTTATTGCAATTGTTGTCATTTTTAGCTGGAATGTAACTTTGATTAGTGACATTTTCTTTTTCTGCATGTGATCTTTTCCAAAGTGATGCAATTTTACTTTGAACTGGACATCGTTTATTCAGATGAAGGGCTGATGATGATGTCGACGATGAAATTGATTGACCAGTTGAAACAGAGGAACTTGTTTGAAGGTTACCGGACATTTTATCGGTAATATTGTGAATGGAAGTTGAATTGCACATCTTATTTGATGAGAGAGAACGATTTTTATAACCATAAGTGTTATTATTGTTGGTATCAGATTCTGAGGTGTTATTATTGGTTATCGTTGAACTACCGGTTCTCTTACGAACAACGTAAGTTTTTGATGAGAATTTAGTGTCATTATTATTAGTAGAATTTAATTTCTTTACTGGAGTTGTTGGAACTGAACTTGAAGTTCCTATTGACTTCTGTTCACTGGGACCTTCTGAGGTTGATTTTGATCGATTACCTCGAAGAGCAGTAGTTTTAGTTCCTTTGATGACCAATGATTTATTTTTATTCGATTCATTTGATGCAATTTTACTACTATTGGAAGATGATGTACTATTAAAACGACGAATTATTTTGTTATCATTATTGTTGTTGTTTGGATGATTAGTTGATTGAGTTCGTAGAACTGGTTTGACAATTCGTGCCCGTCGTGGTGAACATATATAAGTTGCTCTGGAATCATCTTCAGATTCATTTTGTCCATCACAATTAAATGTATCATTACGTTGAAATATCGGCTTTGGTAAGATACTATTAATCGATGGTGTTGTTGATGTTGTTGTTGTAGGGGTTGAACATTGATCTTCATCCATATTATGAGATTCTGTGAGTTGAATAATATCCTCCGTTTGTTTCTTGATTAATTTGGTTGCCTCAAGATCAAATTCTTTAACTATTGGGAAATTGAAATCATTTAATTCGGAATCAAGTGAATTAAGTGACCCACAGCTACTTGAGAGACCAGAAATTGCTTCCATGTCCGATGGTGGGTTAGTACTTTCGAGGAAAGTGTCAATACCATTGAAAGCACTTTTACCTCGAGGTTCAGTTGATAAAATAGTCGAAATAATTTTGGGTGGTTCTGGTTTAGTGGGTTCCATGGTATTTGTGAATTCTAATGATGGAAAATTAGATGATTCTAAACTCAATGAAGCTTCATCAATACATGAAGGTGGTTTTATATTGCTAATGTCATGGGATTCCAGTGAATATAATGAAACTGATGATTCTGGTTGAGTTGATGTAAGAGGAGGTCCATTGAGCATCTCGCCATTGTTATCATTAGACTTGATTCCTTTGGAATCGTAAACTCCAAGGTTATTAATACAAGATTCTTGGACTTGATCAATAATTTGAGTTACCTTTTCAAGTTTAGTCGTAATGGTTTCATTGATTTGAATTGATGGGTTTTCATCTAGTCCAGATGATTTATTTTGATTTATCTCAAGAGATTTTAAATGTTGCTTCTCAAAAATCATTCGAGTCTGACCAAAGTAGTGAATGTTTTCACTAGATAAAGGATTGGATGATGAATGTTGAGATGGTTTTACATTGTAATGAGTTTCAATTTCTCCACTAATTATTGTCGTGGGTTCTGTTTGTGTTGGTGAATCGGGTAAATCAGTGGGTGAAATAGGGTCGCTGGTAAATTTACTGAATTCAGAAGGAACTGAAGAAATTGAAGTTCCTATTGATTTAATTTCTAATCCCGAGATGGAACCAAGTGAACTTGTTCGTGAAAACATTATTGGAGTTGCTTCCATTGATGTTACACAGTTTTCACCAAAGTTGATTGATTGATTGTTGGTTGTTGAACTAATGGAACGATTAAGTGTTGAAGTAGATAACAATTCATCATCCAAAAGACTTTTCTCATTGCTATTGATCATTTGATTTTCCTCTTTTACTAAATTTTCTTCATTCTCTTCGACAATTGTGTCCTCACTTTTAACCTTTTTGGTTACATTTGATGGTGAAAAGTCAATTAAATTGCACTGAGATGATGATAAATCGTTTTCGTTTTGCGTTTCGTGTTTGCAACAATTGTAGTTCAATCGATGGGTAAATTTAGTTAAATTATCTTCAGATAAATTGGACAACATATGAGTCGAGTCGTTTTGACGATAGTTCAAAGGTTCATCAGGATGAGCAGATCGAAACAGTTGACTCTCAATCTCAGTTCCATCGGTACTTGATTTACGACGAGGTAATAATCGTTCATTGGGTTTAATCCCAATGATTGTATTTTCGTTATTAGTAAATTTGACTCCAAATTGATGGGAATTGATACATGAAGATAAGTATTGTCCATTTGGAGAAGATAAAAGGTTTTCTACATTTCGTCGAGCACTTTCCAAGATTTTCTTATCGAAAAGATCAGAATTCTGATTTATCAGAGTAGTTGGTACGGTGACCGTAGAGATATTATCATTCTCTTTCACGTCAGAAACCTTGATTGGATAAGCGTGGAAAAGATGACTTAAATCATTTGCGAAATTTATAGTTGAAGTGGAAGGTGATGGAGGTGGAGGCGGAGGATTAAAACCGTGAAATGATGAACGTGGAAGAGCGGGTTCCAAATGTGGTTGACTGTTGTTGGTAGTGAGTGTTGATTGTTGATTTAATGATCGATTGTTAAATGGATAGTATACTGGCTCTGAGTGAGTACTTCCAAGACTGTCCTTACTTGATGATTTGGACATGTAAGGATAAGGATTGGAGAGAGTGGGTACAGTAAATGAAGTGTACATTCTGTCGGGTAAATCATAACGAGTGATCGGTGGTGGTGGATGAAATCGTCGGACATGAGCGGGACTTGATTTAGGAGATTCCAGATTATCACATGTTTCAGACAAACTATCATCTAATTCAGGACGAAAACCATTATATTTACGAGCCAAAAGGGTGGGAGTTGTTGAAGCGCTTGTGGTGTTTGTGGTACTTGGTGAATTGCAAGATGAATTTCGTGATGAGGATGAGAAACAATTTGAATCAATCATTTCATGATAATTTTTAACTGATGAAAGATTCTTAAGAGCTGCTGCTGATCCCATTGATATCATTTTATGCTTCGAATTGATTAGATTACGTAACATTGGAATTGCACCTAATTCAATCAGTTTCATTTGATCTTGAATACATCGAGCAGATAAATTCCAGAGAGTAGCACAGGCATTGGAGACAATTGTTAATGAAGGTGATTCTAATTGTTCAAGAAGTATGGAAAGAGTATCATGTTCACGTAAAATAGCCCGAAGGTGTTCATGTCGAGCAATATAACTGGACACATTTCTCAGTATTCCTCCGCCATTTTCAATGATAATCATGGTATTGTTTGGTGATTGGTAGTTTAAAGTTGAGACTAGAAACTTGAGCGCTCCTTCAACAGCACAAATTTCCGCTTTATTTGTTGTCGAATGAGCTGACAGATTCCATAATGCCGTTAATATGGACTTGAGAGTTGATTCTTTTCTTGCCTCTAGTGCGGCTCGCATCAGTAATCGCACTGCTCCCATATCTCGTAAGGTGTCTTTCCCTTGATCATCGGCTTTCCAAGAAAGATTCCTTAAAACGGAAGCGGTGACTTGCCTCAGCTCTTCTGACGGCGAATATAATTGTTCAATGACACTTCGAATGACTAGTTTATTCGAACACAAAATTGACTTATTGGTTCCATCACCAAATGTAAGATTAGTTAAGGCCATGAAAGCATATCGACGAACCGTAATACATTGAGGTGAAGTTGTGTTTCCATGATATTTGTTATCGAAAAAGATTAACTCAGCGATCGCATGAAGTCCACCAAGAAGACAAATAGCAATTCGATGTTCCTCATCGAAGGAAATTTTCATCAATTGTGATGTCGCTTCTCCTGGATGAGCCATTGATACACTCAGGTCACCATTTCCTCGTTTAAATTTATCACAAAATCCTCGAATTTCCTCTAAAAGTTGAAGAACTCTCATCTCCTTTTTACCGGCTTTCGTGTCTTCACTGTATCTGATTATATTTCTCAAAGCAATACAAGCTTTATTACGTATATCAAGTTCCTTAAGATTATCTTCCTCTAAATCCAAACTCGATGCACATCCAAATTCACTATTTTCCCCATCATTTGAGTTGTCACCAAATCTACCATAATCATTATCGTCATCATCCTTTTCTGAATTTAAATTGACATCATCCCAATTATCTTCATGATGCTTTGTATCCTCTCCAATTGGATGAATCAATTGGATTAACAAGGGTATACATCCGTGGCTTCTCATTTCCAAAGAGATCCGTTTATCCAGCGACATGGAGTAAAATTTGTTACACATCTCTTCCTTAACGTTATTACATGTTAACATGGAGAGAAGTGAATAAACAGTTTCTGCTTTGATTTCCAGTTGCTGTTGATTCTTGTAAACATTTGAATTGAACTTATTGTTTGATGATCGATGTGAACCAAAACTAATTATCGAACAAGTATCCAATTCATCATCTCCACCACCTCCACCTCCCTTAGAAGAGGAAAGATTAGATCCAAAGGAAAGAGTCGATTGATTAAGACTGTTCATCATGGTAATAAACTTATTTACACTTCGATTATTGAAGACGATAAAAACCAAAGGTCAAACTGTAAGAGAGAAGAAAACAAAGAGAAAATGTAAATAACCAGAGAGAAACACAATTAACGTGATCGGATGAGGAATAACGGTAAAAATAACTCACACCTTTCACCTTCACTTCATAATTGACTGTATTCAATACAAAACAAAACATGACTAGAGGATTTAAAAAATTTATCCCATAGACTTGCGCTTGATAAGATTCAGCTGCTTAAATGATGATTAGATTAACATATTCGTGCAGATTAGTTAACCAAAAAAAAAGAGCGTTGAATTAGCTGTTAGGTATTGAAAATATTTAAACATTTTGTCTAAATCATCAACATTTAACAATAAACAAGGTTGGATTGTTAATCCTAATCATCCTGACAACATTGTAAAACTGTTAATCACTTGAAGTTGAACCAAGATTATCTCAAAGAATATAATCTAATGATGGTTAATTATGTGTCATGAAACTCATGATAATAATGAACAAAAACATGATGAGTATAGTTTATCATCCATTGGAAGGATAAACAACCCAATGGATAAAAAAAAAACAATTAGTTTATCCAATGTTTGTAATCTGTTGATCTTCACTTGAATAGGGTAACAATTGCGAGAGAAAAGTTAATTTTCAAGTGAATGATCAACAAGATCAGGGTAAGTTCAACATGATGTTAGTTTGATATAAACTACGTTGTTTGGGGATAGAAAAGTTCAAATGATGAGATAAATAAAATTTGGAGGGATTCCAAAAGGAGAGAGAAGCAAAAAGGAAAATGTCTCAACTGTATTTAAAGAGGGAATAATTAACCACATAGAAACAGAGATGTTGAGGTTATTACTGAAATTGTTTACAGATAAATCACTTGGTTAAGAAACAATCAAATCTTAATCATGTTAATTGGTTACAGTCAACAGGAAAATATGTGTCAGCATATTGATTGATGCAAGTAATCACTTTCGGGCTAAATTGGATAAAGATGACACATACCAAATCTTAGACTAATCTCCTTACACATGAATGAATTTGATTCTTTTCAAATATTGACATAGAAAAATAATTCACTAAGATTGTCGACTGATCATCTGAAAGAATCAAGAAAAAGAATAGCAGTTAATCTTTAAGAGAAAAAATTAGGAAAGAAGAAGAGAAAATGTAATAGAATATTTAGATTTCTAAGACAATTTAATATTCTACATACCTGAGTTAACAATTAAGTCTAAACATCATGGAAACATTGATTCTTGTGATTTAGGAATGAGAGATATTGATTCAATTGCTTAGACGAGATAAACAAAGGCAAGGCCCAGGAAGGAAATCATCAAGCAACCAGAAAATCAATCGGCAGGAAAAGGAAAACCAAAAATAGACAAGACTCACAAAGTGATTGACTATTACGGAAACGGTAACAGATAAGTTTAAGGTCACATTTAATCACCGGAGATAATCAACAAAATAATAAGAATAGAAAATTAAATCAGAGAATTGAGGTTGAGATTAAATAGAAAAGGCAACAGATTAACAAAGGAAAATTGTCTCCACCTAGAAAATAACTTCACCCAATTTAGAGATTGGAATTAAGGATTAACAGTTATTATCTAGATTCTTTCACCGATTCGATTAACAGGGAAAAGGGTTAAGTGAATTAGCTTACCTTGGAATTGAATTGTTCAATGTTCATTATTCGATTGATTCGATTATCAAAATAATTGATCAACATGACATAAGATTTAACCTCAAATAGACAAAAGAGTTTGGTGACTCATTGGAGAAAAGAAGAAAATATTTCTCTGTCTTTTCTCTGTCTTTTTTTCTCTGAGATCAAAATGAGATTATTTTGGTTTTCTCTTCTCTAGTTGGTTTACTTACGATTTCTCCTTAATTGTTGTCTAGTTTTTCAATCGAAAATACAATTGACAGTTAAATGTGTAAAAAGATTAATTGTTGACAATCACAAGGCGAAAATAAGGTTTTACAATCAGAGAGAAATTGATCTGAAATCGGTTAACCGAATCAAATTTATTGATCGGCGAAGCGGTTTTACCATAAACCGAATATTGGTCATGCGTCTCGTGGAATAATCAATTTTAATCCAGTTGATTTTTAATTCTTTTTCGTTAATATGCTGATAATTCCCCTGAAATAGAAAAGAGAGAAAAAAACTGTAAGATTAATTGTTAATTAACGAATGAGCTGACAAATCGATTGGATTATTTACTTATCACTCGAGAAATTAGTTAATTTGTTTGTTATTTGTTTCTATTTGTTTTTGTTAAGAAATTGGAAATAATTATTTACTCCAAAACTAATCATCTAATTGTTTCTAAATTTTGATAAGTAAATATTCAATTAACAATAACTTACAGATGACAGAGATTAAAAATTTACTCATGAATGAAGTCTCTTGATTAGGTGAGATAATCCCTGATGAATTAAAGACTCGTCTCTTAAATCTACCAATTATCGGGAGAAAACCATTATCATTAGTTAATGGAATCGTTGATTCGGGTCCTGAATCTGATGATAGTTCGGGACTAATTGCTCGTTCATTATAAAAATTTTGTTGCTTATTGTCATAATTTTTGAATTGTGACAATATTTGGATGTCGAAGTGTCTGGAGAGTGTCAAGTTCTCGAAAATTTCTGACGATACTCGAAAGAGGTTTTAGTTAAATCGATCACTTCAACAGCGATATCTTTAACAAGATATTTGGCCTAATAAACTTTTGAGAAGTTTCCAAAGTTGATCTTATCTCCGATCTTGAATCTTTTCTTGTCAAACATTTTCGTTTCCTCAGGTGAACATGGATTCTCATCTTTTTTGGGAACATCCAATCTCTTATCACCAGCCATATTAACATAGAATCAAGGAAAACTTTAAACGAAAACAAAATTAAATAAAGATTTGGCTACTTAATGGATTGGGTCAAGTTAACTTAATTAATAATTTTAAATTATTAATTTTAATTGTTTTGACTTCGAAGAACAATTTCTACCATCAGATGGCGCTGAAAAGAATAACCGCCAATTTCAAATGGAGATTCCAATCATATGTTCATTTAAATTCATCTGAGTTTTTCTAATTGTTGTCTCTTGATGATATTGTTTCCATTTCGATAATTATTAGCTAATTCTGTTTTAATCTTCACTTATGGAAGGTTTTATTCGGGTTTCGCCCAAAGAATTGAATTTATCTCTTACTCTAGTTTGTGGTCAATGTTTCAGATGGAAAAGAAGATCAAAAAAAGACAATGTTTGGTTTGGAATTATTTTCAATCATGTTTTTGAATTAACTCAGAATATTAATTCTTTGAAAGTAAATCATGGTGATGACGGTGATTCAGTTGACAGTTCAATCCATTGGAAACTGTTAAATTCTTCAAACAATAAGACTGGAAAAGCAGCGAAACGTAAAAAATTATCTCAAGATGACATATCCAATCTGTTGAGTGATTATTTTCAATTACAAGTTCCATTGGTTGATTATTATGATAAATGGTCAAAAATTGATTCAAATTTTAATTCCAAAGGATGTCAACTACCTGGTATACGAATACTTCGTCAAGATCCGATTGAAAATCTATTCAGTTTCATCTGTTCATCTAATAACAACATTCCGAGAATCTCAATGATGGTTGATTCCTTGTGTTCCACTTATGGGCAACAATTATTTGATGATCATGAATTTGGAACAATTTATAATTTTCCATCAATCAGTAGACTTTGTGAAGATGGTGTAGAAAGTAAATTACGATCATTAAGCTTTGGCTATCGAGCCAAATTCATCCATCAAGCAGCCAAAACAATAATGTCTAACGGTGAGACTATTCAATCACCTTCACAAAAGCAAAGGAAAAATTTTCCGATCGATTAATTAATTGTTTCTGTTTCTTTTCCAATTGATTTCAGATGCGAAAAATCCTGAGAAATGGTTATTCAATTTGAGAAATGAATGTTATGAAAAAGCTCATAGTCAATTGATGTCTCTTCCTGGTGTTGGTGCCAAAGTTGCTGATTGTGTTTGTTTAATGTCTTTGGATAAACATGATGCAATTCCTGGTTAGTTAACTAAATTTTTTTCTTCTAATTCTTCATCTAATTTTGTTCACTCCCAATGTTTCATTTAGTTGATACTCATGTTTGGAAAATTGCTCTAAATGATTATCTACCTCACCTAAAGAAAAACAAAACAATGACTGATAAATCGTATAAAGAGATTGGAAATTTTTTCCGTTCACATTTTGGACCTTATGCTGGTTGGGCTCATTCAGTTCTATTCACAGCTGATCTTGCAAAATTCAAGAAATTATTGGAATAACAATTAACTTAATCATCTCTCATCCATCAATTTTTTTAAATCACAACAAGAAAACAACATCGTTCTTGCTTACCATTAGTAATAGTCTTTAAATCAACTTCCAAATGATCAAACTCTTAATTTCTTTCAATCAATGTGTAATATATTCTCCTTTAATTGTTATTGTATTTTCATTTTGTAAATAAAATAAATTCACAATCAAAAGTGTTGATTTAATTCTCGATTTCGTTTCATTTTCTCAATTTGAATTTCGAGCCATCGAAAAATCTCCATGGTAACAGAAATGCTGAATTCTGATTGGTTTTCACTTCTCATGTTTTCATTTTCATTTCTGCCAAAAAATTAACTCTAATTGTCACATTAATTATGTCATAATTTCATCTATTTCTTAATCAATTAACCTTTTAATGTGATTGAATTTCACAAGAATCTCTATAGAATCAATTTTCGGTAAGTTTCGCGAGTGTCATCAACTTTTTCCCTTGATTATCATAAGCCGGTAAGAAGATATCAATTTATTGTTATTTTGCTGATCTCTTAATTTAATTAATTTAATTTCTCGTCTCCTAATTATCTTTACTATTTTTAGTCATTTTAAAAACCGTTATTGAACCTGTTGCATTATGAAACTGGTATGTAGTTTTTAGAAACCGTCATCTTAATCCTTTAACTAATTGTTTACTAATCCTCTGGTTCTCTGATTTTTTTTCAGATTTCTTTGAATGATAATGTTAACAAACCATGTAATTTGGTACAATTTAAAGACACCCTGATGATGTTTGATAGTGGTTTAGATGCATTATCAACTTTGGGCTTCATTCCATTACCTTTGGTTACATCTAATCATTTATCTTCACTTCCAAATTGGACACCGAGTAATAATCAAGATGCTCAATTAGAATCAGTAAGATAATTTTAAATTTAATTTCCAAGATAGAATTTATTAATCAATCCCTTTCATCTTTTTTTTTCTTACTTATAATAGGAGTTAAAGGAGTGTTGTGGAAAAGTATTTGTGGACAGTTCACCTGAATTCTGTTGTCCAGAGGTAAAAATAATTAGACCAATATGAATTGTTTTTCTAATTGTTCTTCTCTGTTACTTTTTCACTTTTTCTTCCAGTTTTCTACAATCAATTTTAAACATGTCGATGTTATTTTTGTATCTAACTACCTTTGTATGTTAGGATTACCTTATATAACTGAACGAACTGACTTTGAAGGTGTTGTTTATGCCACTGAACCTACAATTCAAATTGGACGTCAATTCATGGAGGAAATAATTTTTTATATTGAAAGAACACCTAAAGTTAAATGTGCATCAAAGTGGAAGGACAAATCAATCTATGGAAATATTCCTTTACCTGTTAATTTAGCCTCATTACCACCTCATCTATGGCGACAAATATATACTAGCAAGGAATTAAATAATAGCTTCTCGAAAGTAAAAGTGATTGGATTTGGTGAGAAAGTTGATATTTTCGGTGCTTTCGAGATCAGTGCTCATTCATCAGGTTATTGTATTGGATCGTGTAATTGGTTGATTGAAACCGCTCATGAAAAAATTGTTTATCTCTCAAGTACATCAACCCTCACCACCCACCCGAAGCCAATTGATTACGGACCATTTAGAAAAGCCGATGTCATGATTGTTACCAATCTCACACAAACACCAACCTGTAATCCGGATAACATGTTAACCGAACTTTGTGTTCGTGTAACCACCGCTTTGGCCACCGGCGGAAATGTCTTAATTCCCTGTTATCCATCAGGAGTAATTTATGATCTCTTTGAATGTCTCATCCCCCATTTAGACAATTCTGGATATGCAACGACTCCCGTTTACTTTGTTTCTCCAGTTGCCGATCAATCACTTGCTTACTCTAACATTCTTGCCGAATGGTTGACAACCAATAAACAATCAAGAGTTTATCTTCCCGAAGAGCCTTTTGGTCACTCATATCTAGTTCGATCGGGTCGACTTAAACACTACCAAGGTATTCATGTGGACGCTTTTAGTAACGATTATAAAAGTCCTTGTATTGTTTTCACCGGTCATCCCTCTCTCAGATTTGGTGATGTCGTTCATTTTATTGAACTTTGGAAATCATCACCAAACAATTTGATCGTCTTCACCGAGCCCGATTTCCCCTGTGCTGATGCCTTAGCACCTTATCATCCTGTCGCTATGAGAGTAGTCCAGTGTCCAATTGACACTTCTCTCAATTTTTTCCAAGTAAACAAACTATTACGTGAACTTAAACCAACAAATGTACTTGTATCAGAAAAATATACTAGCCCACCGCCCTTGTTACAACATAAAACTGACCTGGTTATCGATGCTGGACCAGAAACCGAGATGATTACTTATAAACGAAACGAGACAATTCAAGTTAAATTAAATCGTAAATTTGAACGAGCTGCTATCGACAGTGAACTAGCATCAAGTTTGAATCCAGTTGAACTGAAATCTGGAATCTCAGTGGCCACTGTTACAGGAACATTGATTGCAAAGGATAATAAATTTAAACTGAAATCAGTTTCAACAAATGAATTAAATGAAATACGACGAAACAATCAAGGACAATCAATCCCACCTCAATTTTACACCTATGGAACATTAGATTTACCAATGTTCATGCAACTACTTGGAAACGCGGGCATTTACGATGCAAGTATTGAACAAACACCGAGTGGTTGTATCGTTCAACTTGTAAGTATAATTATAAAAATCAATTAACCCAATTAAATTTAACTCTAACAATTTCTATTATTTTCCAACAGAGAAGCGAAGAAGCCTTTGTAACCATTGATGATTCTCTGACCCATATTGTTTGTGATGCCAATGATTCACTTCGTATTTTATTAAAAGATTTGGTATCTAAATGTTTAAAGAAAATTTAAACAATCAAGCAAATGATGGATAATTTTGTTAAATACTCTGTGTACAATTGATTGTATATTTTTTAAAAATTCAATTCAAGATAAACTGGCAATGATTGTTTTCCATGTAACAATTTGAGCTTGTCAATCATTGGCAATAGATGAATCTTGTGAACTATTGACTTAGAGAAAAGTTATTATTGAAGATAATTGTGTCATTTCAGATCACAATTAAATTTTTTGGCAAAAGAATCAAGAAACAAAGGAATCGTTTGGTTAATTGTAAACTCTTTTCCAATCTCTTGAGTTATCGATGTAACTTTTTTCCCTTCCAATCCACAAGGAATAATATGATCAAACCAAGAAAGATCATTGTTACAATTAAGACAAATTCCATGAGTGGTGATATACCGTTTACCATGAATACCGATTGCGGCAATTTTACGATTATCTTCAATCCAAACACCAGGAAATTGGCTGATTGTTGAGATTTTCCTATGAACCGGTAAAACTTTCTGACAAGTATCAATAACAGTCTCTTCTAAACGATGGACATAACACCGGATCGATTTATTGGAAAAGAAACAACCCAAATAGAGAATTGGATAAATTGTTAATTGACCATAACCATGAAAGGTTATTAAACCTCCTCTATCAGTGGTAACAAAATCAGCACCAAGTGATTTAAGAGAATCAATTAGTTTCTCTCCATAATCAGCTCGTCGTATACCAATAGTATAAACAGGATCATGTTCAACCAGAAATAATTTATTCTCATACTGATTAACCTTTAACGATGATGATGATGATGATGGAACAAGATTTAATTGATTAATCAATTTGTCCCTGGCTGAACATTGGGCCTGATAAGCAGCAGCAAAATTCAATCTTCCCAAATTGATCACTTGAACAACAGGCTTAGACATAATTTCCCTTTTCAATCATAATGTCAGTCATTGAATCAATCACAAAGAAACAAACTCATTTACATTAATTGTTGACAATTAACCAAAAAAAAAATAAATAAATAAAATAAACGACAAAACAAAACACAACAACAACAACAACTCAAGTCAAGATGTAAACAAATCATGTGACAATCACATGGATTTTTCTCGATCAAATGAAAGAGAACAATTTAATTCTAATTGAAAAACTAATCACTAATTAATTGGAAGAAAACTGTTTAATGAAAGAAAATCAAATGAGACAAGCAATTAACTCCAATTAATGGTAATTAATTGTTACTTTTACAAAAGAAACTGTAAAATTGAAGTGAAACAATTGATTGAAATAAATTGGAAATTCTTTCAATCAACTTGTTAATGATTCTGTTTTTACAGGTTCTTTAATGGGAAATGATGACTCGAGGTCTGATCATAGTGATGACATTTCACCTCAGAGGTTACGACCCTCGGAATCTGATCCCACCTAATTACTAATTTCCAATCAATAACCTCGAACAATTTATTTTATTAGTTACAATGTTCTCGTGTTTTGTTTTATCAATGAACTTGAATCAATTGATTGTCTCCTCCAATTATTATTACTTTTCCTCTTCAATATTATCAACCTTGATTCTATTGTTTTATTAGAGTTTCTCTCACTAATTTCGCTATTTAATTAATTGTTTTAATTACATTTTCTCTCTCTTAAATCACCCTTTTCTCTTTTTGTCTTAATTGTGACGTACAATCAACTTATGATTAACTTGTAACCTTTGATTGCGAAAAAAAAGATTCATTTTAATTAACTTTATATTAACTTTCTTGTTAATTGTAATAATCTTTAAACACGATCGGTAATAAATTGGCTTTTGTTGTTTAATCAATAACAATATTGATTGTTGTCACATTAACAAGCAATTAGATGATTAAATTGAAATTAAATGAAAGGAAGAGGAAAACGCAATCACAATTAACAAATTACAATGAACATCATCATCATCATCAATGAATTAATACAATTAAAAGAGTAAAAACAAAAAAAAAGTTAATTATAGTAGATTAACAATTAAATTGGTAAGAAAATTAGATTGTATATTTATATATATAAATTGGTAATGATTAAGCCAAAATTAATCTAATTGTCTCTTGATAGTTATATTTATATAATGGTAATTAAATTGTCAAAACTAAAATTGATCAATTAGTTAAATTAGAAACAATATTTTTTGGTCCATAAAGATTTGATTGTTGATGGATTGGAGTCAATAAAAATACAATAATAGTTAATTGTAGTTGAATGATTAAAGTTGATTATGTTGACAGTTTCATCATCCGAATGGTGATTGGTGAATTAAATTAATTTCAATTAACCATTTTGATGATGATGAGAGAGAAATAATTTTCATTTGTAGTAAGAGATACGAAGTAAAAATTTATCAATTGTTAACAATTAACAATTTAACTCAATGTTGATTCCTTTGATTTATAAGAAACTGGAGCAATTTGAATTGTTTCACTATTGTTACGCTCTTTGCTATTCCAAATACCATAGAAAAGGTAAATTGCCAACCCTGTGTGATAAAAGATGATGAAAACAATTAAAAGTTAATCAATGGGTTAATTATATTGTTACAGGTTAAAGGATAATCTTATAATTGATTTAATTGTTTCAAGAACAATAATAATGTCACAAGGATTTAACTCGATAGGGGTTAATCATTGATGGTTAAATAGATTAGTGAAAACTAATAATATCTAATTAGAGACCTTGATCTTGTTAAAACAAAGTTAATCATTAGCTAATATTATGTTTAAGAGGAAATTGTTTATCGTGATTATCGTTAATTGTTACCTATGATCATCCAAACTGCGAAACGAACCCAAGTAGCGATTGAAAGTTTCATCATTAAATAGACATTAATGAAGATCGAGATGATTGGAGTGAATGGAACCCAAGGAACCTAAAATAATAGAGAGAAAAGTTAATTTCAATCAACAATTAAGAGAAACAAAAAAGTAAAATCAGTTCAAGACAATTAATCTTGTCATCATTGATTTCTATTGATTCATTGGCTATTATTATATTGTTGATAATTAGTGATGAATGTGTATTAATTTGTGGAGCAAAATTAGCATGATCAATTCAATTGTCAACAATATAAAAATCCATGAATGAGTGATGGTTATGGTGGTGAAGGTTAATTAATAGGAAATAGTAATAATTATCTATCTTAATCAATGAAATGTTGACAATTAACCTTAAATCCTGAGCCAGTAGTTGAGATTGGCTGTCGGGAGAGAGCAAAAATCATCGTATACAGGTAGGCCAATACCGCGGCGACAGCAATTAAGGAGATCAGATTTAATTGACTGAGATGATTTTCAAGTAAAACTAACAGTAAATCCAATAGTATAATGTTTCCACCTGAAGAAAAGGTAAACCGATAATCAGTAATTAGATAACTATTTTAAGTAACATGAAAGTTTTGAAGAGATGAAAATTTACTTATATCATTAATTAACTTACAGATGACAGAGATTAAAAATTTACTCATGAATGAAGTCTCTTGATTAGGTGAGATAATCCCTGATGAATTAAAGACTCGTCTCTTAAATCTACCAATTATCGGGAGAAAACCATTATCATTAGTTAATGGAATCGTTGATTCGGGTCCTGAATCTGATGATAGTTCGGGACTAATTGCTCGTTCATTATCATCATTTGCTTCCTTTTCAACGTCATATCTGAATTCATTTTAAGGATTAAGGAAAAAAGGTCAATTTAATGAATGAATATCATCACTTGTAGTAATTAAATCAATAATAAACAGAGAAAGTCATTGTCATGTTATTGGTTTGACGAAAAAAAATAAAAATTAGGATAACGATGTGTTAATGATACGACAATTAAAACAACGTTGCCATGAATGGAAAACAAAAAGAAACAAATTAAATGATAATTTTGGGTTTGGAAAGTAAAATAATCAACTGATTGGAAACCAAGAATTTAATCTATTGATTAAGGAGGAAAATGTTAGTTAGTTAATTAACTCACTCATCGAATTGAGATTGGGTTAAAGGCTCATATTCAGAAGTATTTAAAGCATCAGTTTCATTTGAGAAACGATGATTACGATTAGCGAAACGTGTTTGTTTCGATACGATTAAAGACTCGTAACTGTAATGGTGATGGTGTTAATTGTGTGAGATTAATTAGATGAAAAGAAATGGACATTTTGATTAGTTTGAATTAGAGAGAAAGAGGTTTGATTAGTAACAAATACTATTAAATGATTATGAATGAAATACAAATAGTGATTTGGGTTTGAGGTGAAAATGATTAAATTTGTTTTACCTGAGGATCAAAATTGATACAGCGACTAAGGTGTAAGCAAGAAGGGTACCGATTGACATCATACCAGCGAGTTCGTCGACGTCAAAAAACACGGCCATGATTCCGGCAAATAGTCCGGATGCTATGGTAGCGGCGAGTGGGGTTTGTGTGGTGGGATGAACGTAGGCCAGAAATTGGAAGATTAATCCATCGGTTGCCATTGAATAAAGGACTCGAGGCATTGGGAACATGGCACCAAGAAGACTGGTTGAAAGGCCGGCAAGAGCACCGATTGTGATGAACCACCAAGCAAAGGAGAGATTGGCTCGTTCAAAGGCGAAAGGAAGTGGCGCTGAAACTGCGAGCTCATAATAAGGAGCCATCAGAGTTTGGATACTGGAAACACCGAAGTAGGCAAAAAATGAGATCAAAAGAGAAGCAACAATTGAGATTGGAATTGATTTCTGAGGATTTTGAGCCTCTTCGCCGGTCGTTGCGATGATATCGAACCCGACGAAAGAGTAGAAACAGGTCGCAGCTCCAGCCATCATTCCCGAAAATCCAAACGGTAGAAATCCACCTTTTCCAGCGGTGGCTGGAAGTTGATCTTTAACCGGGTCGAGAGCCCAATTATGAAAATCGACCTTAAATGCTCCGATAACGATGACGAAAGTCACAATGATAAGATTAATTACGGTGAAAATACTCGTAAATCGAGTTGATTCTCTAACACCAAGAGCCAACAAAACTGATCAAACAATTGAAAAGAAAATTGTAAACATAACAATTAATAAATAGAGCAATCAAATTGGTTGGTTGTTTCTTACATGATAAAAACATTGTAATAGCAAAAGCGAAAAGATCAGGATAACGAGACATGTTTGGAATATCAATCGGCATCCACTGTTCGAAATGTCGAGACATCGTTTTATTAAACAGCGAATCCATGTAACCACTGAATCCACGAGCAACTGATGCAGTTCCTAATTTCCAGGGGAAAAAAAGGAACACAATTACACAACGAAAAGAACGAAAAAGAAAAACCATCTTACCGATTACATATTCAAGAATCATATTCCAACCGATAATGAAAGCGATAAATTCACCAACGGTAACATAACTGTAGATATAAGCTGATCCCGCCTTGGGAACACGAGCACCGAACTCAGCATAGCAAAGACCAGCAAGAATCGAGGCGACGGCAGCGAAAAGAAAGGAAAAAATTACCGCAGGTCCAGCTTCTTTGGACGCGACATCACCGGAGATGACATACAATCCAAGACCAAGAGTACTTCCAACACCTAATCCGATGGACACACAATAATAAGAACAATAAGAAAAAAAGAAAATAAAAACTTTGGCCTAAACGAAAGAGAAACAAAATCGCACTCACCAAGAGCCGTTAAATCAAAGGTCGTTAAGCAGCGATTCAAAACGCTCGACGGAGAATTGGGTTCAATTTGTTTACGTCGTACAAGAGCTTTTCCAAATGATTTGACATTCATCGCAATTCACTTGATGGATTAACAAAAAAAAAGAGATATTCAATTTACCAAATTAACTCTTTGTTCCCTTGTTGTGTTGATACTTTTGTTGATTGCTGAAGAAAAGAGAGAGAGAAGAAAAAAAAAGTGTTGCTAACTAAAAAGATGTTGATAGTTGATTGCTGATCAGAATAAAGTTGATGTTGTTGATGATGATGATGGAGTTGATGTAATCATTTGATGAAGAAAAAAACAACTACAATAATCGCTCAAGGTAGCTTTAGGTAGGAATACCAGGAGAGGCTGAAAGAGAAAAAGAAAATAAAAAAGTGAGTTGAGAATATGATGTTGATGATGATGATGATAAACAGCGTGAGCAAAGGAGATTATGGAAGAGAGTGAGTGAGAAAGAAAAGGAGGGAGGTGATGGCTAATAAGTGAATTCAACGAAATAAGTAATAGTTGTTATGATCATTGGAGAATGGAAAACATTGTGTATAATTATATTGGGCAGAGAGAGAGAGAGAGAGAGAGAGAGAAGGATAAACACATAGAGGTAGAAATATAAACAATTAGAAGGCGATGATGATGATGATGATGATGATGGAGAACAAGATCAAGTCATGACGAGAAAAAGAGATAAAGATTAGTTGGAATGATGGAAAAAGAAGTTTTCAAAAAGGTAAATTTCGTAATCAACACTTTCGTTTCCATGTAAAACTCACCAAGATGTCAAAAGAAACATTAAAAAGCTACACCCACGTTAACTCGCCATCATTTAATTCACATTTAATTGTTGTTCCTTAATAATGATCAACTGAATTATGGTTCATGATGAGAGAGAAACAAGAATGAGACAATTCCAATGAGTCAATGGAAATGAATAATAGTAAAAGTAACATTTGCACTTTTCTTTGGATTAAGTGATTAACGTTAATTTGAACATTTAACGTGAAACTTATTGATTGTTGACAATATTGACAATTTAGAATAAATGTAGAATAGAATTTTTCCTTGTTCGTTTTCTTTTTCAGTAGATTTACTGATATGCTCATGGAAAAGGAAATGAAATGAAATTGAAAATCAAAATGGCGACGATTCGAAGGTATTTCGATTTTTGGTCAATTCTTTTTCTTTTCCTTTACCTTTTTTTTCTGATTAATCTTTTCTCTCTCATTTTCTCTAATTGATCTTCTTTTGTTTCATTGTTTAATCAGTTGGATAACATTAATTAATCCACTTGATTAAAAGTAAATTGTGTTACATTGATTTATCTGCTTTCTATCAACAATATTGGTAAAAGTTAAAATCGATTTCAATTTACTCAAGAGTTTTGGATTAAAATTGTCTGGTTGTCATTTGCAATTTAAATTCAATTGTAAAAAAAAAAGATGAAACAAAAAACCATCTAGATAATCAAACAGGATTAACTATAGAACCGGATAATCATTGTCATCAATATAATTAAATTTAGTTAATCCTGTTCGCATCCAATAAATAACCTTGTCTTCAGAAAACCAGAAAAAAAAACTCTGAAAACCTAACATATGGTAACGATTTTGATACATCTTATTCAATGGGATCGTTAATGAATTTGGATTAAAATTTCAACTGGATTAACGATAATTTGTTCAATAAATTTTCCTTTATTCAATATTGTGACATGATCAACATGCTGTCAACAATTAATTGATTTAATTTGATTCACTTTAAAACCATCAATCTTTTCAATTGAAAGGGAATCATAATCATAATGTTTTCCATTGGTGAGGATAATCAAAACAAACCCTTTAAGGCAAAGGTAATTGTTTTGTTTTCTAGGAACAATTAGAAAATGGAAACTTACATTGTAATTGATGAAGATAATTGTAATCAGTTGATTGTTGTTCAGCTTTGGTGGTTGATTAACATGATCGCTGGGTGAGCATTAATCATGATTCTTGTCTTTGTCTTGTATTTTGATGCCTTCAAGGGTTTCGTTTGATTACCTTTGTTGATGTGAAATTTTGTTCTTACAATTAAAATACAAATTCATTAATTATTATTGAATAATTTTTCCACAATATTGTTATTGTTCATGGAGAAAATAATATAACAAAAAAAAGGTGACAATTGTGATGATCATGATGATAATTTTTTCCTTTCTTTCTCTTTCTCTCACTCTTTGAATTGAGGTTGTTTGATTTAATTGTCGATGATTAGAATGAACCAGAAGAAGATTGGAAACAATGAAATTAAATGTTCGTCTCGAGAAGTTAATATTACATAGAAGAGATAAAGTTAATCACATTTGCTTTTCAATTTTCTTTCGTTAATTAACTTGAAGATCTTAATTACAATTGGAAAAGTTTGTCTTGTTAATTGTTCAATATCTCTATTAATAGCCGGTAGTGTTCATTATTATTTAGGTTAATCACTAGCATCTCATGGGTCTCAGCTTATTGATTAAAACACGTTAAAAACAGTAATCACCAAATGATGATGAGATGATGAGATGATAATTACACAAGAATTGAGTTTGATCAATCAACACATAGACATTTGCAGACATGTAACCATAAATAATCACATTAATTGGTAAAATCTGACAATCAAGATGAATGATCAACAATTAAAATAGAGGTAAAAATCATTGATCATAATGATGTTTACAACGATTATCTTATAAATTGCATCATGATCATTAAGCAATCAATTGATTAATTTTTGTTTCTCATCAATATAAAACTGACCAATTAACTCAACAGGTTTACTACAATCAACAATTTCATGTAATCATAATAATAACAATAAACAATCATTAACGTGACACAACATGATAAACATGAACACTAAATCAACTGACAATTATAAGTAATCAATGAATTATGATAAACAATAATATTAGTTAATTAATTTCAATCAGAATGATCATCAGGTAGATTAAAATTAATTTCTCATCACATTTTAATTGAAAATTAAATGATGATTCCAATGGTTGTGTGAGGATTTGATGGAGATGATGATGATTACGATTCGATGAGAATACAATTAATTTATATTGTCCTGATCAACCCATTGTTCCTGATACACAATTTAGAATAGCAATACTAGACAAATTAAAATTAAATCGCAACAATCAATGATTTACAATCAAATGAAGACATGAGACAAATAATAACAAAGAAAAAGTGATCGATGTTGATATTACATCATTTGTTTACTTTTCCATTACCTTGACAACAACGACGAGTTTACATCAACTCAAGTTAATTGTTGATCTTTTAATCAATTGTGGAGAGATAATTGTCAATAACTATGTTAAATTATTCTTCTGTCACTAATTGTCAATAGAATTTCGATTAGTAAACTTAATTGTTTCTTCTTCAATTATTATTAACCTTTTTCTCTGTTTACCTTTTTGTTTACATTTCTTGTTGTATAGAAAATTTTGTTTACCTATTTGTTGTTCCGAATTAAATTTAATTAATTGGTGGAAAGGTAAAGGGAAAGATTTTTAATTATTAGAGAAAATTAAACTTTAATTGTTTTGCTTTTCAAAATAGAGCAAAAAGAAGAAGAAAGTAGTTAGTGTTGTAATTGTGATTGAAAGAAAATAATGTTCGTTTTTCTTTGTGGGTTCAAATATGAGAAATTGTCATCAAATGATGAAAGGTGACAGGGAGAAGAGTAATTAGTTAATTAAAAACAATAAAAGTGGTTAAACATATATAAGATGCTGCTTAAATTGCAAAAATAAGCATTGTTACAATTAACATTCAACATTAAACATTTATCCTCAGTGAAAAGGGATATGGTGCACTCGTTATTTTAAATTATTCATTTAAAAATTAAAGATATTGAGGATAGAGTGTAATCTTTAGTTTCCTATCAAAATTATTTTTTTTTTTTGGTTGAGATAATTAAACTTTTTCTTTGTTGATAGTTTTAAGTGAAACAAACAGTAAGGGAGAGATAGAGAGAGTGAGAGAAGTAGATTGTTGAGAATTGATGAAGTGAGATGAGAATAGATTAATTGAGATTATGTTTCCTCGTTAAGAAGCCAATCACTGTTACGATTTGATCTCCTCAACTTGGTCCATGTTTTTTTGTTTAATGGTAAACGTGCAGGTCGAAGTTCAAATGCAATCGAATCAGTCGCTGGGGAAGATTGTTTTGATGGTTGACTATCTGTTTTCTCACTAAAAGTATCTTCATTTGATGGTGACATTTTTACCTTTAAACGATTCAATCGATCTTTCCAGTGAGCTTTTAGAATACGATCAATTTTGGCCCGAACAAAATCACAATCTTCTTTAAAATGGTTATCACAGCAATTCATTATCACATTTGTATAATGTTTAATCAATGATGAATTTGAACAAGATGAAGATAAAGAGGATGAAGATGAACATCGAGTAACTGGTCCAATAGCGTCTCTGACTTCATCCCAGTTATCATCATCATCATCGTCATCATGATTAGCATCATTATCATTATCAACATCCCCATGATTATCATCACCATTAACATGTTTATTACGTCTCATTGAATTACCATTTGTATTTTTTTCTTTTTCCCTGGAATCTTTCAGACAGGCCAATTCCTCGGATTTCTTTGATTTTGTAAATGATCTTGTTCTAGACCTTTGTTCACCATTATTAACATTTTTATTTAACTCACATTCATCTTTATGACCATTAATTTTACCATTACCTTTCCCGCCATTTTCATGTTCACCATTTAACCTTTCTTGATCATCTGAAATAGATGAGCGACCATTTGTAGCTTTGCAATTACGTTTCTTTTTTTTACCACGACCAGAATCACCATTTTTAGTCACCTTTCTCTGGTTTTTACCATCAGAAATAGTAGAATTGGACTGTAAAAGTTCAATTAAACCGATAAAAATGAGAAGAAAATACAAAAAAAAAGACATGAAAATACATTGAAAAGAGAAAAAATAAGCATTTGTTATAAATATTCTAAATTAAATCGACCAATCATAAAGAAAAAAAGAACATTCAATACTTACATCAACTGATATTCCATTGCCATTAACATTTTCCACTGGACAATTACCTGAAGAGAAAATAATTGAGCAAATTAAATGTTAATTGAATAGAATGAAAAAGAATAGAAAATTCAATTGTAAATGTTATATAGTCTCTTACTTTGCTTTGGTTTCTCTATTTGATTAGCGCCATTATTGTAGTCATCAAATTTTTCCGGAGGTGTCCAGACCAATCGAACTCTTTGTTGACGTTTATTTCGATTGTTGAAAAGACCTTTACCAGGCCAGAATGACATAGCTACATGTAAACTAATTGACACAAACAAATTTAAGTTAAAAATGAATTAATTAAAATCATTAAAATTAGAATTTAACAAAAAAAGTGAAAGAACAAACAACAACAAAAAAAAGTCGAAAGAGAAAATAGAAAGAGAAAAAAGATTCGATCCGAAAAAAAATATCCGAGAATAGAAATTGATTGAGATCCCGAATTCGGGACCGGAACGAAAATTGCATTTTCTTTTTGGAAAAGTCAAATTTTCTTAATATTTTAATTGATTTTTGTTTTGATTAATTGATTGTGTTTGCAATTGTTTAAGATAATTTTCTCTTTTTCTTTTCATTTTTCATGTATTGTTCAGTTGTTCGTAATCTCATCTTTCTGTTCATTTATTGTCTCAACTTTAGTTAACTAATCTATTGCCATCTATTGGGATTTGGTTCATAGGAAGAAAGAGATTTCAAAAGGTTTGACTTTTTTGGTTTTATTGCTTTTTGTTTGTTTCGCATTTTCTGTTTGTTTTTGGTTAAATAAGATTTTCTAATTATATTTGATTTCATTTTATTACATAAATTAGTTCAAAATGATTAGAGATGGGAAAGAATTACCTCAACAAATATGTCCGACTCCAGGATGTGATGGAATGGGACATATTTCTGGAAGACATGCAACACATAGAAGGTAAGTTTTCTTTTTCTTGAGACTTTTTCTTTTTTAGCTTCTTACTTTTATTCTCATTTATTTCACTCTGGTCTATGTTTTTTTCTCTCTTTCCCTTTTCCTCGATCTTGGTTTTATTTCCTCAATTGTAAACTGTAAACTTGTGTACTTTCTCTCTAGTCTAAGTGGATGTCCTCGTGCTGCTAAATCTCAAGCTCAACATGTCGAACTCAAGTGTCCAACACCGGGTTGTGATGGATCTGGTCACATAACCGGCAAACATTCCTCCCACCGTAGTCTATCGGGGTGTCCGAGAGCAGACAAACCAAAGAAATCTTCCTTGATTAGAAAAGCCATTGTTGAAGAAAAAACTGTAGAGAATGATAAGATAGAAGGAACCATCGAAGAAGAGAACGTTGTGGCGGAAAATGTTCTAGAAGATGAAGAAGAAGAAAGTGCAGAGGAAAATATTGCAGAAAGAGAAAATTTGGAAGTAAAAGCAAATTTGGAAGAACCAAAAGTTGTTCACAATATTCGGTATGTTCTCATCTTTCACCTTTATAGATTTGTATTAATTTCCGATATTCTTTTCTCTCTTTTCCATCACTATTTCTGATGCTATTTACTAATATTTAGTCCAACAATAAGCTCTGACAATTCTGAACAGAACATTGTAAAGAAAGATAATTCCTGGAATCCAATTTTTATTATTTTAATTGCCGCTATTGGCCTATTAATAGCAGTCTCTTTCACGATGACACAAACTGCGAAAAATCCACAAAATGACAGATTAAAACGATGGGAAACATCCTTTTCTGATCTGGTTTCCAGATGTGGATCAGCTTTACCAAATTTAAGCCAAAAAGTGATAAATAAAAGTGTCCGAACGATTCTAGAGAGAACTGTTCCTTCTGAAAAGTACAATAACATCGAACCTGCCGTTATCTTACTCGTTGGATCTAACCAGAACTCTCAAGCAGTTAAATGTCTTTCTCTTGGTTTATCACAATCAATTGCAACAATTTTCGAAGAAGATCAATCGCCAATCATCAATGCTGATAATTTATCTAAACTTGATCTTCATAATGAACTTCATAAAGTATTGGGATCCAAACAGTTACATTCTGTCGTTCTTGATGGAATCGAGCGTCTAGATGGAAATGCCGCTTTGTCTTTACATCCTTTTACCGATCACGACAAAGCTCTTTATCTTGATGTTATCATAGTTTTAACCGCATACACGGACACTCGTATTACTAATACAAGTTTACAAGTACAACAAATTGACCAAATTGCCAACAATCTGCTTGAATTTTCTTGGGGCACAATTTTACCCTCTGAACAAGTCGCTGGATTATTGAGTAGGGTGACATCAAGTGTAGCAATAGTTTCGGACACAAGTGAATAAAAATTTTCTATTTATTTGTCAACTACCTGTTGCTATATGATAACATTTTCACTGCATCATAAATACTTATATTTATATGTATTACCAAGTAATCAAATTTGATCTTAGAATTTGAAAGGAAATTGCTTCTCATTAATTAATTTCTTCCTGTATTTTGTGTCTAAAATCAAACCGATTGTCCTTGAAACCAATTTCTCTTACAAAGTTAGTGATATTTTCATTGGAAATGTTTGAAAATGTCAAATAATATTTGTAAACATAAATGAAAACCAACAAGAAAAGAAACAAATCTAGAAAATTTATTCTTCTAATTGTAAATTGTTTCTATTATGTTACAAATTGAACATTATTTACTTATGTCAAATATTTTTGTCGAATTTGCTTTATACCAGAATCAATAATTTGCCAATTTGATGATCAGATTGATAATTAATTGAATTGTGATGATTAGAAAAGAAAAAAATTCGGTGATTTGTATTTACCGCTTTTCTTTGTTTCTCTCAATGAGCAGCCGTTGACTTCTCATTAAATCACCAATATTGTTTTTCTTAAATTTTAATAGAAAATTGTTCTCTCATTTAATCACAATTAACTTTTTAAATTATGGATATTTTTGTTTCTAAATTACGGTCAACTGTGTCCACCACTGTATCTAATATAAATAATATATTACCAGGTAATCCAGTTACCAGAGATTATGAAATAACAGGACATAAAGCTTCAGGTGGTCCAGGTAAGTGTTTGTTTTTTTCTCGCTGTCATGATGATGATATTTATTTGTTTTTCTTATAATTAAATGTCATTTTTTTCATTTTCATCTTAATTCCAATACAATTTAGGTAAATTCTTCAAAATGTAACATTTTTAGCTAATTTTACTCTGTCATATTCTGGAAACTTTTACTTTTCATTGAGCCTCCTGTAGATTGATGACTAATACAGACAATTTAATGTTTGGTTTTTGTTAACAATTTGATTAGTTTTCCATTATTATATTGTAAATAGATTATCTTGAAAAGATTAACTGATTACCTAAAGTTATAAATGAATTTCCAGTTTCAGATTGTACCTTGAATTGGAAATACTCTATGGTTATTATTTTGTTTACCTTTTTTTCAAAGAAATTTGTGGGTTAATTGTTGTTCTTGATTGTATTTTGTTTTGTTCTATTCTAATTTTAATTTTGTTTTTCTATTCTCAATCTCATTCAGGTTTAACTTGGAAAATTTACTCTGGATTCAAGAAAAGTACCAAAGAAGAGGCATCGATATTTGTATTAGAGAAAAAAGTATTGGACAAATTTAATCGTCGAGATAGAGAATTAACTTTGGACATATTGAGAAAAGGAGTTTCTCAATTAACTAAGATTAGACATCCATCAATTTTAACAGTTCAACATCCATTGGAGGAAAGTCGTGATTCCTTAGCATTTGCCACTGAACCAATTCTCGCCTCTTTAGCCAATCTTTATGGTAGATATGATAACATTGAGACACCAGTTCCACCAGAGATTCGTTCATATGAATTTTTTGAAGTTGAAATCACTTATGGTTTACTTCAACTTTCCGAAGGATTAGCTTTTCTTCATAATGATGCTAAATTATTACATCGGAACATTTCACCTGAAAATATATTCGTTAATCGTAAAGGATCTTGGAAATTGGGTGGATTTGATTTTACTGTTCCACCAATTGATCCAAATGAATTTCCATTGAAATTTCCATTTCTCAATATAACAAATCATCCAGCTGAATATCCAATGCTAGCATTACCCAATCTTGACTATGTGGCACCAGAATATATTACCTGTAATTCACCAGGTACTAGTGATCCTAATCTTATCCTGGGAGCTGATATGTTTTCATTGGGCTGTTTAATTTACTATATTTACAATAAGGGAAAACCACTTCTTCCCACTGCGGGTAATATCAATTCCATGTCATCTTCACGTATTGATCGTTTCTCTCGTCTTCCAAGCGAAACATTTAATTCAATACCCGCTGATTTACAGAGACACATTTCATCACTTCTTTACATTGATCCAACATTACGACCTGATGCTCATCGATTTTGTAAAATTGAACTTTTCGATGATGTTACCGTTAGAACTTTACAATATTTAGATTCTCTCTTTCAATTTGATAACCTTGAAAGGTCGAAATTTTACCGTGGACTACCCGAGATTATGAATAAAATGCCCAAACGGATTAAAGTTGATCGAGTATTTAATTGTTTGGTTAAAGAATTTGTAAACGCTGACATGGTTCCATTTGTAATTCCAAATGTATTTATCATTGCCGAGGAACTTTCTAGTGAAGAATTTATTGAATCAATATTACCCCATTTGGTTCAAGTTTTACAGATGAAGGAACCAATTCAAATACCAATGCTGTTAATGAACAATATGGAATTACTTTTAAATAAATGTAAATCTCACCAGGATTCAATTAAAAGTCACATCTTACCAATGCTTTGCTGTTGCCTGGAAAACAATTCAATTGAAGTACCTGAATTGTGCCTGAAAACCTTACCAACAGTTGCCCACCTCATTGATCAAGCATCGATGAAAAACTCGATAATCCCAAGAATTAAGAAACTATTTAACAGTACAAGCCAATTGTCAACACGAGTTAAATCACTAATCTGTATCGCTAAATTGTTACCCTTTTTACACAAATGGCTAGTCCTTGATGATATTGTACCATTTTTAACAACAATCAATGTCAGAGAGCCGCCGATTATCATGTCAATCGTTGGTATCCTTAAATTAGTCCTTTCTAATGATAAATTAGGATTAACCAAGGAGATCATGGCGACCAAAGTGATTCCATTTTTGATGCCGTTGACAATTGAAAATGGTTTAACTACAAATCAATTTCTTCAAATTGTGACCATAATTCGTGAAATGATTAGTTCAGTTGAAAAAGAGCAAAAAAGTAAACTTGAACAATTGGATAACATGAGATCTCAAAGGGACAGTGCATTAGTTGCTTATACAGCCAAAGAATCATCTTCATCACCTTCGATTAACAATTCATCTAAACCCGAAGGTGAACTTGACTTCTTTACCAAATTAGCGATAACTTCATCATCCGAACAATCTAAAAGGTCAAATCCTGGTTCCATTGAATTATCTTCAGTTTCAAATGAACCAAAAGCAATTGGTTATCATCCGACTACGATTAATTCATCTTCTTCTTCATCATCATTCCCAAGTTGTCTTCCGTTGAATGTTTCAAGCTCATCGTCAGTAAATAAATCAACAATTTCCCCTCTCCCATTAAAACCCAAAGATCTCACCGAAAATTTGATTGATGAAAAAATCCGATCGTCAATGTCTATCAAACCAATGAATAATAAAACAAATGGACCCTCAGCAATTAACAATAATACTGGTCAATGGACTAACAATCAAGGATCATCGTCCAGTTTTAATAATATCATGCCAACAGCATTTACCAGTACTGCTAATGCCTATTCACTATCAACTTATCAACAACAATCAAATCGACATTCCCCCGCATTTCAGAATCAATATTCATCAACTAATCAGCAACAATTACGACCATCTCTTGATACTTCATCACTTGACAATTTAACTATCCCTGGATTGCGACAAAACAATGTTAGTCCTTCATTAAATTCAATGATCAGACAAACACCATTGATTCCGTTTACATCTAATCCAAAACCAACTACTGGCGATTCTAATGGTCAATCAATTAACAAACTATCTGAATCTGATCTTAAAGAGTTTCTAAGCTGAGAGTTAATCAACTAAATTAGATACAAATTATGTTAATTACTTTGAATTAATGATGAGTCCAAATGGATCACAGAAATAAAATGAAATGATGAAATGAAATGAAATCACTTATCATTTCAATCGTTGCAGTGAAACAACAATTCATCAAACAATTAATGACACACAATCATCGCGACTATTAAATTACTCCGACGTTATTAAATCAATCTATTTCTTTGAATCTTAAATCAATAAAATTATTAATCGTTGATTTACTAAATGTTATCGAAATACGAAAAATAAATATATGTAAACAATCAAATGAACAAGATCATTGATTATCTCAATAGGAAGTGAATTTATTAATACCAATTAAATGGTAAATAATTTCTGCAGTATTACTGAATAATTGAGCCAATCAATTAATATCAATTTCTTCTTGTATTTTATGTCTAAAACCCATTTATCATTGAGAATCAATTTCTCATACAAAATTAGTGATATTTTCATTGAAATTTGCAAATAATTATTAAATAATAAACATGAATGTAAACCAACAATCAGAAAAGAAACAAATCTAGAAAATTTATTCAACATTATTAAATTATTACAAATAATTGTGCGAAATTTACTATAATTTGTCAATTTGATGATCAGATTGACAATTTATAATTTATAAAACTGTAATTCGATTTCAGCTAATTTACAATTTCCTTTGTTAAGATAATTCAATTTCTAATGTGTCATCTTTAGTTGATTTTCTAAGCAATTTAGGAGCAGTTAATTTGATCAGAACAGCGCCGATTGGAGCAGTTATTAAAATGGAAAGAATTGCAACCGTTAGAACGAGAATTCCGTTGGAAATGGCCTGTTGGTCACCTTTGGTTCGAGCTAAGTCCAGAGCAACGGGACCGATCGCTGCTTGGACAGTCGCTTTCGGAAGCCAAGCAATAGAAATAAACAGTTTCTCTCTCATGTTGAGAGAGCTTCCGAAGACCGAAATAAACGAGGCCAAAGATCGAAGCACTAAAGAAATGAGAAGACAACAAGTGATTGGAAACAATCTGTCTAATTGTAGTTGATTGAACTTGATCTCAGCTCCAATTAACGAGAAAAGAAAAGGTTCAAAAATCAGCCAAGCAACTTTAAGGCCATTTTCAATTGGTAAATGAAGCTTATGAGGACGCCACCGAATCGCAGCCACGAATGTAAAAACTAAAGCAGCGAGTGGACCGATACCACCGACATCAAGATGATTAGTAATAAATACTGAAGCTAATCCAATGACAATAGTTAATCCAAATCTTTGACTAGTTAATGAAAACTGTTCAAATGAATCATTATCATCTGATTGAATTTTATTATGAGTATCAATGGACTTTAATCGAGGAAGATACCAAAGCAAGAGACCAGCAAGCGAACCGATAATTAGTCCAATTGTCGCTTCTCCAGGACCTTTAACAATATTCCAGAGTAAACTGGACTTTGGATTAACGAAGGCAAAGGAAAGGGCAACATCGAACCCAGTGATCGCTGCAATGTCATCAACTGACGAACTCGCTATTATCAAAGTTGGAATTCCTTGACTTGTACCATAACCTTGTTGTTGAAGGTCAATCATCGCTGGGACAACAACGGCCGGTGAGACCGCACCAATCACAAAGCCAAGTAATAATCCCCATTGCCAAGGGAATCCAATAATCAGATAACTGGTCATCGCAATTGAAACCGTTTCAACAATACAAGGAAAAAAGGCCAATCGGAAACAAACTCCCGATAAACTTTTAATGACTTCGGGTCAAGACCGAGTCCAGCTCGAAGCAGAATAATTGTCAAGGCAATTGAACGCAATGAACTAGATAATTGCGATTGTAGGGTCACAATATTACCTGGAAAATTAGCTAAACCGATACCGGCGATCATCATGCCCAAAAGAGGCGGAAGTCCAAGTGGAAGACACAATTGACCTAAAGCATAAGCCGTTAACCAGATAATTAGCAGAGAGAACAATGGACTCGAAGGTGGCAACGCAATCGAACCACAAACTGACCACAGCAATGACCAAATGAGAACACACAATATAACTCGAATTATCCATTGGCCAAGAAAATTAATCACATTCTCTTTAATTGTTTCCATTGATTTTCCTTCTGAAGAAACATTTTCATCCATATTAGACAAACACGATTAACTAATTACACTTTTCAACTGATTGTTGTTAATTTCTGAGATTAAATCATCACCTAACCCAAACTGTTCATAATTTAATTTCAATCGTTAGTTTGAAAAAAACAATTCATCCAACAATTGGAAACAATTAATGACTCACAATCATTGCGACTATTAAATTACTCCGATGTTATCAAATTAATCTATTCCTTTGAATCTTAAATCAATAACATTATTAATCGTTGATTTACTAATTGTTATCGAATTACGAGAACAAGAATATGTAAACAATCATAAGATCATTTCGATGGATTTTTATCCAATCGAATCGAGTTGACTCAGAACTAAATTTATATTCTGCTCATTTCCGATCTCTAAATTTAATTGTTAACAATCAACAAAAAATTCTGCTAATTATCAAAGTAATACAACTGAATTTGTTCATTTAACTTGTTAACCATTAATCTTCAGCTTGGATAATAATCATTGGATTAAATGATTAAGAGAAAAGTTAATCATCATCAACAAAATTGATCCAGTTAAGTATTTGATTGTTGATTTGATTGAATAAAAAACTTTTATTACTCTTTAAAAATTAATTAAGTCATTTGTTACAATTGTTTTACTATTATTATGTTTTTGTTTCCTCAAGAATTACAATTGACGATAATTATTAAATTTAAGGTTTTTAATGGTTTTGCCAATTTACTAATTGTTTCTTTTTTCTCTCTCAACATCGGAATAGATTATGATTAATCTATTTCGATGTTAATCAGATTTTCTTCACACACATTCACAATACAAGTTTCAATTGGAAAATAATACAATTGATCAATCATAATTTCATGGATCTTGCAATTAAATCATCAGTATTAATAGTATTTACTCATTTAGTCAAAAATATTTCCAATCTCCTGTTGACAAAAATTAACAAGGAGTGTTTCATATAAAGGGAGAGAGAGAGAGAGAGAGAGTGCGGGAGGGAGAGACAATGGTTGATGATCACAGCTCCAACAGCAATTAGTTAATGAGATAAATTGGGTTGTAGACAATTTAAATTCTTGAGCTGAATTAGAGGAGAGACACATAAAAGACGAAGAATACGAGAAAAGATTGTGAATTTTGATTCTTTTGGAGATAAAATATTCTAGAATTAATTTCCTCTCTCTCTCTCTCTCTCCGTCTCGATTTAATGTATATCAGGATACATTTAGTTTCGTTAATTGTTGTTGTTTTTGCCACGTTGTAATCTTAATGATGATTTGTGATGATTGGGTGATGATCAAATAACAATAAGCGATAATGACTCTTTTAGTTTGCTTCTGCCTTTTAGATTTATATTATTTCAAATGTCTTTTTCAATTCTATCATTAATTGCCAATCATTTTTCATTAAATCATCTCGGAAATATTCTTTAACGATATCAATTGATTCTCGAGTTATTTTTGATACCAACAAATCGTTGTAATCAAAGTGTCGTCCATAAAGTTTAGGTGCATCTCCGCCGACGTGTTCAATTTTAATACAAACTTCAGCACCACGACGAGCATTATCAACCTGCTTGTGATTCAATTCGATACTTGTTACTTGGCCTATTTCAAGATTTTCTGTATTGGATTAAGGGGAAAGAGTAAAGATAATGATAAATGAATGAATTAGTTGAAGGTTGTACTTTTTCGCTTCAAGTTAAACTTGAATAATTGTTGTCAATTACCTTTGGTGGGTACAGCTAACGGTACTCCAGGGACTAATAATCCTTCTTCGACAGAAACACCTAAAACGATTGGATCACGAGCATTAAAGATGAACTGAGGAAGAATTCGTAATTTACATGGGAAAACGGCGGTATTTTTGTACTGTTCTTTTCTCTTTTTCTTTAAATCATCTCGATAGGCAGTGAATTTATCAAATAAATGGTAAATAATTTCTGCAGTAAATATTTTTACACCTAATTGGTCAGCCAATTCTTGAGCATCTCTTTCAACTTTAACATCAAAGGCTAAAATCACAGCATAATCTGGAGCAATTTCCAACATGACGGAAGCTTTCATAACATCTTTTTTAACAACAGGTCCAATTCTTACACCCGAATAGGGAATCTTTGAGTCTTTCAAAAATTGTAAAAGAGCTTCTAATGAACCTAAAGTTGATGCTTGGACGTAAACGCCTTTATCGACACATTTAATGGACCTCATGGCTTCACCGAAACGTTTCCAGGTTAATTCCTTTAATTCAGCCAATTCTTTATCATTCTTGGCTACATGTAATTCTAAACCGGCAATTGTTTTATCCAAATCATGTCCAGTTAACTTAATACCCATTGAGCCGTAAACTTGTTTCAATTCTTGGAACGGACATTTAACCCGTAACTCTCTTAATGGTTGTGGGACTAAAATTGATCTGATTGTTGTTTCAAAGGGTCCCTCATGTCCAGCCATGACAACTCGATCTCCTTCACAAAGTTTACCATTGACAAGAACAACATCAATGGTTGTACCTAAACCAGGCAAAGCTTTTACCTCTAAAACGGTTGCTTGAAGTCGATTTGGGTCAAATTGAAGTCGCTTTTTTAACCGCTCTTGGCAATAGCTCACAATTAGATTGATTAGATTACCCATTCCATCACCAGTATGAGCCGATGTTGGAACCATGGAGACATAAGTCTTTGGATCGGGATTATTATAGTACAAAGCAGCGTTTAATTCATTCTCATTCATTGCAAGAATAACATCTTTAGTTGTTCGTTGTTCAAATTCAGATTTAGTGTGAGAACTTTGTGATTTAATCAATTCTTCAACATCCTTCCTTGGATTACTTTTCCATCCATAGAGACGATCAATTTTGTTTAGAGCAATAATGAAGGGAGTCTTACGAGATTTTAGAAGATTAATTGATTCAATTGTTTGGGCTTCCAATCCGTGCATAATATCAACAACCAGAATCGCTATGTCACATAATGAACTACCACGAGAACGTAAATTGGTAAAGGATTCGTGACCTGGTGTATCAATGATTAAAAGTCCAGGTAATTTAAGCTCACTAACATCTTTCACTATTTTACATTGGTCATTAATGGCTGAAGGAGGTACAAAAGTAGCACCAATTTGTTGGGTAATACCACCGGCTTCATTATCTTGAACATGAGTTTTCCTAATGTAGTCCAAAATTTTTGTCTTTCCAGTGTCTACGTGGCCTAAAACACAAATAACTGGAGATCGTAATGTTGGTGGCTGGTCAATTAATTTTTCTTGTTCACTTGGTGAAGTTACAGTTGAATCGGTTTTGTTGTTTGAATGGTTATTTGTATCAACTTTATTTTCCATAGGTTTCAATGGTTCCTTAGTTGTTTTGTCATTTTCTTGACTTCCTTTTTTGGCTTTTTTATCAGTATCTTTGTCCTCGGTTAAATCTTCCCAGTTTTCAATCTCCTCGTCACTAGATTCTACACTGATGACACTTTCTGGATCTCCTTCCGGAGTCTCATCGATTTTATCCTTTTCTTTATCCTCTCCATTGGTCGTAGTTTGACCAGTAACACCCGCAGCCGCTCTTTGCTCGGCTCTTTTCTTTCTATAAGCTCGATCTTTATCCACCTTACCACCGCCAACTTCTTTACCGACAATGATCGCTCCTTGTTGTTGCATCGCTTCAAGAGATGCTAATGCTCTTTGGCGATCTTTCTTTTGTTTATCGGTTAACAATTTACCTTCTTTCTTTAACCTTTCTTTCCTTTCCTTCTCTTTTTGTTTCTTTCTCTCCTTCTTTTCCTTTTCTTTCCTCAATTTTTCAAGTCGTTCATTTTCAGCTTCTTCTTCTCGACGAATCCTTTCTTCTTCTTCTTTTTTCAATCTTTCCTCTTCTTCTTGCTTTGCTTTAAGTTGCTCTTTAATAAGAGCTAACGCTTTCGCACCCGGACCTGCTTTCTTAGCGGCGGCCGAAGCTGGGGCACCGCCAGGTTTCTTTCCGTCATCTTTCTTGGTTTCGGCTGCTTTTTCCTTCTTTTTAGCCTTTTTCTTAGCATCTTTTTCTTTTTGTTTTCGTTTTCTTTCCTCCTCAGCAGCATCTAGACCAGCCTAAGATCGAAAATAGAACAAAAAAGAAACAAAAATTAGAACAGAATTAGAAAACAAGACAAAAAAGAGAGATGAAACAAAGAGAGAGAATAAAATGATCATAGAAAAACGATTAGACTCAATTGTAAGCCAAGAGACGATTAAAATGAAAATAAAAGTGAAAGATGAAAGGTAAAGAAAAGGAGTGATGCTGCTAATAAAGACTATGATTATATAATGAGTTAAATATTGATGACGACAGAAAAACAAATCATCAAAAAAGTCAAAAAGGAAATGAATCCCTTTGTAATTTACTTACTGCAGTTCCAGTTACCGGTTTCTCTTCTGGTTCTACCTCCATGTTGGATGAACTTCTATGGATAATATCACTTTAAACACCAAAAGAATTACAAATGGAAAACAAAATAATTGAACAAATAAATTGAAATAAGAATCAAATGAAAACTAAATTAAGATCAACTCGGAACAACATGGCAACAACAGTAACACATTTTCACTTTAAGCTGATCTTTCTTTCGGCTCACGATTGAAGATTTAGAGCGAAATTTTATCAATCCAATTAATTAATCAACCAATCCAATAATCTGAGCTTTTCGACACTTGTTGAGCTTTACAGTGCAAATTAGTCCGCATTTAACGACAATTTACAAGCAAATCAGTGAGAGATTGTGATGTTTACTTGTCAATCTTAAGCCGAAATGTTGAGCTGAATTGTGGTTTCATCTCTCAGCCACAAGTTCTTTTAACTTGAAGATCAACCACCAGATGGAACAGTTGGTCAGCTGTTTGGATTTTAATTCTTTTTTTTTCCTAACAATTGTTTGTTTATCTCGGTTAATTTTGTGTTTATTTATTAATTGTCGTTATGATTGGTCGACTTTTTGTCGGTTTTGTGGCCGGAGTTTATTTCGGTGTTTATCTTGATCAAAATTATTCTGTTCCCAAAGTTGATGAGCCTCGGGAGCTTTGGACAAAAGTGCAAGAGTTTATGGACCAATACAGAAAAAAGAAAGACTAGTTCTGGTTATTTTCTATTAATAATTCCAATTCTTTTAGTGTTTAAAGTGATATTGCCCATTTGAATTTCATTTACCATGGAGGTAGAACCAGAAGAGAAAACGGTAACTGGAAATCGGAAGACAAACAAGAGAGAGAGAAAGAGAGAAAGAGAGAAATTGTTCTCTTCTAAAAATAAAGGTAAACCGTTTTTTCACCATCACAAGAATAAACTGGTTTTGTTTATAAATTTCAATTTTCTTCTCATTTGTTACCACGTTACGACGTTTAAATGTAATAATAATTTAACGTGCTAGTGTTTAACTTTGATAACCTCGATATGAGAATGATGATGAAAAGAAAGAGAAGATAAAGTAGGTAAAGTAAGAAGAAGATGAAAAAAGATGAAAAATAAATTCGAAGTTAAAATTCATATACAAACCAGTTTATTCTTGTGATGGTGAAAAAACGGTTTACCGTTATTTTTAGAAGAGAACAATCTTTCTCTCTCTCTCTTTCTCTTCCCTCATCTCTTCATTTTCCTCTTTTTCTTACCCCCCAGATAAAAAATAATCATCGCTCACTTTTTGGTAAAATATTCGCTTAATTTAAAAACTTTGGATTCCCTTTGATCTTATCCAGTTGATTATCAATTTTCGTGATCATCTCAATCATATTTTGATTGCGATCATCATTGATCATCATCATCGTCAGCTAATCAAAAAATCACTTTGATCTTAACCTTTACCAACAATCAAATAATTGTGACCATTTTTGTTATCATCATGATAATCAGTAAATTAAATTGATTCCTTACCGATGATTACATATCAATTTATTATTATTCTTGTACTTTTGATTGCTGCTAATTCTGCTTCTCATATGTTTGGATTAAAAATATTTTAGTTATTTAGTTGAAATGTTTTCCAATTGTTTGGTCAATCAATAATAATTGTGACAATTTATTTCACGAAAAAATTGTGATCAACAAGTTGGGATTAACTAATTGTTGAAATACGGAAATTAGTTTACCCAGTAATCATTAATTATACAATGAAAACTAATGAACCAATGATTACAAGTAATTTACAAATTGATAGGAAACATTAGTCAACTATTTTTGAAACAATTTAACTAATTGTTGTAAAAATTTTCTATTCTAAAGTTAAATCATAAAATAAGTAATCGTTAATTGTCAATATCTGATGATAATATAAATTTGTAACTATTCAACAATCAATATATTAAATTACCGGACAAATTGACCTAAAATTGTCCAAATAATCAAATAATAATGATTAGTATCAAAATAAATTACAAGTTTGTTTTCACTATTTAAATTTAAATTGTTCACTAATCATTTCCAATTAATATCATCAAAATTTTTGGTGTTTATTTTTGATTTTTATATATTCACGATTTAATGATGTTAATCATTATGATTGAGAAAATCTTGCTAATCATAATAATCAAATCAACTCCTTCCGTTTAATTATTTCATCAACACTTGTGATTAAATCATTTGAATAGTAATCAACGATTAACACTAAATCACCTTCTTCCGTAAAATACTGTGATTAACTAATAATTGGAACTTTAAATTGTCACCTAATTTTTGCTCATCATCAAAGGTTAATCAAAATTTCGTCAGCGTCACAATTAAGCCTTAGGATTAACGGAAGCAACAAATAAGTTAATCAAGTTAATTAACGATAATCAGAAATTCAAATTTCTGTTTAATCTCAAATGTAACAAAAACAAAACATGAAACAAAATGATCACAATTACTTTTTGTCACAATTGATTTAGATATTAACCAATTGTTAATCTCTTTCACTACCTGTTAATCAGTTAAATCGTAGCAATTAAACTTTTCCCTGGGGAAAATTCAACTCAATCGTATAACAAAATGTTAATTGTTAAGGAGTAAAAGTTGATCAGTCACTTTAATAACTGTATTAGCATTATCAGGATGTATTACATTCAATTAACATGATTAATACGTTAATTAGTATCACAATTAACAATATTTACCATTTTCCATAAAATATCAAATCTAAATAAACAATTGAATGATGATCAATAAATTTAATCAGCTGATCAACAAACAAACAATTAATAATAATGATGGTCAACAACGTCCATCATAATCTTACCTTGATCCAAAGGAGGTGCAAATGATTAACAGTAAGTCTTAATTGTGTTACAATTTATTATTATTAACTTTAATATTTTACTCTCTTAATGATATTGTTAATTTATTAATAATAATATTGATTGCAATCAGAATTTAGCTAAATTGTTGTAGACTAGTTTTCGTCGCCGTTTTTTTCTCAGCCTCATTTCTTATACTCTTTCCCCTCGAGGAGGCTTCACCTTTCGCTCTCTCCCGCTCTCTCTCTCTCTCTCTCGTTCTCTCTCTCCCTCCCTTTCTATCATCATCCTCACTATTATCATCTTACCTCCTCCTCATCATTCTCATCACACTTTCATCTTCTTTCCTCTCGTGATAACTTCCAATTCATATTCTGCTCTCTTTCTCTTCCATTAACCTTTTTTTCGGTTACCAAAAACACTCTTACCTTCAATTTACCTTTTTTTCTAATACGATCAGTTGATCATTTTCATTAATCATTAGAGTTTAATTGTTATGGACAAACTAACTGATTAAGATTCGTAAAATTTTTTAATAATGATAAACAAAAGATGATAAAGTTGATTAAATATCAATCGTATGATGAATCTTTGATTTGATCTTAGTTATGGATCAATGATTGATTCAATTTCCATCAATTAACCAATCCTTTTTTATTTTATTAATTAATTGTTTTCTCTAATTTTATTCTCTCTCTCTCTCTCTCTCTCCTTTTAATTTTCTTATTGGTCATCCAATTAACCATGAAAAGTAGACTCAAGGAGATTAAATCATTTGAAGATAATCAAATCAATTGGAATCGTCCTGATGATCAGTTGAAATCTTCAAATGTAAGTTCAATTTGTTTTAATAGTCTTTCTGATCATCCCAATCCTAGTGACAATTTATTAATTAGTTCACATACAAAGTGGTTTAAAAAATCATCCTACAAATTAAATGGAAATATAAAAAGTGATCCAATTAAATTACCAATCATGATGATTACGTTAATTGTTTTGTGCCTTGCAATTGTGTCCAATGGTCAAAGGACCGATTGGTTAAATCCATTGTTTTCCTATTCATCATCTTCACCTTTAAACTTGCCAATATCATCATCATCTTCATTACATACAATTCAAAGGAGAAGCTCATCTTATCCTTCATTATCTTCACCTTTCTCTCCCTCATCATCATCATCATCATCTTCATCTCCATCAACTGGATTAAAATCACTATTCTCATCTTTAATACCAAGCTCATTAATTCCTAGAGCTCTTGGTGGCAATAATGGTGGCGGTGGTGGTGGTAATCGAGGTTCATGGAGAAATTATTTTCCCTCTTCGATTTTATCATCTTCATCCTCTGATCAATCAAATCCTTTCGTTAATTCATTAGGATCTTCCTTGTCATCATCAGAATCATCATCAATCCCAGCATTCGCTTATACACCTTATACGGTTGAAGAATCAGTTCCAGCACCAATATCGTTTGATTCATTTTCCTCTTCATCATCTTCATCCTCAACAGGTTCTATGCCAAATCAATATGTTCCTTCAACAATTAACAGTAATCTTAATTTCGGTAATAATAAAGGATTTCTGTCAACTGGTTCATCAACAATTAACATGAACAGTGCCTTCCAACCAATGTCATCGACTAACAATTTTGTCGCAGTTAAACCAAGTCAAACTTATTCATCAGCTGAATCTTACCCTTCGGTTGGCTATGCATCAACCTCATCGGGATCTAATTTAGTACCAAAGGTCAGTTATCCGTCGTCAATGACCGTACGATCACCTTCAATGGTATCTCCTGGTAAACGAAGTAAATCTCAACAATCAGAGGCTTCTGAACAATCATCGGGACCTACAATTAGTATTGGAGGTGCACCGGGTGGTGGGACAGCAATTAGATTCGGTAAGGCACAGATCACCTTTAAAAAAGGTCAAATAAGTGTCGGTCCAGCGGCTAATGGACAATCAAGTAAACCGATCAAGAAAAAATCAACTTACTCATCAGCACCGATCGCTGGTGGTTTACCTTCAGCAAGTTCAAATCGAGGTATTTCACTTGATTTAGGTAAGTTTAATTGTAGTAATTAACTAAATTTCAGATAATCCAGAGTTTCAGATTCAACAATCAACCTATTCGATTAATGTTGATCATGTTGATTAAAAACTTTCATAATCAACTTTAAATCTTTCACTTGTTTGTTTGTTTGACTTGTTGATTTAATATCCTTCCTCTAAATTGAAATGGAAAGTTAATTAACATTTATATATAATTGTAATTACAGTTTAATCATATTCTTTAGATATTTAATTTGTTTATTTATGGAAAAATTTTCAAAGGTAAAAACTTTGATTAGCTTGATTGTTTCAAGTAAATTGAAAACAATCAAAAAGAAAAAGAAAACGATTACTTCTCAATCAAGTTAACAATTTATCTTATAATTGATTCAAAGTCAGTTTGATTAAGAGCATTAATTAAATTGTGATTATATCTAAATAAACTAATCGTTAAATCAGCAAACTAATCAGACAAATTATATTAAAGGTTGAGGTTATATTTATATTTATAAAAATTGAGAACTGTAAGTTTATATACTTCAGACATGATAACGATTATGATGAAGATGAAGATGAGGATGAAGATGAGGATGAGGATGAGGATGAGAGTGAAATCTTTATATTAATAGTATCCTCGAGTTATTATGTATACGGTGGACCAGTTTTACCTTAACTCTCACCTTTCCTCCTCTTCATACCTTTAAGCAGTTGCTCGTGTTGATCAACATTCAGATCATCAATATTGTCAACATTTGCTTTTTAATCATTTAGGTTAATTGTCCAAACCTCTTATCAAGTTTTGTATCATTTATATTGTTTCATCCTCATCATAATCGATCAATTTTGATTAACTTAATCATCAGTAAATTGTTTGAATGTTTCATCCTTTTTTGTTATTATTTCAAAGATTCATTCACTAAATTAGATTGAGCAGATGATCACTTTTTGATTGTCAACCTTTCATTTAATTATTTCGTTGATTACCCAATCCTTTTGTTATATTGTTATGATTAAAGTTTTTATACACAATTGAATAGTCTCTAATTAAGAAAAGTAAACAATTATCATGATGATGACCAATTAAAATTAATTAATTAGTGTTTACAATTCATTGTCACTCAAATTAACTTTTCAATTGGGAAAGAGTGTTAACAAATTAAGTTTAATTGTGAGTAGATTAAATCACCCAGCAGGTTGATACTTTGATTGTTCAATGGATTAAGATGGGATTATGATTATGATGAATTACCTGTAATCCCAAAAATATAAACAATCAATAATCTGGAAACAAAGAATCAAATTAAATGATAACAATAATGATTCAATAGTTGGATAAATTGCTGATGATTAACCTGTTGATTAAATTTTCTGATTGTAAATCATGAAATCGACGATAATGATTAGTTTCATGAGAATATAACATTTTCAGTAATCACCTGAATAGAAAAATAATCAACTATTATTAAATTAACTCGAAAGTAAAAAATTAATTGTTGTTTCCTTTTCCATATTAGACTTGTCATCTTCATCTTAATTTAAATACCAAATTATTTACTAATTAGAATGAAATTGTGAGTCCAGCAATCAGCTAATTGTCATTAACAATATAACAATAGATTAACTAACAAACTCAAAATCCATTTGAATCTAATCTCAATCTAAAAGCATCTTCAGGTTGATCTAATTTTAGTTAATTGTTACAATCGTTATCTTTAATCATCTTCTTTTTTTCCTTGTGACAATGTTAATTACCTTAGACTTGACAACAATTTACACTAATTACATTCTAACAGACTGATAATCATCAACAATTAACTGTAAATCATTCTCATTGCCTTTCATTGTGGTTTATTAAGTTATCCATTTTTAAGTATCAAAGGTAAAAATCTAAGGTCAATCACTTTTAATCACTTCCAACAATCAGCTGATTAGTTTTCTTTATGAAAATCTATTTACTACTTTTTCTCTCTTCCATTTTAAAATTAGTTAATCATAATTGTAATAATAGATTAGGAATTACCACTAATCAGTTGATGAGGTTTCCTGTAGGATGAGGATGAAGATGAGGATGTTAACGGTCATCACTTTGTCACCCGAACAATTTATATAAACAGTTACATCCTCATCCTTTTTTTTTAGGATAAAAAAATCATAATAATTTGCATCATCATCGTAACAATCATCAAATTGCTGTTTTTTACTTCTACTGATTAAGTTAATTGTGTTTATTAAACTGACCTCATCCTGTTGTTTAAAGGTTGGAGTTGTTTAAGAATCAAAGTTTTAATGATGATGAATATTAATTGCTTCTTAATGAATGAATTTTACTTTCATCAGAAAAAGTTGATTACTTTATTATTAACATCTAATTGTTTAATCACCAATGTTTTATTGTTACTTGATTGTCATTTTAATTAGGATGCAAACTTAATCTGCTGGCTAATAGGAGAGATTGAGATTACCTCTAATAAGCTTAACTGTTGTTAAATTACTAAAAAAAGCATTTAAATTGTTACTATTATGATAGATCATCAAATAAATGAAAGCTCAACATCATCTTACCTTTTTTTAAATCATCAACTTAAATTTGCATATGATTAAGGAGACAATTTAACAGTTACAAGTGGCAATGATCAAAAAACAACAACAACAAGATACAATTAACTGATTATTATAAACGATTAACTTTTCTTACTCTTTAAATTGTGACAATTAACCTGTCTGCAATCAAAGGGTAGACATTGTTAATTGACCTTTGATAATGGAGATGGACATTGAGAGTATTGGATTAGTTTTCTAAAAAAAAAGTAATTAAGCAAAATAATTTAGAAAGAGAAAAGAATATAAAAAAAATTCCTGATTATTACAACAATTAGTTAACTATTATGACGAAATATGTGTTTGTTTTAATCTAATTGTTCAAAATCAAAAGTGAAAATCAATTGTAATCATAACAATCAACACACAATTAAAGATCCAATTGTGACATGATGAAAGCTTTTCTTAATATCGTTTATTATTATTTTTTTTCGTACTTTTTAACTAATCAAATTAAATGAATTAAACTTTTTTTCTGGCTCATTGAGCAATTAAACAACAATCAACAATTTAAAGCTCAATTGATTTCGCTATTGATATTGTCAAATCATCAGCTCATTGTCAAGTTCCTAATCATCATGATTAGAACAAAACTTTTTTTTTCTCAATTAACTTTTTTCGAGTTTTTTTTTCTGGTCACTATTATTGGATTGTTAATTGTTAATTATAATTACTTACAATTAACTCTTTAATCATCGTGCTTTTGTCTTACCAAATTGATTAGTGTGGGCATAAATTGTGAATGAAAAGGTAAAAAACAACAATTACAATTAACGTTGACCAGAAACAATTAAATTCATTTGGATGTTTTTTTCCTTCCCATCTCATCACATTTAATTGTTACGAGTTATTTTTATAATTAAATTTAATTCTTGATTAAACTTGATGATTAAATCTGTTGATTTACTATCAGTATTATCATATAAGGTCAGAAAAAGATGAAGAAAAAAAAATTTAGAAATTAATTTAATCCAGTTTATCAATTGATTATAATTTATTAGTTTCTTTTGATTTAAGTTTTTCGGGTTAAAGTTTTGTTGTTGTTGTTGTAAATTTATATCAATTAATTGTTTACAATATAATCAGATTAAATTGTTGTCTATTAATACTGAAAATTAGTCTAATGTGTTATATTTTAATACACTTAATTGTCAAGAATTAATAGATTAATCATTTTTCAATGAAAGACATTTGATTGACTTAAACTGATCAATAAAATAATTACAACGTGATTAATATTGACCTGATTAAATTGTGATGATTAGTAAATGATGATGATGATTAACAAACTGCATTCAAATGAGAAACATATTGATCAAAATTGTAATCAAATCAATTTTCAATGAAAATCCCAATGATTGACATGAAAATGGAAACAAGTTGATATCAGATTTGAAATAATCGGAACAATTAGTTAATTATAAACTTTAATTTCTCTCCTCTTTTCAAAGCATCATTTTCCTTGCAATCAAATGATTGACAAAAGCTTTAATTGTAATCTAATTTAATTCTGATTCCCCTTATAACAGGACGAGGATCCTCAGGTCGAGGTGTGTCAATCAGCTTCGGAGGCGGAGGTGGCGGTGGGTCATCACCTTCAGGGAGATCGAGAGGTCAATGTAAGTATTGGTCATCGAATTGATTAATCATCATTTCAATAAGAATATTAAAAAAAAAATGAGATTTACAATTAGAATGGAAATGATTAGTGATCAATCTTAAATCAATTTCTAATAACTAATCATGATTTAAATGGTTGAGAAACTTGGATTACATTTGATTGACCGAGTAACCAAAATAGTTTAGTGAGACTAACAAATTAATAGCCTGAGGGTTAATTTTACTTTTTATCAGCTAACAAACTTGATAATAATAATGTAATCAAGTATTTCCTTTCAATTCAAAGTAAATTAACACGATTAAAACAAATTGTGATCCAATTGAATCAACACAATCAACGATTAATGGTTGACGATTAACGATATGATGATGATGACTCTAAGATTTAATCAACTTTAAGGAAGTTAGTAAATTGTTTGTCCAACAATCTAATTGATGCAAAATAATTTAATCATATTTCTAATCACAATCAGTATTAAGGCTCTTCCTGGTTAATGTTTTAATTCATTGTGATTAAATTGTGTTGATTATCATTACAACTAATCAACAATCAATCAGACATAATGTGTGAGTGTATTGAATTATGATTAAAAATCAATGTTTGTTATTTCAATCAATGAACCAAATTAACTGTTATCTTTGTTGGTTAACAACAATTAAGGTTTCTTTACCCTTAACCTAAATGTTTACCAATTTGATTGTTGGTTGATTGTTGTGTAGTTTAAATAATTGATAACAAAAGGTTAACATGATGATCATTTAAATGGAGGAAGAACAATTAATTGTGATTGAAAATTAATTTCCAACTTAATTGTATTCTCAATATTCACATATATCATTTCAATTGATTGTTATCATTGTTGTTGATTGTTGTTGATTGTAAAAAAAAAAGTTATTAAAATATATCAACACGAAATCTTGAAACTTTTTTTTTCTTGATTGTTGTTACTAAATTATTAGTGTAACGAAATCAACTAAAACTTTATTAGCTTTTTCCCCTTCAGCTGATTCGATATGATCATTCAACTGAATTAAATATATCATCATGTTGATTATCATAATAATTACCAATTATGATTAAGAAGCTTATTCATTCATTTCTCATTATCATCTTTTTTTTCACAATTTATATGATTGTTCAACGAGTAATTGTTATCCAACCGATGATTGGATTGTAAATCGATTGATTTAGTCTTCTTAAATTAGTTAAATCAGCTTTGATTGTGTAAACAATTAGGTTACTTGGTTAAATTTGGATTTTCTTGATTAGTCGGGTAAATGGATTATGATGTTTTTACCTTTGATTAAGTTGATTTAAGATTAGTGATTTATGAGATTGTCGAGAGTATTAATTAATTTGTTTTTCCTCTTTTCTTTTAACAATCAGCTGCTGCTTCTGCTAATCATCATGATGAAGATAAAGCAGGAAGTGAAGGGCCAGGAATCTCATTCGGCGGTGGATCAGGTATTCGACTTCCATCAATCAGCTTTGGTAATGGTGGGTTAACCATCGGCGGAGGAGGTGGAGGGGGACAAGATGATTACGCTGATGGTTCGGGTAAAACAGCCGCCGAATCATCTTATCCCAGTTACCATGGAAGTGGATACGGTAAATCGTACTACAAGCCACCTCCTCGACCCCGAATAAAGCTCAAGTTGCCGCATTTCCCCAAGACTTACATTGAATCGAACCTTAAATTACCTCCTCTCAAGGTGAAACTTCATGCAGCTCCGAGAGTAAAAATCACCACTGGAACCAAAGATCCGCTTGAGCCAAAACCAGTTGAAGAAGATCATAACATGAGTGATATTTTCCTTCCACCTGAACCTTTTCCCAAAAAGACCAACGGATCGGAAGAGGATAAAAATAAAGATAAAGTTCCCATTGAACCACCGCCACCTTCTCCACACTCTCCTGGTCCATATCCATATCCACCACATCCTCATCATCCTTATCCTCCTCCTCCACCACCTTATCCAGGACATGGACCATATCCACCTCCACCATCAGGTCCTCATGGTTCACCCAATCCATATTATCCTCCACCACCAATACCAGGAAGTCATCCAGTTCCTCCTCCTGGACATGGTAATGGTCATCCAGTTCCACCTCCACCCTCATATCATCAATCATACAACAATTATGAGACTGAAAAATATGCAAATAATTATCAATATTCATCAGGATCAAGTTACAAATCATCAAGTGGTGATAGTTACTCAGCACCATACAAAGCAGCCGCTTCAGGTTATTCACAGCATTTCAGCCCATTAATAATAACGGTAAATGGTCTGGTCCACCGGAGGGAAGTCCCCATTCAACAAACAGGGTCACTCTCGCAGCAAATGGTGCAAGTTACCCAGTTGGAGGTAATGGTCAAGAGATTGCACCAAGTGGAAGATCATATACAGGATATGGTCCACCCCATCAACCACCACCACCACCACCATCACCTCCTTCTGTTCCTTATCAACCTCATCATGTGCCTTATCCTCCTCCACCTCCTGGACCACCCGGACCGGGATATTCTGGTCATCCATCACCAGGATACGAAAGTAAACCCAAATACGGGGGCAGTTACCCGAAAGAAGTTTTCGGTAAAAAGATCGTCAAATATAATCGAGCCACAAATGATAAACCTCAGCTCATTTTGGACATTCGTCCAAGGATAAGTCTACACAGTGTCAACGCAACTCACCCCGAAAAGAAGCACAAACACAAAGATCCATTCTTCAAGCTTAAACTCAACCCAGTTTGGCTCAATCGAACTGAATCTTATGGCTATGGGTCAGGAGATAATAGTGGTTATGGTGGTGCTTATGGTCAAACATATCCAACATCAACCACTTCGACAACACCAGCACCCGGAAGAACCGAAAGAGCCACAGTGACCACAGAATCAAGTCGAACGACATCAGTAACAGATGATTACGATTATCAAGATTCGACCACCGAGAAGAGTAAAAAGGAAGATAAAAAAGATGCGGATGAAAGTGATTACGATTATGGTGACGATAAAAAGAGCGACAAGGATAAAGACAAGGAGAAGGAGAAAGAAAAAGAAAAGGAAAAGGAAAAGAAGAAGGAAGATAAAAAAGATGGAGATGATTACGATTATGATGGTGATGAGAAGAAAAAGGATAATGACAAAAAGGAGAAGGAAAAAGAGAAGGATAAAAAAGAAGATAAAAAAGAAAAAGAAATCAAAAAGGATGGAGATGATTACGATTATGATGATAAGGAGAAGGAAAAGGAAAAGGAAAAGGAGAAAAAGAAAGATGAAGATGAGAAGAAAAAGAAAGAGAAAAAAGATGAAATCGAAGATGACAAAGAGAAGAAACCAAACAAGGAAGACAAAAAGGACAAGAAAGATGATGAAGATTTTTCATATGATGATTACGATGAAAACGGTAAAGGTAACGGTAAAAAGAAGGAGAGTAAAGACAAATCAAAGGATAAAAAGAAAGATGATGAAGATGACAAGGAAAAGAAAATGGAGAAGAAAAAGAAATCAGATGATTACGATTATGGGGACGAAGAATCAGGAAAATCGAATAAAAAAAGCGAAATGAAACCAACATCAGATGAGAAGAAAAAAGAATCGACCTCAACGACGACCAGTAAACCAGCGGGGAAAAAGGAAGATGATTACGATTACCAGGAAGAGAAGACAAAAGAAATGTCCGAAAAGAAAACGAAAAGAGATGAAACTGGTCAAGCAGTGAAAGCGAAAAAGTTGTACATCGATGATTATTCGTACTCACCAGGTTATCAGAATGGTTATTCTCAGGTGAGTAACGGTAAAAAAGAGGAGGACAAGAAAGAAGAGGATAAAAAGAAAGACGAAGATGTTAAGAAAGAGGATAACGTTGACTACGATAGTGGGTCATCGTCGGCGGTCACTCCTTCACCTTCAACAAGCTCAACTAAACGGGAAGATAATGAAGACTATGAGAATGACGATCTGGAAGGAGCCAAAACAATCAGGGGAACCGATGATTCAGTCAACAAGCAGGGTGATGAAGATGATGGTGGTAACAATGAGGAAGATAATTTAACTGATAGTGAAGGCGATGGGGGAATTATTAATGAAGAGATTGATGGAGATAAATTGACAACAATTAAGAAATCAGTTGGCAACGATGTCAAGATAACCACCATGACCGATAGTTTGGCCTCCGTCCAGGCCAAAATTGAACAGATGAAGCGGATGACCAATACAACGGGAACCGCTGAAGATGTTCCCATAATTGTTGTTCTGCTTCCTCCCGATTCTGAGGAATCATCAACTCCATTAACTGCTACAATTAAGAAACAATCAAGAAAAAGTAAATCAAACAAAAGTAAATCTGATTAAACAAAAAGTTCAACAAATCAAAAAGATTCATCATCATGATGATCATTTACTTTTCCAATATAAAGTTTCCAATTAATCTATTTTTTTTTAATTCTTTATTAATTCACTTGAATTTTTGTTCCCCTTTGTTAACAATCAATTGATTTGTAACAATTAATCAATTACTTTTCTCATCTCATCATAAAAACCTGTAAATTTCATCACTTTTCATCATTCTGACAATCAGAATAATCAATTTACTTTCAATTGAAAGATATTCATATTCATCCAATTATTAATTGCTAATTAACTGTTATTCTAGAATTGATAATTTAAGTTTTCATTATTAATTCGGTTTTTTTACTTCTCTTGATTGTGATTCTTAAATTAAAAAGTTAATTGTCAATCGAATCAAATGTTTTTGTTTCAAATTTTCTTTGATTTAATTATTTTCTTATTGGTAAAAGAAACAAAAGTTAATCAAGAGAATTAGGATTTTATATTGTTAATTTAATCTCTCTTAATTGTTATATCTTCTCAAATAAAACTAAATGTAAATTGTTAATTACTTTGTATCACTTATTCAGATATTCGAGTCCTTGATTGTTACAATTAATTGTTATTTACAAGAAGCATTAGACAAGTCGAGTTGTTTATTAATGTATCAAGTTAATCGTTGGAAATCTGGTTGATTGTTAATCCTTTTGGAGAGTAATTAATTTAATCTCATTGTAATTAATCATTGAGATGATAATCTGATGCTTTCATCAACAACGAGACACGGAAAATGTTTCAGGTCAAGGTCATCTAGAAGGTTAATCAATTGTGTTTACAATTAAGCTGACAAGTCTCAACGATCAATTAGCTTTCAATTAATTGATTTCCCAGATAATTTAATTTAGGAAAATTATCAATTGTTTACCTTAATCAATTTGCAATTATCTAAGTATTTCCACTCAACCCATTGAAATCAGTTAATTGATTAATCGTCAAATCGTTCAAGTTGTTACAATTAAAGGAGATCAATTAATCTGGTATTAAGTAAATTAGTTCAATCAAGTGTTTACAATTGAACTAATCATATTGAGATGTTTATTTGATTACCAGATTAATTAACTTTAATCTATAGATAAGATAATCAAGTTATTCAAGTGAAATTGGCATTTTTTTAATAATAATAATATAATTTGATTTGATTGTTTCCAAATTGTTATTTTGTACATTTAGTAATTCATATGAAAACATTGGTGACAATTGAAAGACAAGGTTAGATGATATATAATTGATCAATTAAAATAACAACTATAATAATAATCAAGGTGATAAAAGCATCTTTCGTTAATTATTTTAACAATAATCAGGATTAAAAATAATTTGATTAAGATTTTCATCAAAGATGAAGTAAAAGTAGCTTAATTGGTATAATTGATATGATAAAACAATTGATTGCTAAGCATTTGTTTTGTATTACTGTTGATGTTATTGATTGTTAATTGTTGTTGTTGTTGGTGTTGGTGTCATCTCACTTTGTTTAAGGGGCCAATAGTAATAATCTCAATCATTTTGTACTTTTTCATAATTAATTGATCAACAATTAACAATCAATAACATCAATTGTATTGCACTTGATTGTCGGTGAAATTGGATCACAGTTGCCGTTGATTGTTGTGACTTTGAGCATTAGTGACAGTTATTCATAATTAGATTTAACAAAAAAAAGGCAAATTGGAATGAAGAATTGAAAAAAAAAACAATTTGATTCCAGGGTTGTGATTAGTTGATTTCGATAGTTAATTGTCGTTTTAAAAACTAATTACTGGATTTTCCATAGTCTATAGTCAGATTATCTTTGGATTTCTTTAAGTGTTTTCACAATGCGCTTGTTAAGCTCTTTGAACATCGTTGGATTAAATTGTTTACTGATTGATTGTTGAATTTCTTGAAATCTTAGACTAGTGAATTAACTGTTTCAACGTCATTATGACAATTGTGTACATGACGATGGTGTGAATGGTTATCATGGTTATCGATATTCTTTTCTACAATATCTTCTTGATTCCCTGTAGAACAGCAAGTTTTACTCTTACAAGTTCCTCGATCTTTTGAACAAATGTAAAGACAACCACCAACTTGTGATTCTTTCGGGAATTCTGGTTGAACTGTTGCCAGAGTGATTCCTTCACGAGCTAAAAATTTACATATCTGGTTGGATAAAATGTTATACGAGTTACTGGTTAAAGCAGGAAGAGATATGTGACATGTAGCAATTATTTTATCACGAGTTAAACACCAAACATGAAAATCGTGAATCTCAATAATAGTTGGAAACTCGCGACAAAGAGCTTCTTTAACTTGATCAACTTCTATGTGTTTGGGAACAGTTTGTAATAAGATGAGTCCAGACTCTTTCATTGAAGGATAAATCATTGAGAGGATAATCACAATTCCTGCAAGTCCAGTGAGCGAATCAATCATTGAACAAGTATCACCATCGAGGTAGTAAAGGCTAATTGATGCTCCAATTAAAAGCAATGAAGTTCCAATAGATTTAATTATCTTCCATAGGAAATTCTCCTTCTTCTCAATCGTTTCCTCTGTGGTAGAAAGAAAAATATAAGAAATAAAAAATAAGTGACAACAATTAAGAAAAAAGTAAATATAAATCAATAGATAATCCTGATAATCTTCAATACAATCAAGTCTAATCAACTATTTGAAGAGTTCGTTGATATAAAATAAAGGTTAATTTTCACTGGGAAATATTGTCAACAATTTATGAGACTCGAATCATTGACCTAAAAGACAATTTAAATCACTTAGACTATTAACACCATTGGGTTTATTTTTAACTATTGTGATCTAATTAACTTTTTGCTCCTTAAATTAACTCAACTATTTTCGATGTTAATATAATAACAAGCAAGTGAGTTAATTAAATTAAATCATCACCACAATCACAACAATAGGTAAAACTTGCGTTTTTTAATTTAGTTAATTGTAACTATTTCCTGTACATTAACCAAATCAAATCAATTTTAATCATGAATCACTAAATGTTATTGCAATTGTTAATAAATTGATACAATAATTGACATATATTATATTTAGATATGTTTACTAAAATGATGATCAGTTTAATTGTTACCTGATCATAACCGGTAAGGTTATGTCAATATCTAATTTAATTGAATTCACATATATCGTAACATCATTAAATCAGGACAAGGGCAATCAAATTAATATATCAAAGAGTTAAATAGTCAATGATGATTGTTAATTGACAGATTTGATCAAGTATTATGGTTAATAATTAAATTGTTTGTATCATGAATCAGGTAAATACAATGAATAATATTAAAGGTACAATCACTTTAATTGTTTCTTTTTAATATTGAATAAATTACTATTATCTTGATTTAGTAATCAACTTTTCTGTAAATTGCCAATCATTAAATGAATTGAAATTAATACAATTACATTGTATTATTGTGTAAATTCATTGTACTGTTTAAATTGTTACTGAATTAAAATGATTGTTACTATCATTAAGCTAATAAAACAACAGTAATTAAAGCAAAGTTAAGTAGGTTAATAAAGAAATCAAGGTTGATTAAAAGTAGACAAAATATCAATTAGACAAATATAATTAAATTATATTGCTATGATTAGAATTAAGAAAATGTTATTAATAATAATTCATTTCAGGATTAGATTTGCTGTTTATGGTAAAGACCATCGACCTTGATTAACATTAATTGATTCAGATTATAATTAGATTTTAAGTTAACCATGAAATTTAGCATTGATTTGTCGGTAAATTTTACCAATGATTAGAGTAAAGTAGTAATCAAAAGTCAAGAGAGTAGACGTTAATTGTAAGATAATCATTAATAACCTGTCAAGATCACAAACCTTTACGTTAATCGTTCAAGTTAAATTGTAACTAAGGGGATAATCAATTTGGAATGAAGATTAATCAAAGAAAATAAGTTACCACTAATTGTGGTATCATCATCATCAATGTAATTAATTCTCATGGTAAAAAAATGTTTCTATGTTAAAAGTTACAATGTTTAAATTGATTAGTTGCCAAAAATAATTTAATCATCACCAAAGCATTTTTGAAGCAATTAAATTTTTCTCACTAATTAACCGTAAGAATCAACAATTGGATAATTCTGATTATCTTAATCAACCATTGACAATTTCAAACTTTTATGACGAATATCAAAAAAGATTTAGTTGTTTAGTTTTGAGATTGTATTGATTGTTAGGAATGGAAAAAAACTCAAATTGTTGGAACTTAATTATTTCGAATAATATCAAGAGGTAATAAACTTCTCTTTTCATATTGGAATTAACAGTTAATCGGTGAAATTAATCCTGTTTCTTGAGAAAAATTAAAACTAATCAACTGTAAACAAGTAGAAAAAACAAAATTTTCGTACAGGGTTAACAATCTAATCAATTGGTTATAAATAAACACGAAGGAAACTTGATTTTTCTGTGGTGAATATTTGATTGATTGCTGATTAACGGATTATCTTTGATTGTTTTTGTCTTAACAATAATTACCAGATTGATTGTTTGAATTAATTAGTAGTTTATCCTTTTCATCCTCCTCCTTGTCCTCGTTGGAACCAGTTTTGTTGGCGGTGATTTTTTGGGAGACAATCTCAAAGTCACCATTTACAATACAATTGACTTGAACCTCTTCACCACGGATACTTAATTGTACATTTTGTGTTCGAGATGATTCTGTAAGTGGGAGAAAAGAACAATTTATTTATAATTAAACATGTAAAAGATTTGTTTAAACACTGTGTATACCCTTTTGGTGTTTAAATTGATTGCTTACCATTGAAAAATAAACATCTAAACAAATTTAAGGCTAAACTGTTGATCCCAGGGATCAACAGGTAAAGAGGATTAGTTGATTGAGATTCATGATGAGATGAATGGATCAGATTGAGGATTCCTTCAACGAAGACGGAAAAACACATAGCCAAGATGAAGATGATGTTAAATAAGGCACCAAGAATTTCAATACGAGCCCAACCAAATGTAGCCCTTAAACTGACTGAATTAGAAATCTAAAGAGAAAAAAAGCAAAAAAAAAGAAGAACAATCAATCATGCTAAATGGCGAGAAAAGAATAGAAAATTGAACAGAAGAATAAATTAACTTACCCTGTTACTCATTAGAGTTAATAAAAGTGTCATGAAGATGAACATATTAAAATAACAATCGGATAAAATGACCAGAGAATGAGTGATTTGATTCATGATAAGCTCAGTTAAAAACAGTAAACTAAATAAGATTGTGATTAAGAAGAATGAGATTGTCTTCCACATCATTAATGAATTCATTGTTTCACTATTATTATAACTGCAATTGTTGAGAAGAATGCGAACAATCAAACAATTAGATAGAAGAAGAAACAAACATTAAAAAGAAGAAAACAGAACAAGAATAAAGAGAATAGAATAAAATAACATAAAATAATAAAAAATAAAAAAAGAAAAGAAAAATTAACTTGTTAGTTACAAAGATTAACTAATAAGTCAAAAAGACTCTTTCAAGAGTCTCAACATAGAGAAATGTTGACAAGTTAACAAAAAGACTAAAATAAATAAAAGAAAACCTTTTAAAGAAAAAAAGAAAGACAAAAAAGTGGTGACATCTATCGATGGGCTTAACGTTCGTTCGTTAAACGATCGACCGTCAGGTGGAGCGTAAAAGGTTCAAGAGTTTTGGTTTTCCCTTTTCCCTTGGCAACCAAAGAGCAAAAATTAAAGTCAAATCAACACTTTGACAGAAAATCAATTGTTAATTCAGTTGAAAATTAACAGAATTATTAAGATTCTGATCAATATGTTGACTAATTTTTGCAAGTAAAAGGAAAATGATTAAGTTTAACAATTAGATGAAGATGTTGAGGTGATGATGAGGATGGAGAACCAAATGTTCATAATAACATTCAGAGATTAAATTCGATATTTTAATGGATTTTCTTTTTATGTTCAGTCCAGGGAGATGATTTATTCTGTAAAACGCTTCGAAAAAATGGTCTAGATGGTTAAATTTTCAGTGGATCGATCTGTTTGGTCAATTTCGAATTTGAAAATTCGAAATTTGAATTTCGCGGTCAAAAAGGTTTAAAACTCTACCATTTGTGTTACTATGTCTCTCTCTCTCTCCTTTGGTTTATTTTTTTTGTTTATTGTTTAATAATTGGTTTGGTTTCCTTTGATCACCATGACCAAAATAAGGTTTGATGAAAATTATGAATATGGTTTAATTGTTATATGTCTCCTTTTGGTGTTAAATTTGATTGCCATGGCCATTAAAAGGCTGCAACCTGTTGTCAAAGATGTTCCCACAACGATTAAACAACCTCGATTTCGTAAACGGGATAAAGTCATTTTCTTTGGACGGAAAATGTTACGAAAGGTTCGAACATCTTTCCAAAAATCTGGTAACCATAGGATTTTCCGTCTTAATCCTTACCTTCATCCTGAATTTATTAGTTTAAGGCCAACATCTACCTTTACCAATGTTACCATTATTGGTGCTTCTGATGATGTTCCATTGGAAGCTTTTTGTATTGAGCTTAATCAGGCGTTAACAGCTCTTGGAACTGTGATTACCCTTTCCTCTGATTATATTCGTGAGGTTCTTGGTCAAAGAGCATTTGATGTCTCCAATGAAGCTAAATTGTCTTCCTGGTTGAAAGAACAAAAAGATCAACATCAGCTTATACTCTATCAATGTGATCGAACCTTTACAACTTGGAGTCATCGTTGTATTCGTGCTGCTGATTGTATTCTTGTCGTTGGATTAGCCAATTCACCTCCTACCATTGGTCGAGTGGAAAGACAACTTGACTCAATTGCAGTGAATACTCAAAAGGAACTCGTTCTTCTACATAGTAATCCCTCCAAATCTCCAGAAAATACTGTTCTCTGGTTAAACATGAGAGCTTGGTGCTCTTGGCATCATCACATTCGATGTCCAAAAAGAATGTTCATCAAAAAATCTCCTATGGAAATGAAAGAATATTATTCAATTGTTACTTCTGAGCCTATTGCCGTCCATTCAGATCTTTCCCGATTAGCTCGATGTCTAACTGGTACTTCTGTTGGATTAGTTTTAGGCGGAGGTGGTGCTCGTGGATCAGCTCATGCGGGTATGATTAAAGCCATTATGGAGGCAGGAATTCCTATTGACATGATTGGTGGTGTTTCCATTGGTGCCTTTATGGGTGCTCTTTACTGCCAAGAAGGTGATTACAACAAATTTAATCAAAAAGCTCGTCGTTGGGCTCTAGAAATGACCTCATATTGGAGACAAATTCTCGATTTAACCTACCCTGTTACCGCGATGTTTTCTGGTGCAGCTTTTAACCGAACAATTCATAATGTATTCGGTGAGAAACAAGCTGAAGATTTATGGTTACCCTTTTTCTGTATCACTACCGATATCTCGTCAAGTTGCATGAGAATCCATAGATATGGTTCTCTCTGGCGTTATGTTAGATCTTCTATGTCTCTTTCTGGTTATTTACCTCCTCTTTGTGATCCAGTCGATGGTCATCTACTTCTAGATGGTGGCTATGTAAATAATTTACCTGCTGATGTGATGAAAGAAGTCATGGGAGCTCATACAACTCTCGCTGTGGATGTCGGAAGTCAAGATGAAACCGATTTATACAATTATGGAGATACTCTTAATGGCTGGTGGTTACTTTGGAAAAGATGGAATCCATGGGCCACCCCAGTTAAAGTTCCCAGTTTACCCGAGATACAATCTCGCCTCGCCTTTGTTAGTTGTGTTAGACAATTGGAAAGAGTTAAAAATAGCTCTTACTGTACATACATTCGTCCACCAATTGATAGATTTAAAACCTTTCAATTTGGTAGTTACGATGAAATTATGAATGTTGGTTATTCTTATGGAAATACTTTTTTCAACGATGAAAAATTTGATTCATTAATCGCTAAAATTAACTGAATCACAATTAATAGTCTACTTTCTCTCTCTCTCTCTCCTCTTTGTAAATTAATCCTTTCACTTTCACTCTCTATCTCCTAATAATCACAAAAAAAAACCAAATCAAATTACCATTTAATATACATATTTTTTTTGTAAAATTAATATTTAAATTTAATTGATAAATGCCCTTCTTTTAATTTAATCATTTCATTTACCCAACGATAAAACAAAAATCTAGACAAAGTTAACAATTTACAATTCATATTAATCATCTGATTTACTGATTTTTTGTTTTTTTCCTTCAACCGTTAATATGATTAACAGGCAATGTCTTTTTTACATTGAGTTTGTCATTGAATTAATATCCAAGGCCAAATGGTTTACGCATTTTGTTTACAGTTAATTCACTTGTTTTGCTTTTCTCAACATTGATCATGTGTCGTTAACTCGTATACTTAAATTGTTACTTGCATCAAAATAATAACAATCAGTGAAAACCTGTTATCATTTCAACTCAAATCAACAGGAATCACTTAAATTGTGAATTAACATTTTCTAACCATTGGATTGCTTCAAGTAGACATTCACTTTCATTGGTAACAATTAACACTTGATAAACATTATGATTCTTATTGTTACCATCCTGGTACTGTGACTGATTATGGAAGATTATAAGTTAGCTAATTGTCTAAAAGGTATTTAGTCAGAAAGGAAACAATTAATTGACTTAAAACACAATCAACTGAATTCAGTTTTATAGATGAGGTGTGATGGTAAAAAACCAACACAAAGGTGAAACTTATTGAAGGATACAAATAAAACCAGATTATCAATGAGATTACAAGGGATTAGTAAAAGAGGCACTCCTAACAATTAAAGTACCCAACCATTCAATTAGATCACAATTAGATTAGATTGTTAGTTAACCGCCAAAAAAATGTCAATAAACCTCAAGAGAAAATGAGAAAATCTGATTTTCTGATTTTCTGAAATTCGTTCGCAGTGCCATCTCTTGGCAACGAAAAGAACTATTATTTACTCTTTGATTTTCTCAACAATTAAGGTTAATTAAAATGTTTAGTGATTTATCTTTGAGACGAATAGAATAATTGTTGAGAACAAATTGTTAATCCATAGATTCTGTTTCATTGTTTCATCTCATTAATCTATTAACTTAGTGCATATGATTAAGGATTTAAATCACATCTTGTGATTAGTTTGCAATTAGTTTATCAGTTAATTCATATGGGCTGAGTTAATTGTTATCGGAGTGTTGAAAACTTCATTAGGATTATTGATTAATTGTCCGATAAATCACAGAATTCAAGTAAATTCAGAAAAAAAACCAAAATCTTGAGATAAGTTAAATGTAACATAAAGACTAGAATATTATCAGAATTTAATTAGACATTTAATTTAGCTGAATCGAAATCGAGTTTAACAATTTAATTAAATACATTAACTTTAGTAAACAAAGATGATTAAATATAAACTACAAACTGATCGTGAAGTTAATTGACACTTATAAGTACATATCCACAGTTAAGGATATGATTAATTAAGAATACATTTAAGAAAATTAGTTAATTTAATCACAAGAAATAAAAAACATTCTGATTGTGACAATCAAGAATGGAAACTTTTCTAACCTTATTGATTAACAATTGTGTCAATTTCTGGTATTAAATTGTGAAAATTTGAGCCAATTGAGTGAAACATATTTGATATCATTATTATATCATTAGTAGAGTGTTGATTACTTTTTAATTATTTGATTAGATTGAGTTTACATCACAGAAATGGATTAATTAATTATTTCAAAGGTAAAACATTTTCCTTGAATTTTCCGATATAATTACCTGGTGGATAGTAATTACATACGACGTATGTACCTTTAGAACCTGTTGATTTACCGCATCCTAATTGTTTCGAATCTTTCCAAATTACTTGAGTAAAATGTCCTAACAATTAAATAATCGAAAAGTGAATCAAAATCAATTTTCTTCCAACAATTAAGGTAAATTGGTCACTTACCTGTTCCACTGGTGAATGTTGCTTTATTCCAGTTGTATAAATTGATCTCATCGTACCAAAGTTGAACTGGTTTCTCTCCTAACAGAGTAACAATTAACGTTAATTAAGCTAATCACCAATGTAAAAATTGACTAATTACCGTCACTATTTTTAGCTGAAGTCCAAAAAATGTTTTCACCATACTTATTGTTAGGCCTGTGGTACATAGCCCCGTTAGCGGCCAGTTTATCAGCCCAATCCTTAGCGACTTTACTTATCTTAAAAATTAAATTTCCAATTCATATTAAAAATTGATAACAATTAACTAATTGTATTTATATTTACCTCTTCATCAAGAACCAAAGGTTTAACTCCATGTCGTGATCGGTAATAATTATGTTTAGATAAACACTCTTGATCAAATTGTTTGTCAGCTGATTTTTTAACTTTCTTAAGTGATGAACCAGAACAATTAATTGTAACAATTAAAAGGCAAAATACTGAGAAACATGATGAACGATTAACTATTGAACCCATTTTAACGTATTAATAATTAACAAAACTGATTGTGACAAAAGTTAATTAGTCTCAGTATTTATACATAAAAAAAAGTAAATCAAATTACCAATCACATGGTAAATTATCATCATAATTATTAATATAATTAGTTTGATAATTGAAACAATTAGATTTCCTTAATTGTCAAAATGAATAAAATGAAAATCCAAACAAAGTAACAAAAATCAAAATGAAATAAACTTTTCAAATCAATGATTTATTATCAAATCTACATAATTATAAACAATCAGTTGATTGTTTTATCATGGAAATTGATTTAATTGTTTTGATTATTTCTTAATCAAAGGTAAAACATTTTCTTTGAATTTCCCCATAAAGTTACCTGGTGGATCGTAATTACATACAACGAATGTCCCTTTAGAACTTGTCGATTTACCGATTCCTAATTGTTTCGAGTTTTTCCAAATCACTTGAGTAAAATGTCCTAACAATTAAATTCGCAGTCAAATAATTACTTGTGACAATTAAGAGATGATGATTAACTTACCTGTTCCACTGACGAATGTTGATTTATCCCAATTGTATTTCTTAATCTCATCGTACCAAGAATCAACTGGTTTATTTCCTAGAATGTGATTAGTTTTAATTGTTGTGATTAAATTGTTTGATCAATTCTTTAATTGTTAATTACCATCAATATCTTTAATTGAGATCCAGAAAACATTTTCACCAAATTCACTTTTAGGTCGATGTGACAATGACCCAATTGAAGCCAAATGATTTGCCCAATTTTGTGCTAATTCATTTAACTGTGATTAGTTTTAATCACAATTGAAAAGATTAAGATTGTTAATCCAATTGTAAGTGTAACTGTTAATCTAATTACAATTATATTCTGTCAAAGTCGTTGACATTTTATGCCAATAATCAATATAATCAAAAATTTTACATCATATCTTAAACAATTAGTTGATTACTATAGTAATTTAATTTTCCTTTAATTGTGAAAGCTTAAATTTTCTGAATTAATTAACTATTAATAGCTCACTTATTATGTTTATTGTTTCAGAAGACAATTAGTTTTAATTGTTTTAAACAATTTTACCAGTATCTAAATCCAATCAAAACTAATTTGGTTCTTAATTGTTAGTGTTTAATTACCTTATCGTTAATTGTGAATGGTTCAACTCCATGAAGGGATCGGTAATAATTATGTTTATCAAGACATTGTTGATTAAATTTTCGATGATCAGTTAATTGTTCACCTTTTTTTTCTTGGTTTATTGGTTCAACTGATTTAACAATTAGCTGATCAGTTGATTTGTTTTCTTTATCATCGTCCAATAGTTTATCCTCAGTAATTGATTTACTATCAATTGTATCACCTTTAATTTGACCATCATCAGTTTTAATTGTAGCAATTGATTTACAATCAATTTTATCTTCAACTTTTGGAGTTTCAATTTTTTTAATTGTTGTTAAAACTTCATTTGAATTTTCATCAATTTTAATTGTTTCAATGCTCGTATCAGATGGTAATTGATCAAATTCAGCCAACAATTTATCAACATCATCACATTTATCACCTAGAGGACACAGAGAGACAATTAACTAATTGTGAACAATTTAATTCTAATTGTTACCTGTGATCTCCTCAACTGTTGTTGTTATTTCCTTGATTTTACCATTTTCAATAGTCTCACGTTTAATTGTTTTCTTAATTACTGTTGATGACGAGCCATTAATTACATTGATCACAGTTGTTGTTGTAATTTTTGATGTTGATTTACTTTCCATGATGATGATGATGATGATTAACAATTAAATTAACTTTTCACGAACACAATCCAGTAAAATAGTGAATCAAACTAAAGTTAATCAAGTTGATTATATATGCAACTTATCAGTTTGTCTTGATTGTTACTGATGCCGAATCATGATTAACCTAAATTGTATCATAATCGTAAATCCATATAAACATTATGACAATTAATTCCTATGGCTACGATAATATTAATAGTAATTGATTAAGAAACTAAATCAAGAGTAAAGAGTTAACAACCAAATATTAAATTAAGGTGAACACGAAAATAAATTGTTATCAGTTAATTATGACTTTGATTATTACTAGGATCTGTTAATTGTAACCTTGATTAGTGATGTGTCAACAGTTGATTTGATTGTATATTCAATTAAATTGCCTTTCTGTTGATACATATTCAAGTATTGTGAACGGATTAACTTGTAGATTAATTGTCAAGATACAATTTGATACATTTAATTGTTACTGATTGATTTGTGATAATAAATGAATTACATTAATCAATATTTCACTTAATTGTAGTAATACCATTAAAGTGTTGTCACTTTAATTGTTGATTAAATTGGACAATCAAAGGGCCAATTAATCACAGAATTGAGCTGAAAAACAGAGGAAACAGTTGACAATTAGTTTAATTGTAGTTTGGAAAAGTTTTTTAGGCTTAAATTGATTTATAATTAAACATGTTAATGATCTCAGATTAAGGAAATAATTGACAACAATTAAGAAAATTCAATTGGAATCAACCATAAGAAAGTTAATTGTTAAGATAGAAAAGATAATCATTATAACAATTACTTTTGATTCTGATTAATAGACTATGATTATGATATTACAATCAAGTAATTGTTGATGATTATGAAATGTGAGCCTAAATTAAGTTTATCACAAAATTTTGATTATTTTTGTAAATTGTTACTTTGGTTTTCACTTGTTCACTTTGATTACTACAATTAGCATTCACTTAGTTTTTTTTTCTTGTAATTAGATTAACTCATTGGATTAACTTTGTTTCTGTTATATTTATTAATACATACTGATGATAAGTATGATTAAATTGATCATTCTAATTGTGCTGTTAACACCAAAGGAAATTAAATCTAATGATGAGTACATGCAATCATCTGATTCTTATATGTCACAACAATCGTGTTCGTGTCCACCATTAAAGCCGATCATCAAGTATATCGCCGTCGAAGTGCCCAAAATAGTCCAAGTGCCAAGTCCCGCGCCACCGCCGATTCCGATGCCTCCACAACCAATGAAACCACGAACTAAATTCATCGGTAAGTTTAGTTGGATTCCAATAAATCCTTGGGTTAATCTTGCTCTTAGATTATGGATTGGATTAGTTATTAGTTTGGTTAAACTTTTTTTTTCTCTAATTAGAAATTAATTTTTCTTTCTCTTGTTCCTTAGCTATTCAAGAGATTCAAGTTCCCTCTCCTGCCTCGGGCCCAATGTCCGGTTGGGGTGGCCAAAGATAACCAATGGACAAGATGTTAATCGTGAGGATTAATCATCTAATTTTTGGCCGATTATCAGATTACCGGATTGAAAATCTATCACCTTTAAAAGGAGGTTAAAACCTTAAACATTTGAAAGATTAAATTAGAAAAATTAATCACTAATCATAATCTTCCCAAGCTATGTAATGATACCTTCTAAAAGTCAATCAATTTACCCATTAAATTATCAATTCTAAACTGATTAGAATTGTGTTCAAGAAAAAATATTCACTCCGAAATTATTAATCTCCGAAAAAGAGATAATCCCAAACAAGTGACAAAAAGAAAACGAAAAAAAAAATATTAGCATGATTGTGACACTTTTCAAGTAAATTAGAAGACAGGAAATAATAGTAATAAATTAATCTGTTAAAAAAAAAACATAACAACTAATTAGTGATTAGGATGCGAAAAGAAACCGGCAAATAATTAAGAAAACAAGTTAATCAGATTAAAAGATTAAATTTACCACCGAGATTAATGTTTTGACTGGGAAGCGACAGAGGGCGAACCTTGACATGTGTTTTATTCTTTTTCGCGGTGGCGCCATCTTACTGTTCGCTAGGAAACTTTTCTTCAGATTTTTGTCATTTGAGTGATGCGGTTGCAGAATTTGATTTTTCTTTGTGATCTCCTGGTTAAGGAGTTTGATAATTTGGTTTAATTGTTTCACTTAAATTACTGAAAATCTTGACGATGGCAGCTGAAGGTTCGAGTAGTAGTAGTGCACCATATTATTACAGTGAATTGGTTCGTAAGGATTTAATGTCATCCATCAATAATACACAACAACCACAACAACAACCTTTACAATCGCCTCAACAACAAGCTCAACCATTACAACACCTTCAGCAACAACTCTTACAACATCAACCCCAGAACCAACAATTGCAACAACAACAACAACAACAACAACCACAGTCACAGTCACAAACTCTACACCATCCACAACAATCAATCTACCGTGAACCCTTATACATGTTGTATGATGATTCTCATCGAGCTCGGGTGGAAGAAAATATTTACGAAGAGGTTGATTTTATGACTCTTTCCTCTTTACGTGCTCAATATGCTGATACCTTGAGTCTTCAAAGCTGGAGGAAAAAGGGTAGTAAGAGAACTCTCTCTGGAACATCTTCTTCATCCTCATTTACCCGGTGGTTTTCCACTAGAAAGAAAAATTCTCCCACCTTGAGTAATGAAGAGGAAAGTGCTTACATGGATGTTAAATTGTCCAAAAAACAGAGACCACCAATTTGTTTGCCTGACATACCGCCCACTGGATTAAGCCAAGAACAAATTAAACGTCGTTATATTGTTGGTTCCATTGTAGATTCTGAAAATTCCTACATTAATTCACTTCATCGTCTAATCAATGAATTCAAGAAACCCATGGAAGAATCAACTCCACCCATTCTGAGTCAAAATAAGATCAATACAATTTTTTACCGAGTTGAACAAATCCTTCAGTGTCATACAATTTTTGGCATTGCCCTGAGTCAATGTGTCCGTGAATGGGATGAGAAGGAGAAAATTGGTGATGTTTTTATTAATTCATTTTCCAAATCAATGGTACTCGATATTTATTCCGAATTTATAAACAATTTCACCAATGCAATGGAAACCGCTAGAAAAGCATCCAAATCAAAATCAGCTTTTGCCCAATTCTTACAAGGAAAAGCGACCTATAGTCCTGATCGTTTAAGCTTTTTTGGTCTAATGGTTAAACCGGTTCAAAGATTTCCCCAATTTATCCTTCTTCTAGACGATCTACTTAAACATACACCCTCCGATCACCCTGATCGTATGTCCCTTCAATTAGCTCTAACCCAACTTGAATCCCTTGCTGATCGGCTAAATGAACGAAAACGTGACTCTGAAAGGCATTTCGCTGTTAAACAATTACTAAAGGATTATCTTTCCAATTCAACAACAACCTCATCTAATCGTTACCTTCTCCGAATGGATTCTGTTTACGTTCTCGACCTTGACTCCTCCACAGGTCTAGTGTTGAAAACAAAATGTCGAAAGCTTTACCTTCTCAATGATATGCTTGTGTGTGTTAGTGTCCCTTCAAATAGGTTAAAATTTCAAGCATCACTTCAAGATGTGGATGTTATTGATGATGTTAAACCAGCAACCGACAATCTCATGGCTAATTCAGTCTTAAGGACCAAAGGTTGGTAATTCTCATTAATTATTCTACCAGCGAAATCCCTTAAAACCCATTGATTCATCAGCTAATTAACACTTCAACTTGAAATTGGAGTGAAAGTGAAGGAGCCCAAAGAAAAACAAAGATTTTTTTTTCTCTTCTCCTCATCAATTGATATTCACCGATAGGGGTCAGGCCAGAAAAAGAAGGGAAAATAAATCTATTGGATTTACCTTTCTCTCTATTCTACCCCAACCCAAAATGTTTATTCTCTTTCTATTTCTCTTTCTTTGAAAATCTTTTTCGCAATTTTCTTCTCTCAACAATTCATTTCAAGAGAAGAATATTATCTTAACCTGTTTCTCTATCTCTCTATCTCTATCTCTCTTTCTCTATTTTCTTCTTCTTCTTCTTCTTCTTCTCTCTCTCAACACCCTACTCATTTTTATTGTAGATTCTGTTTACTCAACATCAGAAAACTTTTCTCTTCAGAAGATTATTCTTGCGCATCTTTAATTCTATGTGATAACATTTAGAAGAAAAAAATGTTTCATGTTTCGATATTAGTAATATTTAATTCACTTTTATCACTTTTTATTATTCAATTAGTTGTAATTGTAACATTAACAAGATCAAAAGTAACGGAGAGAGAAGATGAGAAAGTTATCATCTTCATCAACGTGAACATCTATGACTAATCTTCATGCCTTTTCTCATGATTCCTTTGATCTCTCTCTCTCTCTCTCTCTCTCTCTCAAATTACTTTATTTATATTCTTATAAATAATATAATACCCTTACTGATGATCTGTCAAAATAAGATGGACTGAGTATCCTTGTTGACCGTTAAATTGACCTGATCCGATTTTTGATCTTACAGTCTCACGACTTTTTGATTAATCTTCAAATTGAAAACCTTCAACTTGGGTGACGAACCCTTCGGTTGTTATTACTCTTGATTATAAAGTATAAAACTGATGATAGAAAATCATCCAAATCCATCCTGATGCTTATCTAATATCATCTTTCATCATAATCTCAGTATCTTACTTATTTTCTTCCCTTCATTCAACTTAATCCATCTCCTTTGTCATGTTACCTGTTCCAACATTAATATATTAACCAATAACCTAAAGCTAATAACACTTTCTCATAGTTTACTGAGAAACCATTTTTTTCCCTACCTTATTGTTGTAATATTATTACATTAAAATCATTGAGAATTAATCTTTACCGTCATTAATATTATCAACAGAATCCCAACATTAGCTCAGAAATTCATAACATAACAATCAACCCAACACAACCACCACCCAAAGCTAATTTCCTCAGTGTATCATTAAGTAACAATCAACCATTGTTATTATCAAATTAGTATAATAATTAGTATATAATAATAATGATAATCCACACAGATTTATTATTTGTTTCTTTGCCATCTTGATTAATAGCAGTTAATTAACGGTACAAATTTTTAATTGGTTAATTTAATTTCCATCAAAATAGCAATTGAGCTTATACATAAAGAAAAAGTTGCAAGGTAAATTACACCTAAACGTCTTTAAAACAATTATGATGATAATCATTCACATAATTACTTTTGTCTTCTTTGCCTATCGGTATTACTATTACATGATGGGTGGAAAAATAATTAACAGTTATTTTCATCTTCACGTTAAGTCACAAATGATTACTTTTCCATCATGATCGCCAATTCAGCCCACAGAACATGAAAAAAAAAACCGCAATAACGAAGCATTGAAAATACATGATATTTATGAGTTTCCTTCTCAAGTGATTCCTTTTACTTTTTTCTCATCATTTTTTTCTTCTTCTTCTCTTCTTCATCTTCAATGATTGTTTACTTTAAAAACAATCAATGATTATTATCATCATTTGAATGCCTTCCGTTTTCATTATTATTATTATTATAACTACATTTATGTTTGTATGTCTCAAGTTTATATCTGGTTTGTAATCATTTCACTTTGCTTATATATATATGAGTAGCGATAGTTTATCATAATCATATGGTTACTAATCATTATCATCCAATTTTGTTTTCATTCAATATCATCTTCCCATCATCATCATTTTAAGTTAAAAAAAAAGGCAAAAATCATTTGCGTGCTATCAACCAGATAATAGTTTCTTTTAACCCGGTAAACGTTATGATGTTTATATTTATTATTTTCATTCAATTGTTATCTTAATATTGAAGTAAAATCTTAAAGAAAGAAAGAGATATTGAATGTTTTTCTCTTAAAGAATCAATTTCAGGGTAATTTCATCAATAAATATTGAATTTAATTCTGTATTTTTTTATTTTTCTCTATGCGAAAATACTTGATATCAATAGTAAAATGATATTAATTGTAATCTAGTGTTTACAACTATTTTGTTTTGCATGATAATTGGTTAACTATTTTTCAATTTGCATACAAAGAGTTTAGTTAAACAACCGGTTAACTATCTCGTTTACTTTAACTACGAATCAGGTTTTAAATTAATGATTAAAATACATTGTTAATCATTTTGTTATTATTATTGTTGTTGTTGGTCAGTACTTCATCCTTTTATCTTTCATTTGTCTTCCGTGTTTAGATTGCGTGGTGGTGGATATAAGAGTTTACTCTATGTTACAATAGTTAATTGTTGCTTTTGTATTTGATTTTTTTACTTTTATTTTCTCTCCATTCATTTGATCATTTCATTTCTAAATTGTTAGTTAATTAACTGCACCACCTTTTGTGATCCTTACTAAATTAATTACCTTGTTATCAAGTCAATCATTTAAAATTATCATTTAGACACTATTGAGTGTATGTGTCACTATTATATCATTAGAAGTGTCATTAACTTGATTATCATTTAATGTAATCAAAATTTTTGTAACACTGGACAACAATATCATCTCTCTCTCTCTCTCTCTCTCTCTCTCTCTCTCTCTCTCTCTACTATTAAACAGTTACATTTTAAATGTTTTAATGATGAATTCAATTAATTATTATCATTAGCATCTTATTTTCTTGATTATCCCAATCAACTTTTACAAACTCCACCAAGTAAATTGTTATAATCATTATGATTACTATTTATTATTATTAAGTTATCATGTTTGACATAAAAAAAATAATCAGTAAAACTAATGATTGTGATAATGATGATTATGTTAATGGTCTCATGTTGAGAATGATGAAGGTGAAGATGAAGATGAAGATGACCATTTCTATTTATAATAATTTGTGATAACAATTTTTCTCAAGTGATATTTTCATCAATGAATTGAATCTAATTAAGATGAATGTTTAGTATTAATTGTATTGATAACTGAAGATGTTAACTAATCAATACCAATTGTTTTTAATATTTGAAATTATTTATTGATTGAGATGAATCACCGATTATATTAATTCAACTTGATCACATTGATACTTCGATCACGAATTCTCAATTGAAGTTCGATTAACCTTTGATACTTATTAACCTCATTGATCCAACTTCTTCTATCCACTCGGAATCTCAGGATTTTCTCTATATATATACTTTCCAATGTAGAATTGATAATTTCACTCCCACCATAATCTCAGGGAAGGAACATTGTAAATCATTTAGAGTTTATACTTTGTGAGGTAACTTTTTTTCTTGGAGTGGGAGGCGAGGGTGGTAAAAGAAAGAATCGCTCATAATGGTTAATCGATAGGACTTTTACTCTCCAATGATTCTTACCTCTCCCTCTCTCTCTCTCTCACACACACAAACTCACCCAGTAAATTTATATAAATGATTTTTCTGTCACCCTTTTCATTTTATCTGAATTTTTCAGTATCTTCTCATGTATTTAATCATGATGAAAATTGATTGAACATTAAAAAGTCTGATACAAAGATGTGAGAAATCATTATTTTTGTCTTTTCTTTCAGCATAAACTATTGTCATTTCCGCTTCCTTTTTGCTAGAATCCTATTAGATAACAAGTAACCATAATGAACTTTACACAATTTTCTCAATGAAAAATAATATTTATTCACTTACGATTGTACAATATTAAATTGTTATTTATATATCAATAGAATGTTGAACAATTTTTACATTGTTAAATTGGGATAATAAACCAAATTACATTACCTAATTACTTTCCAGGACGAAAGTCATCATCATCTTTGCTCACTAATTTTCATTCAATGTCATTGACAATTGATTCGTTGACCTAATTGTTTTGCCCTTTTATCATCATTTATGATTGTTACCGTTATTATTAATAATAATAATAAAATAATAACATTATTTTTGATGATTAACTTGATTGTGTGTGCCTCTTACGTTAATTCACCATTAACAACAAAAACTTGATTATTATTATGATGATCACGCTTAATCAAATTCACCATCAAAGTCCGTTACTTTGCTGCGTGTTTTTTGTTTACGAAAAAAACAATATTATGACAATTGAAATATGACGGAACTTTCAAGTCATGCTATCATCATCATCATCATCTCCCAATTCAATCAAATATTGAACCATGATTTCCAATAATTCACCTAATTACTATCCTTGACCATGATGGTAAATATTTCTTTTCATCGGTTGATCAATTGAAATTTTTTTTCTTGTCATTAGGATTAAACGTTGATTTAGCAATTGTTGCCATTAGTTTGTTTTTAATCAATCAACAATTTTATTCGAGATGTAATTTGTTAATCTGATGGATTAATAAAATTACTACTTGTTGATTACTTTTGATGTTTCAATTGATTTCAATCCTTTACTTTATTAATCATTATCATTATCATTATCATTAATTGATTAGTTTTAACGATCAAATTGAGACTCACTTGATATTTTATCCCGCTTTCTTTGTAATTGTTTTACTGATTAAACTTGTTTGATTATCATGACTCATTGGTTGATTAACTGGATGATCTCACTTCATGATTTGGATACAAAACTTAGTATTCATGATTTTCATGATATTAATCTGAGTATTCAACTTGAATCTACCCTTACTTTCATTTCATTTTATAAATATAATTATTTTTTTTATCTACTATTATCACTCATTAATAAATTATCCAGCAATCAACATCAAAATGGAAACATGATTAACTTAAACTTGATCATTTCTTATCCGGATTGTGGTTGATTCATTTTTTTTACTCTCTCATATGTACACTTAATTACAATTCAATCTGATCGAAAGTTTCATTAATGGTTTACGATGAGTTGATCAAGGAATGTTAATTGTTGCATAAATTGAGGATGAAATATTTTATTCTTGATGATACCATCATCATCATCATCATCATCTCCATCTTCATCCTTATTCACAACAATACCTGAGGGATTACCCTCTACATCATGATCCACACCCTGAATCTTTCTGTCTGTTGATTGATTTTTTCACTTTGTTCGTTAAGCGTTATCACCTAATTACGTTCATTTCAATTGCTCTAGTTAACTGAATTATTGCGTATTTATCAAATTAATCAATATTCTTATACTAATACCGATTCAGAAACAATGTTTCACTTGATTTCTTAACTTTTTAAGGTTTCGTCAGATGAATACGAGATGAAAAGATGATACGAACTTGACTTATATCGATATTAGATTACCATCGATATTGATTGTTATACTGTTCATTGATGCTATCCAACTATTCATTAATAATTGTTTAATTAAACAATCAACGTATCTAAAATTATACAACATCAATGTTACCACTATTTACGTTACAATTTATCAATGTACAATATAATTGAATGTAATAGTCAACCAACTATTTCTTAACTTTTTGATTAATAATCAGCTTCACTTTAATTTAACCATTTCTGTTGACAATTAACTTCATTTCCCTGATAATTGTCATACTTTTTTCTCATTTGATTGTTCTTGTTTTTTTTTCCTGTCACAGAAAACTCAATACAATTTGACTACATAATCTTATAATACTTGATCGTGCTAATGTAACCATCATTAACTAATTAACCAACTATAGTGATTTTCCCATCATGATGTTTATCATTAACACAATCATTATCATTGAAACAGTGATGATTATCATTATGATATGATGATAATCATTACCAAGATAATCTCTCCTTAAGTCTTGATAATGTTTCTTTTGTTAACCTATTGATCATGAGCAATTTATCGTTAATATTTAACTATTTTCTCAGCACGAAACTGAATCACTTTTCATTGTTGAATGAAAATTGAAAAAAAAATGAAAGTTTTACTCTTACCTAATCCATAGTTAATCTGTTTCATTAACTTTTCCCTCTCTACTTATTATTATTACTCTTCAATCATTTATATCTCATTACAATCAATGATTAACTAATCATTGATTCTTGAATTTTGATATTCAAACTTTTTTTTTCTTGCTAAAGCAAATTAAATCTCATTAGAAATGAAGCCCAATTGATTTAGATTGAGTTGTTTTCTTCTTGATTTTGATTCAGATGAAATTTCAGTAATTATTATTACAATCAGACTAATTACCGATTAGAAATTCATTTAAATAGTAACTATCATCTATAAATAATTAATATTATATTAAATAATAGTTTTAATTATCATCAGAAAATAACTTAATCAAGATTTATCATTATTCAGTTTTCTTATTCTGATTGTCTCTAATATGGTTCATCAATATCAGACTGAATCAATTGATTGTAAACTTTTCTGCTTTCCAATCAGCTTATTTAACTAAATTGTAAACAGGTTTTAACAACAATAATCAACCGTAATTTGATTAGTTAAAATCATCTAATTCAATGACAATACAATTAGGTTATATTGAATATTTATCAATTCTTGTAAATGGCCAATATCTTGAGACTAACAGTTTACTAGGTTAACCATTTTATTAGTGATTTTTTCTTGGACTATTTTGATTAACCGATTATGATTAAATTATCATTTTTCACCGTTTACGCGATTTACTTTGATTAAGAAAACAATTCTCACTTTAAACTGTTAACTAACCTAATTACCTTGATTTGATTTTGATTATTTATGTTATTACTTTTCAATTGATTCCACGTACCAATCAAATTGTCTTAATCATTTTTTTTCTTCATTTCTATTAATACTAATCAAATGTTTCATTTAGGAATCATATAGTTTCATTTCTGACCTTAATTAATATCTATTTTTTTCTGTTAATTTCGTACATTTAATTTTCATTTGATAGTTGATTGTTTATTTACTTGATTCAATTTCTTTAATGAATTATTTAGTTGATTTATGATCTTGTCAACCCTTTGACAATCAGATCTTAGTTACTTGTGTGTCATTGGGAATCTTGGTTTACATTGAAATCGTTGATCAAATTTAATTTCATTTACTGATTGTCTACTTTTCTCGTTTAATTTATTTAGTTCATCAAATTAATCAACATCATGATCAATTCATGATGAGATATTATCAAAATGACTTTTAGTCTGATAGTTTCTATTATTTCTTAGCATGTTAATCTGATAGATTTAAATTTCATGATTGATTCACATGGGAAACTAAATTGTGAATAATTAGATTTATACAAAAACTGTAATAATAACAATACAAATCATAGACCAAAAATTTGTTTACATTTCAATTGTTGTATTTATATTATTAAAGTACATGACATTTAATTTCTATTCAAATTAAATAGTAACAATTTACGGGTTTTTAAACATTTTAATTACAAATGTCACCAAATTAAAACCAATGTTTGGCAAGTTTCTTGTTCTCTCTTTTATAATTGTAACAATTATAATGTCAACATTAATTGTTTACGTTTTTACGCTTGTTGTGAGCATTAATTGTTGATAATAATGATAATAATAGTTTATGTATCATATATAATTTAGATTGATTATCTGACCAACTGAGGATAAAATTTTGACAATCTAAACCATTATATTAATCTTAATCTATTCTCATCATAATCTCATTCCATGGTTAAAATGTTTCATCATTGCTATTATTATTATCACAATTGTAATCATGATGATCAGTTGATTATGTGTAATTGTTGTTGATGCCCTTTTCTTGACTCCAATTGTTTAACAAAAGGAAACTCAATGTAACGGAAAATTTTTCAATTTGAATTACATTCTAACGGTAACTAAATTGTTATCCTTTGAAAGGGTATCACTTTTTTTTATTACATCAAAACAACCTGAACAGATAATGACCATAGATTCCCAGATAAAAGCTTCTGAATTGATTATAATTATCACGATGATGATTATTATCATGATTATAATGAAATTTAGTGAAAAAATTTCTTCAAAAATGAAATAATCAATTACTAACCTATTATGTTAACTGTAATCAATGTCATTCACTTAAACATTGTTTCCCGATCTTATTTTGTAAACGTCTCTTGGAACCTTCAAAATACACTTGAAGTTAATTTGATGATAATTATGATGATTATCTAGATGATTTTAACTTCTGGACTTTTCTCTTGGCACCAAGTAATTTGGTCAATTTCATATATACAGGGAAGTAAGTTCCAGTTTATATGAGGTCAGTTTTATGTATATAATTACTGTTAACAGTCAATGAGAAGGTTATGAAAAAAAAATATGATATTTCATTTATTTATTACTTTCGAAGATGAAAAATGTTCTTGATAAAAAGTGATACACTTGAAAAGCGTATCCAATCATGATGATTATCATCAATTTTAACATCGGAAACTTGACCTGATTGATTTTTTGCTCCAATCAACAGGATTGATCAATACAAGTTCTTGTTTTGTATGTTATTTTGTTGATTATCATTTAATTGTTAACTTATCATTTATTAAATTGCTTCAAACTAAACATGTTCAAAGGCTTAGGATTGATTTTCCTTTTCCTGTATAAATAATATAACCTAACTAACTTTAAATCCTATCAACTACTTCATGATTTTTGGTCAAGTTGCAAAGGTTATAAATCTTGACCATGATTGTTGTTGATGATACTTGACTTTGATCAATTGATTAAAGCTACGATTTAACCGTATTATATTCAGTTCCTTGTCCACTTGAACTTCTAATATTGCATAGAAATGTTTATATACCAACAATTTAATTATAATTAGCGGTTCTTTTGCTACTTTAATTGTTTCTTTTTCTGTTATTTTAAATCATTAACTCTATTTATGACACTCGAGAGATCAATTAACTTTCAGGTTTTTTTTTGCATCTACTTGATTCTTGGTGAATTGGCTGAGGATTTTTTTCATCATCTTCATATTCATTTCTCCTCTTTCTGTTTTTATTACATCTTCTTCCACCATCTTCACTTGCCTCTTTTCTCACTCCCGAATCTAATTCAATATTGTTCAGGATAGAAAAATATTGATTGGGATTCTTATTTGTGGTGCATCTTAATACAATTTATGTAGCAAAATATGATGGAATCAGGATGAAATTTGGTTTATTATCTCATTATTTTCCTTGATTGAATAACTTTTCCTTGCATATTGAATCCATATCCTTATAAAGACTCGAAACTTATAAGCCTTATAGTTTTTATCGATAACTAATTTCATCTTTTTTTTCTCTCTTTGATTATTATGATAGATTCAACGCCAACATCAACATCTCCGCAACATTGTACAATTGAACGGATGTATTGTGATCTAAACAATTTAATGCATGATTTAGAAATGATGAGTCGGATTAAAAATCTCATCTCATCTTTACGATTTGAATACAATGGATTATCACATGAATTGGTTGAACAATTATCGCGACAGATTCACAATGAGATACGTCGTAAAGATAATCAGATAACACTGATTGATCGTAGTTGTTTCCAATTACGAATTAGATCAAAGAACTTTAAAGATACCATTTGCATTCAAATGTCCGATCCAGAGGCAAAGAAAGACTGGCTGACCGATGTACGTTTAGCAAAATTATCCTTAGATCGTGCCAATAATCCAGCCTGGGATATCGTCAGTGAAAATCTATCCTCCTCCAGTGGCAATATCAATGCAATAACTCAACAACGAGTTCCTCTGTTTGTTAAGTCACTTCCCATTTTCGCAACCACTGAAGGTAGTCAATTAACCTGTGCCCTGTATTATAAACTGTACCAAGGTTTACCTGGATATGATGATACTGGATCAGGTGTATTGTGGATATGTAATGTTAATGAAAATGGTTCACAACTTGGAGCATTGGCAACCAATGATTCTGAAATGGCTCTTATCCATTCATATGAACTTTGTGATTCTCATGTTACCTGTCTTGAACTGGTGGCTTCTGATTTAATTTGGATTGGGTTGAAAGAGGGAAGAGTCATTATTGTTGACGCAAATTCACCTGGAGAATGGCGTCAAATTGCAGCTCTAGAGATTCCTGGTGAAGTTTCTTGTATCAAACAATTTAACCAGTATGTTTATGTTGGCCTTACCTCGGGAGTGCTAACTGTCTATGAAATTGATAGACTTGAAGATCCAATTATTTTATCTCTTAGTTCATCTCCGGTTACCTGTTTACTACCTATTGGTAAAGATATTTACGCTTGCTCATCAACCAAAATATGGGTTATCAATGGTGCTAATATTGAGAAAAGTTACTCTCTAGTTCCTGAAAATGTTGGTTCCACTGTCTCACTTGACGATCTAGTTATTAAAGAGGAACCTAAACCTAATCTACTAGCTCACTGTGGTATCGGTTTATGGGTTAGCCTTCTTAATTCATCTATAATTAAATTGTATCATACGGAAACTTTTAAACACCTTCAAGATCTTAATGTAGCTCCTAATGTAAAAAGAGTTCTAAATGAACCTTTAACCAATGATATTCCAATCCATGTAACCGCCATGTTAGCCACTCGAGGGTTACTTTGGATCGGTACCTCAGTGGGTATTATTGTAACCTTAACATTACCTCGACTTCAAGGAGTTCCTTTAGTTTCTGGATGTTTAAATGTCGCACTTCATCGTCACATTGGTCCGGTTACCATTCTACTTAGTCTAACACCCGGAGTAACCCTTTCACCGGTAACCAATCCCTCAGGTAACCCAAGGGGAGGTGACAAATCTCAAGGCCATGGAACAGATCACCATTCCAAGCAAGAAGATGTGGAATCAATTTACGGGCTTTATGCAGATTTGATGAAAGTTGGCGATTACGATGAAGTTAAAAAACCCTCTGGACAAACAAATCTTAATGCAACTCGTATGACTTGGGATCTCTCTAATATGACAATTTCAGATGACTCAACCTCCGAGTCTGCCTCAAGCAGTGCCATTTACCAGGACAATCATCAACGATCTCATGGATCAGCCAATACAATACCATTAACAGCTCAACAAGGTTCAGGCCATACATCACCCAAAGATGTAAATAATATTAATAATTTAATGTTACAAGCAGTAGTTAACCAACAACAACAATCACAAACCCAACAACCTCAGCTATTACAACAAAATCAACCTTTACAACAATTACAACCTTCACAACTTCAACCTAGCCAACAATTAACAGCATTACAACAATTACAACCCCAATCCCAACAATCTGATCCTCAACAACTACCTCGAATGGCTGCTAATTCATTATATGATTCCAAAAGGTCTAAACCATCAACTCACGGTTCTGAACCTAACATGGCTTCTACCTCGTCAACAATCAATCATCGTTCCAACAATGCCTCAATTTACGGAACCAATGGATCCGTAAATTCAGTGCAAAGTAATTCAGTCAATTTAAAAACCGCTCTTCTCATGACCGGTGGAAATGGTTATAAAAGAGGATTAATAGACAATCCATACTCAAGCCAACATGCTCATTGCATAATCTGGGAATATAAACTGTGAAATTTAAAACGTTTCGATCTTTTTTTTTATCACCTAAAATCATCAATCGGCGTGAACAATACAACAAACATTAATATCTCACTTATTATCATCTCTTCTGGTTCGTTTCATCTTACAAATGGCATTTTCTTATGAAATTCAGACAACATTCAAAGGAAAACAATACAACAACAAAAGATGCACAAATGATTCTTGGATTATCTTAAACACCCTCACCAATACACCAGCACCCACTTGGATTTACATGAAACGATAATATTGAGCCAATATTTTCTTATGTTGTTGTAAAGTGTTGATTAACTTGAACCACTTTAAGAGAGATGAAAAAAATGAAGACAATCCTTCAACGACTCCACCTTAATTATTAATTATAATTTTATTATTATTGACCACTTTCAGGTCTCTCTCTCTCTCTCTATCTCTTTTCAAGTCACTAATGTCAGATTACATAATGAAATCGTCAAATCCACAACAATCAAGCTTCTCAATCAACAAACTGTTAACAACAAAGAAAACAAAAACAACTATTATGATGACGACGATGAAAACGATAACTTATTCTTTCCAACAATTATCTTTTTTGGCCTACCTTTTCAAGACTTAAAGCTCATTCTTCTTGTCTCATCTTTTTTTCGCTGCATTTATCATCCACATCATCATTAATATCATCATCTTCTTCCTAAAATCTTCTACTCTTTCACATAACTGTTCCTTATTCTCATCAATGTCATAGAGAAAAACATTAAATATTCAACAAAAGACAATACTGATTACATTCTTACACTCGCCAATCTACATCCTTATCACCATCACATCACCACCATCATCATCACAATCATCATCATTGCAATCATCATATCGTCAGCATCATCATTTGCCATTTTCAATCATCTCATGCCAATCATCTCACCTTCATCATTTATATATGAATATAAATTTATATCTTCATAATGTGTGGATAAACAACCCATGAAAACATTGGAGATAATTAAAAAAACTATGCATTTGTTATGTGCAAGAGAAACAAAAACGAACATGAAACAATTGATATTAAGAGAAGGAGTCAAAACAAAAGGATTATCCCCAATTTCACTAATCCCAAGCTCTCCCTTTCCGGAATATATTTATTGATGTAATTAAGGAGATTGAAGAAATCACAATTAAAAAGGAGATATTGTATTCCTTTTGAAAATATTTAAATCCACAACAAATAGGATGATGGTAATGATGTTTATCATGTGAAAATATTTTGTTTTTTTTATTACGTTATTGATGCGTTTGAATCTGATGGGTTATATTGTAATCTGTTGAATGAGACAAACACATAACTTATCCGACAATCAACAAATTGCAACATTTGATGTGACCACTGGACACACTCTTCATTGAGATGGAAACTCTTATGTTACTCTGAACCAAATAACCGAGTCCACTCAGTTGATGACCATCATCATCATCATCATCATGGGGAACCATTGGTTAGATGGATGAACCCAAAGATCAAAGGCCAAGTTAATTGATAGAAATGTAAACCAAATCAACAAACAACAATAACCATTGAAAGTGAAAGGATAAACGTTTTTCTTTGTCTTGGTCCAGAAGGAGTAATAATAGTTAATTGTTGAAAGATTGTCATCATCATTTTCTGCTCCGATTTGCATTTTCATCCTCGCGAAATATAAATACTAACTTTTCTCATCTTTAATACTGAATCATCTTTTTACTCACATCATCAGCGAATTCACAATTTATCACTACAATAACTTTCTATCTCTCTCTCTCTCTCCACCATGTTCCAGTGATTCTTTTCTTTCCCACCACAATCGAAGCTCATCCAACACAATGTCACACAGAATTGGAAGAAGATAATTACAATTACTAATAGAAGACAATGAATGATTATTTTTCAATTTTTTTCGCATTATTTTCAACGCTCATTCAACTATAAACAAAGAAAACCACCAACTTTATGGAAAAGGAAACAAAAGACATTTAAACAATCAAAGAATCGACACAAAAACACCCAAACAATTTAAATATCGATTTCGATGAAAAAAGAAACATGTAAATCTTTTTCCTTTTCCTGTTTTGATCCACAATGTAAAACATTTAGAAAACAACAAAGACAGAGAGTGATTAACCCTTTTCTCGTTCTCTTTCTCTAATTATGATTAAACAATAAACAATTTGTAATAAGAATTAATTCTCAATCTTGTCAAGTATTAATCCAATTATTTAATTTCAACGATTAACCGAATTAGAAACCAAGTCGTAAAAATTGTGACAGTTTATCTCAACTTATTCTTTCATTTTCTTTCTTTTATTACTTTTATCGCGTTTTCATAGTTAATTGTAATTAAATTTACGTATGAAATCTAAATGATTAAGATAAATTATGTAGATTGGATTGATCTTTTATCCTTCACAAGGAGGATAATTAACTTCATCTCATGGTCAATTGTCGTGAATCAAACTCTCTGATCTCGAACAGTAAATAACAAACATTTAATCGTATCAACAATTAGAAATCACAATGATAAGGAATCGGAAAAATCTTTAAATCAATTGATTTGTTTACTGTTCAACTTTTCTTTGTATTTGAGTTGCACAATTGTTACATAATTTGTGTTTAATTAACTAATTGTTAGTTAGATGATAATCTCAACATTTGATTGGGAAACACTTTGGACGTTGGTCTTTTCGTCCACAAGTCCAATTGTGGTGGGGAAATCAAGCTCAGTGGTGATGTTGATGAACTGGTGGCGGTGGTGGAGGGTGATGAGGATGCGGTGGGTGCGATGGGTGCGGCGGATGATGAGGATGCGGTGGATGATGATGAACTGGCGGTGGTGGTGGAGGCTGATGTGGGTGGGGTGGAGCTGGAGCCTTTCTGGTCACTGAAATAACCACTGGAACTTGAACTGGCACTGGAACCACGACTGGAGGTTCAGGGTGGTGAGGGTGATGATGAGGCTCCGGGTGGTGGTGAGGATGATTAACCATTTCGATGATGGAATATAGTTAATTAAGTCAAATACAAATTCCAATTAAGTTCAGTACTTTGAATGAAATGAAAGTGAACATAAATCGTTGACAATTAACCTTTTTTATAATAAATTGAATTACAATCGTGATTTAAATGATGAGTAATTGGAAAAATCAATTGAATTGGTTTAATTATCTAATTATGTTTACCTAATTAAAATTGTTTTATCTTCAATTGAATTAATCAGATTATCAATAAACCATAATTATGAATAATATTTAATTGAATTACTTGTAAAACGAAATAATTTTTCATAATGATTAACTGGAATCATTGATTATTAATCAAATTGGATTGACTAAATATGGACACGATTAGATTGTGAATAAGGATAAAAAGTGAAACATTTTGATTTGGTAAAATTTTAATTGTTGGGATAAAAACAATTCCAATTGTAATTAAAGACAAAGTTTACCATTTGTCATATGATAGTAAACAAGTCAATTGGGTTGTCTAAATGATTGTTGATTTGATTGATTTATGATTAGATCAATTAAATTGTCGATTTAAAAGGATTTGTGTTAATACTTGATGACTTGAAATCAACTCTTGATTGTTGATTGTGATCAATGATAATCAATTATCGATCAATTGATCAGAGGAAAAGATGATTACTGGTAACAATAAATGAAGAGGAAAAACCTGGAACAATTTAAACCGATGGCGTGATAATTGTTGATCAACAAGTGTAATTGTTGAAGATAACTTGTAATTAACTACTAATTGAGAAAACGGTTGATACGAATGATTTAATTAACAATTCCATGTCAGTAGCTCGTTTTGAAGCAACTTCCAGCACTTCACCGTGATTTGGTTCATCAACCGAGTCCCAATCCATGATTGTTTTATTGGTAACCAAAGATAAACCTAAAACTTTGAGGCCACAATGAGCGGCAACGGTCACTTCATGAGTTGTACTCATTCCAACAGCATCGGCACCAAGTAGCCTGATGGCTCGACACTCGGCCACCGTTTCATAAGCCGGTCCAGAGACCATAAAGTAAACACCCTTGCGAACACCTTTCTCAAGACCTAACTGGACGGCAGTCGATTGGAAAATGGACATTAGGCCAACATCATAAGCTCGATTTAACGGAGGAAATCTGGGTCCCCATCGATCGTCATTCGGACCCTTAAGTGGACTGTCCCCTGAAAGACCCGGTAAACTAATGTGATCTTTGATTATCATTATATCACCAGCGGCAAAATCGGGATTCAATCCACCAGCAGCATTGGTAACAATTAGAATCTCAATTCCAAGTAATTTCATCACTCGAACGGGCAAAGCGCATTTCCAGGGTTCGTATCCTCGTACGAGTGGAATCGACCCTTCATAGCGACAGTGGGCACACCACTCAACATGCCGAATACAAGTAGACCATCGTGACCAGCGACTAATTACAATTAAATTAAAGAGAAAGTTAGAAATTGGAAAATTGATTTTAGAGGAAAAAAAAATTCATTCTTACCTGTTGATTGTGGGAAATCAGGGATTTCTTTGTATTTAACAATTTGACTGTTAATCAGTTGATCAGTGATTCCATTTAAACCTGATCCACAAATTATACCTAATTTAGGTTTAATTGTTGTCTTACTTGAGATGAATTTAGCAATTGCTTCAACTCGTTCATAATTGTAACTAAATTCATTTGGTGTTGATTCACCGTTACAATTAACACCATTATTGTTAATTGTAAGCTGAGTTGGAGACATTGTCTCTAAATTGTTAACAGGTATTTACTTAAATAAACTTTAAAAACACAAAAAAATCTGTTATGTTGTTAGTTGAGAAACTAAATCTAATTTGATTGTAATCACTTTGTTTCAATGGTATCATTAAATATAACAATTAATTATCATTACAATCATTGATTTTTATTTGATTACTTTGTAAATCATGTTTATTATTATCATTAACCATGGAAAAAACTTAAGAGATTAATTAGAGACACAAAGACGGTGATAATTGATTAATAACAGTTAAGAAATTAGTTCTTACCTGTAACAATTAACAATAATTACTTTAATTGGTAGACTTGTAATTGGATGATAAGTTAAATCTTATTTGTTTACTATCAATATTATACAATTAAAAATGATTACAGTAATTGTCTAATTACATCTTTTTCTTTCTCTTAGTATCTTGTTTTTATTACTATTAATTGTTGATTTAGATAAAAAAAATTGATTATCATCCATTAGATTAATCAAAACTAAATTATTTCTCAACTTTAATCAACAATTTATCTTTTTTTTAAACATTCACATTGAGATATTAAGCTTAATACTTGACTTAAAGTTGATCAAGTTTGGCATTTAATTGTCGTAATAAAGACAAATTTGAATTGGATTAACTCGACGATTAAATTGTTAACAATTAAGAATTTTGACTATTTCACCGAAAGTTTTTGTGAGAATAGAATTTTCTCTCGAGGAATAGCCCAAGTGCTATTCTCAGAGCATTTTCATTTTCTTTTCAATTGTTTCAATTTTCCTCTCTTATGATAATTAGTTTTGTCTCCTTTTTGTTGACTAATTTATTTTCTAATTAAATTGATTCTTTTAATTATGGTTAAAGGTTCACCTTCAAGTTCTAAATTAAATTGTACAGATAATGTATGGAAACGTATGTTTACTCCTAATTCTTCATGGGAAGATAAGGTAAGACATTGATTCAATTTGTTTCTCTTAATTTTCATGATTCTATTGACCAATTTAACTGTTTGATTATTTGTTCAATTTGCTTAATTGCAGGACCAATTTTTGGATGTAATTTATTGGAGTAGACAAGTTTTGGCCATTTTCATGGGAATTATTTGGGGATTTTTAGGTATCTTCATTGTTATGTTTTCAACATTTCTTTTTGTACATTGATGATGTTGGAGATTTTTTCTATTCCATAATAGATTAAGTCATGTGTTTATTTTAATTGAAATTCTTTTCTCTTTCCAGGAATTACCGGCTTCTTTGGTATATCTTCTTTTGTTGCTCTTAATTCAATAGCAGTTTATTTGTATTCAGGTGAGTTTCATCTTATTGATTAATTGTTCTCTCAACTAATCCGTTCTCCTTTCTCTCCTTTCAATAGTAAGATTTAACAATGACACTGAAGATATAATGGAATTTGTGAAAGAAGGTTTCATGACATCATTTGCTGGATTTCTGGTAATTTCAATCAATTAATATTTTCTTGTCAATATTCTAAATTTACCTTAACCTATTTAAGTTAAAGAACTTGTCACAATTACTAATTGTTTTCATTTAATTCTTCCCAATAGGTGACATGGACCATGATGTATTCAGCGATTTATTTTTAACATCAATTTACTCAAAATTTGATTTAGATAATTGTCTAGATATTTTTGATTTTTGTATAAATTATTTCTTATTGGTTAACTGAAACCAATTGAATAAATGGATTGTCATTCAAGTGAGATGAGAATCACCTGTATTCATCTTGGCCTTACAAGAGATCTAATCAACTTTCAGTTTGGTCAAGTGAAATTACGGTTATTCTCTAACTGAGAATAATTATAATCTGAATTCAATTTAAATGGATCACGAATATTGGTGATATTTTCTCCATTCAGATCATGGAGAAAAATCTTCAGTCAAAATAATGACAAATCAAAAAAAAAGGTAATCGAGGTCAACATTAGATCCTAATTGATTTTCAAATTGAATCAAGGTGACAATTTATTTTCAATTGAAAAAATTTTGATCTTTTTGTCAACATTTTTACTAATCGCTTGATCAATGTGATTAACTGTAATTTCACCTCTCTGGTTACAAACTCGAACCGAAGTTCATTTTTTCGGTAAATTAGCCTGGAAAAGTGGCCTCAGAATGGAAACTCTTGTACATTGACCTGAAGTTAATTGACAGCATAGATTAAGGACTAATTCTTGACGACTTAATCTCATGATTGTCACTCGTTTACAATTCACTAGGATTGATAACAATCAACTCGATCGGAAAAACACTGTTGACAATTTCACTAAACGAGAACGATAATAATTATAAAAAAATGACATTTCGAAAATAGTGACAAATGAAATGTTACCCAAATTTAACGACTTTTATCAATTATTTCAAACAGGGTAGATTAATGAAATAGTAGATTTATTCATCAATAAGATTTAATATCAATGAAACTCTCATGACATTCACCAATAAGATGATGAATCGAATTTTTGTTTTTGATGAAAAACGATTAGTTTTTTGTTTGTTTTACCACAAAAAAAAGCATTAAGAGTTTCTTTTCACATATGTAAGGCAAGTTTGAAAATATCATGTTCCACAAAGAATGAATCTCCGAGAGGCTTTAAGACAAAAACCTGGTTAAAGGTGTGAGGTGGATCATCATCTGTTTTAAGTTGACCAAGAACAACAATTAAAACACCTCCATCAAAGGTTGGCTGACAATCAACGGTGGTAACAACATGTTTTATTGTCTTGAATGTTAATCCTTGTAATTTTTCCATTATTTTAACTCGACCCAAAAGCTGTTCTCCCTCAAATGTCATCAGAGAATTGGTTTCCTGAGGGAGAAAAGATTGAGAAAAGAAAAAGAAGGAAATAAATAGAATAGAAAAGAATGATGGAAATAAAGAGAAATCAGACAGACAGACATGGAGAAAGAAGAAGAGAGAGAAAAAAGAAAAGTCAGAAAGGACATAAAAGAAGAAGAAAAAAAAAAGTAACAGTTAAATGGAGAACAATTTTGAATTGGAAAAAGACAAATAAGCTCTACAAAGATAACCTCGTGTTCTATGGTAAAGTAATTAGAAGAGGAGACAAAGAAGTTGGTCAAAGGGGTGAAGAGAAGTGAAGAATTGGTCAAAAGTGGACAATAGATAAATTTGGAGGAAAAGAAGATGAAAAGGAAATACAAGTTACCGAATAGAGAGGGAGGATACCGGCTCTCAAATTGGGATCATCGAATAAGGTGTAATATTGTTGAACGAAATTTTTTCCAATCTCAGCGTAATTAGGATTGAGTGTCATGATTTGTGATTAATTTGATTAGAAAATGGGATTAAACAAAAGGGATAAAAGACTGAGAAAAAGTAAAATGAACAAACAAAAAGTAAACACTGAATGAGAAAGAAAAAGGGAAAAATATTGAAAAGAAATTCAAGTTGTTCTTTTTCCCTCCACCAGATGGAACTTTCAACTCTTTTTCTATGGAAAAATGTAAATATTTTAACGATCCCTTTGGTAATTTTTATCGTTTTTTTAATTGTTTCAAGTTTAGAATTTTAATTTTCACAATCAGGAGAAACAGGGTTAATTGTTAAGATTTAATTGGAACTGAAAAAATAACATAGGCTCAAGTGGAAATGATGAACTGACTCAAATGTTGACACTTGCCGACAATTTGAACATTGGAATGATCGGAAATCAATTAACCGCTACCCGAATATAAAAACCCGCTAACTAAATGTAAACATTGAAATTTTTTTTTCTTCCTTTTAATTGTTGGTGAGTAAACAATTAGATGGATTAATTCTGGTTCATTTTGATACTTTAATTCAGTGAATTTGAATTTACCAGATTTTTGGGTGTATCTTCTTGTCTTCGTTACTCTTTGGTTATCTCACTTTCTCTCTTTTTATTGTTCTCTGTCTGTGTTTCTCTTTCTTTCTTTCTTTCTTTCTTTTCTCTTGTTTATTGTTTTGAATTTTGTTCTTTTCCATTTTTTTATGTTTATTTCTTGTTTGATTTTGTAAGAGAAAAAGAAATGACCAAACAATTTGATGATTCTTTTGATGATTTATTCTGTGCCACCGAATTGATACCTGAAAGAAAACAATCTCGTAAAGAGCCAACAAGTCATTATGTGTAAGTGTTTAAGCTCCGTGTCATTAATTTACAATCGAATTGATTATTTTAATTTACCTTAATAATCTTGGTTTATTTCTCTTTCTCTCAGGGAGGAGTATCTCAGAACATTCAAACATGAGGATTACTTGTTTAAATTGAAAAGACAATCGATTGAAGTACAATTGAGAAGCTGTCGTTTTCGCAGTATCGCCTGGAAGGTTTGTCCATAATTATCTCTTCTTTAATTGGTCATTTTTTTTATTCTAATTCTTGAAATATTTTCTATTTCTTAGGTTTTTCTTGACTGTTTACCAGACCGATCTGAAGATTGGGTGTCCACTACTCGTACATTTCGAGAAGAATATCAAGCAATTCGTGATAAATATGATACGAATCCTTACCAACATTCTAATCATAATTTTGAAGAAAATAATCCTCTCTCTCAAAAAGAATCGGTAATATTTTCTATTAATCAGCTGATTATTATCTATTCGCTTACTCGGCTACTAAATTTATCTATTTTTTTTTCCTCAGAGTGTTTGGAATAAATATTTTCAGGATAACGAATTGAAAACAACAATTACTCAAGATGTTGTCCGAACCTTTCCAGAGATTGATTTCTTCCAGAGTAAATCTATGCAAGAGATGATGTGTAACATATTATTTCATTTCGCCAGAGAAAATCCTAAACTCGCCTACAAACAGGTAACAATTACCTTGAACCTTAATCCTATTCACCGTCATAATCTAATTCATTTACTAATCAATTCCCAGGGCATGCATGAACTTTTGGCTCCAATACTGTTTGTAGTTAACTCGGACCAACAAGCTTTGCTTCATGCTAAAGATTTGCATCTTTTAGAGTAAGTGATTAACTATTATTAATATTTCTTCACAATTAACACTTTCTAATTTAATTTTCTTCCTTCTCTTTAGAAACGCTGATGAATCGATTCGGTAAGAAAAACCAAACTCTCGAATAAGCTTGTAGATTCTATCATCCGATTCACCTTTTAATTTTGTTTCTTTCTGAAAAATGATTCTCATCAGTGATGAAATTGAAGAGCTTCTTAATCCTGATTACATCGAACATGATACTTATGTTATGTTCCGTCAAGTGATGGACACCGTTGAGCCTTGGTACAGTCATGAGATGATTTCCTTTAAAATGGATTCCATTAATTTCGAGCCTTTTTCAACCTCATTGGAACCAAGTTCATGTTCTGTCTTAGGAATTAAGTTGAGATTCATTAACGAGAAGATTTTAAAACGAGTTGATCCCGAACTATATTTTCATCTATTCAACATGACAATCGAACCTCAAATATTTGGAATGTAAGTGATACAATTCCGTTAGAATTAAATTTAAAATGGTTCTATTTTTAATCGGAAAATTTTTCCATCCTTTTAATAATCAGCCGTTGGTTAAGATTATTGTTTGGTCGTGAATTTTGTCTCCAAGATCTTCTAGTCATCTGGGATGCCGTTTTCTCGGATGGAATTTCCTTCTCTCTATGTGATTACATATTTGCTGCTATGTTAATTGTTATTCGAGATATTTTACTTTCTAGTAATTACTCACAATGTATGAACCATTTAATGCGATATCCAAGTATTCCCGATACTCAATTTATCATTGATTTGGCTCTTCATCTTAGAGATCCCGTTGTAAGTGAAGATGTTCAACTAATTTTTCGATTATTGTTTATCATTATTTTCTAATCTATTTCTTCACAATATATTTTTCTCCAAAAAAAATATCTAGAATTACTCTAAGCCCCGTGGATTTACAGTTGAGTGTAATTCTATAGAAGTTAAACCAAGTCCAATTCACGTTGTTCTTCCTGAAATAGTTGAACAAAGAATAGTTCAATCGGCATCAAATGCATCATTATCATCAGCAGCTCGAGGGCCACAGGCTAATCGGAGCTCTGAGTCGTCTAAAATTCTGAATCGTCCAAAAACATTACCCATACATCAGGTTAATTTCACAAAGAATCAAAATTCAGCTCAACATCAACGGCCTCTCAGTGTTAATGAAAAACAACAACAGAATCAACAATCAACATCATCCTCACAAAGATCATCAAACGGAGCATCAGCATCTCCCACTAAAGTTGTAGATCACCCGTTGGCCAATCCACTCTTCTCAGACGATGCATCTTCGTCAGGATATTCACCAACTCAACCTTCATCTTCGGGATTCCCCTCAATGATTACCAAGAAAAGAGCTCAAGAAATGAAAGCTTTTGGTAAACAGACTAATCTTAATGGCAAAGAATTAGATTATTGTTGTGAACTATTATCCGATCAGATTGAGATTTTACAGAAAAATTTAGCTGATGAAGAGCTGAAAAACAGTGATACAATCTTCTTGTCAATCGCTAAATTGAAAATCGCTCGAGATTTCCTGAAAGGAACATTAAAATTAAATTAATTTGATTAAAACAATCAATCCATCATTAATCTCATTCGAACCCTTTAATTTCTAATTTGTATAACATTTAATGGAAGAAAAAAATACAATCAAGGTGTAAATTTTTTATAAAAAGAAAATAACATTTTCATTATCTAATATATTTTTAACTATTTCCACTCTAAATTGTGTTAACAATTTAAAAATCATTTCTCTAATCAAATCAAGTAAATCCTAAATAAAAAAACATCTAGTTGTCTCTCTTAAACCATCAACAAAATCAATCCACACAATCAACATGGACTTTAACTTTCGAAAAGGCCTGAAGGCCGAAGCTCTGAACAATCGCTCAGTTTTGAATTACAGAAAAAGTGGAATTTTTGTCGGGTCAATTGAGTGGAAAATCACAAGACGATTAGGCCCATTTGCACTCGGATTTACCAGCCAAACAAAATTCAAGTCCATCATTAATAACCAAGTGTAATAGTAAAGAGAGAAAGAACAGTTAATTTTAATGTTCGAAACAGTAAATAAAAGTTTATAATTGTTCGAGTTTTATGTTTGAGGTGAATTTCTTTTCTTTTGTAAGTTTTATTTTCTTAAGGTTGAATTTTGTACTATTGATATTGCTTAATTTTCTACGAATTTGGTATCGGAAGATAATTAATCCTTGCTAAAAGCAATTATTTAAAGAAAAGTAAGTATATTTAGCGAGTTTGATTTACCTTTAATTAGTAAAATTGAAGAGCTCGAAAAACAGCTCGACTCAAAAAAGACAAGAACTTTATTAGTTATTCTATCGACCGGTAGATGGAGTTAAATTTAAATTTATATTTGCAGTCTTGATATCGGAAGCAGAATTTAAGTTGATTCCTTTTTCTGTTACATTATATGTGGTTTTTAATTTGATTTCTTTTTTTTCTACAATTAATTAAGTTAAGGTTCTAATTTTTTGTCAAAATGATTTTACTCAATAGAATATCATTAATATTACTTCTTCTAATACCTTTAAATTTAATAACTCCAAGTAAGTTGCAATCATTGTTAATCTAAAATATGTCTCTTTCTATTCAATTCTTTGCTCAGTCTTGTTGTCCACTGAGAGTAACTTTCAACCGGGTTACTCTTATGTGTAGCACTTACGTGGCAACTTAGATTCTCATGTCACATTTTCTCATTTTTTTCTCTTCCAACTTATTATCTACTAGTGTTTATTTTTATTATTTTTTCTATTACAATAGTTTATTAATATCAATTGTGTGTGTTTTCTAATTTTGTTATGAATCTTTTTGTTCTTTTTCTTCAGGTTTTCCTGGTGTAGATGCTGCTGATTCTAAAAGTGCCGGTAGTGATACTGTAGAAGGTGAAGATGAGGCTGCTGTTGAGGAAGAAGGTGCCGTCACTGGAACTGGAGAAGAGGAAGATGATGGAGGTTCTTTAAAGCCAAGTCCCGATGTGGATACTTATTTCATGTTCACAAAACCAGCTGGAAAAGGCTTAGGTTGGTGTTAACCTTTAAGATTTTCCTTTCCGGAGAGATGTTCACTTGTCACAATTGTCCAATCTATTATTTATGTTTATATATAATATTTGAACTAATTGTTGTTTTTCCTTCTTTTTGTTTCTCATCAGAATTACCTGCTAATTCAGATGCCCACTTTTTAGTTGGATTTGCCAACAGAGGACAAAAAGACTTCATCATTGAGACCATGGATGCTTCATTCCGTTATGCTATGGATTTCAATTTCCATATTCAAAATGTATGTTGATCTACACTGAAAATTACTGAACAAGAATCAGTATTTTAATGAGTGAAATCCTTTGAGTGTACAGTTTTAATCACAATCTTTATCAAGTGAGTCTAAGTCAATTGCTGAGACTGCAAATCTTGAGTTGTCTGTTTATACATCTCGCCTTACCCATGCTTAATCTTTCAAACATCGTCATCAAAGATGATGTGTTATAAGTATTACCTGTTGAAACTATTCAAACAATTTCACTCATAAACACTGGTCTTCAAGTCTAATTTAAACAATCTAATAATCATGTTCCCTTTTTGATTCCAGTTCTCTGCTATACCTTACAACAAAATCGTCAAACCAAACCATGAAACTACATTGGCTTACTCTTTCTTCATAAGTGAAGCTTACAGCACTCGTCCCTATGGTTTCACTGTTAATCTACTTTATAAAGATAAGGTAATGTTGATGCTAATTATGATTTATCCTTATCTTGTTTAATTGCAAACTAATTTGTTTATCCTTTTAATTTCAGGATGGTAATCAATTCATGAATGCTGTATACAATGAGACTGTTAATATTACTGAAGTTGATGAAGGATTAGACGGTGAGACCATTTTCCTCTACATCTTCTTGATTGGATTAGTTGGTCTATTGTTATTTGGGGCTCAACAATTAGTTCTTTCCATGAGCGTAAGTTACTCTTTATTATTTTGTTAATTTAATCATCCAATTGATTGGAAATTATCTATAACGATCTTTTGTTTCTCGTTCTTTAGAAAAAGCGAACATCATCAGCACCCAAGCCTAAAGTTGAAGTTGGAACTGTTAGTACGACGGATGTTGATTACGATTGGTTACCACCCGAGACTCTATCAGCAATCAGTAAGTTGGAATGAAAAGCGATTTAGACTAATATTGAGAGAAATGTAAAATCCAATAAACAAAACTAATCTCATTCTCTTTTCTTTTAAAATTACAGACAAATCGCCAAGAAACAAACAATCCCCTAGGCAGCGAAAAGTGAAAAGAGGAACTGGTTCCTCCGAAGATAAATAGTTAATCATAGATGAATTTATTACAAAAAATTGTATTTTACACTTAAATGGTGCCTATATAAAAGGGAAAAAAACAACAAAACGATTCCTTACAAAAACTAAAACGATAATTCCAGTTAATGCTACAATGATCTCATTCGTTTGTGGTATTATAGCATTTTTTTTTCTCTCTCTCCACTTGATCTACTACTAAATCTAGATCAAAAATCAAAACACAATCTAAAACAACAGGGATTGTGACCAACAATCAAAATTAGATGTGATTACCAACAATACTCAACTCAAATTGTTGATCTTACATAACAATTTATTCCTCCATCGGTCTTTGGACCAACTTTGAATGTCGATTATAAACTAAAAGGGACTAATCCAATTTTCGGGAAACAAAATCAATTAGGGAATCAATTTTTGATCTAAATACAGTTGAAATCAAATTAATCACGAGCTTCTCAATTCAACAATCAAACGGAATCTTCATCTTAATTTGACTTTATCGCCTTAATTTGTTTACAATTATTTTGATTACCTGATGTTAACAAACAAACAAAAAAGGATTAACCAAAATTTGGATAAGCAATAAAAAGGATCGATTGAATCAATTAATCAAATCTTAATCAATAATATAACAACTTGACAATATATAAATCCAATGATCACAAAATCCAAGTTGTCAACGTCAAGAATATAAAAGATTAGTTGTCAAATATGATAAACTGATTAATTAACGTTAATATGAAAGTTAATTGTTAGCATCATAAAGTAATAGTAACAATCAAATTAACTTAAATGAAATACGATGATTGAAACAATTGAATGAATAGTTTTCTCAATTAACTCTGACAGAAAAGTCATTCACAAGTCTTTAACTGAATGGACAATTGAGAAAATAAAAATAACTAGAAAGTTAATTAAGTGAAATTAGAATTGATTGTTGGTGTAAAAGTAAATCATTAATTAATGATAAAAAATCAAATCGGAATCTAAATAATTTGTATTATTGTAAGTTGGCAATTAGAGTGACAATAAATGAGCCATGAAACTAAGTCAGACTAAAATTAAACAACCTTGTCATCCTTTGATGATCACAATCAAGAATCGCAATCAAGGATCGCAATCAAGAGTCACAATCAAGTTAATTTTTCTCGTTCAAAATGAACCTAAATTTCAACTCTTTCAATTGAATAACACAAGATGAAAGATTAATGAGATTAACAGAGGATTAAACGATAATCCTTACACTTAATCGTAACCAGGAAAGTATATTAACATTGATTAGTAAATTGTGTTTTCTTTTTGTTTCTGTTGTTTATTTTTAATTGTTGAGGTCACTAGGCTCATGAGTAGTTAGTTAAATTTGATATTTTTGGTTCGCAATGACAAATTAGTGGTTAGGAAAATAACAATGATTGTGTGTTAACTTAATCAACAGAACTTGGCAACAATTAACTTCTATTTTAATTGTATTATCAATTTGACTACTGTTTCTCACTTTAAGCCAACCCTAATCATCAACAACAATTAAGTAAATAGCATAGAGTAAAAAAATATCATAACAACAATCAACACGATCACAATCACGATGATTAAGTTAATTGTGTAGTTTATTTGATGAAAATAGTTTTGATTGCGATGATTTTGTCTTGGAAAAAAAAAACTTTTAATTTTGATTAATTGTTAATTGTTTCGTTGTTTTTTATGTAAATAAAATATTAATCGTTGTAATGATTAAAACATCATTGATTTAGATAATAATTGTTGCGGTATTAATAATAATCAATAGTAATAATTGTAATAATAATTAAAGGATTTTGGGATTGAATCAAATGTGAATATGAATTAAATCAGCTGACGGAATTTAAATTGTTGCTTGTTAATTACAATTACTTTTCATTGAACAGCAAAGGAACATTTTTTTTCTTCATTTAGTGAGTATTTGTAATTGTTGGTTAATTGTAACAATTTGATGATTCTCACTTGTTCTTTCTGATTAATTTAATTGTAATACAATTGTTGTTCATTTGTTAATTGTTACTTTTTCTTTGGTAAATTTTGTTGATAATAACAAGGAAAACACAACGAAATCAAAACAATGACTTTGACTAGAAACAGTTGATTAATTAAATCATATATATAAGAGATTCAATTAGAAGATAGTTAATTATGGCAATTAAATTGGCCTGATGTAGAAATAAAAAATTGATAAATCACATTTTTGATGATCACAATTAACGGCACAATTGTGATTCTATATGTTCAACAATCCAAAAAGATCAATCAATTAACTGTTGAATGATCAATTGATGATGATTTTGTTTACGATGAAATGGTTGACAATTAAAAATTATTATTATTATATTTTTGGAATTGATGAAATCAGCATTTAGTTGATTGTTGGACAATTTATCAAACCATTTACTGATTTAGTCCAACAGTTTTTGGCACTTTTTGTTTGTTTGTTTGTATCACAAAAGATCATCTAACAATCAAATTAAAATATCTACAATCAAAATGATCCTTAATTGTATCCATTGACCATTGACCATTGTGAGATATCAATTGTTGGCACAATAGTAAATTGTTTACAGTTAATTATTATTGTTATTATCATTATTATTGTAATCTATTGGTATCGATAGTTTAATTGATTGTTAAATGTAAGTCTTTTTCGTTTCATCCAATGTAATATTAACTAAATTAGTTAATTGTGGTTGTTTGGTATCACATGGAACTAAAAACTGTGGAGTTGTCGACCTGAAATCAGGTGAAGAGGGAGATGTTGGTGCTGAACCATTTCCGAATCGAGGTTTCGGTGAATTAGATAAATGGATTCTCTTGGGTGGAACAGAGATTCGTCTAATTGAATGGACTACATTGGATAAATGTTGACTTCGAAATCCTTTACTGATAAAATTGAGAATCATCGACAGATAAGCGAGGCCAAAGATGATCCAACAAACCGCTGCGATCTTATAAATCCAAACCCACTTTTGATAAAATTGACCTGAGAAAGTTAATTAAGAAGGTCGAGTAAATAGAGAAGATCAATTTTAAACTTTCGATGGAAGTTGATTGAAGTTATTGACAAACCTGGAACCAAATCGCCAAATCCAATGGTTGAAAGTGTAACAAAACAGTAGTAGAAACTTTCGAGGAAAGTCCAGTTCTCGATAATTTGAAATAGAAAGGCGGGAATAATGAGGAATACGATGAACCATGGAAGAAAGAAGAGCAATGCATGACGAAGAACTAAAAGTTTATGAGAGAAAACACGATGAGGATCCTTCCTAATTCGACTCATCTGAAAAGAGAAAAGAAAATTGAACATTTCGATTAGTTACTTTTCCAACTTGGAACAAAATAAAAAACTTTTCTCACCTTATTAAGAAAACATCGACTAAAACGATCACCGATAGCACCTAATAATATACCGGTCATTGGAATGCCAAATAATGCATAGATAATACAAAATATACGACCCGCTGGGGTCGAAGGTGACAAATGACCATAGCCCACCGTAGTGACCACAGTTATCGCAAAGAAAAAGGAATTGAAAAAACCCCATCTCATTGAATATTCTGGATCGAGGGCCGATTCACGTTCACCGATAATGTTCAACATGTTATTACGTCGCTCGTCATTTAATTCATTAGTTAAATTCATGTCTATTAAAATATCTTAAGAAAAAGAGACAATCAACAATTAGAATTAAGTTTCCATCATCATCATCACCAATCCTTGGGATTATCAAAATGTGAAAACTACAAATGAATCTTTGAAAATTAATTTAATTGTAAAAACTTTTCAATTTACTTTCAACTGTTTATGTTTCATTGGTAAATTGTGTTGACAATTTGTTGTTAAAATTACATTTTAACAAAATTAATTGTAAACTGATCCGTTTCAAATTTAACTGAATCAAGATGATTGACTAGATGGGAGTAAATTAATATGTAAACTTTGTATAATTTAGTTGCTAACAATTTAGATTGACAGAAATACAAGAATTAAATAAATCTCTCTAATTATCTTAACAATTTACTAAATAAACCACAAAGTTTACACTGAATTATTATTAACTCACATTGAGATGGGGAAAAAAAAGCTAATTGACTTTTTAATTAACTTAAATTGGTTCTTTTGTCATCTGATTAGCAGTTTATTTAGATTGTTAATTGTTAATTGTGTTGATTGTTTTACCTTTAATTTGAAGTAGTGTGTCTCTTTCCCGTTCTTTATCTGATTCGGACTGAGCTGATTCCAGAATCATGAAAACGGTTCCTCCAATTACCACATAGAGTATAAAGAAAAGTAGAAGGCAAAATAATTGCCGAAGGTCCATTGAAATTGCCTGTTAATTAATTGTGATTAAAGAAGACGTCGAGTCAATTAACAGTCTGATTAACTATTCGAAACAATTAAATGGACAATTTGATTACATTTCATGTTTACATTTACAACTATCGATGAACTTGACAATTGATACACCGAGTGTGTCTGTTTAGATTGTTTGATTTACAAGGTTGACAAATTGAAGCTGATTAACACAATCAATGAATTAATTTAGTATCAAATTGTCAGACAATGAAATAATTTAAATTATTGTTATTAAGATTATGGATTAATTTGTATGAGTTAATTGTATCTTTGATGGGCATTAGAATCTTTCCTTTTCAAACTTAATGATAATTAGTCTAATCGATTACAATTAAGCCATATATTCAATTGTTAGACTGTTACATGGCCAATTAACTGATTGTTACCGATGTAATAATTTGACAGTTTAAATTGTTCAAATGAGATCATGATCACAATTAGTAAAATATGATAATCCTTTTGCAAGGTGATGACCATGCCCTGTCAATCAATTTCCTGGCAATTTATTTATCACAACAATTAACCGATAGTTTCATTGATTATCCAACAGAAAACAAGAAAAATTATCAAAAAATCAACAGTTTAATCAAAGAGTTACAATAATCAGTTGATTGTAATAGAACCTAAAGTTAAATTATCCCGGAGAGAAATTAATAACAATATCAGCTGATAGACTATTGGACATGTAATCAATTGATTTAGTTAAATTTGTAGCAATTTCTACAGAAAATTAACCAATCACAATCAAAACCATTTCTCCATTTGAATTACTAAATTTGAAGTTAATTCTGTTTGCAATTATAATTGAATCGAAACTGGATTAACACCTTAACCCACGTTTTCTTGTATCTAACTAACCCAAATCTTAAGAAAGTTTATCTTGATTCATATCAATTTTTAATTCTAATTAACTGGTTAATTATGTGGATGAATATAATTAACTCTTGATTAACAGGATTAACTTTAAATTTCCAGTGTCTAATTGTAACCATTTCAAAAGTTGTCTCGTTTTCTCAGAGGGAATAAACTAAATCTAATTGGGTTCACATGCCAACATACAACATATGATGTATCCAGATGATTAACTAATTGTCCCACAATCAACTAACAATCAATTTAACCAACCAATATATTCAACATTGTCTTGCAAATCCTAAAATAATTTCAACTTACACGGATACTAATCAATTAGAATCAATGGAAACAATTGAATGAATCAAAATTTCATACAATTAGAAATCTAATTTTGTAGCAATTTGAATTTCCATCAGTTTATCAATCAATTGGTTATTATAATTGTTTCTAATTCATTAATTGATCTGCTCGTTCACAGTAACCAAATGGTTAACCAAACAATTAACAATCGTACACTTAATCGTCAGGAAAAAACAAAGGTTCGAGTTTAGAAATAGAAAGTAACTAAATTGCTATTGGAAAGTTGGCAATCGTAATTTAATTAGACCTTGGGTTGGTTAAATGATTTAGTTTCTCCAAAGGGAACAACTCAATTTCTGGGTTAACCTTTAAACCTTTCCTAATTGTGGAAATCATCATCTCTCATCTTTCCACAATTTAAACTAAATCAACAGATGAAATAGTTAACCTACTAAAAAGTAATTGATAGAAATTGATTATCACTAATAATTATCATCACCAAATTGTTCCCAATCAAAGGTAACAATTTAACTTGTACAAAGTTTATTGTAATTGTTGAAAACTTGTCACATAAGTTTAATTAAATAGTGAAAGTTTTTCTAACAATTATAATTGTTAATTCATTTGAATAAGATTCCTCTGTTTAAATATTGATGTGTGACTACAGGTTGACATTGGTTGTTAATTGTTGAAAAACAAATCAGAATTAAATTTATTTTAATTACTTTGAGAAAGAAAAACAAATAACAATGTAAAATTTAGTTAATTGTGATGGAGACAAAGATATTTAATTTATTAATTGTTAATCTTATGGTTGATTGATTATTAAATTGAAGTTATCTTACCTTTGGAATCATTTTGAAATAATTAAGATGAAATTTATATTGATGATGATTTGGATTTTATGATGAAAATTAACAATTTGTTAATCCACTAATTATTTGTAAATTGTATTATGTTGATTGAATTAATACAAAAACGAAACTAATTCAATTATTTGTTAAACTTTTTAAATTAAATCAACGTGGAGGATTGACCACAATTAAGTTGATAATTAAATCACATCCTTGTCTCTGATAAATTTTTGTTTTACATTTGAATTGAAAACTCACAATGATTAGTTGATTGTAAAGAATTTAGTTTTTATAAGTTGGAAAAAAAATCACAACAAATATCACGGAATTAATTTAATTGTTGTAAACATGATTGTTGATTGAGTGATGAAACAATTATGATGAAAAACTTGAAGCAAAAAAAAAAATAAGTGAAAAACTTAAATTGACGGACAACAATTAGACTGATTTAATTGTGATTATCCAAGATGAAGATGATTAAGTTGATTGTGATGATGATCCTTTGGAGGACATTGATGATAATGTTAATTGTTACTCTTCTTTGATTTTCTATTATTTTTTTTTCTCTTCAAATGTTTTCTTTGTTCATAAAACATTCGAACCTTGTCTTCTCATCGTCATCGTCATCCTCATCCTCATCATCACCATCTCTCTCTCTCTCTCTCTCTCTTTCTTTCTTTCTTTCTTTCTTTCTTTCTCTTCTCTCTTCTCTTGTCTTCTAATTTCTTCTTCATCTGCTGATGATGATGATAATGGTAAAAAAAGACAGAGAAAAAAAGGAGAACTCAATATTCCTCATCACCATCTCACTCTCACTCTCTCTTTCTCCCTCTCTTTCTCTCTCTTTTGGTCTCTCCCTTTGACGCCTTCTTTCTCTCTCTCTCTTTTCATCATCGTCATCATCTTCTTTGTCTTCATCTCTGTCTAAATAGTGTCTCTCTCTCTCTCTCTCTCATTCCATAGACTCTGATGATAAATTTTTCATTAAACCGAAAATTTAACCAGAAAATAAAAGTTAAACTCCTCCCGTGATAAAAAGTGATGATGAAGATAATTTATTTCATCGAACTGATTCTTGGCTTCATTTATGATTATCATCTGATAATCACGACAACACTTATTATCATCACAATCAACGACTCAGGTAAGCAGGATAATCAACATCTCCAATTGGAATAGAAGAAAAAACGAAAATAGAATCAAAAAAAAAATCTAATAACAATTAAAAGATTCTTGACTTGAATCATATTCCAATGGAGAGACAATATTTGTGTAGTTATGTGATTGTGATTGTTGACACAATTAAGTAAGATTAAAGATGGAAAAACAAGTAAATTGATGTATTCAGCTATTGATTGAAGATAATTGATTAGCTGATTAACTGATTAGTCTTAATGATCACAAATTTCACCAACAAATTGACCTTATCCAATGTCGCTGTTTTTTCCCAAAAAAATTGATGCTTTTTTATTTTTGGAAAGTCAACTTAAATTGTCACTTTATTTACAATCTACTCATCATCATTTGGACTTAATCCAAGAAGAAGACGATGAAAATAATGATCATGGTGATGAGGAAGATGAAAATTCTGAGAGATATTTAAATTCAGTTGAAAATCATGAGATTGAATTTTGATCAACAATAATAATAGAGTTCGAGAAGATGAAAAAAAATTAAGTTCAACAAGATTAAGGCCTATTGATAAAACCTTTTTCTTTTAATTTCTTTTGATTGTTGCTACAATTAACTGTCGTTCATTATCACAATTAGTAGATTGTGAGGTGATTATTGTCCTTGGGTTAAAGCTTTCAAGGTGGATATTGATTGTTATGAATTAAGATTAACTGTAAATACATAAAATAATATAAAAAAATTATTCTGATTGTTATCATTTAAATTGTCATGGTGAAGATTATTACATAACAATTAATAACAATTAGATACAACTGATTTTATCTAACTCTCACTGGTTTAATTAGCTTTCTCTCTCTCTCTTCAACTCTCAATTAACTGTAAATCATCACAATCAATTTTACTATCATTTCATATGATTACTTTTTCTCTTTACCCTCAATAATTATAATCATTAATTTGATTGTGATTCGAAGAGTATAAGAGTATTTATTAACTTCGTTTTAATTGTTCGGTGTTTTTTTTGTCATTTTCTTTTACGTTAACAGTTGATTGACTAATTAATTGGATCTAAATCATGACCGTTACCAATCGGAAGATCAGTGGGGCAACAGAGTTCCGTGAATTGACCAAGAAAGATGCTCCCGCTGTTCTCAGGTCAGAATTTGAGAAATTAACTCGAGATGTTCCCGCTGGTCAACGTGAACGACTTCTCCAGGATTTCCAAGGGTTCGAGAAACTATTCGCCAAATATATGGTCGAAACTGGACCTTCCATTTTCTGGGAGAAAATCGAACCCCCTCCGCCTGATGCAATTATCGACTACGGAGATTTACAAACACCCAACCTTGAACAAATTCGTTCGTATCTTGATAAGTTGGTCGTCGTTAAACTGAACGGAGGCCTTGGTACTTCGATGGGCTGTGTTGGCCCAAAATCGTTAATCGCTGTTCGTAATGGACTAACTTTCCTTGATTTAACTGTTCAAAACATTGAACAATTGAATAAAAATTACAACGTCGATGTGCCTTTGGTCCTGATGAACTCATTCAACACCGATGCTGATACCGAAAAAGTGTCCAGAAAATATCGAGGCTGCAACGTCAAGATTTACACCTTTCTGCAAAGCCGTTACCCTCGACTCAACAAGGAGACACTTTTACCTGTGGCCACAAGTATCGACGGCGATCCAGAAGATTGGTATCCCCCTGGTCATGGCGATTTCTATGATTCTTTTGCCAAATCTGGCCTATTAGCCGATTTCATTGAACAAGGTGAGTCTCGATTACTTTGAAAATTATATTCGGTGCAATTGATTACAACTGTACCGAATTACCTTGTATTCATAGCAATCAAAATTTTCTTACACAATTTAACCCAAGTAATAATTAGCTCTATGATCAGTTAATCAGAATTGTTAATGTGATAGTAAATTAGAAATGAATTAATTATCAGTATTTTTCTATCTCTATGGTTTTATTTTTCTATCTGAAGAGCTAATCTTTGATAATTCTACTTATATTTTGTACTCTCACCAACAAACATTTAATCACAATGATTACCGATTATATGGAATCTCAAAAGTTCATGAGAATAAAATCAACTGAAGATTATAATTAAAAAGTAAATTAACTTCAAGTTGATTAGTTAAAACATTAGACCTTTAGAGTAACTTAAACAATGGGAATAAGATCAAAGTAACAAACACTTAAATCAATCAACTGATCAATCCAATAAGATAAAATGATAAAAGACAATTAATGATGATGATGATCATTTTTCATTTTCTTCCAAATTAATTTAACTAATTGTTAACAGGTAAAGAATATGTATTCGTGTCCAATATTGATAATCTTGGAGCGACCGTTGATATTAATATCCTTAAATATTTACTGGACACCGATTCCGCTCATCGACCTGGTTTCGTGATGGAAGTGACCGATAAAACTCAGGCCGATGTTAAAGGTGGAACCTTAATTCTGTACGAGGGTAAATTACGATTACTTGAAATCGCTCAGGTACCAAAAGATCATGTGGAAGAGTTTAAATCGGTGAAAAAGTTCAAAATATTCAACACTAACAATCTATGGATGAGCTTAAAATCAATTGATAAACTGGTCACTTGCAACGGGATTCACATGGAAATCATTTCCAATCCGAAACATTTAGCCAATGGACTGAATGTTATTCAATTGGAAACTGCTGCTGGAGCTGCAATGAAAGATTTCACCAATTCCATTGGTATCAATGTACCTCGAAGTCGTTTCCTTCCGGTCAAAAAGACTCAAGATTTACTCTTAATCATGTCCAATTTGTATTCCCTTAATCAAGGAAGCCTGACCATCAATCCAGCTCGACCTTTTCCAACGATACCTTTGGTTAAATTGGGTGACACTCAGTTTGCCAAAGTTCGTGATTTCCTCCGTCGATTTGCTTCCATTCCCGATATACTTGAGCTCAACCATCTAACGGTATCGGGAGACGTGACCTTTGGATCGGGTGTTAAACTCAAGGGAACCGTTATAATTATCGCCAATCATGGTGATAGAATTGATATTCCTTCGGGTTCAGTTTTAGAAAATAAAATTATCTCTGGAAATTTAAGAATTTTAGATCATTAATTGATCGACAATACTCTTGATAATGAAAAGGAGATTTAATTATCTACCTGTTTAATTGCTGAAATTAATTCTAATAATTTTCCAATCGAGGAGACACACAAATACTAATCAAATTGTTATCATTGTGATCGAAAAAAATATCCAATTGTTTACCTTTGCGATCAACTGTCAATCTTGTGAAATCCTCTGAAATTTAAAAATTAAAGAGTCAATTACAATTAATTTAATCCACTCCAATTAATCAGTTTTGATTGTTGTTGAAAGGAAAACCATGAGCATGGTAATGATAACATTTCAATTACGTTGTCAAGGTTTTTTCACCTTTTCCAAAACAATAACAAAAGTTTGGTTGATATTTTTTTCCACTTTTTGTTGTTGATTTAATTGTTTATTTTACTAATTAACCAATGGTTGATTTAGACACAATTGAATCATCAAGTAATCAAGATGATACTCGAAGCCCTGGTTATCATTTTGTTTCCAATTTCCAATGGATGCAAAATCTAATTGAAAAATTGATTCTTCTCAAATATGATCAACAATTTTGTCCTGTTTACAAATGTCAACCTTTACACAGGTAAGAAGCTGATCTTTGACAGTTATGATTTCGTGATAGTTTGTTAATTGTTACACTTTTACCAGGTACTACTTTACGATTCAAACGAATCCCGGTGAACAATTTTACGTTTTTTCCTGTCTATCGGTTTGGTTGATTAAAGATAAATGTGGATTAGAATTGGAAACTGATCTTAATCCACAAGATTATGAAGATCCAAATGTTACCATTCATGGGATTCTAGATGCAGTTCGATTGATTGTCGATAAAGTTTCAATTGCTCCGAATAAAATTAAACAAGGTTATGGACCAGAAGTGATCTGGATCCTCAACACTTTAGCTGATTATGGATTAACCAAGAATCAACCAACTCGATCACCGATTGTGGTTAAACTTTTATCTGGTGATCAAGAGATTGAAGATGAAGATGAAGGTGATAAGATATTGGGTGGAGATGGTGATGATATTGAAATTAATTTCGATGATCAATTCACCCTATTAGATGATGATGATGATTATGGTGTTGATACTGTTGATGTTTATGGTGATAATTTGATGACTCGAAGAGAGATCAATCAAAATTCAACCTATCAAGAAGGAGAGATTATCTCTCGACCCCAAGGAATCATGATGAGTTCAGTTGATTCAGCTGAATGGAAATTAGAAGTAGAAAGAGTTCTACCTCAATTAAAGGTCATTCTCCGTTCATCTGACGCAAAAGCGGACTGGAGAGTCCATGTCAACGAAATGTATCACCATCGAGATGAGATTGAGAAACATTTCAATTCCACCTCAAGTGGACTGAGAAAACTGACCGATGAGATTTCTAAAGGAATGAATCAAATCTCTTCGAGAGAAAAATATCTTCAATTACAATTAGAAACTCTTACATTGGAATATAATTCATTGGAAACGCACCTTAAACAGGCCACCGAATCGTACAAAATGGTCTCCGGTGGGGTAACGGAAAAATCGAGGAGATTGGCCAACATATCGGAAGAATTGGATTCGGTGAAAGAGGAAATGGAGGAAAGAGGAACCGCAATGACCGATGGAACTCCTTTGATTGCAATTCGTAAATCACTCGCGACAATTAAACAAGAAATTATTTCTCTCGATATTCGAATCGGTGTGGCCATGCACACTCTCCTTCGAATTAAGATCACCGAAAGTACCAAAGATGTTCTTGAGAAACAACAACCATTCAAAGCCAATCGAATGGAACAATTGATTTTCTGATTGATTGTTTCTTCTCGAAATCATTTTTGTTGTTTGTTTTCGTTAATGAATATTAAGAAAAACAAATTTTCGTTTACAATTTAATTTCCATGTTTGTTTAATTGTAATGATTACTTGATAATTTTCATTGATTAAGTAAATTGATATTACATTTTAACAGAGAAGTGGAAAAATCCAGTGTATGTATAAGTAAAAAAAAAGGTTCATCCTGCCTTATAGTTTGATTGTTGGTGGCATTAGTCAGAATTGTGGTTAATTGGATTGAAAATAATATTATACAAAAATCAGATTAAATACTGAGATATTGACTGATTATAAAAATTGATAAAAAAAACAATTAAAATCCATAATTAGATCAGGAACTCAATGTGATTGGCTATTGGACACAATTGATTTTCCATGTTCAAATGTTGATTCTTTCATCAGCTCTTGAGTTATCATTAACTTTTTCCATCCATTACAAGGATCGTTTCTTGATGATTAATTGATTGTTGTCTTATTATGTCGTACATTTATTTATGACTCTAAAAATGTCATCAAATAAATTCGATTTTTTATCTAGATTTACTTTTGGCACAGATAAGTAATATTATCATTAGATAAATATGAGAGTGAAACAGTTTCTCATTGCCTGGTGTATTTTAAATTGTCGAGTTGATTGTTGTTATTTCTCCGTTGTTTAATTGTCGTCGGGTCGGTTAATTGGCACCGGACAGTTTTGGTGTTTTTAGAAAATATATATATCTGAATATATTTTCTTGTTGTAGTATGAAATGAGATTACATATCAAAATGGTATAAAGTACTAATGAAATGAGGGACACTCATTTTTATAATGAAAGTTGTTAAAAATATGATGGCTGATTTTATAAAATTATGAGATGAAATTGATGGCAAAAAACAAATGCTTGGAACGTCATTCAGATTTAACTTGAGTAATTTGAGTTTGCATTTCTTGATATAGTTGATACTTGTTGCCCTCTTTCACCTTTATCGGAGTTTTGAATGTCAATATATTGTCTAATGAGACGAGAGATTTCATGAGCCTATGGAGAAAGATGAAGAAAAAATATCATTAATTGCGAATTCATCGATAATAATTAGTCAAGTTGACTTTTTTTCTCAATTAATACTAACTTGATCAGTTTGAATTCTTGTAATCTTTTGAACCATCAGGTTACCACATTTCATGTCAAGGAAGAGAGTCTCGTCTTCAGCTCGGATCTTTCTAGTTGAGATTATTTGATCAAATGGATATTTCCAAACAGTTTCCTGAGAAAAAAAAATCAAATAAAAAAACGATTAAGTATTTTTTTCTCTATTATTAATGATCATCAACATATAATAATAAAGATTCTTACATGAGTTAAAATGTCTAAGAAGTGAGCTCCTTCTTTGTTTAAGGCTAAAATGTAATCAGGATGATTTGGTGAATCCGTTTGAATATACTATTTGAGAGAAAAGAGAATAGAGAAAAATGAATCAAGTGAGCAATTGAGCGAGTGAATGAGTTAGTGAGTGAGTGTGTCTGAGAGAGAGAGAGAGAGAGAGAGAGCGAAGATAAAAAGGATACTTACCCTGATCGCAAAGAAACATGAACCAAATAGAGGCCATTTTTGTAGAATATCTAAACATTGAGCTTTTGCTTCGGTTGTTGTTAAAGCTCCCATATCATTCCAATTGGCCTGAACCATTTCGACCCATTGAGGAGGACGGATCTCTTTCATGGGTAGAATGGGTTTGGGAAGAAGATACTTAACTTCATCTTTTGTTGGCTCATGATTCATATTGGCAGCCCGATGAAGAAGAGCAGCAATACGAGCAATATCAGAAATTTGATCATCCTTTAAACGTTCACCAGGAGTAATTAAAAGTAAACCTTCAAGGTAATCAGGTGCAACTTGATTAAAGATAACCTCAATGTACAGTTGACAATCAAGTCTTAATGGGAAATACCAAACGGATCGGCAGAAAATTAAATAAAAGGTTTGTCCATTCTTGAGTAATTCAGTGGTTACATCTAGAATGTACTCTTCTCGATTAAGAGGCATAGTGTAAAGATCTGACAAATTAATGGAAGAAACATTTGATTAGATAAGAGAAAAAATAAATAAATAGTATTGCCATTAATTGTAATAATATTTACCTCCGTCAATAATACAGTAAAGTGAAAATTCTTGCATTTCAATGGGGTTGTTAACATTAAGCATGGAACAAATTTCCTCAATAATATCAGACACCACGGTGCTTGATTCAGTGTTAATTATTCTCTCTGTTCCACCAGGTAATCTGTACATTTGTCTCTTTGAATTTCTACCTGCAGCAATAGCGGCAATTTCCTCGATACTTGGAACGTTCTTACGTCCACCATATTTCATTGTTTTACGTAAATTTTGCAGACAAACCATGGCTAAAGCATAATAGGCTCGTCTTTTATCATAAGCGGAGGTTTCAAGGAATTTGTGTAAATAAGGTCTGAGATTCTCGGAACAGTCGAAATAAGCGGCAACAATTGAGAATAATCTCCATCCACGTTGGCAACTGTCACTTTTTTTTCAAAAATTAGAAAACAAAAAATGAAAGATTAGATGAAAATCTTTTAAAAATCCAAAAACGTGCTAATGTTGAAAATTGATGGTTCAATTTAATTGTAGTTAACCAATTTCTTGGCAAAGGTAGCAAGAGTTAAATAAACAACAGAAACATCAACTCAGGTAATGTTGTAATTTAACTCATCAGGTAGAAAGACAAAAAGTGGTTGACTCTCATGGTTGATTAACTTACGGAATTGCACTCTTGTTATTTGTTGTTTGTTTCATAAGTTGACAGTAAACTTCATCCCGGAGTTGGGGCCATTGATAACAGTTCTGTTTTGACAATAAATAAAAAAAAGACAGGAAGAAATGATTAATATTCTGAAAAAGTCATACAAATTGAGATAAAAGTAATTAGATTAAATTAAAACTTACCACCAGAAGAGTGTAAACACAATCAACTTCTGTTTGATTTTTCATTAGCGGAAGATCACCCATGAATCTCATAATTGCTGATTAAATGAACAGATAAATGATAAAGTTAATTAAGTAAAACTAAAGAGTAAACAATTAGTGGTCAATAAAAGTATCTTACAGGCAAAACAATCAATGGCAATCTTGTTCAATTCCGATGGTGCTAATTTGAGCAATGAATTGGTAATAGGATTCTAGTGAACAAAAAAGAGAGAATTGAGTTAATTGTTAAGTGAACATTTCTAAGATAAATGTAATCGATTAGTATTGGAAACAAACCTTTGAGAACTTGACAAGATCGGACAATTCTCTCCAAGTCCAATCGGATCCATTTGCATTCTTCTTTTTGTTTTTCTTTTTAGATTTTAAACTTTCTATTAATTTAATTGATCCACTGAATGAACCGTCAGCACTTCTTATCAATTCATACCTAAAGAAAAGAAAATGTCACCAAGTTAAATCAAAACGAAATTTAATAACGAAGATAAATTAACTTACTTGTCAACAACATCACGGAAATTGTACAAAGCAAATTGCAATAAGGAAATTTTGCCATCATTCATATTTGAACTTTGAGTAATATCACTTTTACTGTCATCCACATGATCCTGAGGAGAAACACAAAAAGACAAAATGAAGAAAATTTAACAAACGTTAAAGTCAAACGATCAACAACAAAGAGAAATGAAGAGCGAGATATAACTTAGCCCACCTAAGAAAATCTTAGAGGATAAGGTAAATTTAAGATACAAAGTTTCAAGGTGAAAGATGGAGAGAGACACACACAGGGAGAAAGGTATAAAGTGGGCTAAACACTAGAGTTTTAGGTTAAAAACGAAAAGAAAGAGAAAAGGTAAGAAGAAAAAACAAACAAAGAGAAAAAAAAGAGAAAAGAACAAAATTAAAAAAAAGAACTTACATCTTTAGAGCTCATGATGATTGCCCCAGGATATTTAGCTAAAAGAAGAAAAGTTGAGAACAAGATGATTAGTAAGAAACACTTAATCAATGTGAAACAATCGATAACCAAAACTGTTGGTTAGTTAAAATTGGAAACAATTAAGATGGTTGATTAAATTATGAGCGATCACAATTAAGCTCAAGTTACAAAAACGACTGACAATCAAATCCAAACAGATAAAGAAAAGTTTCTATCAGATACTAAAAGATATTTGGAAAAAAATTGTCAACCAGAAAAAAGCGCAAATTTTAATTTCTATTTTGAGAAAATTTTTTCTCTCCAACAATTAACTTAATCAAACCATGGAAATAAATTTTAAATATTACAATTAAATCACATGAACAGCATGTTATCTGATTGTGTACAAACAATTAATAGACAATTGAAATGGAAAACAATTAGATGATCATGAGGTTTGATTGTTGATTAGAAACAAAATTTTGTTCGTCTAATTAAATTTGATAAATGACAATTAATTGCAGACAATTTGTAACAATTTAACTCTTATTTTCAGTATTTAAGTTGAATCGTAAAATATAAATCATTTATTATCATGATTAGTATGATTAACAATCAATTTGTGATGCAAGTGACAAGAAAAAAACACAAGCAAAACTTTTTTTTTCAATGCGTTTCAATTGAGACAATTAGCTAATTGTTATTACTTGATGTTATTATTTTAGGATTATAAATGATTATTATTGTTATGGTTAAAGATTTTAAATCATCTTCATTTTTTTTATTTAATTTTAAATTGTCTTGATTATGATATACAAAAGTAAATAGAAACACTTTCAGAAAATGAATCTTAAAATTAATTCATTTTTTGTTTCTTATTATTTATCATGTTATTAATTTAATTGTAGTATATTTTGTTGATTTGATTGTTTTTATGCACTGCTAATTCAGTTTTGCTATTTTAATCGACCTGATTCGGTCAACCGTTGATTGTGATCAACAAAATTGATGATGATTACGATTAATAATAAATACTTATGTTGATTGTGATTCATTGATTTGGTAATAATAATAATTTACAATTTAATGTTTATCACAATCAAAAATTCATGTTAACATTATTATTATTAATATAATTTTCAATCTTAAATACAATCAATTACAATTGTAATTTGTCAAACAATTTACAAAATATTTAGTATATTATATTGTTACTTATTTAACTTGGGCAACAATCAATCAGCTAATGATTAGTTAATTGTAATATTTAGGCCTTTCATTTGTTATTAAATGAATTTCCTACTCTTCTTAAGATATTAATAGTTAATTATTTGTCTAATTAATCACTTGGACAGGTTAATAATATTAACAGTGATAATTTGATTGTGGTTAATGAAGCTTTTAAATTGTTTGTTGTTACGTTTGATTAACAATCATGAGAAACCTAATTAATTAATTATTCATTATGATTCGCATGTTAATGATAATCATGTTAATCATGATGGTGGTTTGCTTACTATCAATGTATTATTTAATCATCGTTAACATTGACAATTAAAGGTAAACAATTAAATGGTAATTGAGAAAAAGGTTGGAAAATTTTTCTTCACGGTTACATTAACATGGGAAAACTTTGAATTACTTATTAATAGTTAATGATGATTAAAGCTGATTGTTGATGAATTTCAAATCATCATCAACATCAAGTAACATCAACAATTAACAAATTGTTACGCCTAAAGACAAACTTTCATCATTTAATCAGATTTGATTTGTGTGGGTTACAATTTGAGACAAAATTATTCAATAATCAAATCAATGAAATTAAAGCCAAGGAGAGGACAATTAATTTAATCATTGTCTAAATTATCACAATTAAAAAGTAAACATTACCTTATTAAGATTAATCAAAATCATCATTGGGTGTGAATCATGATGATTAAATTGTAATGACAATTTAATTTCAAATTTTAACTTTGAAATTGTTCAATTTTTTGAATAATTTAACGACAAGGTTTACACTTGTAGTTAGTTAATTGTTACTGTTAATTTATTATCATCTTTAGTCTTAATTGTTGCGTGTTTTACAGGACACGAATGTTAACCATTTACTAATTGTTACTATTAAATAAAATCTTGATAGTGAATCTTGTTGATTGCGTACCAGTCAATGATTAAGAAACTTTGATTAGTATCAAATATCAACAGAGTTAATTGTTTACATGCAATTTACTTTGGTAACCAAATGAGTGTTGATTAAGTTAATTGAATTGTTTTAACCGATACAAAAGAAACCAATTTACTAATTGTAAACTCGTCTAATTAGATATAATTAACTTTTTAAATACCAATCACGAATACAAACAATTAAACAACTACAAGCAAACTTAATCATAGACAATCAAAGACAAATATAATACTAATGGATAGGTAATGGTTAAGTTAATTGTTGAGGTTGTAAATCATTCACTTTCTGATCAGTTACTTAATTAGCTAATCTGTTAATCAACTTTCTCATAAAATTTGTAAATGATAGAACTGATTGTCAGGCTAATCATTACAATCTAATTGAATTGTGAACTTTTTTTCATGTAACTTCAGTTGATTGGATGAGTGATGTAAATGGTTGGTTGATTAATTGATGAGAAGCTAATTTATCAATTGATTAAAGTGATCAACAATTTACTATGAGTTAAATGCCCATGAAAGATTTAGGCTAATTAATTGATAATCAATATCACTCACCTTTATTCAACTGATTGTTATCAGTTGATTGAGTTAAATCTCCTTTTCTTGATTGTAAGATTGGTTCATTGGATGAATAGTTGACCATTGATTGAACATAATCCACTTCACTTTGCTGCTATTAAAATGTTAACAATTAAATGATGAAAACGAAGAAGAATAAAACAATTAGAATCAGATTGATTATTCCAATAAAACAAAAATCAAATGGACAATAAATTAAATCATATCATAAGTTTTGGATTGATGATGATGATCAATTGATACAAGAAAAGGTAAATGTATTTTGTTACTATTGTTATGATTGTTGTTGTTGATAATCAGTTGATTGTTGTCAAGTAATAACAAATCAATTTGAAGGTAATATTGGGACAAATAGAAAAAAAAAGTTTGATTGAGATAAAAACAAGATTGCGAAGATGAGACTTAATCACAATCAAGAACTAGCAAAATAATAATACAACAATTGTAATAACAATTCATCATCATGATCCGGGAATCAGAGGGATAACTTTGGATGGGGAAAAAATGATTACCTTGTTGGCTTCAGAACTGAAGGTATCAATCATGGCTTTGATTTGGTTTGCCTGTAATCACAATCAAGAGTAAAAGAGGTTAGAGAGAAGAGAGAGATGAAAGATGAGAGGGGAGGTGATGATGAAGAGAATTCGGGAGAAAAAAGAAGAAAAAGAAGAAAAGTCAAAAAGACAGAGAAAAAAAGTTCATATTTAAAGCAAAAATCTAATATGAGATTCAGTTTGGTTTCTTGTTTCAGTTACTTTCTTGGTCGAGATCACATCATTATTATCATGTTCAGCGTCGACGATTTTGGATGACAGAAAGAAAGAAAGAAAGAAAGAGAGAGAGAGATATGATGGTGAAAGAGAGGAAATTTAGACCAACCTTGTGAGAGTAAAGAGTCAACCATCCACCATTGAGGAGGAGCAATTGGAAAGTACTACTACCAACAACATTCGCTTCCTTAATCTCACCAAAACTGTGATCATCATGAAGGAGGTGGTGATGGTGGTGGAATAGGAGGAGAGACAAGAAAAAAACAAGAAAAAAAATGTCAAATTAAGAAGCAATTTGGATGATCTTTTTTAGGTGATGGGCAATCACCACCATGGCCTAATCTTCGTGATTAACCTAAATTGTTCTATTTGGATACACTTACCTGAGCGTGTCCAGTATTCTGAGATAATCACAAATTGCATCTCTTTCCCTTTTGATTAATTTAACACCCGAATGAGAGATTCCCAATAGTTCAACATCGGGTAAATTGTCACCTCCACAGACGGGAAATAATCTAGTGAAATAAGTTGAAAGATCTTTGGCAAATTCAATTATATTTCGTTGGACGGACAGTTTGTGATTAGATGAATTCATATTATCACAATTAATTTGATAATTTTCTAATTGCATTTGTAATTTTTGTCTCTCCTCTCGAGTTAATCGGATACAATTAGGTGAATATGCATCTCGAATAATTTGACAAAAGATGAGGTGAAGTTTCAATGGACTTTCAACTTTTTCCAACGGTGAAAAAACCTAATCAACAATTAACAAGCCAATTAGTTACTGATTATAATATGAGATTGATTAGATATCATTAGAAAACAATTAAATTGATTTTACCTCTTTTCTTAATCGTAACTCCCAAGGACCTTTTGAATAAGTTAATGAAAAATTGTGAGCCGGTGGAGCTAATTTAGTCTTCATTGAATCAATTGCTTTCTGATCACGACGATTAATTTGATTTGATGAATCAAGAGGCTTCAAAAATTCATTTGATTCAATGTATTCAAGACGATCAAGTGACAATCGGTGATTTGGTGATTTATAATTCATGGCGGGTAAAGGAGGTGGTTGATCTTTTCTCCTCATCATGACTGGTGTACTTGGACCATAATAACTGGACGAAGCGGCAATTGAAGGTGGTCCACCGTGATATCCACTGGGTGAGTGGTGGTGATGTGAATGATGGTGCATTACCGAATGATCATCGTTATTTAATCCATTTGGACCATTGATTGATTCCGATCGAAGCTCTAAATTAGATGAAGGTGGAGGTGGTGGTGGGACTGACATTCGTTTAATTGGCCGAGTAACATCGGTACGTGAAGAGGATTTTGTATGACTAACAGAAGAAATCACTGAATCTTCATATTGAACACTACTTCGAGTGGACATTTGATCTATGAACGTACCTCCCATTGAGGTGGATAAATGGTCACCATCACATTCAGCAGCTACTGTTGAAGCGATGGTTCCACCTCGATTATGAGGACCAAGTTCATCTCGACGTTCCCTGGACTCACGAGATCCACTTCGTCGAGCAGCGGAAAATCTTTCCTTAAATTTGGACAAATTTTCCCCTGAATCACCTCGATCAAGTCGACCATGTGAACTTGAGTGAGACAAATGAGGATTATGATGATGAGATGAACTAGATACCGTTTTTGTAACTAATTGAGGTGAAGATAAGGTCACATTTGAACTTAATCCAAGCGGTTTATCATTTGACTTTGATCGAGTCAATTGATTTTTACTATTATTATTATCACCGTTACCGCTAAGAATCAACATTGATCCCATTAACTGTTTTTCGAGTAAATTTTTTCTATGTTCAGATAATTTTTTCACTCCATTCATAGAACCATTTAAACCATTTCCTGATTCTCCACCACGAATATCCTCCATGGATCGAGCTAATTTTTCTCGGCCATCCTTTTTAGATCGAACTGTTTGATCAATCGTTAACGCTTCTAATTTAGCCTTCATCTCGGAGCTTATTCTAAGTTTACCAATTGACCCTTTACTTGCCCCTTTAAGACCATCGGCCATTATTAAACCATTAGCATCTCCTTTTGACACTTTATCACTTTTCTTGTAACGCTTTTGATGAATCAATCCACCTTTAGGTGATCCTTGTTGCCCGGAGGCCACAGTTGTATTGATCATTGTTACAGGTAATATGACCTCTTGTTCAATTGCCGTTGATATTTCATCGTTTTTATCACAGTCACTGTTTTCCTTTTGTTTTGAATGTTGTTTTTTCATCTTGAACTCAAAGAAACTCGCTGACCCCTCGGTCACTCCGTTATCTCTTGGCGGAGGCCATCGCCATTTACCAATACGAACTGTCTTAGCCCGTCCATAGACAGAGGTAAATGAGGGTGACAATGGTGGTGGCGGTGGAGGTGGAGGAGGAGGAGGTGGCGGAATAGCTGATCGATTACCAGAAGTGTTTAATTGTTTGATTGGTGAAATAATCTGAAACATACACATTGGAAAAGTGGAAACAATTAGTCAAAAATGATTGAAATCAATGGAAAAACAAATAAAGAGCTGAAAACAAAATCGAGAGCAAGAAACAAAAAAAAAACCAACAATCAAATTAACTGTTTAAATGTGTTGAACAATTTAACTAAATGATTAAAAGTAAACGTGTGATAAGGAAACACTGATTAGTCCATAGATGAATGTGTTACACTTTAAAAAAAGGACAACAATCAAACGGTGATTAAACTGAATTAGTGGCCTCTATTTTTCTAGACCAGACTGAGTTGATGTAAGAAAAAAATCAAAAGTCATGGTAATAAGAGGAAAGTAAATTTATAATTTAGAGGAAGGAGATTTAACTGTGTTCAGAAATCATGGTTAAGCATAGTAATCAATGTTAATTGTAATTGTAATTGAAGTTTTTCTGGTTTAGTAAAAGCTGATGGACAAGAAAGTGACCAGGAATTCATTGTTAACTTTTAACGTTTTCGTTGTAAAATCAAGACTAAACTTGTATTTTGAATAAAGTTTTACCATAATTGATTTATCCCAATCAATCAAAGGTTAAACTTGACAATTAGTAAAAAAAATCAAACTCAAATACTATCATTTAAATTTGCAAGATTATCAATCGATTAGAGTATTTTTTTTTACCTGTCCATTGGTTTGACCATCATGATTAGGTGATAATAATGAAGTTGAATCAAGTGAGGTATCTGCTGTTTGTAGTAAATTGTATGATTGAGTTGATTGTTGAATTATTGGTGATAATGGTTTGGATGAGCCTTCAATGCTTGGTGATTGATTGCCCACCGGGGTGTTGAGTAATTGTTGAAGGGCTTGATTTTGTTGTAATAATTGTTGTTGAATTTGTAGATTTTGTTGAACTGCTGAAGCAAGAAAGGCTCGTTGAATCATTTGTTGATGGACTAATTGTTGTTGAATAATTTGTGAGGTATCAACAATTGGAACGGTCATTCCGGCAATATTGGTGAAAGGCATGTTAGTGTTGATTGTTGGTGCACCTTCATTTGTTGCCCTCAGGGCAGCACCAGGTGAGAATGATGAAAATCCCGATGAAAAAGATGTCGATCCAATATCTTGATGACCATTATTATTTGCACCAGAGGTTCCAAAGCTAATTGTTGTCTCTAAATTGGATTCATTAAGTCCACCACCGCCCTTAATTGTTACTACCAAATCTTCAGCATTTGATAAACTTTCCAAATCCTCTGAGACTCCAATGGTTTCCAAATGAGTATTTCCAGTGTTTAAATAAAGAGGAGCGAGAAGACGATGATTATGATCAATAATTTCATCTTCATCATTAATATTTTCATCATTTCCTACCACAGGTAATGAGATAAAATCTAATGGATGGTGAGTATAAATGTAAGAATCACAAACTGATGAAACAACCTCAGATTGATCACAATCACCTGAATAATTTGATTCAGTTGCAATACTGTTTCTCGTACCAAAGGTAACGGTTGATGAGCTTGTTGGTCCAATTAAACTGATTATTTCATTTTCAGTTTCATGGTTATTTTTATCAGCACCTCTTGTATCAGAAGTGGAAGGCGATTCAGGATAACCACCGCCTTTCAATGAGTTTGCAAGATGTTTGGCATCGGAAAGATTGGCAAGGTCAGAAATATCGATATCAAGATCTTGAAGGCCACAATCAATTTCGGAAGGAACCAGAGTGTAAGTACCATCATGATCGGAATCATTATCTTCATCATCATTAAAACTACCACTGAAAATTGAATCAATATAATCATCGGCAACACTTTCAGGTAAATTTTCACTAATTAGATAATCACTTGTAGTATTTGATGATGAATACTCTGATCCACCTTTAATTGACGCTGCAAGAGATCGGGCATCACTCAGATCGTCAAGATTAGCATCGAGAACGGGATTAAACAGATCATCTAGATATTGGTCAAGATCTGAGGTGTGAGAAGGTATTTTGATATTTTTCACATGAGAAGCCAACGAAGGAGCTTCAGAGGTATCGGACATGGCTGATGATCGGACACCAGTGAATCCATATTCACCTTCACGGGTCACTGATCGGTCGATATAAGCTTTTGTTGACTGACCATAGGGTAGATAACGCGAAGATGAACCAGTTGATTTATTACCAGAATATTTAACGTATCGAGAATCTGAAGCTCGGCGACGTATCTCAGCATCTATTGCACTATCACCTAAACCATGGTGAGAACCAGTATAATCGGCTGAAGATATTGATGAAGCGGAGGATTGACTTGAAGATGGGCGAATACCTTGTTTGGGGGTTGCCTTAATAATCGACTCGATGGGTTCTTTATTATTCCGACCATAAGCACCGCTTGAAGTGCCATTCATGTCACTTTGATTCATCTCGAGTAAACTATTGTGACTTGTTGTCTTTGAAGGTCCACTTTGAATCTCTGGATTTTCCGATCCACCGGTAAGCGAAGCGGGTTTCTGAAGAGCGGCAGCAGAAGCACCTCCAGCACTAGATCTTCCTACATCACGATTATTATCAGTACCACTGGTTTGAGCAAAGTAACGATCGTTTAATGCCGATGTGGCCAGACCCAATTCTTGCAAAGACATTGATCGTTTACTAAGCGATGGCCTGGAAGCAAAAGTATCCGATGGACTTGAATCTTTATTTCGTAAATCTTTCCTATTAGAATCACCGGTAATTAGTCCATATCGTTTATTTAGTTTACTTGTTTCGGACAGTTTAAGGTTCGTAATTGTTTCCTCTTTACCACTTTTGTGTAGGTAACGACGATTAAGTTTACTATTTTTAGATAAACTTAAATTAACTTGATCAAGAGACATGAGGCTACAAGAATTACGAGTAGTTCCAACTGGATGATGGACATTAGCACTATGAAATGAACGATGTTGACCCTCATCGGGTAACGAATCCTCAACATCTTCATATTTATATGAATCATCAACATGTGATGTTGAATTTGCATGATTATTGTGAACAAGATGTTCCCTTGACACTGAACGTGCTCGTAAATGACCTGGAGAAGATGACTGATAACTATGTTCAAGGCCACTACTTCGTCTTCTGTCAGCTGATTCTCGAAGATAATTATCCTTTTCTCGGTGGGAAGATAAATGCTGTTCGAATGAGGTTTCATCGAAATCAGCATCATATTCAAATTTGTTGATTCGTTCAGGATTGTGTGGGCTAAAATGATCAATAAAAGATGGAAAAGTGAAAATGAGTCAAGTGGAAAAAAAATATCACAAGGACAATTAACAGACAATTGTCCAATTGTTGATGATTTAGAGAACATAAATTAACTTACCTGTTCACAAGATTTGCTTTACGATTTCGATTATTACGATCAGGGGAAACTAAGAAGAAACTTTTACACACCGGGAATGAAGGAATCACTTCCATTTCCGAGATTAAATCAAATACATAATCTTTTCCATTAAGTTCATAAATATCACCTTCGTCATCTAACTCAACTGTCCACCCAAAGGTATCATCAATACCTTTGGCACGAAGACAATCAGCTGCGAAAGTTTCACCATTAGTCCAAGAAGTGATTGGAGCAACTTTAGTATCACCTTTTATAAGAAAAAAAAAGTTGACAGAATAAATAACAATTCTAATATCTAATCACAAATATAAGAATGCTAAAGTTGAACAATTAACTAACCATCAGATAATTTTCCTTCCAAACACATATTAGCCTTCTTGACCATTGATTTCCATTCCAAATAACAAGGTGGATAAGTACGACAATTTTGTGGCTCAATTGATTCACTTTCGAGTAATTTAGTTTGACAGATATGTTTAAATCCATTATACGCATAATCAGAGGCATATCTATATAAGATGATTAAAGACAATCAATGAGAGAGAGAGAGAGAGAAACACAATTAAGTTGAATGAACAATGAACACACAAAAATACAAATGAAAATGAAAATGAAAATCCCAAAGTTTTCGGGTTAATTTGATTAATCGCTGATTGAACTAATCACTTGATCACTCACTTTAAGATGTATTTGTACAGAATTGGACTCGGAGAGAAACATGATAAACAATTAGCCATTAAAAGCCAACCACGTTCAAAATTGGCTTCCATTTCATTTTTCCAGGTTTGATTACATAATTGGCACAGAATCTCATCTCTCATCATCACATTGGATAATCCTTTCTGGATAATATAATCAGCTAATAGTTTCTCCTTGTGTCCATTTAAATTGTTGTCATTCATGAAACGAAGTATCTGAAAGATGGTAACAAATTAACAATACGATTAATAAAATAGTGAAACAATTTAAAAGCAAAAGTTGAATACAAGAGTAACAATCAAAACAAACCAAAAAAAAACAAAGTTCATAACAAAATGATAACCAAATTTAAAACTTGATTAATCTTAATGAAAGTTGTTTTACTTATGTCACTACACAATTAACTTAATTGTAATAAAATAGGATAGGTAAACAGTTTCAAGTTAAATTAATTCTAATAGTTAATTGTGTGTAGGTTTAATGTTGAATGTTAAAAGTTAACACAATTTAAAACTATTGAGTTTAATGTGTAGTTGATTTTGATGATGATGGTTGATTGCTACTTGTATTTTTTTTTGCAATCTTAATTGTGATCATACCAATTTAAAGATGGACAATGAATCTTGAAAATCATTCTCATTTGTTTTAGACAAAAATGGCGTCCTAATTGGTTCACGCTTCATACCCCAAACATGAGCTCTAAAATAGATGTTGGTAAATTTTGTGAAAGCGTGTTGATCAATATCCAATGGAAGGAAATTATTACGATCTTTTCCGGAACAATCAAAATGCTCCACTGATTTAACAACTTTTTTATCCGATTGTTGACATTTCCATTCTGTGATAATCAAAAAATAGAAGAAGATGAAAAAAACAAAACAAAAGAGTTAAATTCTTGGACAATTTCATGTACATATCAGGTCATCAACAATCAACAATCAGATTAAATTGTAGTCTCTCTCTCTCTCTCTCTCTCTTGATTTTTTTGTCGAAATTGTCAGACAACAATATTGGATAACTTTCATTGAGAAAACTTATAAGTTTTTGTGAGTAAAGGTGAAATAATATGCAGATAGCTAGTGAGAGATTAACTAATCGTTTAGGATTAAGATTGGAAAGTGAATGAAATTATGAGTGACAGTTTGGGAAACTTTAGATTAAGAAATTGAAATATTTCCATAGTTTTTTTCAGGGATTGATTTCGTTGATTGTTGATGTTGCTTATACTTTGGAGAGTTAATTGTTTACCATCTAATTTAGATAATAAGAAGGCCAATTCTGCGGGAATTTCTAAATGATTAACTCCAGCCACTGATCGAGAGATTCTTTCGAGTTCTTCCTTGGCGTTTTTCTCTTTCGCCTTTTCATTGGCAATTCGATCTGATTCTCGTTTCTTTTCGAGAATCGATTTAATCTAATCACAATTGGAAAAACATAATGAAAAGAAAAACAAAATTAGAATCAAGAGAAAAAAGTTAATCAGTCAAATTTAAGTTTCAGTTAAAAATATAAGGATTCATAAGATTATTTGACTGGATTAAGTTAAACATAAGCTTAAGTATTAAAATGTAAGAAATGAGGTTCAATGTATCATGTTGAATCTCATCTTATCATCTTAATTGTACTGATTAGATTGAGAAATAATAATAATAATGTGGAGGCGATGAAACAATTTAAGAGAAACAAATTGGTTGGATATAAGTTTCTCGAATGGTTAATAGTCCAATTGATTTACCTTGGTGTATTCTCGCTTTTGTCGTTTCATCCTCCAATTGGCCTGAACTTTAACGACTCCTTTACGAATTGAATTATACCGATGTCGACATTTGTATCCTCGGTAAACCGATTGTATCCTAATGGCACTTGAACGGATTTTTCGATATCGTTTACGGGCAATATACGCTCGAATATACCTTTGAATGGTAATCACTGATGATCGAAGTAAATTGATTCTTTCCTTTTCCAAAGCGACCTCGAGACTTTCTTTCATAAAAACCTAATAACAATTAACACACATAAATCACAATTAACAATGTAATCACGTCAATCCTTTTCGATTAAAGTTAATTACCTTTGTTGATGCAAGGACATATTGATCAACTGATCCACATGAAAGGTTATCCAAGATGAGTTTACATATCTCTTTGGTTGAGTAATTAGTTGGTGTATCATATTTTGAAATGAGACATCGATACCTGTGGTTAATCACATTAGTAAACAATTAGTTGATTGTTGCTGATTGAAAACGTGGGAACAATTTAGAGTGAATACTTTTCGATTACTATTAAAGTCAAGATGATACTAATGATGATGACAAGGTAAATATAAAACTACAGGTAAACCGTTAAAAGGTTAATCTTAATTTGTTTACGTTTTCATATCAATTATTATCGTTTATTACTGTGGGGGGAAAGAGATGATGAAGAAGATAAATTGATGATGAATAGAGAGAGAGAGAAAATAGAAAGGAGAACGTTAATTAGCTAATGGCGATGATGATGATGATGGAAATTTCGAACAGAAATTAAGAAAATTAATAGAAAGAGAATGAAAAATAAAATGAACAATCTACTTCATGGAATCAGAATTATTATTAACACATTCAATGATCACCAAGAATAACAGTTTGAGAGCAATTTAAATAGCCTCAGGCTATTAATGACCTTTTATGAATTTATCATCTTAAGATGATCATCTTTCAATAGCCTTTAACCAAATTCAAGAGTATTTTCAACTCTCACTCCAATTTAACCTCAACAATTTAACTAACAGACTCAACAATTTGTCTTTACATTCACTTTTCTGACAATTTAATGGTTACAATTATCTAACAATCAAAAACCATAATTACTAGTTTACATAGTTAATTGTTAATGAACTATAGTCATGAATTTAATTAAACATTTCGTCCTGATTATTTTTGCTTTAACAACAATCAAAAAAATAGTTTGATTGATGTTAATTGTTAATTGTTTATTACTGATTATCATTTAGATTTGATTCAATTTTTTTTGTATCACAAATTGTTCAAAGTGTTTTGTTGACAATTAATTTGATTTAACTATTACAACTTGAACGATATATTAATAACCTTCATAATAATAGCAATTAAACAATAATAGTAACAATTAATTTGATTGCTTTTAATATTGTTTGCTCATCATAAATAAATAAATCACTATATTAGTGATTAAGATGAATCAAATTGTTGCAATTGAAAGTGTACCTGATTAATTATCAACTAATTATGTTGATTAATAACAATTTTCTAAATATTGACAATTAATTGAAAGTGGTCACAATTAACAAATTGCTGGAGAAAAAAAGTTAATTCTGAAAATGGGGAGAAAATTAAATTGAAAAAAAAAGTTGATTTTCTACTTGTAACTAAATTGTAATCAATTAAACTGTTATTTAAAATTTAATCTGATCTAATTGTTGAGCTTCATGAAAAGTGATTAAATCCTGTAAAGCAATTAAAAGTTAATCAACTATTTAAACAAATAGTCAATGTTATCATTGACCTTAAATGGTACACAAGAGACAAATAGAAATTCAAATCTAACAATTTACTAATTGTTTGGACTGAATTCATATCAATCAAACCTGGAAAATTTAACTAATCAACTTAATCAATTCAACAGATTAACTATCAAATTTATCAACAATTAGTAGAGAAGAGAAAAATTTAAATTGATGAAAATAAAAAGGAAAACAATGATTAATATGATTGATGATGATCAAGGTAACACCGAGCAACAATTTAACGAGCTCATGTTAATTGCATGGAAATTGTAATTAACATGTTACAGGTTAAAATGATTAAGAAAATTTTGATTAAATTGTGAGGTTAAAATTAAATTGTTGGTGACCAACATGAAAAAGAAGTTGAATCAAAATATATATTAGTCTTTTTCTAATGGAAAGTACATATAGAGATGTTATTTTCTTATTCCTCATCTTTATCTTCATGATACCGGTTTTCATGTTGAATGAATTCAGGAATTTTATCATCTCAATGAGGTGAGAATTCCGGTTTATCATCATCATTATCATCATCTAACCAAAAATTGAAAAGAAGATGAAATTAGTTCCTGTTTCTACATCATCATCATCTTCATCTTTTATGAAATTATTAGATGATGAAAAAACTATTTAGTCTCATCATCAACATTGCCCAATCAAAGGAAACCCTTTGATCAACAACAATCAGCTGTTAATTGTTGTAAATTTAATCAATTCCAAGTGAAATGATTAACCCTATGGGAAAAGAAAAGCGGTAACAATCAGAATACTATTAGAATTGAGTAACTTTCATTGTTATCAATTGAAAATTTTCTCGATTTTTTCAGTTCATTTTCATTGAGAAAAAAAAAGTTTCATCTCTACTTTGTATTAATATTTCTCATGAAATTTTATTCCTTTATCATTGTAATCAACAAATCAACAGTCACATACACACAAGCACAAATTAAGAATTGATGATTTACTTTCAGAGTAATTGAAACATTGAAAATTACTCTTGATACTAGTAAATTAACTATAATCATCATGCTAATGATGAAAATAATAGTCAATAGATTGGAAATTGATAAAAAAAACTCAGGTGATATCATAGAAATACCTGAGGTTGATGATAAAGTTTCTAAAGGGTTAATAGAGATGAAAAGATTTACTATTTGTGTTAATCATTCAGGTGAATCTTTTCATTTCTTTATCATGATGATAGTTTTTTTCATTCATCCTTCCCTTCAACAGAACTTTCTTTCACCCTGCTCCACCCTGTTTCCTACCTTTTACAATAATTTCATGCTTTTCTAAACACAACCTAATCACCATCATCATCATCATCATCTGAGACAACAATCAATTCTGTTAATAACTAAACTGAGAAAGGGAAAGTAATATTATTGAGGAAATGATCGTCAAGGAGGTTAAAGGTTAATTTCAAGGTTTCATCTTCAACAGATTCAACTGATTTTACCTTGAAACGAAGGCTGGAAATTTAACTCGAACCGGGTAACCCAGTTTACGAATTTTAATTGTCACCAGCATTCCAGAATAGCGAAGTTGTTCCAAAACCACTGAGATGTCAAACTTCATGGTTGCTTTTTCGTTGTTTGGTTTTATACATCTAACGAACCAGGGATTACATTTGGACATTGAATCGACCAGTGAATTGAGTGAATCTTGAAATCGTGCAGATACTGTTGGTGCTCTTGGTTTCATGGTGATGAATCGTCCATCAGATCGGTTATAAGTCTTGACAGATTCATTTGTGTTCCGCAATTCTTGAAACATTTTACTGATCATAGTCATTTTAGAATTGATCATTAGCTCGATAACATCGTGACGAAGTGTATCTCGATTCTTGTCTAGAAAACCCTCAACATTGTACCAAACTTGACCTGCAAAGTGTTTAATACCAAATTCCATTGATGAGAGACGAGGTCGACTGTACAGATCGTTAAGAGCGTGATTGTAATGGCACTTTTCAAGAAACGAGTGATCAGAGGCTTTCGGAAATTGGACTCATCGTCCAATAAAGGTAATATACCGATGGGTTTCTTGGAGATGAGGTGAATCACCGCTTGATTATCGGGATATGCTAATGGTACCCAATCGATTTTTTCTTTCGCATACTCTTGTTGTTCCAATTTGAAAACGTATTTCGTGAAATATGATTGTAAAGTTTCGTTGGCATAATTGATACAAAGTTGTTCAAATGAGTTCTCTTTGAAATCTTCGAACCCGAAAATGTCCAAAAGTGCTAAAGTTCGTCTTTTATGTCCTTTGTAAACCATTGAATTGATTCGTTGAACCAACCAAGAGAAAAGGCATGAGTAAAGTGCCTTGGCCATGGCATCTCGAGCATCTAAAGCCTGGTCAATGTTAAGAGGGGTCATCATTCGTTCATTACGAGCTTCGGTAGTTCGGACAGTTAGTGCTTTAAGAATACCTTCCAAAGGTAATTGAAGAAGGTGAGAGGTCCAGCGGACTTCTGAATCACTTCCGATTTCGACACCTTCCTGTCCGTGTTTCAATTGTTTACGGTGGAAGTAAATGTTTCCCATGTGAAGAACCGATGAAAGGATTCGGAAAATTGTATCTTGCTCTTCATTAGTAAATCCAAGAACTTGCATTGCGGCCAAAAGAAAACGGAAATCTTGACCGTCGTTTTTACCCTCAATCTCGGACGAAGAACCTTGATTAAGATAAAAGTATTTGTCGCTTGTTTGAAGGCCATATTTCTCCTTCTCTTGGTCAGTTAAACCGGACAATAGTTCATAGAAAACATGATAATTTCTTTCATCTGGAGCTTGAGTAACGATTCTCGATTTTTCCAAAAGATATTCCGTTGAACGGGCACCAGTTATCAGGCCATCTTTAAAATGGATCTCTAAATATTTACCAAATCGACTCGAATTGTTATTCTTAACAGTTTTAGCATTTCCAAATGATTCTAGCAATGGATTAGCCTCAAGTATCTGCTCGGTGACAATGTTACTCGCTGATTTATTGACAGCGGCCAAATATTGCATAATTAACTTTGAGCTCTCAGTTTTACCCGCTCCGCTTTCACCACTGTACAGGGGACAAATTATCATAATTAGATTTGATTGATTACCATCTAAGAATTGATACTAACCAAATAACAATAACTTGATCTTCTTTGTCCTTGACCATCTTTGAATAAGCCGATCCAGCGATTGCAAATAAATGGCTGCAAATACAAACAACAATCAAAGTTAATTCAGTTTAATCTTAATATTTCTTAGTAATTCAGCTTGATTTGATTGAAATTTACTTACGGTGGTAAAGTGCCAAGTATTTTGCCTTCGTATTTCTTGACCAAATCAAGACCATAAATATCAAACATTTTGTATGGATTAACAGCAATTAAGATACTACCAACGTATGTCTGTGATTTAATTGTGATTAGATTGGAAATTGATAGTAATTAGTTTGATGAAACTTGTACCTTATGAACAATTAACTGTTCAATCATTTTCAAATTCAGTAATCAGGGTAACTATTGACATTATTGATTAAATTGTGAACACAATCAACACCCAAATTAATGATTGATTTTAAATTGTCAACCTTATTGTTTATTTATTGATCATTAATAATCAATTTTATTAAAGCAAAATTCAGATTAATGATAGCGAGTTGAATGAATTGATAGTTTATAAATATTGGTTAATGGTTAATTGTTGATTGATTAAGGTCATCATTTGATTAAATCATCACCATGACAATTAACTGCGAACGAGGGAAAAATTTTAATTAAATTATTCCGTACAGTTTATAAATATAATCATGATGATTTATTGATTTAAAATGAAATTTGAATTGAAATGATATTTAAAAATTGGCATTTAAATTGATTGATTAACCAGAAATACAAATTAATGATAATGAGAGTGGACATTGAAACAATCTAATCAGATTGTTGGGTTGGTAAAATTAAGAGAAAGTTAATTGTAAATAATACAATTTACATTGTATACGTAATGATACTACATTGATTGTTAATCAATTGAGTGGGAAATTGTTCAATCAATCAAATTTGAACAACAAAAAATTAGAAATAAATTCATAATTACAATTAGGTCAGAATAAGAAAATGAAGAAATTCCTTAACAATTTAATTTACTAATGATAAAGAAAACGTGGTTAACTGTCAAACTGAATCAAGAGTAACAATTTAACAAAATTGATATAATATAACTGATTAGTTGGGTTGGAAAGTGGTAATCAATGAGAAATCATATCAATTTAATTGTTAACAGTTGACCTTGTAAATAATAATAATCAACATACAATCAACAATTGATATTAAATATCATAATCAAGTATCATGAATGAAAAATCAATGAAATTAACAGTTAACAAGTTAATCATGAAAAAAAAAGTAATGATAATAAAGTTATGATTATGATGATTAACTAAATCAATGGATTAGTAAAGTGAAATTAAATATAATCAATATTATTATATTGATATGTGATGATAATATTGATTAATGTTAATCCATTTTGATTGAATTAACATTTAACTGGATTAATAAATTGGGAACAACAATTTCATGTGAAAACATTTCTCTCACTGATCATCGTCTTCATAATCAAGTTAATTATAAATCAACTGAAAGATTGATTCTCAAACTTTGATCCAATAGTAATTATCATTAATAATAATAGAATCAATTAAAATGATTTAAAAAGATTGAAAAATTAAACAGAAAACTGATCAAAGTTAATTGTTTTCATTTTGTTGATAATCTTAAAATAAACAAGAATCCAGGCCAAGAGAAGTGACTTTTTGTAAATGGAAATCGTTTTACAAACTAATCATGTAATCCTTAATTGTTGGATAATCATACTAATCAAGATAAATTATTTGATTACATTTGTGTACAAAACTTTAAATACAATTGTGTATCCGGAACAATTAAACAAACTGAATCTACAATAAGGTCCAATGATTGATAATGAGCTTTAATTGTGTTCAACTTACAGATTAAAGTTTCCAATGAAATTAGAAAAAATAAAATAAATTGTTAGTTGATTATGAAAACAATTTAACAACAATCAGATTCATAATCAAAGTTTATTGTAAGTGTGTGTGAGAGGAAAAGGTCAGTTTGATATAATTAAGGTCCAGTTAATAAACTGACCTGGAATAGTTTAAGACAATTGATTAAATTGCTCATTGTTACAATTTTAAATTGTCTATTCACAAGAAAAGTGTTAACAATTAACTAGAGAGAGAGAGAAATGTTTTCAATGATTCTTGATTAGTAGATTATAAGATAATTTAGCTTGTTAATTGTTGAGGTAATTAGTTGATGATGGTGATGGTGATGATTGTGTTAGCAAATTTGATGGAAATTGTTAAATTAAATCAATTTTAATTTGCTCACCATTTTCATCTTCTTGTCCAGTTTATGAGTTATCACCATCACTTTGGTCATCACAGTGGTCATCATCATCATCATGTTAATCAACTCAATCTCATTTTTTGTCATCTTTCGTCTTCTTATCATCTTTTTCTGTTCTATTATCATCCTCATCTCATGAGAATGAGTATTCTCAGTTCTCATAATTAGTTTGATTCACGAGAAAATAATTTCAACTTGTTGATGATGAAAAAGCAACATTATTATTAAAACAACTGAGATTTATCATCGCAATTACTATCAGATTAACAGTAATATTTTCCTCATTTAATTATCATAATAATCATTAAATTGTGTGTTTGTTGATTGTTGTTGTAAGAGGACAGAGAGATTTGATGAAATGATTAACAGCACAATTAGCAAAATGATAGACTTTTTCAACATTACAATTACAATTTAATACTATGTACAATCTGATTAATCAACTAATTCTGTTTTTCTTCAAACAAACTTTTTCATCTTTTCTTAATCATCTTCATATTATTACGGTTTTATTGTGATCATCTTTATCATCATTAAGGTAAAACATTGTGATGATGGTGAATTAATCACTTACAATTAAGGGTGTCTTCATCCTACAATCAGTTAACTGTATTTGACTCCCAAATATGTAGCTGATGATGATGATGACAACGATGACGTCGATAATGATTACGATGATTATTGTGATCGTGTTAATAGTTGAGATGAATATTTAAGTAAATTGTAATTCATTGAGTGAGTGAGAGAGAGAGAGAGAGAGAGAGAGAGAGAGAGAGAGAGAGAGAGAGAGAGAGCTACACCCATATGAGTTAATGGATTAAAGTTAATTGTCATTTGGAAATTTTAACCAAAAAAAGAAAATTAAACAAAAATAATAATCGGAATCCGTTTATTGTTTATATTTTGTATTAAAAACTTTTAAGATGATTAACCGGTAGATCACAATTTAATCCCTTTTCTCAGGTCATCAACAACAATCAAGGAAAACAATTTGTTGATGACCAGTCTAAAAACAAGTAACAACCAGACAATCAAGTTAACAAGTACAATCAAGATGATTAAATGTTGATTGTTATTGTTAAAAGTCAAATATACTAAATAAGCAACAGATTAGGTTTAATTTTAAGGTTAAAAGGGTCACAATTAAGAGATGATTGTATAACAATCAACCTAGAATTTTGATCAACTGGTCATCAGAACTCTTTAAATAGCATTCAACCTTCAAATTCTGTTACTATTTTGACCTCGAAAATGACCGGAAATGTTGGTCATTTTGCTTTTTTTCAATTAAGATATTAATCTGTTCTGTCCAAGTGATTTGTGGTTAAAAGACCTGACTGATTAATTAAAAAATTGCTGATGGAAATGATTAACAACGAGAGGATTAACAGGAAGAGTTAATTTCAGTAGGATAGTTAAGATTAATCTTGATTAACTGTTGAGATTGAATCTGTTTTTTTTAATCAAGGTTGAAATAAAAGGTAATTGATATTTGGTTTAAAGTAAATTGTTTAAATAATTTGGTTAGTTAACTTGCTTGATTATTAGTTATTAAATTTACAATAATAAAATGATGAACAAGTAAAAAGTTGAACAATTTAAATACTAATTATGTTGATTGTGATCATGTTGATGTATTCATATCATTACAACTTCCCACTTACATGGTGAATGTTAATTGTAATCAATTTAAATGTTTCCTAATGGTAATCGATTAAAATGAATTATCCTATTTACTATTAATAGTTGATTATGATTATTATGATTTGTGATCATGATTATCTATCAACAATTTCCCAATATCATTATATAATTTAGTGGTTTGATTTGCTGATGATAGGTAAACAATATATGATTTTTGTTTATTATATTAACTCACGATGTTTAACTAAATTAAAATTAAGCTTGTTTATCATCATCATCATCATCATCATCGTTATTATTGAATCGACAGTTAAATTGTTGATTTGTAAAATCCTTTCTATTGATTAAGGAGGATTTTCATCACAATTATCATTATAATCATCCCAAGGTTAATCTCTATCTAAATACTTGTACAATTATCTTAACAGTTGATTAACTATTATGATTATGATGTTAGATTTAAGTGATGAGGGATAATTATTAATAATATAGTTACATAATCAGTGAGCAAATTAAGGTAATACATTATTAAAAGGTAAGCCACAAAGAGTTGATTAAAGGAATCATTAAAACAAATACCAATTAATCAGTGAATCAATTCAGAAAGATGAGTCTGAATTATTTCATCATCAGTAAAATAATCATCATATTGGTTAACCATAAGCGGGTTGATGATGATGATGATGATGGAGAGATGACAATCTAACCCTTCATCTTTCATCTGCTTCCTCTCTCTCACCTTAATTATGAAACCGTAGCAATGACAATTTACTGATTGTGTGTCTAGTGGACGGTAACAATTGTTTTCCAATTGTGTGAATGGAATTTAATTCCGATAAATATCATCATCATGTTGTAGGTGGTAAAAAGATATTGTCCTTTTTTCATGTCAAAGGTGATCATTGGGAAGAGATAATCAATATAATCAACAATTTATCCGATGATTCTGATGATGAAATTTAATCAATTGAATCGTTGAACTTTCTGTCTGTCTGCCTGTCAGATTTGTCTCATGTAATAATAATACCCATGGTTCACTTGATTACAGAATTTGAGATTGATTGGAATTGAAATTATAACAGAAATGAACTTACATAAATCAGTTGTTTCTGATATCTAATTTTGAGATTCCATAGAAGCGCTGATTCATTTAAATCTCTGTTAATGGGAAGAAAAAAAAGAAAGAAAATTTATAATTAAATTAATGATGATAATAATTATTTCGTTGTAGTAGTAATTATGGATGATTACAATTAACTAGAGACCTGAAGACATTTAACTAACAAAGAAGAGGTTGCATTCAATTGCTTTTGATTTTTAATTCAATATCAACAACAACCAATCAACAGCATCTTTTGCAAGATCTTCCTCATCATTATCATCATCAAAAACCGGCAACATTGTATAACCATCAACTAGGAAGGGTCTAATCTACCTGAGGGCTAATATGAGAGTCAAAAGATGCTGATGATAGAAGAGAGAGAGAGAGAGAGAGAGAGAGAGAATGATGATAAGGAAGAGGGTTCAGGTTCTAAAATCACTATGATCGGTTTCTGATTTTTCCTCTTCATCTCCATCTCCTTTTCCATCATCAAGCTCGGCCTTCTTCATCTCTCTCTCTCTCTTTCTTTCTTCATATTAGATTCCATGATGAAGATGAGGGGTTGGAAGATGAAGGTTATATCCGGTCATTTCCGATTTCGTCAAATTATTCAAATAACAACATTTTTTTGATGACATCGATGATTATGCTTGATGATAGTTAATGATTTTGTCTGAATTGCTTGATAATTTGAATATCTTTCTTAATTGAATTGCTATTGAAATGATTGCATTGAAAGTCAATAAGCTGATTAATTGATTGAGGAATTTGTTGATATTACAACCACTACTATGAGAGATTATAAATGTCTTAAGAATCATTATTAATTGTTAGTTATCGATTAGTTAATTGATTGGTTATTATACTTACACTAATTCCACCATATCTTCAAATCCATTTTCTCCTAGATTATGTCGTCGTTGAATTTGATTAAGATTATCGATGATGAATATTTGAGGCTTTAAATTGGAATGGAAAGAGAAAGAAAATGATTCTAATTAGTATTGGTGTAATTCAAATTTCTTCTAATTGTTGTGATTATTGTTCTAATTGTTCATCTTAAAAAGCCTAACGTGAATAATAGCGGTATTGGTTACAGACAATTGATCATGATTGTAACTACAATTGAGTAATAAAAGTTGACGGCTCAAACAGAATCCTTATTAAGTGAGGTGATCAACTATGTTAACTGATTATTTGAGTTTAGATGAAAATTATTGCAACAATTAGCACCATTATCATAATCATTTATTGTTAAATAAAAGTAACAATAAATCAAGAAATAAGATGATGTGATATTTGGTGATATCTAATATCTTGATGATGATATATGATTGTCAATAAGATTACAGTTCAAGGATGAAACTAATTGTGATCAACAAATTTATATATCTAACTGACTGTTGATTCCTGATTGAGATGATAATAATTATTGTTGATTAATTTGATTGAACGATCAGATGAAATAAGAAGAATTTTTTTTTCTTGATTGAGATGAGATGATAAATGATTACCTCGCCATCGAGAACTGTTTCAACGGTAACGACCTGAGCTGCGGCCGAGTAATCAACAACTACTCCAGGTAAAAGGTATCCAATGTCGGGATCAAACCAGACAAGATCATCTTTTGAATAGCAGATTAAATCTTGAGCCATTTTGGATTAATTTGAATTTTAAATCACTTGAAACAAAAGGTTACACTAAGGAGAGACTAGTAAATGGCGATGGATTGATGATGAATCACAGAGAAAGAGAAACAAAAGGTCCAGTGTATTGTTTCAACTATTGATTACAATTAATTGATTCCTTGTGATGCGAAATAAAATCATGATGTGTGTTGGGTGAACGATACAAAAGACAAATAAACAACATGAGCAGACAAAAACAATGTATTTTTTGTTGATCACAATGAAAACACCAAACACCAAACACTTTAAACACAATACATAAAATGAAACAATAATAATACTTGAGGTTAAGGTTGTTGTTGATATTGGGTAATGTGCTGTTGTTGTTGTTGTTGTTGTTGCAATGAAAGTTTTACCGGAGAAAGTCAACCATTTATTGTAACACGGTTCGTTTAGTAGCTATTTCTTGGTGTTGTATTCACGATATTTGTTCACCCAAGATTAACTAATCCATGGTTTGGGTTATCTGTTTCAATAATGTCCAGGTTGACAGGGTACATGATGCTGAGAGAGAGAGAGGAGGGAGAGGAAAGATATATATTTTGTATAGAGATTTTTGGATAAAGAGAGAAGGTCAACTTTTATTTGACGTTGCAGGCAAGTTATGAAGATGATGATGGAAGAAAAAACTTGAACGGAGAGAGAGAGAGAGAGAGATGAAAAGGTAAGAAAGGTAAGAGAGAGAGAGAGAGGCAGGTTGAAGAAAGGGAGAGAGAGACAAGTTATTCCAGATGATGAAAATGATGATGGCGATGCTGATGATGAGGATGGTTGTTGGTACAAACAGGTCCAAAGTGAGACCGGTAGAAGATGCTAAATATTAAGATGATGAGAATGGAGAATGATGAAGAAGAGGTAAACAGAAAAATTAGAAAAGAGCTTTTTTTTGATACCAAATAGAAGATTAAAGATGAACACAAATTCTAAAGAGAAATTTATAAACAACACCAACGGATAAAAGAATTTAAATGGTCCGATTGATTAAATTGTTACACTTGATTAATGAAGATCGCAGGTAAGACATGAGGCACAATTAACGATTATTAATTATTGAGAATCAATTAACATCAATCATGTGAAGAGAAATGCGAACACAAAACATTAAAAGAAAAACGGAGAAAAAGGAAAAGCAAAAAAGTTGAACGTGTTTATGTTAACCGATGGAAGAGAAAAACGTTCAGGTTACATAATGGAAATTGTTTGTTTTCCAATGTTGATTATTGTCGGAAATTTGGGTGACAATTAGGGAAACTCTTCAATTAGAAAAATATTTTCTATTAAATAACAATAAGAGATTAACAATAAAAGAAAAGAAATAAACAAAAAGTGTAACTCAACAATGGAAAGTTAAAAGAGAGACACAAGTTAAGGTAGACAGAGAAAAGACCGAAGATAAAGTGAAGAGAAAGAAAGAGAAACTGGTTTTCTTTTCTCTCTTACCTTTTTTCTCTTTCTTTTTCAGTCTTAATCTTTTTCTATTCTTAATCATCTCTCTCCCTCTTAATTGTGATATTAATTATTTCATGTTAAACAATAACAATTAACCGAATAACTTTCACGTTCTTCATCATCTCTTTAATCTCTGTTTATATTAATCACATTGAACGTTTTCGTTTATCGGTTAATTGTTTTGTCTAACGTTTCAATTAACTAATTGTAACCAACTAACTTTGTGATTTTGTTGTTTTGCTTTAATTTAGTTAGCTGGTTAATTAATTCAGGACCACTGATTATTGTCCATCGTTTGAATATATTGATTGTTATGATTTTCTTTAATCATTGTTGGTGTTTAAAGTTTGTTTTGATTTGTTGGTAAATCTATTGGTTTCCATTTAAGGTAAATTTGATTAGATTTGGTCCAATTGTTAATCACTAATTAGTGGAATTAATCAAACTAAACGGAAGTGTAAATAAAATTTATTCATTTTGTCTTCATAAGGAAACACCTTAATTAATTCACTTCTCTAGACAAGTTGATTGATTAACTGAAACTAATGGATTAGTTTAGATTCCATAGGTTATTTAATTGGTGATTCAGTTCGAGTAGTTAGTCAACTTTGATTGTAAATTTTTGTCGATTTATTAGTTTAGAGTTGAATTGATTAGTTTTATTATTTTTCTTTCGCATTTTACTACATGGGAGAAATTAGTCAATTTAGAACTAATTATCTTATCCGATTCGATTTGTTATTTTGATCATTAGAACGGAGATTTCATGGTAAACGATAAGTATTCTGGCCTCATGATCGAAAGGTACAATTTTAAATGGATTATATTCTTTTCTTGTAACCATCTCTTTGGAATAAATTGTTTGACTTGAGGGGAATTCGATTCTGAACAATCATCATGTATCTTTGGAGGATGTTGTAACATCTTAGTGTCATTTTCTTATTGATCGATGGTCCAGTTTCAATTGAAAATGTACCAACTCGAAGCGATTCATTGACGAAAATACTTCATTGATTTAAGAGTATCACCAGTAGTTTGATTAACTCTTCAATTGTTGACCAACGAACGTCTTTCCATTTTTTTCCAAAGTCCACTCGACCAAAGTAAAGGTGTGGCATTCGTTCATTAATAGATTCACAATAGATAAATTAATTAATCGGTGGTTGATTAAGTAAAATTGTTTGGATAAATCTTTTCAATCCATAACAAACATCACTGTTTTCAGGAACAAACCACCAGAGGAATAAAGTTCTGGTCTACCATGGCGATACTTGAGAGAAACTCGATATGAATCGGATATTTTTCTTCATTTCGTAAATTTTATTCCAAATCCATCGGATTGAAAATGTTCAAGTAACTGAATGAATCGCAAGAGAGAGTTTTCTTCACCAATGGACCAAACTTTCTCAGATTGGCTTCAACATTTTCGGGTGTTACAAATATCGACAATTATTTCCAGTCAAAGCGATTATCTAACTCTTGGAATTGCTTCGAGAGGTTTTTGTACAGTTGATCCAACTAATTGAAAATCTTTTTACTGGACATGATTATAGAGTCGATTATCTAATAAATGACAGTTAATTCTCATCACCTGAGCGGAAAAAAAGATGAACAATTTGAAAAAGAAATATAAACAATAGTAAACACTAATCAAGAAAGAAACTTAAATGATTGATTTGAAATTTGAAAAATTCAAATATTCACGAAATTTTCAGCAAACACTTCATAGAAATCAATTAATCAACAATAAATTATTGTCAATAATCACCTAATCCATATTCAAAGTAATCAATTCAAATCATTGATTCCTAATTGAAAACCAATAAGAAATTTTTGAAAACAAAGTTGTTGTCGCTTTGTTGTCATGGTTACAGCGGTAAATTCAATTTCCCAATTAAATTGATTGTGAACACAATTAAATTATAAAATTGGAGAATATTTCTTATTATTTCAATTAAATTACACAATTAACAAGTAGCCACAATGATATGTTGATATGTTGATGAACAATTGTTAGATTTTAGTTATACTCCATGAAGAAAAGAAAACGGAAATGTTAATAAAACTAATGAATGAAAATTGAGTTAATTGTAATTGATTGCGAAAATCGCATGACTTCAATTAACCACGACATTCTATTGTAAATTAACCTTGATTTACTTTTATTATTCCATAAAAATTAACTCAACGATTACATGGAAATAACAATAACTTAATTCCTCGAGAGAAAAGTAAGAAAAAAATCTTCATTTCTTTTGAATCTCTCGAGTCGATGAGTTTGTTTATATTTCTTCACATTTGATTTACTCTCGACTTCGACTGATGGCAATTTATTAATTTCTTTCTCTTATTAGATTTCTAATTATGATCAAATTTCGATCATCTTAACAACCAATTCAACAAACTTAAATTCTGATAATCAGTTGATTATTTGAAAAATCAAATCGATACAACAAAACAATAAAAACAACAGAATGAAAATTTTTACTTCCAAAGTCCAATGGATTATTTATAATCAGTTAATTACCATCACACTAATTGTTTCAATTTCTCCAATTGTGACCAGTCAGCTAATCAATGGTAAGTAAATAATTAAATCATAATTTGCAACAATCTAAAACCAGACAATTTAAATGTAATAATATTTTTACTTCTTTTCCCTCTAATGTAATACATTTGCTTTTCCAATCCCTGTTGACATTTGTTTACAATTTAAATTTCCACCTTTAATTGTGGATTAACTGATCATCTAGACAGAGTGATTAAAGATGTAGCTCAACGTGTAAAGAAATTACTAGATGGTAATCTTGACGAAAAGGGAGTTCTCAATGTGAACAAATGGTTCAATGACAATCTAGAAGATCCAATTTACATTTCGACAATTAATATCTCCGAATCGGGAACTTTGACCTCATATAAGGGGACATTTCGTAAAATGGAATTGACCGGATTAAAATCATTCTTTATTGAGACAATTGAATTAAATGTTGGCTCTCTTGATTTCAATGTGACCGCTCGAATACCCAATCTACTGTTAACTGGACAGTACAAATTAAAGGGTAAAATTGCCGTTCTTCCGGTTTCCGGTAATGGCTCATTTTATATGAACTTTACCGATGTATTGGTGACCTGTGTCACCGGTTTTACCATTGAAAGTGGTACAATTAAAGCGTCAACGGTTAAATTGGACACAATTCCAGGGGAAATTGATTTACAGTTCGAGGGTCTTTACGGCGGTGGTGCGGCCTCAGCGTTTTCCAACACGATACTTAACGTCCTAAGTCACAGTTTATTTGATGGAATCAAATCAAATACCTTACCCTCAATGGAGAGACAAATGAAGGAGAAAATTAATTCCAAAATAAAGATAATCAATATCAGCCGATTATCACCTACATCCGATTCTCTGGTCGATGGTTGGATCAGTAGAGTTCAAACAATGATTAAAGATAAAGATTACGATCCTTATCCATTGGTCAATGAGACTAAATCATTTTCGATTAATCTACTTGGATCTAAGATTAGTGGTCAATTGGCTAATGGGACAATTTATGGTTTATCAACTTTAGTCCGAACTGGACCAATTAAAGTGATCTATGTTAATGATACTCTTTTACTTGAAATCACCATGGGATTAACTGGATTAACGGCAACCTTTGACTGGTCTCTATCCATTGGGTCATTGGAACATCGATCTGGTTCATTAACATTCAATGTAACTAATTTATCGACATTCACCCGATTAGTTCAACCGCTGGTTAAAGGTTCTTCTTTGGAATTGAACGATTTTTCGATAGTCGAGTTTGGACATATCTGGTTAGATGTTGATGGACTGGGAACATCTGATTATATCCTCGAGATTATCAGTAATTTAGCTCTGAATAGTTTCAAGAAATCTTTAGGTGATATTCTTGCCCCTCCGATTAAAACTTCAATGAAATCAACTTTATCTCAACAATCAATTACTTTCCTCAGCTGATCAACCATTGGTAATCAAGGTAAAGAAAACTAATGCTACTGGTTTTGAATTTCATGTTTCATTCATGTGAATGTTTCAGAGATTCATGAATTCAATAAATCATTTTTATAGAAATGATTCTGTAATTCTCGTACGTCTAATTAATAAATCTGAGTTTAATTTTTTGATTAATCAATCGATTCTCTCATTAGCATCAACTTCGATCACTTCTTTTTGAATTTCTTAGAGAAAAACATGAAAAAGGAAAAAGATTTACATGTAAGTCTTATGGAGATTTTCAAGTCGAAAATTTTTTAGACTTGAAAACTTTTAGAAAAACCAATCAATCGGCAAAATTATTGATTGTTGATCACTTTTTCTAATTATTTCGACAATTGAGATTTCAGATTACCGATGTTTACATTGAACCTTACCGAAATTCGTTATAACAACATTTCGGCTGTAAACTTATTAGCCAACGAAGTGAATTCGAGTGGCCACTCGTCGTCATGTGATCTCGACCCTTTTGACTTTGATTCAATTATAATCTCTTACTTTTGGCAAATTTAAATTAGTTTCGATAGAAATTAGATTATTAATTATTTATTTTCATAGAAAGAATTCGAAACTTGCAAATTATTAATAGTTTCAATATAATACATGAAATCAGCTCGAGTAAATTAAGTAATATTCAGGCCGATTGAGCGAATCACGTTAATTAAAGTGCTTGTGAAATTTTCGTTAAATAAATTGTGGTCTGATTAGAATCATTTACCTGTGAAAATAATTTCGCTTTTGTCAGCAAAACATTTGGAAGCCTCTTTGATTGTATTATATAATTTGATTCTCAGTAAATCAAAAATCAATTGATTCAGTTGATTTATCGTTGGGTGGTGTTTGTAAAAGACAAACAGTTGAGGTACTTTTTAGTTAATCAAGAATTAGTTGATTACTTTCAGCTAAAAAGATTGAGATTTGCAAGGAAAAAAGTCTTCGCCCAATAAAGTTTTAATTGTTGATAAACAATTAAAATAGTTCAAGAAAATGAACAATTTATAAATTGACTCATTCTATTAATGGAAACTGTCAAAGACAATAAATCGCAACGTTTTAAAATTTAATTGTTAATCATTTTGATTTATTGGTTGTAATCGGATTTGTTGCATTAATTTTCTTCGCATATGACTAGATGGATATAAACGGTGGTAGAAAAAAATTACAATCAATTTAGAAGAGAAAATAATTGTAATAAATAATTTAGTTTTTGGATCATTTATAAGAGATTAAGGATCGACTTGGAAGGGATTAGTAACACCGACATAGGGATTTAGTCTTTGCAAAAGATTCTTAGAGACACCAAAATGTCTAATCCGATAGATTCCAGGTTCACAATTGGCTGGAATATCCCATGTGATTATCGTTTCACTTTCGCCCAAAATTCTGCTCGTTCTGATCCAAAAGAATCTAATCAATTGAAAATAGTAAAATGGTGAGTTAAATTGTCAATCAATCGGTTAATCTAAATACTCACTTAGTTTCCCAATTACCATCGGTAGCAATTACATTCCATTCCTGTTTAGCTGAATCTAATTTTTCAACAGTTAGAAATGTTTTCTCTGTTTGTAAATCGTTACGAGGATTCGCCGCGACAAACGAAACTGTAACAACGGATCCCCGTTTGTACCTCGATTCTGGCTGAACCAAAACATCACCGAAATTTTTACCTCGACCAGCGGAGTCCATAACTACTCCAGGTTTGAAGGAGATTTGTTTACCCAATAGATTGGGTGGGGAAGGTCCATTTTCGACATCCTTCTTAGCGGCTAAATGGCCTGTTAACATACGCAACTCTTGTTGGTAAGCAGCCAAAGTGTGCGGACCGAAAATGGTTGATGCAGCTTCGTACCGTTGCTTTTGATACTCCTCGAAAGTTGTCACATAAGATGAATACGCGTTTGCAAGACCAGCGATAGTTACGATCACATTTGATCCTGGTTTGATTCTTTCGTACTCTTTTTTAACAGTCTCACGAACTCGTCTACCCGCCATAGTAGTAAACTCACCCGGTAGACCAACAATTATCAACTGTCCAATTTTCAACAATTGTACTGGTAGTATTGAGGGTTGCCATGGATAAGGGAACATCATCTCTCCGGTGTCAAGTAGAATCGGTTTGGGGTAATGACAGTTGATCATCGATGGACTTGGTCGTTTGATGAAATCCCGAACAAAATTCCAGAAAGGTGTTGATTGGGTGGCTCCTTGATGGAAATTAAAAGCTCCAGGTCCGTCTGTTGTTCCAGCGGCGAAACTGTAGCCCATAGCGGGTGGACAGGTTCTCACAGTTGAATTGTCAGAAAGAACGACCAACACATTGGACATATCGACATATTGTTGAATAAACTCTACTGGTCCATTAATTGTGGTCTTGGCATTGTCCCAAAGGTCTTTTGCTTTAGTACATTGTCGTTCACCGATTATCTTAGTCGATTCAAACATATCTCGTCCTGGTCCAGAGGCGATACAAACACCCTTTTCGGCTGGAGGAGTTGGCGCTTTATTAGGATCATTAACCAAAGTATCGTTGTTAATATTACGTTCAAATGTTTCCGAATCACGAGGTCGACGTCGATGTAAATTTCCAAGAATCTCATTTGAATCATTATCGGTATCATATCGTCTTCGAGCTTGTCTTCTTATAGTTCGCACGTTGTCAAATCGTTTTACGGTTTGAATTGACGAGCCGGTTCTCATATTTGATCTTCTATGTAAAATAAAAATACGAATTAAATCTAAATTCAGATTGTAACAATTTAAAAGATTTACCTCTCTGAACTTTCATTACAAGTACTTGTCTCAATGTCACATGGAATACCAGAGTTGGTACATTTGGGTCCTTTTATATTCGGTGAGACATCACCTTGATTGGAATTAGCGAAAGCGGCAACGAATGGACCTTCTCCAGGTAACGAATTCTGGTTCATTAATTTCTCGAAACAATATTCAGCATAACCTTTATTATCCCCACTGATTAAACGATTAGTATTGTTCATACTAGTTGGATGAACTGCAAACCAATTTAACAGGCCAATCGGTTCATTAGAATTGGAAACAAATTTCAATATTTGCATTTGTTTATCCGTATCATGTTTGTACCTATTCAATCAAAATGGTAATTAAGATCATAAGTAAACTCGACTTGATTGTAACCATTTTTTGTATCAATAAGAAAATCGGTTAATCAAATATTATATTGTAACCACTTTTTCTTATCTTAGATATTTGGATTAAGTAAATTTGGATAATAAATTAACGTACTTTCGTCTCTCATCGATTGATTGTTCATATACGAAGCTGGACTCCGATTTATATTAGATTCCAATAATTCACCTTCGTTGTAAAAGATTTTACCAGGTTGAATGTTATGATGAGCTCTATCAACACTCTGAAGGGAATATGAAAAAAAACTCAATAAGATTGAAACTGTACTCAGAATTTTCAGAAACCAATTTACCCTGACGATTCCTGAAACGATTGCGTTGAAGTTTTGCCAAATGAAACCCTGAGAGGAGATAATGTAAAGTACATATTGAAGAAAACCCCCTGGGCCAGAGTGTGTATGAGTCGCACCAATTAAAGTGTTTTTCCTCGAATAGATTCCTGGATATTTGTCTTCTATTTGTTTGATAACCTAAATTGGTACCAAAAAAAAGGAAGAAGGATATGAAAAGAAAGAAAAAGCTTCATTAGTTTTCATCTTTTTCAAGGTCAACCATCAACATCTCTTAATGTATTATCAACCATGACAGAAGGAGAAACGGATGATAAACACCAAATAGTTGATGGTCAAGGAAAACAATCACCAAACCTCATTGTGAACCGCTTGCGAAACCATCGCCAAATCGGTGTTCACATAACAAACACGAGACCCTTGTGTGTCGACAATGATAAAAGCCCGAGCATATAAACGGAAATGAATACCAGCCGTGTCTTGGCCACTTTTAGCATATCCCATCTAAAGACAAAAGGTCAGTTAGAGATCGGCACCAAAATAAAAACAAAAGAAAACACTTCCAATGGGATTCACAGTAAAAGCCTTTTTCTTACTCACCATGTTGATCTCAGCTGCTGGTCCGGTTATGTCACCGATACCAACACCTATTTTATAGTCACTGTCAGTTGTTGATTGGATGACCAATGGAATAGTGGTCAGAATGATAAGGACACTGAGTGTCCATTTTTTCTGAATCATTGCCACCAATTAATCAGAGAGAAGGAGAAACAACAAAACAACAAAAGAGAAAAAGAAAACTCCAAGATTTGTTGAAAGGAAGAACGATACTTGAGATTGGAAGAGAGAATAGAAAATAAATAATCAATTCTGGAAATAAGAAGAAGATGAATTGTTAATGGTTGAAGATGGAATAGTGATGATAAACTGGATTAACAGAAAGTTAAGTATCGATTGAATCAACAAATTCCAGTTTGATTAACGTTCTCCTCCTTTTTCTGTTGTTAACCAATTCAACTATTGGTGATTATGTTGTTCCCCTTGACACTTTGCATCTTTTTGTTTATCATCAATTTTGATTAATTATTTACCAGGAAACACGCGAACAATCAACAGATTATATAACATTGACATTGATATGGAAAAGAGATTGAGAATTAAATCATTTAATCAAAATAGACAATCACAATCAAAAGAGATGTTGACAAATGAGGGAAACAAAATTGAGCCAAAAATCCAATCAAGTGAAGGGAACAACTATTGATTTAGAAAAGAAAACAAAAGAAAAAAATTAATTTTCTCCAATTTATTAATCATTTTTTCCCTATTTGATTAGATTGTCGATTAATGGAATTGATTCATAATTAACATGGTCTATTTTCCAACAATTTAAATGAAATAGTAAAGGGGAACATTAATTTTGTTCATTTTCTGATTTCAGTTAATTGTTTCGAGTGTTTTTCTAATACCAATCAATCAATCAATCATTTTAATCATTCACAATTTATATTAACATTTGTTGTTATTTTTAATAAGAAGTGTCAATGTTTAAGGCTGAATGCACTTAATTGTTTAAATGCAATTTAGTTACAATTTGTATACACAGATTATTAAGATAACCTAATGTTGATTAATTAGTTTTCTGTAAAAAGAAACAATTTAAATTGTTAAGATAATTAGTGTTTGTTTCTCATTAATTTTGATAGATTAACAAAAAGTCAACAGTAAACCAAAAATGATAATAAATAAAACTAATTTACTTTGTTATCCATCTCATAATAAATTGTATCTCCTTTTGTTTCACCATGATAATCAAATTTGGAAGATGATGATTAGTTAATCAGTAATGTTTCTTGTTTGGTTTAGTGTTGAGCAATATAACAGGTTAGTCAAAATTAAAACATTAAACAGGTAATATAATAATGATGATTATGGAAATGTAAATAATATTAAACTTGATTGGTTGTGTGTTGATGGTAAAGTTGATTAAATCTCGTTGGCTTTTCAGGATTGTTGTTCCAGACTAATTTAAACAGGTAAACAATTAGATGAATATAAATTTAACATTATCATTGATGTTTCATTGACCGTCTACATCTCATGATAAGTGAATGAGACTGATTGTTGTATTGGGAATGATTAAACTTTCACCAAACATGTTTTTAACTTTGACCAACAATTAAGACCATTGGAATGATAATTCAAGTTAAATCAGGACATTGATACTGATTTTGATCAGATACAGTTAATTGTCTCTCCTCGTTGATAAAATATAATAATGGAATTAGTAGACCAGAGATGATGAGAGAGAGAGAGAGAGACAAATAGATAGAGAAATAGGGAAAAGATAATTAAATCTAATCACTTTGAGTGATTACGATTCATTCAGAGAGATATACTCTTAGTTTTCACCAGAATTTCATATGAGTTTCTTTATACAAAAGTTCAAAAATAAAAATAAAATATCGGAATTTACAATAAAGGTTAATAGATATAAATTCTGGGTTCACTTTGGAGATTTGATCAATTAGATTTGCATGATTAATATCTCTCTCTATATATATATTGATCGACTGTATCTTTAATTATCCTTTGTTTAAGTCATTTTCTCCTCTGATTGATTGTGTTCTAAGATGATTATGATGATAGTTCCAGCAGAGAATCTGTTGCGATTTATCTCCTTGTTGGTCAAAATTGGTTATCGACACTTTCTGATCATTGGTTGATTGATTAACAGGATTATTAGATTTTCACCAGATAAATCTGTACACACAGTGAAATTCAGTCATCATGTAAGGCATTATACTGATTCCGTTTTGTCTTATTCTTAGTCTTGCTCGACATGTTACTTGATTAGCTGTAACATTATCCAGAATGGGAGTTTGTGAATTATTCTTAATTGTTACTTCAACACATTTCGATCCATAAGATAGTGTAACAATTAAAAGAGTTGATCTATCACCAGTAGCTGTAAATACATTGTCATAATTGTCAATAAAATTTTCATCACATCTTTCCAATTTATGTGGATCAGGACCAGTTAGATCAAACATTTGTGGGTTAATTGAATTTAAAACTGGCACTTGGTCAGATTCAATATCAGCTGATATAGTTTTCACATGAAGTAAATGTCCATCAAGATTATCCGAGTCAGGATTCTGTTTATAAGATAAACGAAACAGTTAATCAGTTAGTGAACATAATTTACTAATCATTTTTGTCTGCAAAAGAAACAAAAATTGTAACAAAGAAATGTATCATTTTGCCAACTCAAACAATCAACTCATTGGCCGATATTCGTTAGTTGTGTTAACCAGTGGTCACTATTTCAATTGTAACATTTAACTGATTGTTTTTACTAAATGATTAACTTACAAGATTAAAGAAAAATGTAGCCACAATATCCATATGCTGTTGGTGACTGCGAAATTTACCAATGGCGATTAGTTCATTTTCAGTTGTCAATTGGTACATTAATGTATTGGCATTGGCATTTAGAAGAAGAGTATCCAAACCAAGAACATGAGGATTCCAATCAATTAAATTATTTCCTCCAAATAATCGGACAATTTCATCTTTATCATTAAGCCTTATATTCCGAACAGCAGCACCAGTGTTAACAATGGAGACTTTGAGACCGTTAATCCGATTGTTAAGAGTAAACCGTCTAATTAGATAACCTGGTTGGAGGATCATATCCTCCTCAATGTTGATTAATTCATTCTCGTGGAGCATCTTCTTCATTTAATTGAAATTCTATAAAAAGAAGAAAAAAAAAAGAAATACAAAAATCGAATTAAAAAGAGAATAGAAAATAGAAAAAAGCATGTAAACAAAACATAAGAATAGAAAATGAAATAAGAGGTCAAATGGTAAGAAGAATAAGTTGAAAGGGAAAGAGAAACAAATTAGAGAAACAATTAAACTGATACATACCTTTAAATGATTCCAAAGTTAACTAGAATAATCTGTGAACTAAATTAACAAAAGAAATTGAGTTAATTGAAACGAAGAAACAGTTTAACAATTGAATCAATTTTCTTGTTTTCCTTTCTCTTGATAACAAGAAACAGAACAAAAAGAAACCGAGATTTCAGCTCACTCTTTCGGTTTAGAAAGAGAAACTATTTCTCTCTCTTTTAATTCTTTCTTTTTCTTTCTCTCAAATTATATTAATTGTTCTTTAAATTGTGATCAGTGAATCTGCGAAAATAATTAATCAATTAATCGACTGTTCAATATGTTTTTCATCGAGAATACAAACAATTGAAGTTCTATTCTCTTGTCATCTTAACTTAGTCTTCGTTGTTAGTTATCCTCTAATACTCTAATCATTTGTGTTGTTTTGTTTTTTCTTGAGAAAATTTTCATTAAATTAAATTATTGTTGACAATTAAGCTGGAAAATTTTCTCAATAACTGTTTTTCAATTCTAATTACGATGTAACTTCCGATTCAATTTGATTAAATTCCTTCGAATGATTTACTTGTAATGAAAAGCAATTTAAATCAAAACAATAGAAGACAAAAAAAAAGTTAAAACAATCGTTAATGTATTGGAAATGAGATTCAAAATTCTTACAATTGTGACAGTTCATTGACAATTAACGATCAACAATTAAGAACTTCATAATCTTAGCGACATCTAATGTTTCGATAAATCAACAACCAATCTAATTTTTAATTCCAAGACGAGCAATCTAAATGAATCCAATAAATCACAGCACCAAATGATTAGAAAATCAAATAAACGAAAAATAAATTCTCTTAAAAGAAGCAAATTGTAAGATGATCCAATTGAAAGAACAGAATAGAAAATAAAAAAAAAATTCTCCAAAGACAAACGTAAACAAAACCCAAAGATCTCCACAAAAAATGAACCAACTAAAAATGAGAATAGAACCTAAAAGGGAAAATCAAAACAAAAGAACAATTAACATTTCTAATTAAATCAAAAAACTCAAAAGACAAAACCATCAACCCAAAAAGACAAATTCAAAATGTCGGGCGTTAACATAATCATAATTAAATCATAAATTATGATTCATAATTACCTAGAGAATGTATGTAATTACCAACAAAGAAAAAAAAATCAAAATGACAACAACAATCAACAGTTTTCGCCAACAAAATACAAAATCAATTGATCACCGCGAGAATGGAATCAATTGTTGAAGAATCAATTGCAAATCAATGGACAAAACAATTAAACTAAAAGACAAACAATTAACTTAATCAAGTGAAAGAAAACAAAATCCGTTGGTTTGCTTGTCCACCGCGAGATGGACCTCTGGTCGACCCGAACCCCGCCCCGACTTTGATTTTGGCGCCATTTTGGTTGGATCATCATCTCAGTCAAGATAATGAATGTTGACTAAATTTACTTAATCATTGATTACGGAAATTGATTCACTTTTTAATTCAATTGTAATTCCAATTTTAATTTAATTTGACTACCGTTGCTTCATTAACTTATTCACAGTGATTTAATATAACAAGAGTAATTATCTATTATCATTTAATTACCAGTTTGTATTTTATATAAATGGTTTTGTGTTGTTTCTAGTTTTTGGTTTTCTTTTTTTTCTCTCTCTCAACTTCTTTTACCTTGTTCTCTTTCTTTTTCTCTTTCTTTTATATTCTCTGTGCTGTTCTCATTTTTCTTCTCTATTTTCTTTTCTCTTTTACTCTTGTATCTTTTATTTTTTTTTTGCCACCATTCAGTCTATGATATTTTGTAAGAGAAACATTTGGTATCATGTCTAAAAGTGAAATTGATAATCTTAAATCTCGCTTTGCTGATGGAGTTTCAAGTAGATTAAGAGGAGGAGGTGAACGACAAACTGGCCGTTACTCTGATATCTATGATTTTGATACACCCAAAGTTAATAGGAAAACTCCTGTAAAACCCAAGTCTGTTTCTGCTTCTGAGAAGAAGAAAGTGGCTCGTAGTCCATTACGAGCAACTTCACCTCGAAGAGCTCTCTCACCGAGAAGGGCAACTTCACCTAAACCTCGTCCAGTTTCACAGAAAAAGAAGGTTGTCTCTACACCAGCAAATAAATCGAAAAGTGACTCTGTGAAAACTTTTAAAACGCCTAAATCTGCCACCAAAAATGTCCCATCAACTTCGACCCCGAAAAGTAACAAAGGGCCACAGCAAGTGAAGAAACGGAAACCCGATGATGAAGATAACGATGAAGATTCAAGCAAAAAAAGAAAGCGGGAAGCTGATCCTGACGCCAAAACTTCCATCAAAAGGCGATCAACTTTAAGAAAGAGAGTTTCTTTTAGAGGAGATGAGTTAGATACTATTCCATCTAAATCATCAAAATCATCTAAATCAGTAAAATCACCTAAAGATGATGAAAAAGTTGACACGTCAGATGCTAGTGGTTCTTGGTGGTTTTGTCATATTATGTGACCAAATTGACAAGATAATATAACATTGACAATGTTTTTTTTAATCGTTTCTCATATATCATCACAAATGCATCATTCATTATCCATCCGCTTTTTACAGTTAATCTTTTGCATTTAACTTCACACCACATTCTTTTTATTATTTAATCAAATTGATTCCCACTTTTAAGAGTCAGTTTACTCTTGACCAGTTTAATTTCCATTCTTTTCTTTATCGCTATCCCTTGGATTTATTTAACTTTCCTCTGTGTGTGTCAAAATAAGGCTGAAACAAGTACAAAACTCACGAAAAAAAAACTCATCTCACTTTAAATTATCGAATCCCCAATTCATAATTAACCCATAGCAATCTATTTTTAGCAAAGAAACAAAAATCTAGACAAAAGACAATCGATAAAGAATCTAATTAACTTTGTAAATTCATCGCCAATATTATGTTAACTATTAGATTCATCAACTTATTGACAAGTTTCCTCCATCATCACCCAGGACAAGATTACATGGCCATTCATTTCCAGTTTTCAAGGGCAAAGTTCATGTTAATGATGTTGGAAACTCTTTAAATTATGTTCACAACCAGTTACAATTAGGAGCCAAGTATCAACCCTACACACCTAATGGATCAAGTGGCAATGACCTTTAATAACATTAATTTAGATGTAATTTCATCTAAACTTTTTGTATTCACTGTATTCAACTTTGGATAATCCTGTTGTTGCCTCTTACTCTCTCTCTCTCTCTTTCTATCTAGTTAATCAAAAGTTAAAGCTCAGTTTTAAGCAGTTAATTTTGAGGGTTATTCTGATACATAATTAATATGATCTCTTTTCTCTCATTTTAAAAAATCAACTAAATGTAATCAAAATTTAATTTCTTTTCTTAATCATCAGTTGTTTGATGATAACCAGCATTAGAAAAACAAATTGTAACCTTCAACGTACAAGATTTGTCAGCCATACACATTAAAAGCAAATTATTATAAACAAAAATCAATTGTTAGCAAAAAGAGCAAAACTTTTTGTTTTTAATTGTCAAGTTATCATTTGAATTTTCTGATAAATTAACTTGTCCAAAATTCAAACAATTCAATTTAATTTTCATCATTTATTGGGAACAACAATTTAATTTCTTCCATTATTTCTGATAAACTTAAATCTTTCTTAATAGTTTCAACTTTATCGTTATCAAGTCGATGATTTTGTCGATAATAAGAAAATTCAAATAACGGGATTTCTTGTTGGGCTTTTTTACCGACAATTATATTGACAGGTATTCCTAAACATTTTGAGACAACTTGCCGATAGCCAATGGTCAATTCTGATCTATCATCGATGACCACATCAGCATTTGTATATTTGGCTAATTGTTGAGCTAAATCTTCAGCCAATTGGTTAACATTTGATTCTTTGCTGTTCATCTGCAATTAAAGATAAAGAAGAAGATACAAATCAAAATATTAATTGTACATGTTAATTGAATAATTTGATTGTCATTAAATTACCTTTGGTGGTATAACAGTTACATGGAAAGGTGCAATTTGTTTAGGCCACTTTAATTGTCGAGGTGTCGATAAAATTTCCGCACAAGAGGCCAAAATGCGAGTTACTCCTAAACCATAACTTCCCATTTGTAGTAAACTAGTTTAATCGGTTAGATAAACAATTAAGTTTATTATTAAAAGTCAACGAGAGTTTAATAAGTTTTATCTTTTACCTGTAATTGTTTGTCTTTGACCGATAAAAACATCTAAATGGTTGAGTGTATCTCGTTGCTAAATAAAAGGCATGACCCACTTCTATTGATTGTTTAGCTTGTAAATCACAATTACAAGAATCACAATATTTACTTTGATTAGATTGTTGTTTCTCAATATATTCCTCACTAAATCCTTGATTACAATTTGAACAAAGGTGAATTGTATCTTCACCAATGTCCGATATTAGATGGTATTCATGTGAATGATTCCCTCCAATCGCACCAGGATCAGCTTGAACTACACAAATTAAATCAAAAATATTAAATCATTTCGACAATCATACTGATTAATTACCTTTGATAACATTAATTTCCAATCGATCGAAAATATTTTGATAACTTTGACAAACTCGATTATAAGAGTTTTGAGAATCAGCTTCAGTTGCATCGAAACTGTAAAGATCTTTGATAGAAGGAAAATATTATAGTTGAACGTTAATTGTGACAATTTAGGATAATTGAGATTTGGAATTACCTTTCATCATGAATTCTTTGCCCCTGAGTAGGCCACTTCGAGGTCGAGCTTCGTCTCTGTATTTTGATGCGATTTGATATAAGTAAATGGGAAGTTGTTTCTCAAATATTTTCTCCTTCGAAAGCCAATAACAAAACATTTCTTCGTGAGTCTAACAGACAAAGTGAACAATTAAATAAATGGTTAATTATCCAACTAATCGACTTGGTTAAATTGTTCAACTCACTGGGGTCAAGAAAAGGTCTTGGCCATGGCGATCTTTAAATATGAACACATCTTGTTGATGGTCAGGTAGTTTTCCTGTAAACAATCAAATGGTTTCAAAACTATCATAATGTTTACAATATTACGATATTTCCGTTGCAATTTACTAATTACCTGAGATTTTTAGGAGACCAGAATGACCTAAAGTTGGTAGAATCATCTTTTCGCATCCGATTGCTTCCATTTCTTGGTCAATAATTGAGATTAATTTGGTTAATGATCGAGTTGCCAAAGGTAAAAGATAATGTAAACCAGAAAGATTTGATGCAACAAAACTACGTTCTTTTAATAACTGAATAGAAATGAAAGTGATTAGTTAACGACAATTAGAAGGAGATATGAGAATAATCAAATTAAAATACTCACCGAGAAACTTTTAGAAATTGAATTATCAAAATTTGTCTTGTCCAACAATAACACACGACTCATACGATGAGGTTTCTTTGAATTAATTGAAGAAGATAAATGTAATAATCTTCTCAGCTCATTGTTACTCTTGTTAATTAATTTCATTTTAAAATTAGATGATTAACAATTGGAAAAATTAAAAGGAATCAAATAAAAAGTGAAAAGATTTCAGTTAACCGGTTCAAGTGAAAACAGTAAACAGAATCAGCTGTTTACGTTAACTGTTAACGCGCTTCATTTGATTGTTGGGTAACAATTAGTTGGGGCAATTTGATTAATTTACCCTTTGCCTTTAATTTAACAATTTGATAGTTTAAGTTTGTGAATATACAATTTTCCAGATATTTGCTAAGCAAACTGATGAATGGTAGCGATAGAAAAGGATGAAAGGTTGACAAATGTCAAGAAAAATAGTCTGAGCGATATGAGCCTGATCGTCCTTTTGAAATTTAGCCTTGGCTCGAAAAGCACCCGATGTCCAAAGAACGAGATTTAAAGCTATAAGTAGGGTGATTATCTGTCGCCCAGGTTTGTGTTGACTTAGATAATTAGTATCACAGATTTTTGATGAAGCAAAGTAAATAAATATCGCTTGTAATAGAGGTTGAATTACACCGAGAATCTCAACTGTGTGATCGATTGGTCCAAGTTCAACGGAATAAACATCTAAATTTCTGATATAACCTCGAATACAGAAAGCAATTAAAGGGAAAAAAAGTAACATCATGTCAGTTGATCCAACACAATTTTCAGTTGATTTTCCAAGACCAGATAATTGAATAGAGGCAATTAACAGAGAGAGTAAAGATGAGGTCAAGTAAAGTAAATCTTCCCAAATAATGAAAATTGAGATCGAAGCAAATAGATTAGGATTACCAACGGCAGAAAAATAGTAAACCAATGATATTAGTGAACCAATGGCACAAAATAGTCCAGCAAATAATCCGCGGCCACTTTTATGAAATCCGATCGATTCAGTTAATTCATCGATTTCATCATTTATCTCATGAGCTTCAGTTATTGTCCAATAATCAGAAGCTCGAGTTTCCCTGTAATGACCAATGTGCTGCCAAATGATTAGCCATTGGATAGCAAGAAGAAAATTGAATTCAATGGTGAAAGGGTCAATATAAGGTAAGACTTTGGCAAAGTTAATATTGTAAATGTTTTCAGTGGGACAATTTTGGTAAAACTTGTCTCTATGATGGAACAAGGGTGACAATTTGTGAGAAATTGGTCCTAATTCTGACTGGTCATCTTGAGGAAAAAAATCCGCCTCAACCGCGATCGTCGTGAACCATTTGAGTAATGCAACGGCAATTAAGACCATACAACCAAAACTGGCAACATTTTTATGCCTATTGACGATTATGTTGGAATGATTTTGGATGAAAATTAATTGAACCAAAGAACTGATCAAATCAACAATACTTGAAACTAAACGAAGCCCATCAAAACAATTAGATCCATGAGAGCAATAGTAAACCTCTTGAGTTAACAAAGTTGTGGTTGAAATCAAATGAATGGCACAAAAAACTGTTGATAAAGTAAAAAAAAACGGTTAAATCAGTTAGGTGATTAGTTTTAAAATCGTAATCAAATTAAACTTACTTGTCAAACCAACTTTAAGGTAAAAACAATATGAATGTGGAGCCTTGAGGTAAGTATAATAAGTCCATTCTTTGTGTGTCACATCCGATGGATTATCCAAAGAGTGATTAAGTCTATCTGCAATTAGATATAAATCTGTCCATATAAATAGGAGCCAAAATATGCCAACAGTAGACAAAGAAACTCTAATAAGAAGAAAGGAAGAAAACAAATGACAATTAGGAAACAATTTAAATTGTTGTGAATAAAATAAACTTACATGAAAACGTTATGGTAAATGTCATTTTGAGCAGTCCATGATTGTAATTTAATCCCAAAACTGACCAAGATGACCATACAAACCAAAACAACGTATTTACCTTGAGTACATGGTTGAACCTCATCTTCATTTGGGTAACTAGGCATTGGAATCACTTTAACCAGTTAATAGAAACACTAATCATTGGGTCAATGTTGACAAATTGAACTAATTAATTATCCTTCTAATTGAAAGGATAATTTTACCTTTTTTTTCAAAAATATTGAAGGTGAACACTGTTAAGTTGTCCAATTCAATAGATTCAATTGTTCTCTTTGGACACAAATCAATTCAATCACAATCAAAGAAAAACAGATTAAGATCAATTTCTTAAATGAAGGACAACCTTTAACTCCATTAATTAAACGAAAAGATCGATCATCGATTCCAAACGAAATTCCATAAAATGATTACATAAAGTTCCAACCAAGAGCAATCTCTTAATAAACAATTGAAAATCTCTTTTAAAACACAATTAATTTCCTTAAACAATTAAATTAAAATGACAATAAATTTAATCGATCATTTGTCAATCATTAATTGTGATTAGAAAAAAATTCTTTTCTTGGGTGGTCAATAGATGTCACCACTTCCGTGGAAAAAAAGCTGATTAATCATCATCATTGTTTGGTCTTGATAATTGAATTTAGAACAACAATGATTGATTAATTTCTTTGTTTAATTAATTAAATTATTCTTATTTCATTTAATTGTGAGATTAAAGTGTTGATTATTAGGTAATCATGACTGGTGGTGCGGTTGCTGTTCATTCGAGGAAAATTTTACCCACTGACAAATATCCAAGTGATGAGATTCTCAAGAGCATTGGTGAGTAGAGGTGAAAACAGTTTTGTCATTCTCTTGATAAATTTATTTTCCTTTCTATTTTTAATTTATTTATTATTCTATTTTTCATTTAATTGTTAATTGGTTTGACAGTTGAATCTATTGAACCTCCTAAAGATGAAGAATGAGATAAAGATGGAGAAAAAGCCATTCTTGATCTTGGGCAACATTTGTGTAAATCTGGAAAAGCTCAAGGTAAATTTTCATTTTTTTGTTTATTGACTGTTTTTGATACTTATTATATTTTTCTCTTCTCTTACAATTTATTAGAATTGGCATCCTTGATTCAAAAAGTCAGGCCTTTCCTTAACTGTATCTCTAAGGCCAAGGCTGCTAAATTGGTCCGTCAGTTGGTTGATTTATTTCTCGACATGGAAGCCGGTACTGGTCTTGAGGTTGATCTTTGTAAAGAAGTTATTACCTGGGCTAAGGAAGATAAAAGAACTTTCTTAAGACAATCTCTCGAGGCTAGATTGATTGCTCTTTATTATGAGAATAAACTATATGATGAAGCCCTTGCCTTGATTTCTTCTCTGCTTAGAGAATTGAAAAAACTGGATGACAAGAATCTGCTAGTTGAAGTACAATTACTAGAGAGTAAAGTCTATCACGCTCTAAGTAATCTCCAGAAAGCTCGAGCTGCCCTAACATCGGCCAGAACAACAGCCAACGCAATCTACTGTGCTCCTAAAATGCAAGCAGCTTTGGATCTTCAATCGGGAATTCTTCATGCTGCTGATGAAAGAGATTTTAAAACCGCCTTTTCATATTTCTATGAAGCCTTTGAAGGCTATGACTCCATTGATAATCCAAAAGCAGTAACTGCTCTGAAATACATGTTGTTATCGAAAATAATGCTCAAACAGTAAGTCAATTGATTAACTATTATATGATACGATTATATGATAAGTTATTACCTGGTATAACTTCAAGTCCGAATAACTTGGATAACCTTAATAACTTGTACCTTTTACTTACCACCCCTCTTTCTACATTCCTTTTATCTCTTACCTGTTTCTCTGTCTGTGTCTCTTTCTATTTTCACCTAACCTTTCTCTCTTTCTCTCTCTCTCTTCGCTCCCTCTCTCACCATCATCATCTTCGCCGTCCACACCTGTTGTTTTTTTTCTTTTTTCAAAAGTAATTGAGGTCGCCATTAGATCCTCGTTGATCCTCGTTAAGTTAACAACTTTTACCCAAAGTGAAAAGAGGATTTTGATCATTTTCAGTTGTAAACATTTGACTTTTTCGCTAATCAGTTAATCACTACCAATATGGATAACAGTAATTACCTTTCTGGTCAATATTTTGATCGGACATCATCAACAGTGCCAGATAATCTTGTCTGTGACAATCAATATTATTCAGGATACACTATTGTTAACAATCAACAATTAGCTGAGCAGCAACAACATCAACAAGTTTACCAATTTAATCAAAATGTGCAGCAGCGTCTTAATCCTCAACATCAAATACAACCCCAACAACAACCACAACAATTAACAAATCATTTGGATGGGAACAATTACAATTATGTTTACAATCAAGCAGTTATGCCGACAACTAATTACAACAATTATCAGTTAGTTATCAATGGCGATGCTAACGACAATCCCCATCACCAACAACAGCAACAACAATACAACTCCAATCACATAGCGACCACAACCACAACCACAGGCACAACCACGACCACGACCAATAGTAATGTTATTAGTGCTGTGAAAGAGGAAAATAAAGTTGTTAAGACTAAAAGGAAGAAGAAAATAAACCGTAAAAAAGAGCCGTCGAATAATAAGAAATCGGCCTCGGCTTATGCTCATTTTTTTAGAGATAAACAAGCTCGAATTAAAGAAGAAAATAAATCGGCTTCTTTTGGTGAGATTTCAAAAATTGTGGCCTCAGAATGGGAAGCCTTGTCCATTGATGAGAAAGCGGTTTACAAACGGAAAGCAGAAGTGGCCAAGAATGACCAATTCAAGGACATTGCTCTGTCTCACGCTATGGCTGTTGCTGGAGCGAAATTCAATAATAATAATACAAACAATCAGCTTGACAATAATCAAACTAATCAAAACAATTTACAACAACAATCAACACAACCACCGATACAATCAATACAATCAACTCATCACCACCAACAACAATAACAAAAACAACAACAACAAAAACAAAAACAACAACAACAACAACTACAACAACAACAACAACAACAACTACAACAACAACAACAACAACAACAACAACAACAACAACAACAACAACAATAACAAAAACAATAACAAAAACAACAACAACAACAAAAACAAAAACAACAACAACAACAACAACAACAACAACAACAACATGAAGCCAATTATAATTATGTTCAAATTAATTATCCCGATAATGTTGGAGTCACAAATGAAATGTTGTATACAAATGAATCCATTTATCAATATTAATTGTTTCAAACAGGACAGTTAATGAAATTGATGAGTGGGGATGATAATTGAATAACGGGTACTAATTCAACGATATGATTGCATGAATGAAATTGCGAGTGGATAAAATTGTAATTAATTTCTACAATTAGAGATGATCTGAGGTATTGATGGATTATAACAGTGGATTAAACTTTGGATGAAATATCGTACAGATCTTCCGATTTGGAGTTAATTTCCGTTTTATCCTTTGGTTTTGATGGCGTTTCAACTGTTCCCCAAGGTTGAGGCTTCGTTGTGGCAAAGGTTAAAAATGAAAAAGCTCCGATCATTTGTAACCCAGCGAAAGTATAAAATGTTGTATTCCATAGACTTTGAGAATGAACCTTTCGATTGAAAAAAAAGAAAATAATAATAATAAATTGAATGCAAAAGAGAAAAAGAAATAAAGTTCAATTCGATATACTCACTTGTTCATCAATAATCGATGCTATTATCACGGGGGCGATAAAACCCGAAGCACAACCAAGTGTATTAGCGAAACCAAAAGCAGTACCAACAAGATGCGGAGCCATTTCCATGACTATCGGTGTATCACCTCCAATGGTAAATCCATTACAGAACATACTTGCGATTAGAACAATTATAATCACGTCAGGTCGATTTCCAAGACTTGGTATGATACCCAAACAAAGAGCAGTACCAAAAAGAGCTGAATACGAGAAAATAGATTGTAACAATTAAGAGTTTTTTCGATGGTTTTCGATGTTATTAGAATTAACTTACCAATCGACTCAAATATTTTTCGAGTAACTGTCCTAGAGAACCATTTTTTACCAATCACCCATCTCGCCATTGGTCCAGAGATTAATTGAGTTGAACAAATTGCAACATAAAAAAGTGAATTAATTAATCCATTCCCTTGTAATTGATAACCTAGAACCATTTCCATATAAATGGGTATCTTTGTGTTAATCGCATAATAGATTGGCCCATTGATACCACGAGTTATCATAACTGACCAAAGAGGTAAAGAGGTTAACATGCTAATCCATGGGGTTTTGGTGATCTGATTAAAATGAAGATTAATTGTTGTTAATGATAAAATTGGTGAATATTTTCTAATGATGAATTACCTTTGATTTGACCACTTTAGCACTGGTCATTTTGTCGAGAAAATTTTTCTCTGATTGTGATACCCAACGATTAGCCGAAGGGTCAAGAGTCATGGTGATTATCCAGATAATTATGAATAAAATGTTGACCGCTGCGGTTACATAAAATGCTGAAGGCCAACCACCCGCGAATCCATTATCACATAACCAAGCGGTTAACGGCATAATAATTACTATGCCGAAATTTGATCCAACAGCAACACAACTTTGGGCAAATGCTTTTTCCGTGGATACTAACCACCTTTCCATGAGTATATAACACGAAGGGAACAATAACCCATGGGCTAAGCCAAGGGCCATTCGAGCTGCGACCAGGTAGATTATCCCATATTCAGCGGCAATGGGACACAAGAAGGTACAAGCGATCGCAGCCAATTGCGAGGCCGTCATCAAGTGGACAGCGTTGAATTTATCGGTCAAAATCCCTGAGATAATGGTGAATTCAATGGTGAAAGGGTCAATATAAGGTAAGATTTTGGCAAAGTTAATATTGTAAATGTTTTCAGTGAGACAATTTTGGTAAAACTGGTCTCTCAGATGGAACAAGGGTGACAATTCGTGAGGAATTGGTCCTAATTCTGACTGGTCATCTGGAGGAAAAAAATCAGCCTCAACCGCAATCGTCGTGAACCATTTGAGTAATGCAACGGCAATTAAGACCATACAACCAAAACTGGCAACATTTTTATGCCTATTGACGATTATGTTGGAATGATTTATATCTAATTGCAGATAGACTTAATCACTCTTTGGATAATCCATCGGATGTGACACATAAAGAATGGACTTATTATACTTACCTCAAGGCTCCACATTCATATTGTTTTTACCTTAAAGTTGGTTTGACAAGTAAGTTTGATTTGTTTACGATTTTAAAACTAATCACCTAACTGATTTAACCGTTTTTTTTTACTTTATCAACAGTTTTTTGTGCCATTCATTTGATTTCAACCACAACTTTGTTAACTCAAGAGGTTTACTATTGCTCTCATGGATCTAATGTGGAGAAAGGAAGAAAACAAATGACAATAAATAAGAGCCAAAATATACCAACAGTAGACGAAGAAACTCTAATAAGGAGAAAGGAAGAAAACAAATGACAATTAGGAAACAATTTAAATTGTTGTAACAACTTACATGAAAACGTTATGGTAAATGTCATTTTGAGCAGTCCATGATTGTAATTTAATCCCAAAACTGACCAAGATGACCATACAAACCAAAACAACGTATTTACCTTGAGTACATGGTTGAACCTCATCTTCATTTGGGTAACTAGGCATTGGAATCACTTTAACCAGTTAATAGAAACACTAATCATTGGGTCAATATTGACAAATCAAACTAATTAATTATCCTTCTAAGTGAAAGGATAATTTTACCTTTTTCAAAAATATTGAAGGTGAACACTGTTAAGTTGTCCAATTCAATAGATTCAATTGTTCTCTTTGGACACAAATCAATTCAATCACAATCAAAGAAAAACAGATTAAGATCAATTTCTTAAATGAAGGACAACCTTTAACTCCATTAATTAAACGAAAAGATCGATCATCGATTCCAAACGAAATTCCATAAAATGATTACATAAAGTTCCAACCAAGAGCAATCTCTTAATAAACAATTGAAAATCTCTTTTAAAACACAATTAATTTCCTTAAACAATTAAATTAAAATGACAATAAATTTAATCGATCATTTGTCAATCATTAATTGTGATTAGAAAAAAATTCTTTTCTTGGGTGGTCAATAGATGTCACCACTTTCGTGGGAAAAAAAGCTGATTAATCATCAAAATTAAATTGTCCTTATAAATTGTTAATTAACTAAATCAAAATAACTAATTAAAGTGATAATTTTGCTAAAGGTGATTAAGATAGTGTTGTGCTTTCAATTGACACCAAAATGGCCAAAACACCTAGAAAGACAGTCAACTTATCAATAACTGAAGATTTCTTCCAAGAAGTTGACTCAGGTCAAATGGAGCTTTCCGACATCTTGGCGCTAATAAAAGATGAAATAACTAGAACCTTGAATCTTGTCCAGGAGAAATTTGTTACACAAAAGAATTTAAACAATTATGTTGGAAGCAAAAAGGTAGTTCTGGATCACATGGAAAATCTGATTAAATCTGCTGAGTCCAAACTCAACACTGTTTCAACGGAAGTGATGAAATCGACAATGGACAACTCAACACAAACAAACAACAAGAGAAAAACACGAAATCACACTCCGCTGTCGAAGATAATAATTGATGATGATGAAAATAACTCGAAAGTCGATACAATTGCAAATATTACCGCTGATCTACTGACGGAAGGTGAATCAATTAAAAAGGTTATCAATAAAAGAGAAAAAATCATCATAATTGGATACCTTCCCGCCAATATCAAGTGCTCAGAGATTCTCAAAGAGAAGGCAATAAATCATCGACATCTGCAACCACTACAACCACAATGCTCGGTCATCTTGCCTCCAGATGTAGCAACGGATGAAATATTATCAACTAATGGCCTCTCAGTGGTACAAATCCTTGAAGTTAACAATAAACTTATAAAAATAAAAGAAAAGGAAATGAGGAGAATCATCTATCGCTGCGCTGACACCAAGCTCTATTGGAACCTAATTGACAAAGGACTAGATATAAACGGAACAAATTACAAAGTAAAAGAAAATGTTTACGTTCGAGCTTGTTTCAAGTGCTACAATTTTGGTCATCATACTCACCAATGTAAAAAGGAAACCTTCAATTGCAACTCATGCAAAAATCAACACATCAAAGAGATAAATTGTTCAGTTAACTGTTCATTCTGTGAGAAAAGAAATAGACCCAGTGATCATAATCCACTCTCACGAAACTGTTACTCGAATAAAACACAAATCTCTCAATTGAGAAAGTGGATCGACTATGGTGACAATTTTGAATTGGAATGTGAACAAAGAGAAATGGAAACTCGATCATCTAATCCAACAATTACTAACCACAGAAGAAATAATGATTCTGACAATTCAAGAGCCGAATCAGAACTGGTTACTGAATCAACCGATTTTGAACAATAAACTCTACTCAAGCTTCTCCTGTGGCAGAACGAGTACAATAATTGAAGATAAATTGCAACCAAAACTCTTAGTGCTACAAAATGACACAATTATAACAACATGTAAAATAAATCGAAAAAGAATAGCGATTGTCAACCTTTATATTGACCGAACTTTAAGTGAAAACAAAATAGTGAACATAGTTAACTTCATCAAAAACTCCCTACAGAAATACAATATTGAGAATGTGATAATCACTGGTGACACCAACTCGACCCATCAACTTTGGACCCCAGAAGAAAAATTAAGTCCAAATCGAAACACTCCAAGTGAAAAAAGAGGTAAGATTGTATCGACTATCTTCTCTGAGCTTACTAGTGCCTTTTCCCCCTCTAAAGAAAATTACACATATTTCGATTCAGGGTAATGAAACGTTCATTGACGTTTTCTTTCACTCGCGAGGATTAGAGATATTGAGTAAACAAATAGAGACACTATCCTTTGATCATCGACTTATGAGTGTTAAATTTGATGTGAAAAATCTGATTGCGATGAAGGAGACGGTGAGAATTGTCAATAGAGAAGGCCAAAAATTTTTTCATAGAAAATCTTTACAAATTATCAGAAGTGAATGACGAAGAGCTAATAGTAAAGGTAAATCAACTCCTTATTGATCAAATGAATTACTTGTATGGAGAAAGCAAGTTAGTCGCTGTAAACAAAACAAAATCAGGAATTAAAAGAAAGATCAACAACTTTTCAAGAAACAACAAAAGTGAAATATCAAATCTGATTTATAATAAAATCGAGAGTAGACTAAAAAATGAGAGGGAAGAAATCTTTAGGGACAAATTGATCAACAAACCTTGGCAGATAATTAACGACAAACTGAACAGAAATCCACTTACTGACAATTATAACACTCAACTACTAATGAAAGCTGAAGATAAAATTATAACAGCCTTTAAGAGATACACGGTAGAAATGCTGATAACAGAAAACTCTAACACCACTGAGTCTTCCTTCCCTGAAATCAGTGAACATGAAGCTCTATTAGCTTACAAACGATTAAACAAATCAGCTTCTCCAGGTGTAGATGGAATAAGCCTAAAGAAAACTCCTGAACTAGCCCAATACCCTTTCATTGATCTAATTGTGAGAATCTTTAATCGACTCTTATCAACAAGTTGCTATCCATCTACCTGGAAAGTGGCGAGATGTGTACTAATTCCTAAAGCCGACAATATTAGACTAAGAGAACTACATGTTCAATCATCTCTATCTAAATGGTTAGAGAAAGTAATACTGATGAGACTAATACCAGAAGTTCCAATTGAAATTTTTCAGAATCAATTTGCCTATCAAACGGGAAAGTCAATAAATGATTTAATCCTAAAGTGTAGAAATAGATTAGAAGATGAGAATGTCTTGGGAATACTCAGTCTGGACATTTCCTGTGCCTTTGATCAGATTAACAGAGAAGCGATTATCAGATGCTTACAAACAATTAAGGTATCTAAATACCTCATCGAAATTATTTCATCTTATCTTGACTGTAGACAAATAATAAAAATAGACAAAAATGGACTAATAAGTAAACCGAATGATAATGGAGTTCCCCAAGGCTCGATTTTAGGTCCTTTTCTCTTTATTCTAACCCTTCAGTTTAATCTTCGTCATTTCGAATCAAATTGTCAGAATGAGGAAATTGAAAATCATGAATTATTGATCTACGCAGATGACATTTTTGTGATCCTCAAAAAAAGCAAAAGAAAATGTGAACTGGTAGATCGTTTAAAATCTGAAGATGTACTAGAAATAGAGAATAATATCTACTGTGTTGTCAAAATCTTAAATAAAACACTCAATAAGATAGACCTGAAACTAAATCGAAGCAAAAATAAAATATTACTTAAAGAAGAAAAGATCAAATCCAAACTAAACAACAGCATTAAAATCGTAGACCCAATGATGGTTCTTGGCTGTCCTATTTTCTCTAATCCATTGAGATTCAGAAGATCAAAAACAATCGATTTTCTACTTAATGATCTCGAAGAGAGGAGTCTAAAACTACTGAATTACACAAATCTAATCAAAATTCTACCGATAAGATTGATAAAATTAATTGTAACAAGCTTATTAGAATCAAGACTCATGGTCTATGCGCCAGTCGTTCTCAAAGAATTAACGTCAAAGTGGGAAGAAGGAAACAAAATTAACAGAGTTACAGGAAAAGTAATTAAATTATTAACGGGTCTACATGATCGAGTACCTACAATTAGCTCCTTCATCGCAATTGGGTCATTACCTACATCAATCAGAATAATAAAAACAGGATTAGCTTTTTACTTTGAAAGAATGAATCAATTTGATACACAAGATTTCATAATGAAAAATCCTGAACTAGCACCTATGATAAGCTCAGAGAGAAGCTGGTATGGTCTTAAGATTATAGCTGAAGAAATTTCGATGAAATTTTTCTCGGTCATTTGTGACAAAAACATGAGAACCTCAAGAGTTGCCTTACCCTTTTACCTTCTACCCGAAAAACAAATCAATTGGCCGATTGAACAAAAAGTAAACAAATTAATTAAATGGTCCATTGGCTATTATGAGTTTTTGTTGACAAAAGATAATCTTGTCTGTCCATATGACCATCAACCATTAAGTATGAAGCATATATTAATTGAATGTTGCGAAACGCAAACAAAACAACAAGTCGACATCGCAAAGAAACAATTAAACACTGGAAGAATCAAAAAATATCAATTAACAACAATTGACAAAATTATCAGAAAAGTGACACAAATTTACTTAGAACCACTACAAGTGGACATTAACTCAGTTTGATCTCAACCTCAACACAATCAACGACCAAAAGAAAATAAAAATAAGTGAACCATCAAGAAAAATAGTTCGTTCATCGTGTTTCAACAAAGACCATGGAAAATTTACTACAATTTATCTTCACAACCTCGATCCTCATCTTAATCGCAATGTATATAAAATTCAAAGTGACACCACAAATTACTGGAGAAAAGAATCCCAAACATCAACATCAAATCGTACCTGGAGAAGATGCCCAACGTGCTCAAGGCTCCATAGGAATATATAAAATTATTGAAACTATACTGAATTAATCTCAATTTAATCATAATTTTCCTCTCCTGATTAACTAAACACTTTTGCCAAACAAAAAATTTGTAAAACGCGCCAGCGAACAAAAATTTTTAGTGTAACCTTGTTACAAGTATGAAATAAAGAAATCATCATCATTGTTTGGTCTTGATAATTGAATTTAGAACAACATTTTCCTGATTAATTTCTTTGTTTAATTAATTAAATTATTTCTTATTCCATTTAATTGTGAGTTTAAAGTATTGATTATTAGGTAATCATGACTGGTGGTGCGGTTGCTGTTCATTCGAGAAAATTTTACCCACTGACAAATATCCAAGTGATGAGATTCTCAAGAGCATTGGTGAGTAGAGATGAAAACATTTTTGTCATTCTCTTGATGAATTTATTTTCCTTTCTATTTTTAATTTTTAATTTATTTATTATTCTATTTTTCATTTAATTGTTAATTGGTTTGACAGTTGAATCTATTGAACCTCCTAAAGATGAAGAATCTATCCGGGCACGAGAACAAGCCATTCTTGATCTTGGGCAACATTTGTGTAAATCTGGAAAAGCTCAAGGTAAATTTTCACTTTTTTGTTTATTGGCTGTTTTTGATACTTATTATATTTTCTCTTCTCTTACAATTTATTAGAATTGGCATCCTTGATTCAAAAAGTCAGGCCTTTCCTTAACTGTATCTCTAAGGCCAAGGCTGCTAAATTGGTCCGTCAGTTGGTTGATTTATTTCTCGACATGGAAGCCGGTACTGGTCTTGAGGTTGATCTTTGTAAAGAAGTTATTACCTGGGCTAAGGAAGATAAAAGAACTTTCTTAAGACAATCTCTCGAGGCTAGATTGATTGCTCTTTATTATGAGAATAAACTATATGATGAAGCCCTTGCCTTGATTTCTTCTCTGCTTAGAGAATTGAAAAAACTGGATGACAAGAATCTGTTAGTTGAAGTACAATTACTAGAGAGTAAAGTCTATCACGCTCTAAGTAATCTCCAGAAAGCTCGAGCTGCCCTAACATCGGCCAGAACAACAGCCAACGCAATCTACTGTGCTCCTAAAATGCAAGCAGCTTTGGATCTTCAATCGGGAATTCTTCATGCTGCTGATGAAAGAGATTTTAAAACCGCCTTTTCATATTTCTATGAAGCCTTTGAAGGCTATGACTCCATTGATAATCCAAAAGCAGTAACTGCTCTGAAATACATGTTGTTATCGAAAATAATGCTCAAACAGTAAGTCAATTGATTAACGACTTTCCTCAAATTGTTGATACTAAAATTGCCTGTTTTTCTTTCATTCATTTATCCAGGCCCGATGATGTTCAATCAATTACTGTCGGCAAGTTAGCTCTTAAGTACGCTGGTCCCAACATCGAGGCGATGAAAGCCATCGCTAAAGCAAGTGCAAATAGATCTCTTTCTGAATTTCAAGATGCATTAAACCAATTCAATACAGAGTTACACGGAGATCCCATCATTCGAGCTCATTTCGATACATTATACGATAATATGTTGGAGCAAAATTTGTGTAGGATAATCGAGCCCTACTCTCGAGTTCAGGTTAGTTTTTGTTGTTATCTCTTTTACGTTGATATTAAGCCAGTCAAAATCTAATATCATTTTTGTTTTCTCTCATTTAATTCTAATCACAGGTTGATCACATCGCTAAAATCATTAATCTAGGCAAGGACACAGTGGAAAAGAAATTGTCACAAATGGTTTTGGATAAGAGCTTTCATGGTATTCTCGATCAAGGAGAAGGCGTTTTGATCATTTTCGAAGACGCTCAAACCGATAAAACATACGAAGCATGTTTAGAGACCATTCAAAATATGAGCAAAGTTGTGGACGCTCTGTACCAAAAAGCCAAGAAATTGTCTTAATCTTAAATCAAACAAACAAAAGAGAAACAAATTTGTCAACCTTTTCCTAAAGAAAACCTTTTTCGTAAGCCATTTCTCCTTCCAATTCCTGATGAAAAGTTTAATTTCCTATTTAAACCCAAAGCAAAAAGAGTTTGAATACCTGAAAGAGTAAAATAGTTAAACAAAACACTAATTCGATTTCCAATCAAAATACTAATTATCTACCATCTTAATTTTGTGTGGGGTGTTAAAATTTGGTAAAGTTAATCAATTAGATATATTCTCTTAATTGTAATCACTTTGAATTACAAAATCATTCCCATTTACCTTGAATCCTTACGAAAATTAGTCTCGATTAACTTAACCCTTAATCCAAAAAAAGAGTAAATTGTTCAAGAAAATTACTCAAGTTTCTTTGAAACTTGTCACTCGTTCTGCCTTCTAATCATTGTGCATTCTTTGAAACTGAATTTGCTGATCAACAGCCAAACAATCTTAAAAATAATCAACTCGTCAACAACAAGAATCTATTTTCTACCTCACAATTAACCTGCTCTCACTTACAATTAGCCTTTTCTGATTTTCTCCATCTCAACACTTACACTTTTTTCTCGGTTCAAAGGATCAACTTTGCTTTTTTCTCTTCCAAATTTACTAAATTATAATTTAACATTTACGATTATCAATCAATCTAAATCATTGGTTTGATCCAATAACGAATTTAAAACAATTGGGTAACAATTATTACACAAGAACAATAAAATTAATAACATGGAAAATGCAATCAAATCAATTGTTGGAAAATCTTTAAATCAGAGATAAAAGTTAACTGAGACTTGCGATTGTATTTAAATTGTTTCACCTTAAATGGTTTCAATTAGAATCAATAATTTGATTTTCTACAGTGAAAAGTGTTAATTGTCATGAGAATTAATTTGTGTAACGATTCATTGAAGCAAATTAATTATTCACATTTAATTAACAATCTAAATGAAAATGTATCTTTTTATCATTCGAGACAATGTTTAATTGTTCATTCTGTTTTCTCTGTAATTAATTAATCTTCTTATTATTAAATCTAATTCCTGATTCGTTGCACATTGACAATCAATCAAATTGTTGTTCATTTACAATGACATCAGTTTGACAGGTTGATTATGTTTCTACATTGTTAACATTTACAGTCGACAATTAAAAAGTAAGGTAAGTCTGAATACTATGAACAATTTAAATTGTAGTAATTAATACCTCGTTTGTTGATTTACCTTTTATGGTTAAATCGGAATTGATTAATCTAATCTTGTAGTATGAACAATTTAGAGATAAATTGTTAACTCGATATATTAATTTAAGTGTCGATTGATGATTGAATTGATCTTAAATCAAATGGGAGAAAACAATTTAACAGGATTAAAGATTTGATTTAAATCCAATTCTATTGTTAATAGTTGATTAAATTGCTGGTTAACCATTTGTGCATGAATATCAGAGTACAATTAAATTTGTTTACTTTTCTGGTTAATCAACTTTCTGATTGCTCCAAATAGGAGACAGATTAATTTTACATATTCACTTGACTAATCAAGAGCAATCAATTTTGATTGAAAGAAACATAATTGTCAACAATAAGTAAATTGTTATAAAAGATTGAAACGAATAACAAATGACAAATTGATTCGCTTGGAATAAACTAATCAATTCAATTAATTTCCATTCGTAATTATAACAATCAAATGATCCAAAAGACGAACACCATTTAAATTGTAACAATTAAGTTGAGAGAAAAAAAATGTTTGCTAACTTTGAGAATCGAACGACGAGAATTTAAAATTCTCATGTTCTAATCAATTTAATTTCTTCTCGATTACCTGATGATCGGGAGGATGGAAGATGAGATGAAGATGAAGAGGAAAAAGAGAAAAAATTGATTCGAATCACAATTAAATCAAATTCTCTTTCTTTCCGCCCTTTTCCCTTTTCCATTTTCTTTCTTTCATATTTTCTGGTTTCTCTTTTTCTCATCTCTCCCAATCTGTCATCTCTCTTTAACTCTCTCTTTCTCTCTCTCTCTGTGGATTTTGATATCATTTTTTAACTCCTCTTTTCCTTGTTAATCCAAATCTAGTTCTGTTTTTCATTAGTGACAGAATTTAGGGCGATTAGTGTCTAAAAATATCAATTCTCATCTTAACCAACGAACGAAAAAGCAAAAAAAAATTGGGCCTTAACCATCTCTTAGCAACGGGATCTCTCTCACTCTCTTTTTTAGTTTTCTCTCTCTCTTTTCTCATCATCACCTTTTCTTTTTCTTTCTTCATCATCATCATCATCATCGACAACAACAACAACAACAATATCTTCTTGTCTACAGTTCACCATCATTCTCAGTTGATAATCTGAAATTCAGGTTTTCCAATCAAAGAATACAAATAATCTGTTTTCATTTTTTTTTCTTCTGTTTTGTTTTCTCTTGTTCTGTGATTTTGTGAGTTCTTTGCATTTGCTTTTCTCTACCTTTGAGCTATTTTTTTTATACAATTAATTTAATAGTTTCCTGAGCTTCATCATCACCTTACAGATTAACCATGATTAAAAATCGTAAGTTGATTTAATTCTGTTCTATGTGTTGGGTGTGTGAGAATAAAATGTTATCATATTAGTCATATGTTTCTATTGTTAACATTTTCTCTATGCCGGTCTAACTATTTTCTTTTTTTTTGTAATTTTCTTTTCTTCTTTTCGGTTAACCATAATTCCATGGAACTGTCACAAATGTCCTGATATTCTACATTTTCACTGTTGTTCTGTTGTTCTTTTTTTCATCCTTCAATTCTCTTCTATTGTAGAGAGTGTATTTGCCAGTCTTCCACGAACAACTCGAGGTTTACCTTTGGTTTTAGGAGGTGACCCCAAGGGTAAACATTTTCTCTACCCAAATGGTAATTTCATCATAATCCGTGACATTGAACATCCAGAAATCGCTGAAATTTACACTGAACACTCAGCTCAAACAACGGTAGCCAAATATTCACCATCCGGTTTTTACATCGCTTCCGCTGATCAAAGTGGTAAAGTACGAATATGGGATACAACACAAAAAGAGCACATCCTGAAAGCAGAGTATCAACCCTTTGCTGGAATTGTCAAAGATTTAGCTTGGTCACCCGATAGTCAAAGGATTGTAGCTGTTGGTGAGGGTCGAGAAAAATTCGGCCATGTTTTCATGATGGAAACAGGTACATCGGTCGGAGAGATATCTGGCCATTCAAAGGTTATCAATAGCTGTGACTTTCGACCCTCTCGACCTTTCCGTATAATCACTGGTGGTGAAGATAATTTAATCGGTATCTTTGAAGGGCCACCATTTAAATTTAAACAACAATTGGAAAATCATACCAAATATGTACAATCAGTTCGTTACTCACCTAACGGTGAAATCTTTGCCTCTGGTGGTTTCGATGGACGCATTTACCTATTTAAAGGTAAAGACTATTCTCTCATCGGAGAACTTGGATCACCAGCTCATTCGGGAGGCTGTTATGCCGTTGCCTGGTCTCCCGATGGATCTAAATTAATCTCATCTTCCGGTGATCGTACAGTTAAAATGTGGGATGTTGAAAAAATGACCTGTATTCAAACTTACAACATGGGCGATGATCTTCTTGACCAACAAGTTAGTTGCCTATGGCAAGGTAAAAATATCCTGTCCGTATCTTTGTCGGGTTACATTAATTATCTTGATGAATCAGATGCATCTAAACCCTTGAGGGTTATCAAGGGTCACAATAAGTCAATCACAAGTCTTACCGTTAATTATAACTCTGAACCACCAAACATTTACACAGGAAGTCATGATGGTTTTATCAATTATTGGAATTCAGTTAATGGTGAAAATGATCGAATCAAAGGTAAAGGTCATGCCAATCAAATTCAAGATATGAAATATCGCGATTCGACCGGTGAAATAATCACCATTGGTTTAGATGATACAGTTCGAGCGATTGATGTTAACGATCAAAGTTTCAAGGAAGACATTCACATTAAGCTTCCCTCTCAGCCCAAATCATTGTCATTTTTAGCCAAAAATCAAGACAAAGCCGTGATCGCCGCCTATTCAAGTATAACTGTGGTCAATTTGAAGCAAAATAAAATCGAGCAAAACTTTTCGGTCACCTATGAGCCTACCTCAATTTCAGTGCATCCAAGTGAAAATCACTTTGCCGTTGGTGGACTTAAAGACCACAAGGTTCATGTTTACACCTACACCGAAGGATGTGATTCAATTACACCTAAAATTGATTTAGATCATCGTGATTGTCTTGCCGATGTAGCCTATTCTCCAGACGGTCAATTCTTGGCCGCTGCTGATGCTAATCGAAAAGTTGTCCTTTATCGATCCCCCAACTACGAATTGGCTCATAACGTTGAATGGGGCTTCCATACTGCAAGAGTTAATTGTCTTGCTTGGTCACCTGATTCACTTCATCTTGCCTCAGGATCACTTGATACTGGTTTAATTGTTTGGGATGTATCCAAACCTCATAATCATATTGCTCTGAAAAAGGCTCATCCTCAAAGTCAAATCACCCGAATCATTTGGTTAGATGGAAACAAAATTATCACCACTGGTCAAGATTCAAATGTTAAGATATGGACAGTTGAATTCAAATGAACATTTCTAAATTATTCTTGATTTAATCCACTCTAACTTTCTTACACTTCGAAACCCACCTTCCTTTTGTTTTCTCAATATCAATATCTCTCTATTATTCAATATTTTATGATCTTTTGTTTAAAAAAATTAACTCTCTCAACTAAATCACACATAAATTGTCATGATAATCTAAAAATTATATCACAATGAATTGAAAAAAAAAACTGGTTCAATAAATGAAAATTTTATCTACAAACCTAATTATCAACAATTTATCACAATTAATCTGATGATAACTAAATTGTTTCAAAACTGAGAGTTCATGAAGAGTAGATATGAACAATTAGCTAAATCAATAACAATTGATACAATTGTATCACAATAATGAACATTGTTGATTGTTGGATAACCTTAATTGTAATTAAAATAGAAGGTAAAATATTCTGAATAACCAGTTTCTGTTTTTAACTGAAATAGTTAATTTTCACTTGATTAATCAACCATTGAATCTTAATTGTTAAACTAAACAACAAAAATAAGAAACCTTAACCTTAACTGATTCATCCTTAATCCTTAATCAATTAACAAATAGAATCAGCAACGAGAGGCCAAATAATCAAATTAATTTCGGTCATTGATCAGTTTGATCATTGTGATCAATATGAAAATCAATTAGTCACAAAATAATTGTCACAATTAAGCTCAATCTTAAACTAGATTATCAATCTCTTTACAATTAACGGGTTACACTTGATTGATTACTTGATTTTCCTTATTTAGCCTTCAATTAATGAGACAATCAATGTCATCAAGATAAATTTACCAATTTCCCGAAAAAAAGTGAAACAATTTAAGTGATTATATGAAAAAAATTGATTTAAATGATTAGATTGAAAAAAAATGTAATCAAAAAAGTCCGAGGTAAAAAAGTTACAGCAATTTGATCAATAAACAATTAAGCAAATGAAAAATACAAATACAATTAAAAGTTAATTATATTAGTGGAAATTATTTCTCCCTTGGCAATCATGTTCACGATGATTAAGATGATTGTTGAGTGTCAATGATGATGATAATTAAATTAGAAATGGATAATATAAGAAATCACCAGCGTTCCCATGCAAAGATAAAAACATCATTGTGATTAGTTGATTGCTGTTAATCCTGATTACTGAGATAATCCCGATGCTACAATTTGAATGCCACAAATGTTAGAGATGTGATAATCCATACACGCTTGATACAATTGAATTTGGGCAATTCCAGAGGGAAATTGTTCCTCGGCCTCTTTCCGGCAATCTTTGTGTTGATTAATAATCTGAGGCTGTTTGGTAACAATTAAAAGAGACATGAGAATCATGATTAACATAAATTGTAACAATTGAAATAAAACGCATCAGTTACGACTCTTAAGTTGTCAAATAGCAGAATAGTTCAAACAATTAAACAAAGAGAAAAAAGAATTTGCTAATTATTCTGATATTTTCATGAACAAGGTTAAAGAAATTTAATTCTTTTGGTTAATTGTTGATCGTATTCTTAATATTGTTGATATTCGAACTGATTGGAATTATTATTAGATTATTTTACCTCGATGGTTGAATCAAGTTTCTTGTTCTTAATTTCGCTTTCTGCTTTTTCGAAACGATAATTTCCATCATCGGTGAACCAATTTTCGGCATTTAGAGCACATTTAGCGACCTGAGTTCGATGTTTTTCGACACTTTCTTGGGTAATATTCTCAGGTAATGGAATAGATTTGAGGCAAGTTCGAATGATTTCGGCCTTTTGTTTCTTTTCAGCTTCTTTGGGTTCTAATTGTGGACATTTGCCCCAACTGATGGTCGGTGGACGAGGTGGACCTTGCAATGGAACGGGTCCCCCAGCACCAGCACCTTCATCTCCACCTTCACCTTCACCTTCACTTGAACCTGTACCTTCCTCACCTGACGAAGCAGGTAAGGGTTGAGGGGGCGAATCATTCACATTGGCAGTTGAATCGGAAGCTCCTTGGGCCAAATTACGAGCAAATCGCTGGGGTTGAGAGTAAACCGAACTGACGAAAAGTAAACATAATATTGTGAGACAATTAAACGATTTCATGTCAATAAATCGAGACATTATTACAAATTAAATGCTCAGAACTGAATAATTATCAAGGGAAAAAGTCCAACAATTAACCAAAGACACACACAAAAAAAATAATGACAAAGACCTGAAGTCGTTACGATAATCACAACTAAGAGAAAAGTAAACAAGTTAACCAAGCGATCGTAGTAAATCAAATGATCAACTAACCAAGAAACACTTTGGAAATATATCAATGAAGTAAATTTAAATTAGAGGGAGTTGATTACTTAAATGAGAGAGAAAGTGAGAGTTAGTGAGAGTCAATGGCAATTATAATTAACGAAAAAAAAGTAAAAGGAAAGGAAATTGATTAGGAAAGAGAAAATATTGTAAAGTTGAATAGATTTAATAGTCTAGACCAACAATTAACCAGAAATCGGTAAATCATGTCAAGGAAAATTGTTGATTCTTTAGTTTCGACTTGGTTGACAATCATCATTGATTTAATTCATTGTGACCAATCAGTAAATTAACGGTAAAAAACGGGGAGAAAAATTAAAAGTTTTCATCAGAATAAATTTAATTCAATTCTTTTTTGTTTATGAATGGATATTCATTGTTGATTCTTGATTGTTGATTGTTACCTTTTCACTATTGAGTTTTGTGTTGATGACAATGTTGATTACATTTTCGTTGGAAATTGAATTAGATTCCTACATTTTCCTTGACATAATTAACGCTTGGTTAATCTATTAGGTTACTGATTACTGATTAAGCTTTGCAACCTTTTCTCACTTTCACTTTTACTATTATCTAATTAGTTGACCGTTAAACAATGGATTAACCAGATTACAGTTAATTGACTTTTCACCGAGGGAATTTACACTTTCAATTAAAATTAAACTTCCTCATGTGGAAACATTTTGTAGAAACTAACAGTTAATCAACAATTAAATTTGATTGTGTCAAGTGTCAAATGTATTTGTAATTTTCCATCTTGATTCAATCAAGTTGATTGTAATTAGTTTTTTCCGTGTTTAATTTAAACTTGGGGACACTCAGTATGGATCTTTTTAATTAGTTTTTCATTCATTCATCTCAATAGGTATCAGAAATTAAGTTAATCAATATCATTCAAGTGTTAATTGTTTTTCAATGTCAACATTTTTCTAATTGATTGGTAACTTAAGGTAATTAAACCATATAAGGTTGGTAATGGTTGGATAAATTAACCTCGTGTTGATACAATGTTTACACTTTTGTCAATTAAAATTGATTTGATTTTCTTTGTAAATGAATAAATTAATCACGAGAATGATGCTAATTAAATATGGTAATTAAAAAGTAACACTTGATGAGTATCCATGAGAGAGAATGAGAGAGAGAGGAAGTTGATTTTGTTGGCCGATTATCACTGTTGGTGTATCACAATTAACTTAATCTCAGTCCGATATTTCAATTGTGTCAATATGAGAAATATTTATTTCAACAATCAAAAGTAATTTGATTAATTTTTTTTTCTTTTTTTTTCGTATGCTTATGCAGGCTTAATTTCTTCAATTAATTAGTTTCCCTTCTGATTTGTTTGGGTCACACTGATTTAATTTAAATTGATTCATCTTGTTTGGTCTGGTGATTGAATTGTCTTGGTGTTGAATTTGAGTGAATCAGCGTGTGTTGATTATAATTAAACCAATTTGATTAGGATCGTAGTCAGTTAGTAAATGAAGAAGAGTAGGAAATTGGTGAGTTTTTTTTTCTCTGTAAACATTAGGGAGAATCAAATTAGACTTTGAAAATTGTCTTTTGATTTTCACCAACATTTCATGTAAAAAAAAAATATTAACTGACTTTAGATGAGAACAGTCTTGATAGTAATTAAGACTTATCAGCAACATTTAACTCAGAAAGCTCTTCTTCTAGATCATCCAGATCTTCATCGTCATCAAATAAGTTCTCATCTATAGGAATGTCGTCAACTTTAACTCCAGACGTTGATGATGATGAGGTTGTTGCTTCCGGTAAAGGAGCTTCGGTTGTTTGTTGTTTTTCATCTTCATCTTTAGTGTTAAATTGTCGCTTCCCAGAAATTTGTGTACCACTTCCGTCGACATCACGAAGATCACTTTGAAGAGCACTAAAGTCAATTTCTTTAATTTGATCACCACTTTCAACATCATCTTGATCTTCCCTTTTAAGATTATCAAAAGTGGCTTCATCATCATCTAAAGTTCCGTCATTGACAAGTTCGGGATTGAAAGTGAACATTTCCCGACCACTAAGACCAATATTACGACCCGCTTTGTATTCAGCTCGTCTTCTTTCAGTTTCTTTTCGACTTTTCTCCTTTTTATCGGCAATCTTTCTTTTCTTCCATTCCATAAATGATTGTAATGTAATCTTTGGAAGGTTATAATCTAATTTAGCTCTTTCCTTTTCAACTAGATCTTCAATTGATATTTCATCTTTTTTATCTGCTTTTTTAAGGTCCTTTTTTAACACAAATCCTGGTGGAAGAGCATGTCTATAATGGCATTTATCACCGTTAGGACATTCCCAGAACCATCCATATTTACTTGATTCAAGAGCTTCTAAGAAGAATTTACAAATAATATCAGTTTTAGGTTTTGATCTATCCTTTTCTCCATGTTTCTTTTCCACCACGTCTTTGAGTTTATCTTCATCCCAATCCTCCATTTTATCCTCATCACGAGTATCTTCATACATATTACGTTTCTCTCCTTTCTTTTCAACAGCCAGATTGTGACTGAATTTACACTTATCACCTTTACTACATTGTCCTTGCTTGAAAAACACACAAATAACTGACTTAGGGTCAACACCTTTTTCCACCTTTTGGGTTACCACCGGTTTAAATAGTTTATTAAATTCTTCCAATTCTTTCCTTTTCTCCTCCTTTTTACTTGCTGCTTTCGGCTGGTCTTTACCTTGATTGGCATTGTAACATTTAGCAACTTGTTGGATAAATTTTTGAGTTTTAGCTCCTTTCTTATTCTTCAGGCCAAAAGTCTTATCCTCAACAATTTTCTCCTTCTTTTTCTGTTCCGTCTTCTTACTGGCTGCTGGTGGAGCCTTTTTGGGAGGCATGGTTCACTTCAATAGATAGAAGATCTACAACCAAATTAAAAGAAATAAACAACTAAATCAATTAAGATAATCAATTAATTAACAACATTAAAAAATAAAAAGGTAAAAATCTATAAATCTAAACAAAAACACCGACGACGAAACACATGTTCGAAAACGCCCTCTATCGTTTTCTAAAGAAAAGACTAACATCCGAGGGAATTTTAACCAATTTTCTAATTCTAAAAAGTGAATCATCAATTTTGTTAATTAATCAGTTCTAAAAAAAGATTATTGATAATCACATTAATCATTTGAAGAAAAATTATCTCCATCTTTGGAAAACTTATTTCAAGATTGTGATCGTGAGGTTTTCCCTTTAATCGGATTAGAATTAAACTGTTTACATTAAGAGAATTGGTTTACCTTTTGTCTTTTCTTAGGCCTAACCAGGTAAACGTTTCTTTTTGTAATGTGAACCTTTTTAATTGTTAACTTTCGTTAATCAGTTCACTGTTTTTAATTAAACAGTTTAATTCTGTGAGAAGAATATAAAAAGGAAACATTTTTCTCCATCCTTTGTATTTCCCTCTCAAAGTTGCAATTTCATGGTTAGTCTCTTATCCATGCCTATTGTTTAGTTACCATTAGTTAGTTTTGGTTTTCAACAACAACAACATTTCTGTTTTTGGTTTGTTAATGTGTATCTTTTAATTTGTTTGGTGATATTTGGTTCTAATTAAACAGAGAATTCCTAATGGCCTCTGATCCTCCACAAGGTTCAAGCTCCATGAGACCATTAAGTGATCTAGATTTTAGATCGAGCTCATCTGATGATTTAATTTTTCCTTATTGTGATGATGTGATGAAATATGAAAGATTGGCTAAGATTGGCCAAGGTACATTTGGTGAAGTGTTTAAAGCTAAACATAAACAATCAAAGAAATTTGTTGCTCTTAAAAAAGTTCTTATGGACAATGAGAAAGAAGGTTTTCCAATCACTGCCTTGAGAGAGATTAAAATCTTACAATTACTTAATAATGAAAATGTGGTTAATCTCATTGAGATTTGCAGGTAAATATGAAACATCAGTCAGCTGATGAATTACTTTTTGATCTATAATCACAATTTTCAATTGAATAATTTGATTTTTTTTCTCTTAATCTTTTTTCAGAACCAAAACAAAAGCCGATGGAGTCAAAGGTTCACCGGCCACATTTTACCTTGTATTTGATTTTTGCGAACACGATTTAGCTGGTCTGCTAAGTAATATGAATGTTAAATTCAGTTTGGCTGAGATAAAAAAAGCGATGCAACAATTGTTCAATGGACTCTTCTATATTCATAGTAATAAGATCTTACATCGAGATATGAAAGCATCTAACATTTTAATCACTAAAGATGGTAAACTTAAATTAGCCGATTTTGGACTTGCTCGAGCATTTAGTGCAAATAGTACAAGTAAAAAGTATACCAATCGTGTGGTTACCCTTTGGTATCGACCTCCTGAACTTTTATTAGGTGAACGTAATTATGGTCCACCAGTTGATCTCTGGGGTGCCGGTTGTATAATGGCTGAAATGTGGACTCGATCTCCTATTCTTCAAGGTGGAACCGATCAAAGTCAATTAACTTTAATCAGTCAACTTTGTGGATCAATTACTCCAGAGGTTTGGCCTGGTGTTGAGAATCTCGAATTATTCAATAAATTGGAATTGATAAAAGGACAAAAAAGATTAGTTAAAGAGAAATTGAAAGGTTATGTTCGAGATGCTTCTGCATTAGATCTTCTCGATCGATTACTTTGCCTTGATCCATCCAAAAGAATTGATTCTGATTCCGCTTTAAATCACGATTTCTTCTGGTCCGATCCAATGCCCGGTGATTTAGGTCGAATGTTGTCCCAACATTCAACATCCATGTTCGAGTATCTCGCTCCACCACGAAGAAGAGTTACCAACCACCCGGCTGCTCCTGTAAACCAAATGAGACGAACAAACAACAAAGATGGACAATATCATGATAGAGTTTTTTAATTGCATGTAAAAGAATCAAAAAAGTCGCCGATTGATTGTAAACCTTTTCCCTCTCTCTCTCTCTCTCTCACCACTTTCTCACTCCCACAACCTAAAAACAAACAATTACTTCAATTATCACCCATTCTCGTGTGATTATCGTTCACTTTTTTCTTCTCTGTAAATATCACTATTTACATTTATGATCAAACAACAATTAATCTCATCTCAATTAAAACAAAATCTGTATCACAAACATTCAAGTATCAAATTAAACCTTACGTTCAATCTCAGACCAAAATTTACCAATGTATCGACCAAAACACATTCAACTCTTCACAATATCAACAACAAAAAAATTCCAACTAAGATCACAATGAATTAGAATTAAAAATGAAAAAATTAAATGCAAATAATTAGATTCGATTAAATTTACCGGTAACAATTAAAGAAGAATCAAAGTGGCGCCATCTCGTTTTACGAAAAGTTAACATGGAATTTGAGAAACTGAGTCTGAGTTCAATTGGTTTTTAACCAGATTTTTATTTATTAATCTTTTGACTTTTATACAAAGTAGTTTATTTAATTAAATTGGTTTTCTTTTAATTTTACTCAACACATTTAAGATAAAATGGTTCTTGATTTGGATCTGTTCCGTGAAGATAAAGGAGGTGACCCTGAAAGAGTCCGTGCCAATGCTCGTGCAAGATTTGCAGACGTGTCCGCTATAGACTCGGTTATATCCATAGGTTTGTTGATTTAATCTGTTTTTTTTTGTAATTCTATTGATTAATTTTGTGTAATAGTATTTGAATTATTGTACATAACGTCTGGTTCTTGATTAGTATCTTATTTGGATACCGGTAGTTTTACCTGGTTCCATTTTTTGATTGATTTGCCGGTTTTACTATTTTTTTCTATGTTTGGTTAACCATATTTTGTTTTCTTTTCTTTCTTTCTTCTTATACTTGTTGTTTTACTTTTTCTAATAGATAGTCAATGGAGGAAAACTCGTCACACCCTTGACCGGTTAAATAAAGCTAAGAATACAATTTCTAAAGAATATGGTAATGTGATTAAAAAGTTAAAAGCTTCTGGTACTCCGGTTAATGAGAGTGAAGAAAAATCAACCGTTGATGAGGAACCTCTTGACTTAACTAGCCTATTGGATAAGATAAATGAACTTGGTGGAGGTAATGATGAATCTTTGGGTAAATTGAAATTTATCGATCAGAGGTTGAGAAGCAAATAATCAAGGTTAATGAGGAACTCGATTCTTATGAAAATGAAAGGAATGAAGTTCTTAGAGAGATTGGTAATCTTCTTCATCCGGAAGTTTTCATCTCTGATAATGAAGATGAGAATCAAGTAATAAGAACCTGGGGTAATGTTGAACTTGGTAAAAAAGCAGAATTAGAAGCAAATGTCGTTGGTGGTGAAGGTGATTCTCCCAGTGGATCAACACTACAATACCTCAGCCATATGGATTTAATCACCATGATTAATGGCATGGATGCTGAGAGAGGCTCAGCTATCGCTGGATCTCGTAGTTATTTCCTAACTGGACCTGCCTTCTGGTTACATCGTGCCCTCATAGATTATGCTTTACATTTTATCTCTGAAAAAGATTTCAATCCTATTTATACTCCATTTTGGATGAAAAAATCACTCATGGGACAAGTTGCTCAATTGAGCCAATTCGATGAAGAATTGTATAAAGTTATTTCCTCCAAAGGAGCCTCATCTGAAGACAGTGAAGATAAATACCTGATCGCCACATCAGAACAACCAATAGCTGCTCTTCATCGTGGTGAATGGCTTAATCCATCAGTGTTACCTCTTCGCTATGCCGGCTTTTCTACGTGTTTCCGACAAGAAGTTGGCTCTCATGGTAGAGACACCAGGGGAATCTTCCGTGTCCATCAATTTGAGAAAATTGAACAATTTGTCATCTCAGCACCTTCAAAATCTTGGTCATATTTCCATGAAATGATCTCCAATGCTGAACAATTCTATCAATCACTCGGCATTCCTTACAGAGTGGTCAGCATTGTCTCTGGTGCTCTTAACAATGCAGCCGCCATGAAATATGACCTGGAAGCTTGGTTTCCAGGCTCAGCTGCTTTTAGAGAACTTGTTTCTGTCTCTAATTGTACCGATTATCAGTCACGACGTCTTCAAATCAGGTGTGTAAATAAAACAACAAAAAATAGGTCATGATAACGCACATGATGATTCAGATTCTCTCACAATATCCTCAACTTCCCTTCCAACATTCACTTTAACGTTTACGTTACTTTTAACTTGTTAATGATATTTACTTAATTTTTTTTTATACCTTTCCTTTTCTTATTTCCTATTCTCATCAGGTATGGTCAAACAAAAAAGATGACCGGTCAAGTTGAGTATGTACACATGTTGAATGGCACCTTGTGCGCTGTCACTCGAGTTATTTGCGCTCTTCTTGAAGTCCATCAAACCGCCGAGGGAATCAATGTTCCCGAACCTCTTAGACCTTTTATGCCTACCAAATTCAAGGAATTTATACCTTTTGTAACTCCAGTTAAAGATCCAGCAGCTACTGTTAAAGAATAGAAAAGAAAATATATTAAAATGGAAACAATAATTACAAATAAAATCCCAATTCTGTGTTTAGAAACAATTAACTCTAAAAAGTAACATCATGGATAAAAGAGAAAAAAAGAGAAAAATTGAATCAAAATCTTTAATCAACCAATAAATCAATCTGACGACTTACTCATCATCATCATGACACTTTAAATCAAAAAGAAAAAGAAAATTTCAATCCAAACAATTAACTAAATAAATGATTCCAAATAAACAATCTACATTTAAAGATTACCTCAATTGGATGTTAACTAGACGAAAGTTAAATCATTCTACAATTAAGAGACTAATGAATGGCCGTGACTCGATTAATAAGGATTAGTTGAATATAAAGTCCACCGGTGCTTATAACTGTTCAGTCATTTATTTGACTAGTTTTTGAACAGTTCGGTTTATTGAAATTGGTTATTAATTATTAGTCTTTGTGGTTTATAATTAATCGTTTCCGCTCTGGGTCTTAAATGTGATCTTAAGAAACATTTTTCTGAATTAATTTGTTTGAGATTTGATGTTGACTTGTAAAGACTCATTCATCAGCCGAGTGTCACTGTGCTCGAAATTACACTAATTGTTAGCAAACATCGTCTATTTAATAAAACCTTTCTTCAATTGTCTTTCTTTTGAACAATTAAATCAAATTTTCTAATTGTGATAATTGTCCCTAACTATGGAAACGAAAAATTAATCAACCAGAATCCAAATGAAACCACCAATTTTTGTCACTAAAAAAGTGAAATGATTTTTCCGAAAAAATAAATTTACTAATTTCTGTTATTTAAAAGGGATAATTTAAACACAATTTAACTATTAATTCACTATGATTTAGTGATTAGTGACATTTGATTATTGTGATTATGGATTTAAAAAGGAAACTATTGAAAATTGATTCGATTATCATTTCATCCAACATCATAATCATTGTGCTCTTGAACATAACACGATCTAATTGTCAATCTCGTTTCCTTTATTCATCAGGTAAGCTTATTAATTTGTTTTCTTTTCTCACAACTAATCAATTTTCATTTATTTCAGTTCAAATTTACGAGCATTGCTACAATAATCATACAATTTATCCTGATTCATTCTATTTAGTTCATGATAGAGACAATGACATCTCGCTCCCAAATTGTCACATCACACTTGAAATCGATCGTTTTGTTAGAATTAATATCCATGTCCGACATCTGAAAATGACCAACATGGTCATCGACATAGCAGAGGCTACTTGTCATGATGGCCCACATATTTTGAGTCATGTTTTGATAGACGACCAGGAAGATTTTATTAGCGTTAGCCCTGGATTAGTACCTAATGTTGTTATAATTAACCCGAGGATTCTGGATGCTTCTTTTCCTGGTAAAATTAACGCGAATATAACAGTTACGCTCTATCAAAGTGAGTAAAATGAGAATATCAATTTAGCGACAATTCACTAATTTCCTTCTTTCCTTTCGCATCTTCAAGAAGTTTATAACGAAAGACAATGTCACGAGTTAGGTAGCACGAACCTTTTCTGTGGAAATGGTCAATGTTTATCTGAATATTTTAGATGCGATGGTGTCGAGAACTGTTTATTTGGTCACGATGAAAAAAACTGTTCAAGTAAGTTGGAAATTGTGAGCTTTTAATCGGATCAAATTAATTGTCTATTATTGATCAGCATCATCACCTCCTTCTCAATCAGATCAACCCTGGTTGCTGATTCTATTATCCATTTCGACGGCGATCATGTTTCTCATTATTTCTTCGGCCCTGATTTGGTTTGGATGGACCAAGATAATGATCACGAGGAAAATAGTGACCACAGCAAAGTCCAGTAAAACTGTGGATTTAGAAAATCATCATTCACTTTCAATTTAGTTCTCTTATTGTTCAAAATATTCCGATGAAAATATAAAATCAATCAATGATTTATTGGTCTGTTTCTTATAATTACTTGAAGCTTAACTTAATTGCATTTCATTTGGAAGTTTTCAATTTCAGTGAAAGTTGTTAAATCAACAATTTAATATCTATCAGTTTGATTAACCATAACCTTTTTCATCTAAATCATCTTGCAGTTTTAACCAATAAGAGTTGACTATCACTATTATACATAAGATGTAATCTAAAATAACCATTAATATAAAAAAGGGATAATTTAAACATGATTTAATTGTTGATTAATCAATTGTGATTATTTGATTATGAATTTAATTAAGAAATTATGGAAAATCAATCCTATTCCAATTGTCATCAACATGATTATTATTTCAGTTTTAAACATAATAAGATCCAATGGTCAACTTCCTAATTATGGTTCATGTAAGTTTTACGATAAAATTGATTTTCTATCCTCGTGATTAACTAATTTTCATCTATTTGCACATCAAATTTACAGACACTGCGATTATGTTATACCTATTTCTCGTTCTTCATCATTTTATTTGGTTCATAATCAACACAATGCAATTAATCACGATTGTAGATTGTTCATAAATACCACTTATCCTGGACTGAAAACCTTCATAGATCCACTTACATTGAAATTGACAAATATGCAAATCGGTGTAGCGGAGCTCGCCGAGAGATTTGAGCCGATTTATTTCTGGGGTGGTGAACCTCATCAAGCAGTAATCGTCGGTATCATCGATGGACGCCCATTCTCAACAATATATCTCGATTTTGTGCTGATCGATTATAGTCTTCCTGCTACAATAACAGCCAATATATCGATAACTTATTTCGAACGTAAGTAAATTGTAAGAATAACAATTTATCGAGAATTGTAACTATTGTACTTTTGCTTCATTCTCGTGTTCCAGATAGTGTAAATGCGAGCCTTTGTACCACCTCAGGTAAATTCTATTGTGGAGATGGTCAATGTTTAGATCAAAGATTTCGTTGTGATGGTAGAGTAAATTGTTTTGGTAGTAAAGATGAAGAAGATTGTCAACTCAATCAATCGAGTCAACACTGGTTTCTGATTCTATTATCCATTTCGACGGTGATCATGTTTCTAATTATTTCTTCGGCTCTGGTTTGGTTTGGATGGACCAAGATAATGATTAGGAGGAAAATAGTGACCACAGTAAAGTCCAGTAAAATTCTGGATTAAAAATCTCATCATTGACAATCTTATCATTTAATTGTCATTAGGTTGAAATATTGGCAATAAGAATCAATTGATTGTTCTAAGAATAAATTGATTTCTGATTGTTTCATGTTACAATCAGTTTGTATTATTTGTGTAATATTTGATAATTAATTTAAAATCTGACCTTAAGAAACATTTTTCGGTAGAGCTCAAGATATGTCCGTAAGCTCAACTTTCCTACTTTCAGCTGACTTTTTTTCGGCTTACGATTCGCGGCTTTTTAGGAAAATGATTTAATTGATTAAAACAATTAATTCAGTTATCTAAGATTATTTGACTCCTTGTGGGTATAGAGGGTACATTTTAATCAGCATTTAACAATGAAATGAAATTTATTAGCGGAAAACGGGGCTGATTAGCTGCCGACAGTAAACATTAATTTAATTGTGTGATAGTTGGATTGTCCCAGGCCCTCCGGGCCTTTCTTTGGTCATGGTGACCCTTATTAGCGAAGACCTAACCTAACCTAATTTAAACAAACACAATTAATTGAGAAATTAATTTAATTTCCATATGTAGCTGTAATCATAAGCCGAAAAAAAGTCAGCTGAAAGTAGGAAAGTTGAGCTTACGGACATATCTTGAGCCTTACCCTTTCTTTTGAACAATTAAATCAAATTTTCTAATTGTGATAATTGTCCCTAACTATGGAAACGAAAAATTAATCAACCAGAATCTAGATGAAACCAATTTTTGTCACTAAAAAAGTGAAATGATTTTTTCCGAAAAAATAAATTTACTAATTGCTGTTATTTAAAAGGGATAATTTAAACACAATTTAACTGTTAATTCACTATGATTTAGTGATTAGTGACAATTGATTATTGTGATTATGGATTTAAAAAGGAAACTATTGAAAATTGATTCGATTATCATTTCATCCAACATCATAATCATTGTGCTCTTGAACATAACACGATCTAATTGTCAATCTCGTCCCCTTTATGCACCAGGTAAGCTAATTAATTTGTTTTCTTTTCTCACAACTAATCAATTTTCATTTATTTCAGTTCAAATTTACGAACATTGCAACAGTAATATTCATGCATTAAATCCTCCTGAATCATTCTATTTAGTTCATGATAAAGATGATGAAGTTCCGATTAACCCTTGTTTTATTGTTATCCATATTCCTCATTTTCATAGAATCAATATCCATGTCCAGCGCCTGAAAATGACGAACATGTTCATCCAGGCATCAGAACTTGATAACAATGGTGGTTTCACTCTAAGAAACATTTTAACCGATGGTCAGAACGATCACCTCACCCTTGGCCTGGTCAATAGAATATTCTCAACTAATAATACTCGAATTCTTTTCGGAAAACATGATATGTATCTTCCTGGTAAAATTAACACGCTTATTACAATTACGCTCTATCAAAGTGAGTAAAATGAGAATATCAATTTAGCGAGAATTCACTAATTTCCTTCTTTCTTTCGCATCTTCAAGATGAAGTTAACGAAAGAAAATGTCACGAGTTAGATAGCACGAACCTTTTCTGTGGAAATGGTCAATGTTTACCTGGAATTTTTAAATGCGATGGTGTCGAGAACTGTTTATTTGGTCACGATGAAAAAAACTGTCCAAGTAAGTTGGAAATTGTGAGCTTTTAATCGTATCAAATCAATTGTCTATTATTGATCAGTATCATCACCTCCTTCTCAATCAGATCAACCCTGGTTGCTGATTCTATTATCCATTTCGACGGCGATCATGTTTCTAATTATTTCTTCGGCCCTGATTTGGTTTGGATGGACCAAGATAATAATTACGAGGGAAATAGTGACCACAGCAAAGTCCAGTAAAACTATCAATTTAGAAAATCACCATTCACTATCAATTTAACTGTCAAAATCATCATCAATCTATTAATACAATAAATCAAAATATTGTACAATCAATATATTAGCTATTAATAAATCAATCATTTATTGGTCTCATTCCAATTATTTCTTTAAGCTTAAATTAATTTTGTGTTTACTATCGGAATATTTTTAATTTCAGTGAAAATTAAATGAACAATTTAACATCTATCAGTTTGATTAACAATCTTTTTATCTTGTAATTGAAGTTTCTACTGACAATTACTTATCATATTGTACATATGATGTAATTTAAAAAAGGGATAATTTAAACAGGATTTAACTGTTAATTAATCCATTCAATCAATTGTGATTATTTGATTATGAATTTAACTAAGAAATTATGGAAAATCAATCCTATTCCAATTGTCATCAACATGATTATTATTTCATTTTTAAACATAATAAGATCCAATGGTCAATCTTTTGACTATCCATCACGTAAGTTTGACTTTAAAATTGATTTCTTATCCTGATGATTAACTAATTTTCATCCATTTGCAGATTCAATTTACGGTGGTTGCAATCGGAGTTTTGCTGTTAACAATCCTATTTCAGTCTATTTGGTTCATAATCAAAACGACGCAATTAGATATAATTGTTCATTCTCGTTAAATGTCACTCCAGGACTGAGAACTTACTTAGCTCCATATACATTGGAAATGACAAATATGCAATTTATTGTATCCGAGTACGAAAACGTCGGTTTGTATTATGTATTCGATCGTGAACCTTATCAAACAGTAAGCATCGGTGGCAATTCCTTCCGGCACTCACCAATATACCTCTGGTTTCTTCTTCTCGATAATAGTCTTCCTGGTACAATAACAGCCAATATATCGATGACTCACATGGAGCGTAAGTAAAATGTGAGAATAACAATTTATCGAGAATTGTAACTATTGTACTTTTGATTCCTTCGCGTGTTCCAGATAGCATAGATGCGAGCCGTTGTACCATTACCTCAGGTAAATTCTATTGTGGAGATGGTCAATGTTTAGATCAAAGATTTCGTTGTGATGGTAGAGTAAATTGTTTTGGGGGTAAAGATGAAGAAGATTGTCCACACAATCAATCCGGTCAACCCTGGTTGCTGATTCTATTATCCATTTCGACGGTGATCATGTTCCTGATTATTTCTTCGGCTCTACTTTGGTTTGGATGGACCAAAATAATGATTACGAGGACCACTAGTACGAGGATTACGAGGATTAGTGACCACAACGTGGTCCAGTAAAATTCTGGATTTGTAATCTCACCATTGGCAATATGAATGAATCTATCGAATCAAGTGATTGATTGTTCTAAGAATAAAGTTGATTTCTGATTGTTTCATGTTACAATCAATTTGAATTTGGTAATTAATTCATCTTTTCGTGAGAGTGAAATTGATTGTTGAATAACAATCAGTGTAATGAGACTAATTATTTCACTGGGTGGTAAGTATGTTATTTATATTGATCAGAATCTCTTAATTAAATTGTAATTCAAATGGTTGTTAGTCCTTGAAATTTTGATTCTCTAATTGTATATTATTAATTGTGTATTCGCAATCAGGTTGATTATTAATAAGATACAATTTATATCTTTGAGATGAATTTAATTTTTTATTTATAACTCTAACACTGGGTAATGAAAGTGGCACAATTAATTACAATTAACTCATCATCGTAACAATTAATTGCTACCAATGATTGTAAGGTGGTTATATTGATTGTAGTTATCATTTTGATTATGATCGTTTAATTTAATTTCAGAGTCAAAGTGATGTTCATTATGTTAACAATTAATTGTTATCCATTTAAAAGTGTAATTAATTTTTTCCTACTAAACATCATCATTTTATTAGTTAATTGTTACCAATTTGTTTCATCAAACAGCCATGATTCAAGTAAGTAATTAAGACTATTTTAATCCAGTTTAGAGATCCAGCAAATCTTTTAATCATTAAATTGTTTAAAAATCCTTAAAATTATTGGTAATTTAAATTTTCCTTCAATTGCTATTGATTGTTCACAATTTGATCACATTTTTAATCAACTAATTAATTGCTAATTATCACCATGTTTTCAATGGTGGTATTGTTATCACAATTTTTGGTTAGTTAATCATGAAAATTTTCATATTAATTGTTTGATTGTGAAGGTTGTTAATTGTTATTGTGATTGAATTGATTTTCTAATTTTAAGTTAATTTTTTTTCTTTCGCTAATCAATTTTGGAGGTGATTTAATATCCCATTGTTTACCTCGAGATACTTCAAATTTAAATAAGATAATTAAAGTTAATGATGTCGAAGGCGAATCATCAGTCTACCTTAAATCATCCGATTCTGAGAAACAATTAACTGAATGTGTTACAATAATTCAATCATCGCCTGGTTTTGGGTTAATTGTTCATCCATCTTACCTTAAATTAAGCACGGACAATGTTGCAATCAATGTCTATCAATTGCATTTAGCGACTAAATCATCAAGAAAACTGTTCAATTGGTATGGTCACAATTCATTTGATTCAAATGATCAACATCAAATTGAATCAGTGGCCTGTGATTTAGCACCAAGAGATAATGTCACCACGATTCTGATCACTTTCGAGCCGATAACAAGTAATGTTACTTGGAAATCAGTTGATTTAAGAATTTTGATCACTTCTTTCATTCGTAAGTAATCACGATAATCTATTACAATCTAAATGTAATTTTATTAAATTTAATTTCTCTCTAATTGTTAGCAATCAAAGATCCACTTGCTTCTTGTCCTGGTTCACTTTATTTTGATTGTGGTTCTGGTCAATGTATTAGACAATCATTACATTGTGATGGATTTGCTAATTGTGGAAATGGTATCGATGAACATGGTTGTAGTAAGTGATTTAATCGATTATCATTTTCTCTAATCGCTAATTACTTGATCAAATGTTGTCACAATTTAATTTACTTTTAGGTCTTTCCATTCATGAAATATTTTTCATTGTAATTGCAATAATTATCATGCTTCTGATTGTAATTGGTTTAATTTGGTATGCCCGGAGAAAGGAAATCAAGGAAGATCATGAATCACAATTAGAACCTAATAAATCAACACAATCAACAATTACGACCCTTTAATTATAGAAATTAACTTTTTTATTTCAATTTTACACTTTTACTTATTATTTTCTCGATAATTAAACGACCAAAGTTAATCTATTTTCCCCAATTCATCAGCCAATAATTTACTAAAAACACTTTCGGCAGTAATCTCTGAGTGATTAATATTCTTGGAAAATCAATTAAACGATCTCAATACAAACTAAATAATAAATATTTAATTTTCTAATTGACAATTAATCAATTTTAAGATCAATTTAATTCTCACCACCAGATGTCACTTTTGTCGCAGTTTCTTTGATGATGTTAACTTGTTGTTAAAATTGCTCAGTTTAAATTTGTGATTAAATACCTGATTAATTAAATTGTAATTATAATATTTTGTTATCTTCTTAATCGTGAGAAAAAGGGGAACATTTTGATATAAGGTAAGAAAAATTTTACTTCCTCTTAGATCTCAAGTGAACATTTTTAAATATACTGAGGCGAACAAGACAAAATGGTGAACAATCTATAGGCGAACACGAATGAACTTCCGAGACTTAACCCTCTCAAAACGGAAGTCATGTTGAAAAATGCAAAAACAAACAAATTACAAACACGAAGATAATTAAATCTAATATATTGATTACTTTTATTTGAACACAGAAATGGATAAATCTGAATTGGATAAATTCATAAGGAGAGTGAACACAAAAATTCCGACTCGGAAAGAATGGATGGTGGAAATTGCGACGATCCCCATTAAAGATTTAATGGACATAGTCAACAAGACCACACTGATCTCGAAAGACCTGAAGGAGGGGAAAATTACCCTACAGAAAGTTTTCATTTCAAAAATATCTCACGTAGTCTCTTATATGAAGGATAATCCAACGTTAATCAATCTTACAGAAGAAGAAAGAGAAAAGTTGAATAATTTGGAGTCAGATCTTATTATTGTTACACCGCCAACTCCGATGAGTGAGGGTAAAAAGATTAGAACGTACTCTGGCACCTCCAGTGAGAGATCAGCATCAAGCAGATCAACGAGGAAAACAGCGAAGGCGAAGTCGATTGCTACTGGTGTGAACCAAGGAAATGATACACTTTCCACGAATTCAATTGACTTTATGAATTCAGAAGCGTTTCAGTTACCATCAAATCCACAAATTCAAGATCAAATAGAACCAGGAGAACCTTCGGGTCATTCGACTCCGATAGAAACCGAGACTGTTGGTCAGAAAACGATAATCGAGGTTATCAAGGAGTCAACTCAACCTGAGACAAGTGATCAGCTTAAAGAGGTGGAAGTCGTCCCGTCAACATCGAAAGGCATCACGAATGAAAAGAAGAATATTGAACTGCATTTGTCAAAAGATGATTGCATCTCAGAAAGCTCAGAAGAAGAACAGGATATACCAAGTATTGAAGGCCTGGAGGGGTTAGACGAGGTAATGGACTCACCGCCAAGAAACCCATTGAAAAGAAAATTCGGCTCGATAGACCTGCATAAGGAAACAATAAAAGTAAGGTTGGATAAAACAAGGAAGATAAAGAAGGTATTTCATCGGGTTGAAGAAAAACCAATTCCAAGTTCTTGGAAACCCTGGTCTTCATCACTCATGGATCCTATTGTTTTGGTCACTCACATTTCGATACCTCCATCTAAGCTTATGCAAGAAATATCTCAAGCTCTTAAATCGAAAGCTCTAGAAGCTTTCCCAGCTAAAATTATAAAAGGCAGAGATGCAATAAGAGTTGTATGCTCTGACCTGCAAGATATTCAACTGGCAAAGTCATCGTTATTGGCATGGAATTGCGATTTGACCATTAAAAATCCAAGCTGTTTCGACCCGAAGATCAAACTCACGAAAATACCAATGAATATTGAAACGGACGAACAAGCAACGGCATTAGTGGACAGGTTAATGATACAAAACGGCGCTGGAGGTAAAGGAAATTGGTCCTTCTCTATGCGTTTTGCTTCAAAACAGTTAAATAGAACGGACATCATAATCAACGTCTCCCCTCGAATTAGGGATTTCGTACAAGAAAGAAGAGGAAAATTTTTCTTCAATTTCAAAGAGATCACGGTCGTTGACTATTTTCATGTGAGCCTTTGTTATCGTTGTTTCTCATACGATCACTCTGCTAAACTGTGTAAAAACCAGATCTGTTGTCGATACTGTTCAGGCTCTCATGACGGTAAGACTTGCGGGGTCAAATTCAATAAGAACGCCTACAGATGCGACGTTTGTAAGCGAAAGGGAAAAGAAGAAAATCATACTCCTTTCGATTGGGAATGCCCTGAGTATCAGCGTCGACTACGACACGCAATTCAGCTTATTAATTATGATTATCAGTGGATAATGAGAGAGTGAAGTGTCAAATTTTTCTCATTGAAAATCCCTGAATATTCAAAAAAAAAAAAAAGAAAATGTTCTTTTCACTAATTTTTTTATTATTCTAATAATCAGAATCTCTTATTCTCATTGCAACTATTTAATTATCGCATCCAAAACTTTAAATTTTCCGCCAAAAATTATTTTACTAAACAACCAACAGAGTAACTTCATCAAAAAAAAAAAAACAATAACAACCATTGTAACCTTTTATATTTTTTCTATTATTCATTTGAATAAATAAAATGTTGAACTTTCTCCATTGGAATGTGCATAAAAGTTGGTCAAAAATGGACCTCATTTTTGACTCGTTTGTTTCTAGTGATACGATTGTGTCTATTAATGAAATCTCATCGAAATGGCTCGCCTACCATATAAACGATCTAACTGATAAAATAGAGTTGGGTCGAGAGGTGAAGTCAAAATTCAAAGTGAAAGATCAATTACTGATACTAAATGGTGAAACTTGTCTGGTTATCCCGGAAAAAATGATGTGGACAAATATGAATGTTCAGGTAGTAAACACAGTGGGTGTTAAATTGTTCATCAAAAATAAACAATACGTAATCATATCAGCGTATAGAAAAAGTAGTGATAAACTGTACCTTCTAAAGTTAGAACCTTATCTTAAGGAGACAGAGTCACCCGTTATTCTCTGCGGTGACCTGAATTTAGAAACACACCTTTGGTCACCAAGAGTGGAAAAATATAATCAAATTGGGGAGAAATTCCTTGGAGGAAGATTCTTTTCAGCTCACTCTCCGAGAACAGCAAATTTTACCTACCAAAGCGGAGACCTCAGGACGTTCATTGACTGCCAGATTTTGACAAAAGAATGGATATTGGTCGACTCGTCGATTGTAAACACGAAATCAGATCACAATATTCTGAAGATGAAAGTGATACCAATGGGTGGTTCGAATCTGATATCTCAGTGGAAGCTGAAATTCAAGACGAAGATGATAAGATTGGAGGAAAATGAAATTGATTACCCAGTAACCAGTGAATCGTCGCTTGTGAAAGACATCAAGAAAGTTATCAACTATCCAATTAAAAATGGTCGTTGGATTTGCACCACGGAAGCCAAGACAACGAAAAGTTTTCGTCGTTTCCTGACAAGAACAAAGGATAAATCAACGGTGAAAAAGAAAAGATCATCAAAAAGTGATCTTGATCGTAAGAACATCAAGCAAATGAACATGTGGAAAATAATTAATATTCTAAGAGTGAGGTCGAAACAATCGGTGGTTCGGGCTACAGAGACAAAAGGAAGATATTCTAAGTCGATCAGCGAATATTTAAAACACTTCTCGTCAAATAGACCAATCATGGCGGATAGAGGAATGGCCTTTTTTCCAGGGAAATTGGAAGAGGAAGAATGGGAAAAACTCTGCAAGGAGATTAAACACCTCAAATCATCTCTTCAGTCCGATGGTTTTACTGTGCGATCATGGTTGAAGTTTTTCGAGAGAAACAAAGAAAATATACGAAATATACTTGAAAGAATCTTCAAATTGTCGTATGTACCAGAAGTTATTCGAATAATGGGAGGAGGTTTTGTTCCGAAAGCGAATTCGGACAAAGTTCGCATGATTAAGTCACCAAATTTCCTGTTTAAATGCGTCGACAAAATCATCAGTTATAGACTCATTGCCTTATGTGATTCATTTCTACTACCAGACTCTCAATTCGCCTTTTTGAGTGAATCAAACAGAGAGAGACTTATATTAAAAATGACGTTTCAGTTAGATTGGACAACCACTAGGATATTGATTTTAGATGTTAAAGCAGCTTTCGATTCAGTTGACCTGACATTCTTGGTGAATAAATTGGAAAGAATCGATCCGGCCTTGGCTTGTTTGGTTAAATCCTTTAGCGGGAGACGGTGGATCAAATTGGTGGAAGAAAGAAGAGAAAAATACTCCATGGAAGAAATAGGAACACCACAAGGCTCAGCTTCGGGACCTTTACTTTACATTTTGGCCCTGGATAGAGCTCTGAGGAAACTTATTCAGAGGGGAGTAAAGATAATGGCTTATGCTGACGACGTGGTAATCCTCATGTCTCCGGTGGAAGAGGAAAAGTCAACAGTGAAGGAAGTAAGTGGACATTTCAAGGAAATTGGTCTGGCTCTGAACGGAGAAAAAACAACAATTCACTCAAAGGAATTCAACAATCTCGTTTTCGTTGGTTACAAATTCTTTATCCCGTTTAGATACACGAAAGTCAGAGATTTCATGGATACCATGTTTTATGAATGTCTGTCGATTTTCAAGTGCTCGAGAAAGACACTTTCTTTTTTGCCCTTAAAAATCAAGAAGATGATTATGCAAAACGTCATATATCCAAAGATTAGAAAAGTTGGGTTTTCGGTTTTCTTGGAACCAAGAAAAATGTTCATGCAAATGTTCAACATGCTGAATAGATGTGTGACAATTCTTGAACAAGGAACTTTTTCGGGCTCATTTGTGTGGTGCCTTTATGGAATTCCCCATGTATTGGAAAATCTTTGGTTGGAAGCGCTCAACTTTTCGGTAACAAACGAATCGAAAATTCATGAAGATTACAAATTTCAACTGGATTCGCCGCTGGGAGTACCACCGAGATCAGTGAAGCTCGAAATCATGAATCGCTACATGGACCCAGATTTTACACCCTCACTGGAATACTACATCACTGATGAGGACATCAACATTGGGGTCGGTCCTTTTAATGTAAATGTTTACCAGTTTAAGAAATCTACCGTTTGGGACAACTATCTTATACTTATTCAAGCGCAATTGGAATTCGTTAAACTAGAGGAAGAGGATTTACTGGTGGTCATTCCGAAGAATTTAGTATTAAATGTAAATTCCAAATCGTTATACGTTTCGGACGCTTTCTCCATATTGGCGAAATTCATACAATTCAGATGGACATGGACCTATGGGGAAATAATCAAATATGAATTCACTGCAAAGAGAAGAACAATTTTCGAGAAAAGGTGGTCATCGACGAATACATGGAGAAAAGAAGCTAGATTGTTGATTAGACAGAGACTCACATCCTGGTTAGCGGAAGAAGACGATGTAATTAGCAGATTATTTCCGAATAATGACCCAATCGTGAATGAATGGGGATTTGTGGGAAAAATACCTTTCTGGGAAATAGTTAAGGATCTCAGACATAAATTTCTCAGATTTAATAATTTCAGATGTTGCTCAGAGAACGACAATCACCATCCGTACACGTGTGAAAAGATTATAAACTTCGCTGCGATAGACTTGGAGGAGCAAATGGTCTTCAAAAAAGGATTTAAACTAAACAAAAATAATATTGAGAATTATCTGAATTTGTTATCCCACATTAAAGTGACCTTGGGGGAGGCGAGAAGATCTAATGATATATGTTTGTGATTCAAGAAATCACCGTAAACCACTCAAGCCCATGTATCCCACCCCAAATCCAATTCTTCCTTTCCTTATGTACGGTAGTCGCCACCGGATACGATGAATTTCAATTCATCGGAGCCTCCCCTGAGGTCGCTGTCAAAGCTTCAATAAAAGTTAACATATTTGTTTACATTTGGGTTTTAAATTTTTTTCTGATGATTTTGTGTTTACAATTAATTTGTTCTTGTTAATTAACTTAGAAAAGTTGAAATCATGATTGAGCTACTCAATTCTCGTAAAATGATCCTCGGGGTCATCATATTGATCATCATGTGTATTCTTATAGTGATTTTGGAAGGTATTTTAACGGAAAGTGAGATGAAACCTCTTCCCCAACGGTTACCAGTTTCTAAAGGTGATTCATCATTTACTAATCTAATTGGTAATTCAACTGAATATTGTTGGATGTTTGAAGATTATACTGTTGTTGAAGAGTGTGAACCCTGTACACCATCAGATAAACAAGGGAGTAAAAATGTTTCCATTTGTACGCAAACGGGATTTAAAAAGCTTGTTCATTGTCATAAGACTGGTAATGTTTACATCAGCTGTACACCAGGAACAGTCAGAAAATTTTGGATCTTCCTGTTAATCATGCTCGCAATTTCACTTTTGGGTGTATTGGCAATTAGACAGAGAGTTAATTATCTGGAGCAACGTATGATGGACAAGATGCAAAGTAAAATGGACTATGGAGTTTAATTTAATCACCTCGAATATATAAAACTGTACATATGATGTATATTATATTGTAACTAAATCAAAGATGAAGATGATCATTTGCATTTTGGTAATTGGATACAAATTGGTGATGAAAATCATCATCTATAAGTGACATTTATTTATTTTCCAAACAATCAACTCTAATCAATAAGATCATCAACCTAATCCTATTTGATAATCTTTATCAAATATTTGTATTTAAATCTAAATACTACTCGTGTATTAAAAAGTATTGTTTTAATTTACTTTCCTAAATTAACTCGATATCGATTTCAAAGTTTCACCCAAAGTTTGAAAAGAAAATCAATCATCTGAACGTGATAATCAATATAAATTCAATCGGAATTTTAAATTGTCATGAAAAAGGATTTATTTTCAATTTGAAAAATGCAGTTGATTTGTTTTCTTTTGTACAAATTTGATGGTCCAGAAAATATTGTTTGTCATTGATACTGATCGTTGATGATTGTTGATTGTGTATATATAAAAAAATTCATCATGTGTATATTTCCAATGCATTAACGAGGTAAAAGCAAGTTGAATTAATTGATTGTTGCTGAATACACATTGAAACAAAAATAAATCAAATAAAAATTAGGAGAGAGAGAGAGAGAGGAAGAAAAAAAGTTAATTAAGAGGTAAAAGGTAATCACATAAACATCATTTAAATTAAAACTGGCAAGGAACACTTGAAGTCACTTGAATGGGTTCGAAGGCTTAATTGTTTTGTATAATAATTAGTTGATGAGGTAAATTATTTGTTGGTGTTGCAAAAATTAAAGGTACAATTTGTTGTTGATGAGTTGGAGGTGTTGTAGAGGTTCAAATTGAAAAATAATAGCAAAAATGGTTGATGATGATGACGCCTAAAAGATTAGTTGGAAAAAAATTAATTAAAAATAGAATAGATTAAAAGAGATAATTGTAAGTTGCAATTGAACTTAAAATACTCTGGTACGATTTTGTTTATCAATCTTTGGTCGTGGATTTCGCCTTCGCCGTGAATTTTTATAATATTCAAACATGGATTGGTTAAATTGTGATAATACTCTACTCAAATCACCGGGCAATGGTTCAGTCCAAAGGAAATCGTGATTCAAAGCATCTGAAGCATCGATCCGTTGACATGGGTCCAAGGTAAGTAGTCGGTCTAGAAGATCATGTGCATTTGTATCCATAACAAAGGTGCTTAGGCGATCCTTTACTCGTCGTTTTTGTCCCTGACTTAGTTCCAATTTATTGAACAAATCTAATTGTTTAACAGCAGGCCAAACATCGGGACAAATAGAACCACATAATTTACAAATCAAATTTAATTGTTCCGCTTCAGAGTTTCCTGGTAAAAGAGCAGATCGAGTCCACATTTCGGCCATTATACACCCTGCACCCCAAAGGTCAGCAGAAGGTCCATATCTACGGGCTCCAAGTAAAAGTTCTGGAGGACGATACCAAAGAGTAACCACCCTATTGGTATAATTTTCATCGGTTTCATTCATTATACGACCAAGGCCAAAATCGGCTAATTTTAAAACACCAGAACGCGTAATGAGAACATTAGCTGATTTCATGTCTCGATGGAGAATCTTTTTACTATGAATGTAACAAAGTCCATTGAAAAGCTGACGGATAACACTTTTAATCTCAGCAAGGTTAAACTGGACATTATCATTAGCCAATAAACCAGCCAAATCATGATCACAGAAATCAAGAACCAAGTAAAAAGAAGTAGGTCCTGGTGGCCTTCCAGAACTGTGATAGGCTTGTGACTCACCTCTAAAAAAAGGGAAAGAGAGAAGGTAAACAGAAAGAGAGAGAGAGAAAGAAAAGAGAAAGAGAAGATGAAAAAGAAGAAGAAGAAAAAAAAAGAAAATACACATTAATACAACAAAGGAATAAGAAGAGAAGAAGAAGAAAAAGAAAAAAAGAAAGACACATACACACAAAAAAGAGAAGAAGAAATGGAGAGAAAAAAAAAGAAAAGAGAGAATAAAAACTCTATCTAGTTTATATACATTAGAACAAAGAAAACGAAATTGAATTAATAAAACATCATCGACAGGTAAATACAAAGGTAACATAAACAATTGGATGGAAAAAGAAACAGAGAGAGAATAGAATTTATTTTCTCTAAAACAACAAAACTAACCATAAGTGTTTATGTTAAGAAGTGAATGTTGTGTTTATATAAATTGAGAGTGTTGTTGATGATGTTATATTAACTGAAATGGAATAGAATAATTTTGCAAAAAGAATAATTGTTTTAGATACTTAACCTGCAAATCTCAATTAAATTAACAATATTCTCATTCTTCAATATTTGAAGAATTTTTATTTCTCTAATAGTTGTGAGCGGGAAACCTTCCTTTTCCTTTTCCAATAGAATCCTTTTTATAGCAACATATTGATTAGTATGACGATGTTTCACTTTGAACACTTCACCATAAGTTCCTTGGCCAATTTTCACTCGAGATTCATATTTATACTTGTAAATATCTTCACAAATCGGGTAACGCTGAGCAATTGACCCATTAAATGTTGTAGGCATAGTAGGAAGAATTGAGAATAAATTTAATGACACCAAGAATAATACTGATTAAGAAAAATTGATTCCGTTCTTTGTTACTTTTTGTTGACGCAGAAAATGTTGATGGTATTGATGTTAAGGTTGTTGGTGTTGCTTCCACTCTTGCTGGTATTTCAGCTTCTACTGGTTCTGTTGATGGAGAAAATAATGACGACGATGATTGTTGCTCTTGCTGTTGCTGCTTCTGTAGTTGTTGTTGCTGATGATGATGATGTTGATGTTGCTGCTCCTCTTGTTGATCATACACTACATTTACTAATGTTTTCTTTAACATTACAATTTCCAATCAAATCACAAATATAGTCAATAGATTAACATAATTGTTGTTCAAATTTCCAATCTTACAACATTTAATTTGTGTTACCATTAAGAGAGAGAGAGAGAGATAATTTTTGGGTTTAAATCAGAGTATAAGATGTAAACATTGGTAAGGGTAACAAATGGAGCACTAAAAAAGATGATGATTTGGATTGGGTCAGATTTTTGTTTCTCTTTTTGTTTCTTCCAGATTTCAATAAATAATAAAGGTGAACATTTGATGATATGATGGAGAGTAGAGTTGACAGTTTGATGATTAATTTAGATTGAGAATAAAATTTAATTTGTACTAATTGTGAAATAGAAGCAAAGAGAATTAACAAAAAAGATTCTTGGTCATCAACATGCAAACAAATTGTTCCTTCACAAGATGAGAACTGATTGTGCTCATGTAGCCACGTGATTCTCATGTGTTGACATGAAAAATTTTCGCATTTAAATTGTTATTTTCATTTTTTCTTTTTCTTTTTCTTTTGATTTTCTCTTTTTTTTGTGTTAATTGTTAATTGCATTGGTTCTCTTTTTTTATGTGATAGTTATGGCATCGAGTTTGAAAGGTTTGGTTGCTTTTGTCACCGGAGGTTCTTCGGGTTTGGGTCGGGCGACTTGTCTTCATCTTTTGTCGAAAGGAGCGACCGGTTGTTACTCTTATGATCTTCAGGCTTTTCCGACTCAACAATTGGACCGTTCGATGAGTGAGAATATTGGAAAGAAAATGGTTTCCTATCGAGGTGATGTTCGAGATTCCGAGAAACTGGCCAAGGCTTTGAATGAGTGTAAAAAGAAATTTGGTAAAATCGATGCGGTTATCAATTGTGCTGCTGTTTCGGTCGCTTTTAGATTGTACAATTTCAAGACTAATGTACCACAAAAATTGGATGATTTTAAGGCCACTTTAGATATCAATGTAATGGGAACTTATAATGTTTGTCGATTGGCAGTTTCTCATCTTGCAAGTAACGAGATTGATCCGGAAACTGGACTAAAAGGAATCATTATCAATACTTCAGGAATCGCTGGTCAAGATGGACAAATTGGTCAGACAACTTATGCCGCTTCCGCTGGAGCGATTGACAGTTTAACTTATCCTTTGGCTCGAGAATTTTCATTGCAAAAGATACGATGTGTCTCCATTTGTGTGGGTTATTTTGACACTCCAGTTCTGTCCACTTTCCCTGATTGGGCCAAAGAATATCTAGTTAATTATAGTATAGCTCCGAAGATGATTGGATCACCTGATCATTATGCGACATTAGTTGAGGACATAATTACCAATCCATTTATCAACAAGACGACAATCAATTTAGATGCCGGAATGAGACCTCAAGTTCATAAAACATAGACAATAATACAACTGTAAATGTTTTTTTCCCGATCAATTAACTAGTGATTGTATTTACAAATCCAAATCCAATTTTAGTCCATCTTTCATTAATCCAATCATCGACTCCATCATCAAAAATCAACAGCGTTACAATTAAATTTGTGAACAGAAATTACCATTAACTTCTTGTGATTTGTGCAATTGACTTTCGAGTCAAAATAAACGTACAATTGTTGGAGACGAAATTAATTGAAGGCTAAATGACCATGCAAATTGAAATTTCATTGAATGAATTTATTTAAAAGGAAAGTCTAGAATACAGAATTGAATTAATTAATTCGGGGTCGTTGAATGGTTAAAACGCTTCAGGGTCAATTTAATGTGGTGTATTTTTCCTCATGTTGAACTTTTTGAGTCTAAAGAATAAGAATTTTTTTTTGATCTTGATCTACTTTACAATTCTTCACCTTTAAAAGCGCACCGAAAGGTTCATTTACGATTTTTTAGATTTTGCGAAGCGACCTTTGGGTTGGGAGTATCGAAGACTGTTGACTCTCCTCTTTCTAGTGACCTTCGATACATACACACCTTTACCTCGACACGAACGTGGACACGACGATTTACACTTATGACCTGGACCACCGGGCACAGTGCAACCTTTTTCGTGGGCAATTCCTTCCGATCGAGAATGAAGTGTAGTCTTACAGAATCGACATTCGTAAGGAGCGTCAGTGTAAAGGACTGTATTTGGATCCAATTTTCGTAACAAAAGTTTAGCTTCGGGCGATATTCCATAAGCTATTGAAGGTTGATCGTAAATTGAAATATTTTCAAAATCGAGAATTGATCTACACCATTCTACTTCGGCAATTTTCCGTATTTTCCCTTGAAATTTGACCTTTTGAATGCCAACAATAAATCGTATATCATAATAACCGAATTGAGCTGCGACAACTCCATTCGATGTTCCCAATGAATCAGTAATATTTGATGGCACTTTTGAAGCCCGTGGTCGTAGGGTCACATTAGATGAGGAATCATTAGCTGACCAGGGAGTCGGAGATATCGAAACCACTTTTGGCCTCGGAGACGAGGTCGGTGTTGAATCAGACGAAGATGAAGTTGAAGTTATTGAAATTTCATTTATCATTGACATGGTTGTATTCAGTTTAAATTGTTAGCAAATCAAATCAGCAAAAAAACAATAATCAAAGTTTGACTTTAGAATCACAATTAAAGTTGATTGGATCTACGGAAAAGTTTTGTTGTTAACTTTTCACAAGTTAATTAAAATAAGATGACCAGTCGTTAACAATTGACCTTAAAAAATAACCAAATTAATCAAGTTTAATCTAAATGACAGTTAAATTTGATGATATATCAAATCATTAGCATCTTGTTTACAATTTGATTATAATCTAGAACTAAATTAAATAAAATAAGATCAAGATAAGCTCGTTGTTGAAAATAGTTTTTAATTGTTGAGATTAACTGTAAGTGTTTGATTAAACTCACACCCAAACAAATCAGATCATATGTTTGTGTTGATTGTCAAAGTGTTGATTTAAAGGTTACAATTTACTAATTACTAAAGTCAGTTTACTTTTTACTGTACATAAGTTTCATATTTACTGTACATATGAAACCAAGATGTTTACAATCAGTTAATTATTACAATTTACCTTAACTAATGTGCTCATTATTATTACATATGAAAATATGAGACTGTTAATCTAATCTCCTATTTATCATTTGCCAATTACTTTATCTTAGTAATTAAATAGTTGTACACAATTAGATTTTGTTTTGATCGAGGTGACAATTAAAAAGAGATCACTTCAGAAGTGATCTTATAATTGGTTAGATTATATCAAGATAGAGATGAACAATTAAGAATCTGATTGTTCATCATTAAAAGTAATAGTAATTTAGTTGATTTTGCTGCTACTATTTTGAGTTTGTTGATTTAATTACAATTAAAAATGGATTCCAAGTCAAGTCACCTTGTTTTTGTCTATGGAACATTGAAAAAGGGTGAACCAAATCACCATGTACTTTATAACGGTAAACATGGTTTCGCTCAATTTGTCTCAAAAGGATTAACCGTTAATCCATATCCATTAATCATCTACTCAAGGTACAATATACCATTTCTATTGGACAAACCAGGAATGGGAAAGGTAATGATTAATTTTAATTTGGTTCCTTTCAGATGATAATTTCATTTGTTTTTCCTTTAATTACAAGAGAGTCTATGGTGAAATTTATGCTGTTGATGATTCAGTTCTTGCTGATTTAGATGATCTTGAAGATCATCCTGATTTCTATCAAAGGAAACAAATTGACATTGAATTAATCAGTAATAACGGTGAATCAAATGAACCAATTAAAATTTGGACTTACTTGTTTCCCAAATTTAAATCAAGTATGTTGGAGGTTAAATGTTTCGATAATTACTCTTCTTATGGAGATCATGGATTGGAATATGTTATCAGGTAATTAACTTAATTGTTCACCAATGAGATTATCTAATTTTCTTCGTGTCATTTTTACCTCTTTTTCTCGTAGCGAGGAAGTGAGAAGCCTCGATGAACTTGAAGATTAATTGCCTTCGATTACAAACTGCAGTACAATCACAATTTAAGACAATCAACTTGATAATCAACAATTAAATTGATTTTCCATCTCTCGTGGACTTAGATTCCAAAATTCAATTACCTTTCTGATCATTAATCGTTGTGATACTTTCTCTTTGTTCAAATTGATTGTTACTTGATATCTTTAATTGTAATTTTCTTTCGATTAACTCAATAATTTGATTGAACAATTAAAAGTTAATCAAAGTGTTAACAAAAATTCCAAATTCCAAATTCAAAAGAGATCAATTTTTCCGCCACAATTGTTTGTTTACTTTTCTATCAAAGGTTAAGCTCGAGATTTTCGAGTCGAAGATTATTTTCAATGTTTGGATAAATCATTTTCTCTTTTTCTTTTAATCATCACTGTTAATCTTTTTGATTTAATGATCACAAGGTGAGTAAATATTAGATTGGTACATTAATCATGTAATTAAAAGTAGAAATTAATCAGAATTAAACGTGACAATTAATCTCTGATCTCATTTCCTTTTTTTTTGCTTTTCTATTTTACTAACATGTCACATTACCTTCAACCTTTTACTTTTTTGTCCATCTTTTAATTAGACAAAAGTTAATTACTCAGAATCTATACAAAGAGAATATTACAAATTCTTCTAATCATTTGACTTAATCATTTGGTATTTCTCCAAAGTTAATCATTTATTTCCCTCCAATTATTTTCTCCAACAACTCAACATAAACACAAACCATTGATGGTTAATAAATTGTTATCTTTTTTGTTGTTGTTGTATCAGTGAATATAGATTGTGATTTATTGTGATTTTATGGAATTCTGGAATTGTCTCAAGACTGATTATTCAACAATTATCATCATCCAACGATAACCATCAAGTCGAAAGGTGAAACCTGAAGTGTATCCAATGAGATTGTGAACGACACATAATATTCACATAGATACAGTGGCCATGAGGAGTTTATTACAATGAGGATGATAATATGTATCATTTTGTAGCAATCACAATTAACAAAGGAGGGAGATTATGACGACAGAGCGAATGGAGGTATTACCAAGGTGGAATGATCATCATGACAGTTCATCGTCAATTGTAGCCTCATACAACTCGATCAATAGTGATGAAGATAGTTCCATATCCTGTGTAATCTACAAAATGAATCCATCAGATTTTTCACCCACCAGTGGAACTGGTCTCACCTTGGGAATAAGAGGTTTAGAAAATAATTCTGTTATTGGATCAGAGATTAAATTGTTCAAGAAACGTTTCCTTATATTGTTTATATTTTGTCTCTACTCGGCTTCCAATTCGTTCCAATGGTTACAATATACGATAATTACTCAGAAAATTTCAGCCTTTTATAAGGTTGATGATCTTTCTGTTAATTTAACCTCAATGCTTTACATGTTTGTCTTTGTTCCTGGTACCATTCCAGCCTCTTGGTTACTTGATCGTAAAGGTTTACGATTTACCGTACTGATTGGATCGTTTTTCACCTTTGCCGGTTCTCTGGTTAAATGTTTCAGTCTTCAACCCAATCGATTTTGGGTAACAATGGTTGGTCAAACTATGGTTGCCACTTGTAATCTGTTTGTGATCAATTTACCTCCTCGAATTGCTGCCGTTTGGTTTGGTGAACGTGAAGTGTCAACGGCAACTTCCATCGGTGTTTTCGGTAACCAACTTGGTATCTGTTTCGGTTTTTTCATACCTTCACTTATTGTCACCTCTTCAAATGTTGACGAAATTTCTTCGCAATTATCTTATGTCTTCTATGGTACTACTGCGTTCACTGGTCTCTTATTCATTGTGATCGTGGTGTTTTTCGAGGATAAACCGGCAAAGACACCAAGTAACACTGCAGCTCGAGCAAACTTTTTACAGGAAGATTTGTATTTCCTTCAATCATTGAAAGCGTTAATCACTGATCTTGATACGGTAAAGTTGACAATCAGCTATGGGATCAACGTTGGTGTGTTTTATGCAATCTCAACTCTTCTTGAACAAATGATCTCTTCAGCCTTTCCAGGCCACGAATCGGATGCTGGTAACATTGGTGCAATAATCACTGTTGTCGGTACAATTGGTTCGATGATTAGTGGCTTCATTTTGGACAAAACTCACCGTTACTACGAAACAATTTTAGCTCTTTATTTATTTTCATTCGTTGGTTTGGTCGCTTTCACGTTGACCCTCAAATACAACATACTCTTCGTATATATTGTCTCAGCTCCGCTTGGTTTCTTCATGACGGGCTACCTTCCGATCGGCTTTGAATACGCTGCTGAAATTACGTATCCCCAACCGGAAGGTAATTCTGCTGGTCTACTCAATGCTTCAGCTCAGGTAAGGCTCAAATTTTGATTAGTTAACCAAAATAAAGTTGATTGATAACATTTAATTTTTTCTTTGCAGTTTTTTGGTATCGTGTTGATATTTGCCTCTACATTGGCCGTCAATCGATTAGGCCATTTAATCTGTAACATTATTCTATGTGTCGTTCTATTAATTGGTCTAATTCTCACCATATTCACTCGTGGTACATTAAAACGACGAACTGCTGCTTTGAAGAGCATTGAATATATTGTCACCTGATTGTGAAGATGAAGATGATTAATTAGATTCCCAACAATTAATTGACAATCGGTTAATTCTCACCGTCCTTAATAATGATACATTCAACTCTATTCTTCACTTATGAATTGTTCCCTTATCAGATCCTGTTAATAACATGAGATTATTTCAGGATCAATTGGTCACCATTGTTAATCAATGAAACCATATCAACTAATCAAATCAAAATGATCTGATGACTTTATCACGAAGAGACACGTATCATTGAGTTTGTGTGTTTGTGTTTTAACAATTTACTGATTAATTGAGTTTCAGAATCACAGTAATCATGTGTTTCCACCTTCAAATATTATCATTGAAACTTGAATTTAACTAGAAGATAATTTTTCCCTGATTAGATTAATTATAATTACTAAAATTAGTAGTTATCAGTGCAACTAAGTTTAGCATCTATTTACTAAATATCCTTTTAATTACAAGTTGAAATGATCACTAATCATCATTACAACAAATGGAATCAAGTCTTTCATCATTTTCCGTGAAACAATTAAGCTCCAAGATGATAACAATCAAATAATTTGTGATACAACAAATCAAGCAGTTAATCATTTAAATACAATTTGACTGTTTCCATCACTGATCACCTCATGTCTTTCATTAATGTCTTATCAATAACCATCATATCATTTTAATTTAATTACCATCGCTGTTATAAAAAGTTAATTGTTAGACGAATGATGATTTTAATCATTATTTAGACTTACACGTTTTCTTTGACTGTTTCATACCATTAATGATGTAATTATCTAATCATTTGCTTCTCAATTATACCCTAATTTTCATGAACAATTAATTTTCAAGGGGAAAGTACAATAACTATAATTAATTAATTATGTAATTGTTTCGATGAAACAGAATCTCAGATGAATAAATTTTGCAACTGAATCAATAATTTAAACACAAATGTAACAAAGTTAATCTGAGATCATTTCAAATCATCACAACCTAATTAATAACAATTAACATCTAATAAAAAATTATTTATCAACCGAATAACTTTAATTAACTAATTGTCGTTCGATTACAATCAACTGATTTTGCTTCTGTAATCTCGTGATTCTCATGTGTTGACATAAGAAAAGTTTTCGTGTTTAAATTGTTGTCAAATTGTTTTCTTTTTTTCACTTTAAAGTAACGAGATTGACCAGAAACTGGAACACTAGTTGAGGACATAATTACCAATCCATTTCATAAACATGGACAATAATATAACTGTAAAAGTTTTTTTCCATGATTAATTAACTAGTGATTGTATTCACAAATTCGCATCCGATTTTAGTCCATCTTTCATTCACTCAATCATCGACTCCATTAAAGAGCTTGATCAAAATTGAAAGTAAAATAAACTCTTAATGAAAAGACAAAATATTTTAAATTGGTTCCATTTCTTTACAAACTAAAAGTTCGATTCAAATAAATCTCAATAGCGATTTTGCAAAAAGAGGTCATATAGTTTTGATAAAATAGAGTTTCGCACATGTAGCGGCCCCAGCGAGACCCATTCCGAGTAAAACGCCCCACTTTATGTGGAATAGAGACATTTTCGAGGCTTCTTTTAGACTTGATCGCGGCAGTTGAGGAAAAATTTCGCGGGTGTGCGCGAAGAACTGGACCAGCTCCAATTTTGCAATGTCGATTTCATCTTGCTCATCGTCGATTAATTCTGTTTTTTCATCAAACAATTCAAGAGCTGCCGTTTCAGCGGCATCGAAATGTTCTTTTTGGAGAGCTTTTTGTTCAGATTGTTCAAAACATTGAAGTTGCTCCAAATAATGATGTCTGGCTAGTAAATGAGCATTATTGATTATGGAAATGTTACTGGTCAATCCATATTCCTCAATATCAATTGATTTGATTGCTGAATGAAAGTAAAAGAAGAGTTAATCATCAGAGACAAGAAATTTTGTAAATGAATTAAATTTACATGTAAGTTGTTCGGTCGCTTCTTTAAAGAGATTCAAGATCCTCCAACATTCAATTTCCTTTCCTCCATATAATTTGGTGACAATTCTATCGGGTGACAAAATAGATGGCACTAACTCTCTGAGAGCTTGGACAAATCCAGGTTTCAATTTACTTATTTCTCCATTGAAATCGAGATCTTCAGCTTTGTCTCCCAGTGAAGGTAACAAACAACAACCAATGTCCGAATAACAGTTCTCCAATTTGGCCCATGGAGAACAGAATTTATCTTTCTGATTTTCTTTCTTGTATTCCAGGAAATCATATCCTCCTTTGAGTCCAAATTCAAATTCCTTACGATTAGACCAATCTCGGATCATGAACAACAATCGCTGGAAGGCTTTGACTCCAGTTTCGTTTGCCACTCTATCAGCATAATCACTAAATTTGGATAAAATTGTAATATCATTTGATTGAATGGTTCCCTTCTGATTATAGATTTGAATCGATGAAATAATCGTTGCAATTGTAAAAAATTGACTAACTGTATCGTGGTTTGTGTGATCATCATAAAAACCCTGAGTGTCCATTAAAATAACAACAATTTTTGAACCATCTTTTCGAGTCAATACAAAAGGTTTAGGCCATAAAACGATCCCGACAGTATCTCTCTCAACGCCATCTCTCCATGAGAAACCTCTTAATGGTTCATCCAGATCACCAATCCAATCTTCTTGGTCGTGTCGTTGTAAATATCGAAGGAAAAAGTTCAATAGAAAAGATTTTCCTTTTCTCGCATCACCGACAATGGAAACAATAGCAACAGGCAGATTACTTATACCATCTTCCCATGATAATAACATCTCGTAGTAGCCTTTCTCATCGAAGACAAATTCATTTGATTGCGAATCAAAATAAATAACTTTCAGAGGTTCGATCATTATAATTCTACAGGAACAAAGGTCACAGTTGGAAAATCGGTAAAAAAATAGAAACTAAAACGGAGAAAAGTCCAATCGGTCTTTCAAAAAGGTAACAACATCGTTACTCTTGAGATTTTGTTTTGAATCAAAACTTTTGATCCGAAAAATTGATCGATCACATCGATTTCTGATGAAGAAAATTGATCGATCTCGACTTTCAAAAAAAATCGATCGCCCGTGGAAAATTTCAAAGTCGAAAATAGATAATGGATAGAATATTGATAAATTTGATCAGAGAAATAAACGTGAAAATTTCCAGTCTCGAAATGAACTGATTGAAAAAGATTAATAATTGAAACTAATCAATTTAATTGTTTGTTTGAATAAGTTTAGGTTTCATTGTTGAAGGGCTAAAAAAAGGCTCGGAGTGCCTAATAAAATTAAACTGCTACACAATTGAATACTTTGTTCAATTGTTTCAATCGTCAGAACATTTGATTATCATTTGCTAGTCATTAATGTTTACAATTAACTTTAGATGTAATGCAAACGTATGAGCTTTGTCGAGTGACAATTTATCGTCTTTTGTCAGAATTGGTCAAATAGATTCTGCTCCTAATGAGGAGATTGACAATTTAACTTATATTTTGACTCGAAAGTTTTCATTATGAAAGATTTGATGTATCTCCTTTATGGATTGTTTTTGATCCATCGAGTGTTTATTTATAAAACTCCCCGAAAAGCTCCGATTGAAAGTGTTATCAAAATTTAATCAGTTTCTGTAAAATTTCCCAAGGGGAGTATTTATATCGAGTCATTTATCTCTCTGGCTTTCAAATGAGTGTTAGTTTTAAAAACTCATAGTCTCTTTAGCAAGATCAGTTTCCCTACAGTAAAGGCGATTGTGGCTACGACTCCGCTCACTTTGAGCCAATCGATATTTCTTGGCCTACTGGTGGAAGCTTCGTTCTTTTTGATGGCCTCATCTCGAATACGTTCACAGTAAACAATTAACTCCGCGCGTTTAGAAGACACGTGATCATCATAAATTAAATCTGTTCTGTTGTCATACATTTGAATAGCCAGTATCAGTGCAAGATCAAACGTTTTACCAGGAAATAAGGCATGGAAAAATGTTTTGGAATCATCAAAAGCCTCAATGATGATGGGGCCGTTTTTTATAAATTGCGATTTCTTAGATTCCATAACTAAAGAAAAGAAAAGAAGAGAGATATAAAAATAAGACTGAATCAAAGGTAGAAAATTACCTTTATTTTTTGCCAATTTCTTGAAGATCTTTAAGACTTGCCAACATTGAGCTTCCTCTCCTCCAATTGATTTAGTGACAATTGTGTCTGGTGCTAATAGTGATGGAACTAATTCTCTGAGAGCTTTGACAAATTCAGGTTTCAATTTACTTATTTCTCCATTGAAATCGAGATCTTCAGCTTTGTCTCCAAGCGAAGGTAACAAACAACAATCAATGTCCAAATAACACTTCTCCAATTTGGCCCATAGAGAACAGAATTTATCTTTCTGACTTTCTTTCTTGTATTCCAAGAAATCATATCCTCCTTTGAGTCCAAATTCAAATTCCTTACGATTAGACCAATCTCGGATCACGAACAACAATTGCTGAAAGGCCTCAATTCCATTTTCTATTTTGGCTTCACCAGCATAAACTTTAGCATATTCACTGAATTCGGATAAATTTATTAAATCATTTGATTGGATGTTTCCATTGAGATTATAGATTAGAATCGATGAACTAATCGTTGAAATGGTGAAAAATTCGCGGACTGTATCGTGCTTTGTGTGATCATCATAAAAACCCTGAGTGTCCATTAAAATAACAACAATTTTTGAACCATCTTTTCGAGTCAATACAAAAGGTTTAGGCCATAAAACGATCCCAACAGTATCTCTCTCAACGCCATCTCTCCATGAGAAACCTCTTAATGGTTCATCCAGATCACCAATCCAATCTTCTTGGTCGTGTCGTTGTAAATATCGAAGGAAAAAGTTCAATAGAAAAGATTTTCCTTTTCTCGCATCACCGACAATGGAAACAATAGCAACAGGTAAATCTCTTAGCTCTACATCGAATGATGATAACCACTGAGAGTAAAGTTTCTCATCGAAAACAAATGTATTCCATAGCGAATTAAAACAAAATACTTTCAAAGGTTTGTTCATCTTAATTCAATAGGTACAAAGGTCACAATTTGTAAAACAAGATTCAAAAATTAAAAAATTTTTAATTTAAAAATCAAAACAAAAAACTTTTCCAAAAAAGTCTAATCGGTTTTTCACTCAAGTGAATTAATAGTTGAGCGCAATTTTCAATATTCACAAGAAAATCAACTAATCAATGAGATTGAATTTCGAGCCAAGAAAATCACTTTGGTAACAATTAAAATCTTGTCTCTTTCCAATTCTAAACTTTACAATCTAAACATTGTTGCAAATTGTGATTTCCAATTGTTGTTTGTAAACAAAATGTCGAATCTCGAAGATGATGATGATCCTCCTCATCTTTCGGCTGAATCGTTGGCAGCATTGAATGAATTCTCTTGGAACAGAAAACAATCAACAAGATGATTCAAAGAGCTCTGAAGATTGGGTGAGTTAGAACTTTGTATTAATAATCATTTGATTTACAATTTGTTTCTTATTCTAATTCTAATTGTGATTCTAATTCTTTTCTCTCCATTGAAGGAATTGAGTCAATTCTGGTACGATGAAGAAACGACTCAATTCTTGGCCGATTCTCTCATTAAAACGATCAATGGAAATGGAGTAATCGGTTGCATCTCATGTCCAACTGTTTACATTAAATTACTTTCCATGATTAAGGAAAATGACAAATATTCTGATGTTCAAGTTTATCTTCTTGAATTTGATCAACGATTCGCTCGGCTAGGACCTAATTTCGTGTTCTATGATTATCGCGATCCTTTGGCCGTAAAAGAAGTTTTGTCCAGTTCATTTTTCGATATTATTGTTTGTGATCCTCCATTTCTATCGGAAGAATGTCTCACCAAAGTCACCGAGACGATTAATTATCTGAAAAAGGAGAAAATTATTCTCAACACTGGAGCGATTCAAAGTAATTTGGTCGACAAATTGTTACAATTAAAACCAAGCTCAACTTTCATTCCAAGACACAAAAACAATCTCGCCAATCAATTTGCTTGTTTCTCTAATTTCCCAATTTAACCATCAAAGAAAATAAATCAACAATTAAAAGATGATCAAAGAAAATTTTATCAGCATTAACAGTCTGAATTTCATATTCATCCATTTCTTAGAAACTTTAACCAACATTCACATTCATGTATTCATTGATTGTTCAGTTTATGCATTGGAAATGATCAATTAAAGGAATCAAAATTTCTGAAGGAAATTTAAACATCTACATAATTGTCAATCAAAAATCTCTATTCAATTGAAGTTATTTAATTGTTCCCTTTCAATTCCCAATTGTTAGCAACAATTTGTTACTGTATGAGTAAATGAATTTATTGTTGAAAACTCAGTAAATCAAGCAAGAAATTTATCCATTAGAGTGACCATGATAATCAATTGATTTTTAATGATGAAAATGATTTATCATCGTCAAGAACAACAATTATTAGATAATCACCTGAATGGTTTAATTGTCGAAAGGGTTTTTTTCTCACTGATAAGCGTTGTAATTTACGAAGCAATTAATTTAATTTCTGTTATTGTGATTTTGGTGATCAGATTTTCTTTGAGTATTTTTAATGATTAAACTTGAAACAATTGTGATGATTTTTCTTATGGCGCGATGAGTTTATTAGCACTTTTGGGCGATTTAGTTAAGTGTCTATGTGACTTTGATATGTTGTACATTTTACATGATAAGATAGATGATTAACTAATATAAATGAAACAATTGAGATGTTTAATTTTTGATACACGAGGAAGAGAAGGGGAAAAATAATATGGCTAATTGATTAGTGATCACTTTCTTATTAGATGGTCGGAGAAATTTTTTCTTTCCGCTAAAAGAGCTCTGATTATGGAGCTTCGATTGTTGCTGTTATTGGTTTCATCGGTCGTGATTAGATTGGCGTTATTTTCCTGTGAACTGCAATTAGAATTGGAACCTGAGGCGGAGGTGAACAGATTCAGTGACGATGATCGATTGCTCGTAACTGTATTAGCGAGTTGACTTGAGTTTCTTTCCGATGACTTTAGTCTGTACAGTTCACCTTCCAGTTCAGCGACGGTTCTTTGTGAGGCTTTGAGTGAATTGTCAAGAAGATTAATCAATTCCCTTTGTTCCTTAATCGTTAATCTTTGAGCTTCCAGTTCATTTTTCTGAAGATCTCTTTCTGCTTTTAGGTTATTATTCTCTTCTCTCAGAATTCCAATGTCTATTTCCAATTTGAGACGCATGTTTTCTCAATTTTCCATTCTAGTGAAAGACATAGTCAACTCTTCATGGGCCGCATGAACTTTTTGCAATTCCAATTCAAGCTGATGGAAGATTCGTATGGATAGAGTTTGTTTTCCATGATGGTGGAGATGAAGATCACAAGTGAGAGAAAAAAAAAGAAGAGGGAAAGAGAGAAGAAAAGAAAATGTTATAGATGATTGACACTGAAAGAGAAAAGAGAAAAACTCACTTTTTGTAATTTGCTTGTTCTCAATGAACAATTGTCTAAACAAGGAACATCTTTATTGTCCATCCTTTGGTTCTCGAAGTAACTGTAATATCGCTTCAACATTTCGTACTTTTGTACCTCCGCCATTCTCATATCGGTCCCCATGCAGTTCAAATTGTCGGACATTAAAGGTAAATATCAATTCGTTTAAAACAACAACAAAAACAAGAGAGAAAAAAATAAACAACAAATTTTTGTATCGATACTTTTACCGATACTTGATCACTTTTTGTGTTGATATTTCTTTGCGTATTGTCGGCATTTTGTTGGAGCGAAAAATATTCACAAAGAGAAATAATTTAACGATTGATGTGACAAATACCGAAATTTTCGTATGTTTAACAAAATGATTTTTTTCGATTTTCATGGAAAAATTCCAACTTATTTCGATATCAATTCTAGAAAATAGTATTTTTATCTTAGTTCTCGATACGATTCTATGGATCCATAAACTATTCGCCAAACTTTTGTAACTGACACTTCGATATACAGTCGAAAGAAAAAATTGATATTCTTCAAGTGAAATTACTACTGTACTTAATTCAATCGATGACCAAACCATTTAGCGAATGCACCTAATTGCTTACTCGCTTATAACATTGAACTGGAGCTCAATGTATTAGTGTAGATGAGACTCAGGTCCTTCTTGTTTAAATTTGTTCACTTTTGAAACTGATCTAAATTATGAATTTAGCTTAATTGTACGATCGAAATCGAAAATAATCGATTAGTCCCGAGAATAAATCATTAACTATTAGAAAGAGTCGAACTTATAAAGTATCTATTTTGAAATCTTTAGATTAAATTCAAAAATTCAATGGTTCATAATCGTTAATATTCATTAATTGGAAAATAAATTTGGTAAACTAATCAGAAAATCCAAAATCAGTTCATCATTTGGCTGGAAAATTGTTCGTGATTATTTCATCAAATTTGGTTACTTTTTGTACTCTCGTCGCCCAAAAATCGTACTTCCGACTCGCACATTACTACTTCCCATTAGAATCTAAGAATAAAAATTATAAGAACAATTGATTAGAAAATTTTCTCGATGAGTAATTAAAAATTGGCCTAAGTAATAACAACGAACCGCAGTCTCGAAATCAGATGACATTCCCATTGATAACTCAAATTCATCAGGATCGTAGTCAAATTTACTGCAAACTTCATGTTTACATTTAACTAATTGTTCAAAATCGGGATTAAGATCATCACTTTGACTATTATCGTAAGAGCCAATAGTCATAAGACCAACCAACTCGAGTGATTGACAATTAGTACGTATATGATTAACCAAATCAACAACCTTTTCAGGCTCCACTCCACCTTTATCTAGTTAGCAAATTAAACATCCAAATGATGAAATAAAAGTTGATTAAGTGTCCATTTTATGCCATATGAATAATGGTCATCTCGACATTATTAATAGGACTCACTTTCCTCTCCGCTTGTATTAACTTGGACCATAATTTTCACTCTTTTGCCAGGAAAGTTGCGTTTCAATGAGGAATTGGCAAGATCAGCAATCAATTGACTATCAATTGTCTCCCAAATACTCAAGTTTTTTGATCCTAATTAGAAAGAAAAACAAACAAAATTAAATATCTGTCAACAATTAACAACATTTCAATCTAATTACCAAGTAATTTGTTAATCTGCTTCTTCTGTACTCTCCCAATGAAGTGCCATTGAATATCTGGACATTTATTCAACAACTTGAAATATCCTCATAATATTAGAGTCATTTACTAATCACAAAGTTGACAATTAACTTACCTCTTGATCATGACTTTTCTCAGAAAGTTCATTAACCTGATTTCAAAAAGAAAACAATGATTTAATTGCAGCAAACAATCAAAATAAATCAAATGATAGTAAAGACACTTACATAATTTTCACCGAAATGTCTTTGTCCATAACCATAAGCGTCGATAATTAATTGTTTTGGTTTTGTTTTACTCACAGCGACTAATCTTACATTGATTTTACGAAGATTCTTTAAGAAAAGAAACAATTAAAACCATGAAAATAATCAATCAATGAGAATTTACAAATGTCAACAAAAAACATATGATGAAAGGAAAATAGGTGAAGATAATCAAAGAGGAGAAATAAAATTGATTCTGATTAATATACTTACCTCTGGCCTTTTATCACAAGCTTGTTTGATCCTATTGAGAACTTGGGCTAATGAAGAAGCGACAGTTAATTCACTCATATTTCTAATCATTTGATTATCGAATCACAAAAGCACAATTAAGAAAAAGAAAACAAAATTCAAACAAAAACAACGAGAAAATGAAGTAAACAGTCAAGTCTTTTTCCTCCACAAGGACTCGAGGGGATTTTCACCTTAACTAGATTGTGGGATTGAGGAAATTAATCAGAGACGATGAAGATGATTAAGGAATTAAGGAATTAAGAGATTTAAGTTAGTTGTAAATAGAGAGATGGGCTTGTTTTTTAATTATTCTTATTAATAATTATTGTTAATAGAATTACAATCAAGTGTTTTGATCATCTTGTGGGTTTAAAGGTTCGATAGCCATGGTTAGTTTATGGTCGATTAAATCAGATTCAAGTTGGATTCACTTTTCTCCACGGGGCTTAATTGTAGGAAAATAGTAGAACAAAAAAGAAGATTATTATTTAATTGTAACATTTACTTAATAGTTATTAATAATTAACATGTTTGATCTTCTTTCCAATTTACAATTAACATTAAATTCTCAATGTTACAGAAACAAATTGCTTTTACACATGGAAATTATTCAATTGTTCTTAATTGGTTATGTTTCAATTATAATGAAAACATAAATCAAATCGATGGTTGAATGATAATTAATCTTCAACAAAGATTTAGTTATTTTATCAATGGTCTAAATGGTGAAGATGATGATTAAGAGAATTTATGGAAAAGATGATTAATATTTAAGATTTTGTGACAGTAAAAACAATTAAATATCGACATTGATCTTGACTTTTTCTCTCTCTTTCTCTCTTTTAAATAAAATATTTCTTAGATGATTAACAAAATACTAATTAAAAATTTTGGAATCACAATAAGAAATCTAAGAGCTTTTTAGACAACGGAAAAAGGAGTAAATGTAATTAGAGTGGAGCGGATTGGCGATACAAAGGGAACGAAAATGATTAGCAAATTTTCACAATAATCTCTAATTGTCAAATGGGAAGATGATTTTCCTTTTCTGGTTAACAATTAGTTGAATCAACTAAAATTATTGTATTATCAAATCTGAGTAATCTTTTTCTCTTCGCTGGATTGGTTAATTATTAAATCATCTAATCATTTTTTTTTCTTCATTGGTATAGCATCAAATTGCTGTGATTTGTTATCGTTTGTTAACATTACAATTTATCAGTTGTTCAATAATATTTAATTATTGATGGTACTGAAGTTTACTGAACTGGATTTATTCATATTTATGTTTTCCCATACGAAATATCTAACTGATCTTTCTCTCCAAAAATTAAATGAAGTTATAATCAACGACGTCGGTTAGGTTGACGATTAGATGAATTGTCGAGTTCTGGGAATTCGGGAGATCGTAAAATGTAATCATCATGGTGACCATAATTGCTACGGGGAGTTCGAGGGCTGCTAAATCGCAAGTTAGCATGTCTATTAATGTTTCCTGAGATTTGCGGTGAATTTTGTTGATATTGACGCTGCGGATGAAAATTAGGTGGGTCGTTACGTTTGAGATGATGATGATGATCGTTATTATGATGATGATTATTATTGTTAAAATGTGGATTACTATTGCCAGATGAGGGTCGCCATATCGTTTGATGATTAGATGGTTGTTGACGAAAGAATTGTGGTTGATGATGAGGATAAGACTGGTGTGAATTGGTATTAGGATTGTAAAGAGTTCTATCACTTGTTCGATAACGTTCATTTGGGCTATTGGCCATAATGCCGCTCATAGAGGGAGACGATAACTCTAAATATTGTGATCGGTTTGATAGTTGACCTTGTTGGGATTTTTTAAGATTTAAACGCTGCATCTGACGCTGAACATTATGTAAAAGTGATTGTTTAGAAGGAGATTGTACTTCGTTATCCAGATACTCATTTAAAACAAATGCTTTTCGATTTCTATTTCCTTGTTTTAATTGCTTTAAAATGGCTCTTGGTGAATCACCTTTATTTTTACCTCTAATTCTCTCAGGGCAGTTATTCTTTTGATGACCAATCCTGCTGCAATAATGACATCCTCGACCTCTTGGAAAAGGTCCATCATTTAGATAACGAGCATCAAAGAAATAATCAGTCCACGAATTATATCCATCAAAATTATCAGGTTGATTACCTAATCGATTTCTTCCAAGAATTATAGAGGCTTTAATGTAACGAGCCATCTCTGATTCGATACCTTGGCCAAGATTGTGAGAAAGTAAGAATGGATCTGAAAAGAGAAGGATAAATATGAGACAAACAAGACGAGAGAAAAAAAGAGAAAATTAAATTAAATTTACACAGGGATTAAAAGAAAATCTTTTCAAGATTCTAAATAAAAGGCTTATAAACAGAGGAAGATATTAATTGGTTGACTAAACAATTACCCTCAATAGCAATACGCCTTCCAGTCCATTTCTTTTCCATTTTTGTGAGATCTTGTGATCGCCGGATACAAACAACCAATGCTTCGAATGGAAAAATTTCAGCGTAAAATTTTAAAAATCCATAGAATAGATTACCAACAGTTAGCTTATTAGAATTGTAGTGAGTCCATCGTTGTGCAAGTGAATCAATATCATCGAAAAACCATGTATTGTAACCATCGACAGTTCGCTCCGGTGGAGAGTCACCATCATAAAGCTCTTGTAAAATTGGTATAACTGGAGGGCTGCATCTTTGTAGATAGTAAAGAGTCATCAGAGTATAAGCGTAAGATGATAGACTCCCTTTGGATGCATCACAGATACCACATTTCTAAAAGAAAATGAAGATGATTAAGATTAAGATTGAGATTGAGAGGATGTTGAGAGATGTTTTTATCTAAAATTAAGAAAAGATAAGTAAAAGATAAACCAATAGTAAATGATAGAAAATGAATAAACCTTGAAAAATTGTTTGACAGTGAATCCCAACATCGCCACACGATCATCGACTTGACAATAGGTACGAAGTAACCTGGTATTATGGCTTGCGAGTAGATTGTACAGACTAATATCACAGTCGAAATGTTCTGGAGTTGATCTTCCTTTTACAATTTTTCGATTTGATTTGAATCGCAATTTAAGCACTGGAACTTTAGCCTGTGGAATTGGTTGTAAATTTGAGATCCTTTGGCCATGTTTCTTAAATTCATCAGCAAGTTTTTTAATGACTTCCGTTTGATCAATACCTCTACCATCTTCATTATCTCTAAAAGTCAAACAAATATCAAGATCACATTTTTTTGCACCAAAACCATTTTTAGATGAGCCAAAAAGTTGCAAGTTAGCGTCAGGATAAATCTCACGAACCAAACTCGTGAGTGATTCCAATATAGATTCATGAACTTGTTCATAATTATCGTCCAATCGTTCGCTGTAATAAAGTCTAGAGCAAACTTCGTCTAATCGAGCTGATTGTTCTGGAAACAAAGTGCTAGGAACAGGAATCAAATCAGGTAACTTCTCAGCGGGACAATCCTTTTTGAAATGATCGATACGTTTACATTTTATACAATACTTTTGTGGTAATTTGAAACAAGGGTTAAGATGAAACTCTAGTGTATACCAAAAGTGTTCGTGTGTAAGAGAAGCCCATCTTACACTAATTTCGTCTTTAAGACGGTAAGAAATTCCGAATTTCTTGGCCAGTTTTATATTATAAGTAAAATTAAGTTCTTTTTTACTTGCTTTTGTTTCACCACGAGATTCGTCAGCATCAAATTCTTCATCTGATCCTTTGTCTTTCGTTTCATCATCATCACTATCTTCAGAAGCCATTAACGTTCGGAAACAAGGTGAACGAAGTTCTTGGCTGAAATCGTCAAGATTAATAAGACACCTTTCTGCAGTTCGAGGAATCATGAAGTATCTGTAGGTTCTAAGCAAATTGTGTTGATAATTGTAATACAGTTCTTTTCTTCCGATACTCCGACTCAAATTATGACTATGGTGGACTGGATCTTCAACAGCAAGAATGCAGGTAGTCCAATTTTTGGAAGACAAAGTTAATTCAAGGCCACGAATGTTAACAACATTATCTCTATTGAAATCTTTGGCGTAATAAGCCAAAAGTTGTAACCACAATTGACCAAGAGTTTGTTTATTTCGTGAAGGCCAATTGCTTCTTAAAACTGAATATTTTTCTTCTATCGCTTCTTTGGATGGTGTTGATCCATCAAGTGGGAAAAGACTTGGTAAAACGGGAGGTGAAGTTTGTTGTAGAAAATGGATCACCATAATGTGAAAAGAGTGTGATGGCCAGAAACCATGATCGGCTCGATCAAATCCACAATTACGGGCCCATAATTTGAAGCAAGCGGCAAGTTTAGCGACTCTTGGATCAAAGGATTCATATTTTGCCAATAGTTCAGCAACCTCAAGACTTGAACTGGAGTAAACACCAAAATGAATTTTCGGTTTTTCTTGACCAAGAAAATGAGATGAATACCGAAACGAGAACCTTGGAGATGAGATGTCAAACTCTTTCTGAATCTCAGTATAAACTTCCATATCTAATGACATTTTCATTGCAACATTTTGCAATATCTGAGCAGAATTATATTTATCTTCATTTTCCAAAACTAATTCAACATTAACATCAGAATTGTCCAAAGCAAATCCTGATACTATTGAACCGTAGGGTCTTAAATAGATCCTTGTTCCAGGAAACCAAACATTAATTGTCGCTTCAATCTCTCGGACTGCTGCCATTCGAAGATCTTTTTGCTTTTCAGTCAATAATCTACCAGAATATCTTTCAACCATTCCATCAATGGCACGTAATTGAGCTTTACAGGGTTCAGGCAAACTGAAGATAGTGATATCTTCCTTGAATGAAGTACGTTTATTCCGATGTTTTCTATCTTCTGAGATATGCGAAGAAAGGACATATTCTTTGAATTTAATCCGACATAGTTCACACCTATAAAGATATTCTTGATCAGTCTTGCTGATACAATTCTGATTATATAAAGCGAGAAGCTGACGATCAACATTTCCATCCGTAGTCATCATGATTATCACGAAAAAAGAACAGAAATCAAAAGATCACCAAAAAAATAAAACAAAACACAAGAGAGAAAGAAAAAAGCTTCTTTGGTTTAGATGAAACCAAAACCTTGAAAGAAACTGAAGAGATGAAGGAATAAAATTTCCAGTGGAATTAAAGTAAATTGAAACCAGTGTCAAACAAAGCAATTAGTTGGACCATGAAGAACGCAAATTAAATTTAATTAAAGAGAAACCAATTAAATGAACTCAAAAGCATAAATTAAAATCCATTAAGAATCTTAAAAAAATTTTCTTAAAATGTATTTTCTCAAATCGATTGATCGATAAATTGAACAATCGAACATCGAAAAAGTGCTACCATCTCTCGAGGAAAAAACAAACTATAAATGAGAATTTTTTTAATTTTAATTTTTCACTTTTAAAATTTTTAATAATCAATTAACATTAATTATCACAAACATGAAAACTAAAATGCAAACCCAACAAAATTTGTCCGTTTGGACCTTCAGGTAATCCTGAAGTATAATTTGTATGAAACATTGGCTTGGTTGAAGTACAATTTACAATGTAAATTAAAACAGAATTTCACTAAAACTTTAATTGTACTCAAGATCTTTTTGTATTAACAATCAATTTATTGTCGAGAAATAATTTACATAAACTTGATTGAGATGAATAAAAGCAAAGATTTTTCTTCCAATTGAGAAAAAAGAAAATAAATAAATTGTTCGATGTTGATTTTAATAGTTGACAGTTTATTCAAACGCACCTTACGAATCGTTTACGATTGTGATCACAATTAATTGTTATAGAAAATGGATCTTACATATTGGGTCATATTGTAAACACTATTTCGAACACTATCAACTGTATTCGACCATCGAGCTTGTTGACCATCATGAAGAGAATCAGTTCCAATCTGATGCTCGTAGTAGGAGAAAAATTCAATCAACTTGAGCTGTTTAACAGTTCGAAGTTCATTATTAATAGATCGACATTCGACTTGGAAGATTCCAAGGGCTTTGGCTTTAGCTGAGGTGAAAATTTCCATTAAATTAGGATCCTGCGTAAGATTTCATAATATCATCGATGAACTGAATTCGAGCTTTTTCAAGGCATTTTCAGCACTCGTTTCTTCATGAGAGATAAACAGTTTTTCAACATCAATCTTATTGTGATCTATGGAAACATTAATATTTAGGTCAATTTGTAAATTCTTTCAATCGATTAAATGTATTTACCATTTAATTGTTTCGCAAGTAAACTGAATCGATTAGAAACTTGCCAAAGTTTCTGCTCTTCTCCTTCCCAAGATTTGATAACAATATTTTCTGGCGACAATAAGGATATGACCAATTCTTTGAGATATCCAACGAAATCAGGTCTTATTTTGCTTATCCTTCCATCGAAATGAATATCATCAACATTTTCTCCAGGTGAAGGCAAAAGAAAACAGTCCATATCAGAGTAACATTGATCTAACGATCTCCATGACGATTCAAGTTTCGACATTTGAACGGTTCGTTTATAGTTGAGAAATTTTCGACCACCTTCATTACCATAGTTATAGTCTGAGACGTAAGCCCAATCCCTCACGAGAATCAATAACTTTTGAACAATCTGATCACCAGGTACTCGAGATTCTTGGGGAAGACATTCACTGAATTTACATAAGTTGCTTATGTCTTTACTCTGAATATTTCGTGACTGATTGTAGATTAGAGTGGAAGAAATCAGGTTGGAGATGGCGAAAAATTGTTCCTCTTCAATAGATTCACTGGAAAAACCTTGAGTGTCCATCAATAGAACTACAATCTTAGTACCATCTCTACGTTTAATGATCAATGGTTTAGACCATAACACGATACCGCGTATCTCTATCGATTCCAGGTCTCCATGAAAAGCCTGGAACAAGTTTGAATCTCATCATGAAATAATTCAAATGATGATGATGATCTTCAGTAAATACCTGTTAATGGTTCGTCCTCTGAACCAATCCAGTTTTCTTGGTCGTACCGTTGTAAATATCGAAGGAAAAGTTCAGAGAAATGATTTACCTGTTCTCGAATCACCATTAATGGATACAATTGCCACAGGTAAATCTTTGATACCTTTTTCCAGAGATTCATCTGTAAAAAGCATATCGACAAACATCAAGTCATTGAATTGAAATTTATGAGTTTTTGGGTTTAACCAGATGATTGGTAAAGGTGAGTTCATGATTCAAATGAATTAATTGCTATCACGATGATCAAATGGAACCATAAAATTAACTATAATTTATTTCATAGATTGGCAACCAAAATTACAAAATACATCAAGTAAATACAAAAGTGTCTTTTGAGTGTTCAAAACAATAGGAAATCAATCAATTAATGATGATGGTAATTGTATCAACCTCCTGATTAACTTTGACAATCTTATCGATTGAAACAAAGTCTAATCCTAATTATAAGCATCATTGATCTAGACTATTCCATAACTTGAGTGATAATTAGGACAATAGGAAAATGAAGTAATTTGTTAATTCGTCAACATAATTATCGTGAATTTAAGAGAAGCGAAAAAATTTTTCATTGGGAATTAATTACAATTACAATTTCCAATTTATTCAAAAGATCCGCATTTTCACAACTCATTTTGTTTGGTCTTTAAGAACCTTTGTAAATTGTTTAGGACAATTTCAAATTGTCAATTTGTCTTTGTTCAGTTTTCTCTCCATCTTTAATGTTATCCTGTTTAACTGAAAAATTGAGAATTTCTAATAAAATGTCTTCAGTTTGTATTAATAGTAAAGAAGATATTTTCTTTGATGTTTACTTTTATTTGCCTTATGATACAAGAATCTCACCGAGTCTTTTTAAATTTGTTATTTCTGCCCCAAATAATCAAGTTGAAGATTCAATTTTGGATTTTGAAAGTGTTCCAACTGTTTGTAAGCGTTGGTTGAATGTGAAAATGACCATTACCAAAGGTTTCAGGACTTATCTCGATCAGGTTGACATGATTCTAGTGATCAAAGGTAACTTGGTACCCGTTTTCGACCACATTGAGGTAGAAGCTCTATTTCCTTCATTTGTGAAGGGTAATCTGGATTCTATTGATTTTGATAAATTAAGTTCGCTACGGTGCATTTTTCCGGGAATTAGAACAATTTGTATTGAGGTACCGGCAAGGTTCAAGGATGAGTACCAACGTGTTGAGCTTTTCAGAGCTGATCTTGGCCGTTTGAATTACCCGATTAATTAATAGTTAGCTGTTAAGAACCTTTACCATTTTGACTAATAAATAATTTTTCGAATTTTGGATCATCTTTTAATTGTTGATTTATTTTCTTTGATGGTTAAATTGGGAAATTAGAGAAACAAGCAAATTGATTGGCGAGATTGTTTTTGTGTCTTGGAATGAAAGTTGAGCTTGGTTTTAATTGTAACAATTTGTCGACCAAATTACTTTGAATCGCTCCAGTGTTGAGAATAATTTTCTCCTTTTTCAGATAATTAATCGTCTCGGTGACTTTGGTGAGACATTCTTCCGATAGAAATGGAGGATCACAAACAATAATATCGAAAATGAACTGGACAAAACTTTTACGGCCAAAGGATCGCGATAATCATAGAACACGAAATTAGGTCCTAGCCGAGCGAATCGTTGATCAAATTCAAGAAGATAAACTTGAACATCAGAATATTTGTCATTTTCCTTAATCATGGAAAGTAATTTAATGTAAACAGTTGGACATGAGATGCAACCGATTACTCCATTTCCATTGATCGTTTTAATGAGAGAATCGGCCAAGAATTGGGTCGTTTCTTCATCGTACCAGAATTGACTCAATTCCTTCAATGGAGAGAAAAGAATTAGAATCACAATTAGAATTAGAATAAGAAACAAATTGTAAATCAAATGATTATTAATACAAAGTTCTAACTCACCCAATCTTCAGAGAAGCTCTTTGAATCATCTTGTTGATTGTTTTTCTGTTCCAAGAGAAATTCATTCAATGCTGCCAACGATTCAGCCGAAAGATGAGGAGGATCATCATCATCTTCGAGATTCGACATTTTGTTTACAAACAACAATTGGAAATCACAATTTGCAACAATGTTTAGATTGTAAAGTTTAGAATTGGAAAGAGACAAGATTTTAATTGTTACCAAAGTGATTTTCTTGGCTCGAAATTCAATCTCATTGATTAGTTGATTTTCTTGTGAATATTGAAAATTGCGCTCAACTATTAATTCACTTGAGTGAAAAACCGATTGGACTTTTTTGGAAAAGTTTTTCTGTTTTGAACTTAAATTTTTGAATCTTGTTTTACAAAATTTGACCTTTGTGCCTGTTGAATTATGATGAACGAACCTTTGAAAGTGTTTTATTTTAATTCGCGAGCGAATAAATTTGTTTTCGATGAGAAACTTTACTCTCAGTGGTTATCATCATTCAATGAAAAGCACCGAGATTTACCTGTTGCTATTGTTTCCATTGTCGGTGATGCGAGAAAAGGAAAATCTTTTCTATTGAACTTTTTCCTTCGATATTTACAACGATATGGTTATGATGATTGGCTCTGGGATCTCGATGAACCATTAATAGGCTTTTCATGGAGAGACGGCGTTGAAAGAGATACTGTTGGAATCGTTTTATGGCCTGAGCCCTTTGTACTAACACGAAAAGATGGTTCTAAAATTGTTGTTATTTTAATGGACACTCAGGGGTTTTCTAATGATTACGATACAGTCGATCCTTTTTCACCATTTCAGCGATTATTTCATCGATTCTAATCTATAATCAGAAGGGAAACATCCAATCAAATGATGTTACAGTTTTATCCAAATTCATTGAATATTCTAAAGTACATATTGATAAAGGATTAGCCAGTGGAGTTGAGGTCTTCCAGCGATTGTTGTTCGTGATCCGTGATTGGTCTAATCGAAGGGCATTCGCATTTGGACTCAAAGGAGGAAATGATTACCTCAAATACAAGAAAGAAAGTCAGAAAGATGAATTCTGTTCTTCATGGGCCAACTTGGAGAAGTGTTATTCGGACATTGATTGTTGTTTGTTACCTTCGCTTGGAGACAAAGCTGAAGATCTTGATTTTAATGGAGAATTATGGAAATTGAAACCTGAATTTGTCCAAGCTCTTAGAGAACTAGCTTCATCACTATTGGCACCCGACAGAATTGTCACCAAATCAATTGGAGGAGAAGAAGCTCAATGTTGGCAAGTCTTAAAAATCTTCAAGAAACTTGCAAAAAATAAAGGTAATTTTCATGCTTCTGATTAGGTCCCAATTTTTAATTCTCTCCATTTCATTTTAGAAATACAATCAAATGGAAGTACACGCGCTAAGGACGCCGTCAGGACAGGAGCTCCAATCAATAATTTAATGGATTGGGTCACTAATAATATAATTAGAGGTGGACGTTTAATTGCCGTAGCGGCAATGGTAGCCATTTATACTCTTATTCCGCGAAAGAAGCCTACAAAAAACTCATAAAGTCATGAGTTGTACTTTTCTCAACATTTATATGAAATCTCAACTTGAGTTTGAAAGACTCGAAGAGTACAAATAATATTTATTAAATATCTCATTTGAAAGATTCATTCGAACTGTCCAAATTTTGACCATTCTTTCGATTCTAAAGCATGGTCGATGAAGCGAAGTGACTTTGATTTAATGGAGATTTGTAAATACAAATTGTCTCGAAAAACACTCGCACAAATGGAAACACATCTTTCACGATGAAAACTTTCAAGTCAAAGTCTACAGGTTTAAATTGTCAATTTCCTCATTGGGAGCAGAATAAATTTGACCAATTCCGAAAAAGACGAAAACTGTCAATTGGCAAAGATCACACGCTCCCAATACATCAGTATCCAAAGTGACCTTAAAATTATTCGATTTCTGTGGACTCAAAAGTCTTGAAATTACAGTTAATCCATTAATAAAAACGGATGATTTCTGTAATTTATTAAGACTGTGAAATTTTCCATAGTATCCTAAACATGTAAGGATTTAATATAATTTCAATTTGACGTTGTTATTGGATATACGATATTAACGTTATTATCAAAATGATAAGTTGATTTATGAGAACCATGATAACGATAAATGATGATGATGAGAGTCAATTATAACTTTCATGTTATCTGTTGCTGTTTTCAAAATGAAACTACTAACAAGCCAATGACAATATCATCATCTCATGGATGTTAGTTTAACTTGAACATGATGAGAGTATATTAATTATCATCTAAAAGGAAATGGAAAGATGACAATAATGATGATAATAAATGAAACCTTCAAAATGAAAAACAATCTCATCTCATGAAAGATCATACCAATAGTTTGGATTGTGAAAAACTGGACATGGATTGATTAGATTCATCATGATGATGGTCATCATCATCATCGATTGGTCATCATTTTCATTCTCGTTCATCTCAGTAATATCATGTTGTCTTACTATCTAACATTAATATCTTTATTATTATCATCATTATCATCTCTTGAAATGTGATATTTTCAGAGGATAAATGCAATTGGAAGACAAATGAAGATGGAGGAATCAAAGGAGGAAAAGGAAAAGTTGAGAAAATCAAGATTCTCATGGGTTTTATATGTTGATTGATGTGAAAAAGATATTTTCACATCTTTGGATATATTTATTTTTTTATTTCGATTTAAGATTATCCCATCATCATCCTGATCATCATTTGTATCTGCAACATTAAACCATCATCAATAATATCGTTATCATCATTATCAGAGTTCAGAAAGAGAGAGAGAGCCAGAAATCAATGACATATCAAAATGAGAAATGATAACTGATAGTGAAGGTGAAATAATGATAAAAAGTGATAACAATAATATCAAATACTCGGATATCCGTAAACACAAAGATGGATAATCCTTTATGCTCATTTGATGTAATATGTCACCAATCCAATTAGATTAACATAAGTTAATACGGACCAATAATCATCATCATCACCACGATAACCATTAGTATTTGTTATTGTCCCAATCAACATCATCAAATTTTTTGAGTAAAAATAATAATTTTTTGACTCTTTTTTGACTCTTTCATTGAGTCAAATGTTAATCAATTTTTTATGAGTAGTTTTTATTCAAAAAATAGTAAAAAAAAATCAAAATTTAGTAAAAATTTACTCAATTTTTTTTTGAATAGTTTTTATTCAAAAACACGCAGTTTTTTTAAATGAGTAAATGTTGAATCAAAATTAGAATTGTGATTCTAATTTTCTTGATTCATCAACTTACTTTCGTTTTCTGTTTGCAATAAAGTTAATGCATCAAGAAAATTAGAATCTCAATTCTAATTTAAAATTTTGATTCTAATTTTATTGTTTTTTGGAAAATTCATATTCATATAAATGATGAGTTCAATTTTTCACCACCCTAACCTCCCACTCCACCAACTCCATCAACAAAAATGACCACTCACCTTCATCATCTTTCACCTTTGCCAAAACTAACAACAATTAATTATTTTCAGTTTCAAAATTTCTAATTCGCGAGATTCGTAGATTCTTTGAAAACTAATTGTTAATTAAATTTTGAATTCAAATCAACAAATTACAAAGTTTGGCGTAAATAAGCATTTGAATGGAGTCATAACAAAAATTTATACTAGATTCTTTGATTCATTGATTCTTTAATGAATGTTTTAATTGACATGAAAATGAGTAAATTCTGAGGTTGGAAATCAACGGAAATTTGCAAAAATTTAACATTTTTTCATGTAAGATTCCATTGATCTTTAAGAATTGTCGGTAAATGTAATTCAAGCTGTCGTCTCAGATTATTATGTAAAAAGTATTTGTCTTCACGAATTAAAGCAGGAATTGTCCGATTCTCACACTGGTAAACACCATAATCTTTAGGTTCACCTGTAAATGGACCATGAGCATGACCATATTCACATATTAGATAAACTGAGACGGGATTAGCTTTAGAACGTTTTCTTTAAAAATACTTAAGATTCGGTAGCAAAATTGGGTCACTTGAGAATCTTTGATTCACATTGTTAAACAGATTAACCACTATTTCCGCTGAATTAAGATGTAGACCACCATGAGCCATAATAGATGAGAGAACAGCATCACAATACTTTTTGTTGGTGGTTGATAACTAGTGACTTCTTGGACAACTTCACCATCACAAACACTATTTTCTAAATTGTCAGAATTTTCAACTGAATTGCTTGATGGCATACCTTGAGAAATGGATTCATCATTAGAATAAGAATCTTCATCATTTATTGCATCGGGCAATTTTTCAATGTACGATGTAACTGAAAGATTGTGGGTTTTCTTTTCTTCTATTGAAGCTTCTTTTTGAAATTGGTTCATCCATTAATCTTCATCAATTGATGAAAGATGAAAGATGAAAGACGAAAGGTTGAATGGGTCACTCTAAGGTCAGGTGAAGGTCTCACCTTTAAATTTCAAAGTCACTTAAATTACTTTTCACTTTTAGTAAATCACTAAATTACCGATTACAAAAATAAATTCACGAATCTTAAAGTTCATAATTAATAGAAGAAAAAAATAATTAAGATTTGAAATAAAATAATCAAATTAACTAAAGATTTAATTAAAGATTGAAAGATAAACACTAATTCAAATTTTAGAATAGAAAACCACATGTTCTCTTTAGAATTTTTCTTATTCTTTTCTAAAGTAACCATAGCAACAATAGATAAGAGGGAAGATTTAAATAGAATTTAAATCATTTTTTAAACGGAAGTTGTTAACCACGTTTTAATTTTCTTTTAATTCAGTTGAATTTTTTTCTCAAGTTTTCCACTTTAATTGTTTTTCTACATTTTATCGAGTGTTTTATTGAATGGGAAATTCATCTAGACGTAAAAGTCACTGTATAAAAGTTCCTAATTCAAAAAAAGGTCATCAAAAAGTTACATCCACAGACAATCAACCTTAATTGCTACACTTTGCCAACTCATGGCCGACCAAAAACTGTTAATAGCTCTTGTCAGAGTGAAAGATAAGGCAGGTAAAGAAAATACGATTCCTGTAGGATTCAAATTGGATTCTAATAAAATACCGTCACAGCTTAAGGCTGGTTTGATGCATCCTGATAATCTCATTAAAATTACGATTGACGGATTTAGACCAATTAGCTCGATGATTGTATCTGTTGGTGGTAAGTTTTTCTTTTCTATTTCTATTTAGGTTCTGAGATTCTAATATTCGATCTTTTACAGATGATTCTGAAGACCTGATGGCCTCTTTTAAGCTTTTCTGTGATTACGTGAAGCACCTCAAGCTACCTGGATTGACTGCAAGGATTCAACACTTTTTAGCTTTGGAAAACATTTTAATCGAAAGTGTGAAAGCGAGTGGCCTGAAAGTAACCTCTAAAGGTGACTTTGATTCTTTTCTTCAAAGAGCTGATTACCTTGAGCGAAAAGAGAAAGACGAAAAAAGATTTATAAAGCCTCGACCAGTACCCATACTGAAACAATTGATCTATCGATAAATGACATGAATCAAGAATCAGAAGCTACTCTTAGAAAAATCGAAATTCACAAACGAAAATATCATGGTAACCAAGTGGAAACTTTGCAACAAAAACGTGAAAAGCTTAACCTTCGCTTAAAAAGTCTCCGAAATATCATAGATAAAAGTTCGACTGCTGATTTCTTTATTGATGAAATTTCACGAATTTTTGATCAGTTTTTTGCTCTATTAACTAGTCATGAATCTGGTATCCAAATTTTCCGTGACTCAGTGGCAGATCACATTGCAACAAATCAACATGAAATCATTCCTGAAGATTCAAATTACACAGAGGATAAGTATGCTTATTTGGAAGGTGTTCTTCCTGTATTCACAAAAAAGTACAGAAAAGTTATCTCAGATTTGCCCAAGAAACTCGAAGAACGAGAAGCAACAGTCATACTTACTAACTTTGTGAGATTTACTTTCCCAATCATTGGATACAAAATGTGACACTCAAAGGAACCGGCTACAGAAAATCACAGATCTCTGTTTGGAATCACCAGTTTCCTCTCACTGACCCCGAAACAGGAACCATTGATAACAAACTCGGAGAGTTACGTTATCAATCTTTTTTGGGTAAGTTGTAGAATTCTCAGAATTTAGATTTTAGAAAAATCAAACTAACATTTTTCTATTTGCAGATCATTGTGTTCGACAATGTGGACGCAAGTCATATGATTTGTCGACCAAGAAGTGTTTAAAAAATGCTTTGTCAAAGGCCATTTGCTACGCTCGTTCAAAGATTAAAGAGAGAAATAGTCCTGCTTGGGATTCGAGAGCACAACAACAGAAGATGACCCCGATGATATCTCTGAAATCTCTTCCGACTATCATAATGATGCTTTGCCCAAAGGATTCCAACGGTCTCTTAGAAACAAAGTGTTCGATTTTAATAATTTTGCCTCAAATGTTGATTCACAGAATCAGAATGAGAAAATAGAACAAAAGATCCAAGAATCTGTTCAATCTCCATCAACTTCTGCTGATATTATTGCACATCCAGCAATCATTACTTGTGAAAATTCAAATAATGCTTCTCTCAGTTCCAAAAGCCTTAATCTTTCGAGAGATGGTCAACCTTTAATAAAATTTTGGGTTTCAATTTTAATTTCTTAAGTTCTAGGATTCGTTATTAAAAGTTATATGAATCGTTAATCAATGAGCATACAGGTTCAACAAATAAACGATTCATACAATTCAGATTGTTGATTCTAAATTTAAAAATCTAAGAATCGTTGCTTTGTTTTTGTTTAATAGAAGAAACGAAAAGAGAATCGCGACTCAAAGATTCAACGAGTCATTTAATTCAGATATTCGATTGGTGATCTTAAATAAAAAATTTACGAATCTAGGAGTCATTGATCGTTGTTGTTCAATTGATAAAACGACGAGAATCGCGACTCAAAGATTCTTCGATACCTTTATTTCGATTACGCGGTAGACAGAAAATCACTATACTTTTTTTTTATTATTTGGATTCGCGAGTTCTTTTAGTTTTAACCGATGAAAAGAAGTAAAAATGAATCAATTTGTCGTCTTTTCAGGTAAATTTTGAGTAAAAATTTACTAAAATAATCTGGTTTTGATTCAAAACCGGTCAAATATGAGTACAAAAATAAGAAAAAAACACTCATTTTTGGTATTCAAAGTTGATTCAAAAATGATTGACCAAAATTTTGATTCAATTCTCATCAAAATTGAATCAAATTATGTAAAAAAGTCTTGAGTCAAAAAAGAGTCAAAACGTCCCAAACAACACTTTTTTTTACTCCTTTTTGAGTCAAAAGTGTTGATTGGGGTTTCAATACTTTTGTTTCAATCAACTAATCTCAAGAAAAATCACCAAAGATTAAATCACTTACAGTTTGAGTTGAATATCAAACAATAAAAAAGTATTCAAATCAGCAAATTGAACATCAATCATAATACAGCGTGACAATTGATATGTGACTTTTTTGAAACTCGTCGTATTTTCGCATCCGACTTTTTGAATCAACTAATTGCATGCCAAAATTACCGTAGATAGTTACGGTTTTGTAGCCCGTTTCCGTTTTCGAAAAAAAAAATTTCGAATTTGAGTTATGGTGAATATTCGACAAATTTAGTCCAAATTTTCTGATTTTTCACGATTTCTCATAATTGATATATCTCTTCTATTTTTTAACTTTTTTTGTTGATTTTTTCAAAGTTTATTCATGTTATCATTCTAGACAAAATATCCAAATATCAGAAAATTAACTCAATACCCAACGCCATAATAGAATAATTCGCAATTCTAGGCCTGACTTTACTGCAAGACATTCATAAATGTTGCAAAATAGTGACCAATATTTAATAATTTTGCAAATTGAATTCATAAACCGCATTGACTTAGCTATCGAATTATGTATTTCATGTGAAGAATACTCAAATAACAAAAAAATTAAAGGGGGTATCAAAAAAATCACATACCAATTGTCACGCTGTACTTTAGATGAAGTTTTATTTTCTAATCATATCCAATTGATTTAAAGCTTTGAAAACAATCAAATTAAGTTGAAATGGGAAACATTTCAGTTTCAATAACCATTCAATGAAGGAGAGATACTGAATCGTTTCATTGATAAAATGCTTTGAGTTTTTTTTATCAATGAATATCAATTGTTATTCATAGGGAAGGAAAATTTTGGCGAAAAAAATTAGGTCAAGATGAGATAGATAAGTTTCCGAATCTTATATATATAAAACATGAATATTAGTCGAACATGAGAAAAACTTATGACTAGATAACATCTTCTTTTGCATTATAACCTTTAACTGGTCACCTTTTTTTCTGTTAACCTTTGGTGACCACTGTCCATTCATTCAATGAACATCAGAGCAAAAAAAACAGATAAAAGAAAGACCATAAAGACTAATCAACCAATTGTCCATCTTTTGTATTCTATTATTTATTTTTTGTTGCTTTCACTTTCTATCTGGAATCGTAAACTTATTTATGTGTATTCAGTGAGATGGTCAATCTGTTCAAACAAATCATCAATCAATCAGCTGATAAGAAATCAATCTGTTAACAATCGATCACCGATTGTCTTGTTATCAGGCAAAACCAAAAGCCATCACCAAGTGATCATCAACTATCACTACCATTTAATCAATCAATCAAATAATCATTCAATTAACTTTCAGTTGAGATGAACTAAAATCACGATGAAACTTTGTTTATATCGTTAATGATGATGATCGTTTCAAACGTAATATTATTATTATTATCATTTAGCTAAAAATAAGCAGAAACTTTCATCTGAAAAGATTTACGTTAAATTGTTGCATTAAACTTTCGTTTACCATTAGGTAGGTACACGAATAGAAAGTAAATTCACAAATCATTAGCCTAAGGCAATTTACTCTACATTATCTGGGAAAGAGTTTACTTCAAATATATGATGAAAAAAAAAGTAACTCACAGAGGATCAGAATTTGTGATGAATAAAAACTCAACTTCAACTCTATTTACATGATTATTGTCAGATAAATATTCCAGTTCCTTGTGAATACCATTATCGTCATTAGCAATTGTTACCCGGAAATGGAAACAGTTATTAGGTAAATCTTACATTTTCACCTTTCAAATCAAATGATACTAATAATCTGAGTATCAAATTCAATTCATGATCATTTCATGTGAGTTTATTGATTTTTTTTGTTCATTCTCAAGGTTAACAAGGAGCTTTATTTAATCTGAGAATCTAAATCATGCCTCCATTCAAATACAATTAAATTAATAGGGATCATATTTTTCAATATGATTACTAAATTTTGTGATTTAATGATAATGCCTGAAACTGATGGTTATCTGTGGTGATTACAATTCAATTGATTGTTTTAAAATTAATGATCTCATTTGCTTTTAATGATCATGGTTCAGGGTAAAAGTTTCATTTTAAATTGTAAATAATAATTTTCTGCTCATAATATTTAAATGGGTCTGTTTTTGACCTTAAAAGAAACAATAATAAGCCTTACAATCAAATTGTTCCCAATAACCATAAATATAATTATTTCTCGATCACTGAATATGATTTGTAAAGGATAACACAGATTCGTAGCTAATTAAAATGTTAGACCAATTCGATCGTTTTTTTTTTGCTATTCAGTCAAATGATATTAATTTTCCTTTTCGATTCTGACAGAATGATGGAAAATCTCATTATCAGATGAATCAGAATGATCATTTTCCTTTGATAGATATCAACAATAATATCGATATTTCCTTTAAGATTTAGGTCTCTTACTCTTTCAGATAGTCTATTTACATCATCATCATCATAGAAAACTTTAAATCTTGAATAAAAATTATATTCTCATGAGGGTTTTCTCCTTCCATGATAAGTAATAGAAAGAGAGAAATAGAGTATCTGATGAATTCGTGTGAATACTTGAAACTGGAAATGTTTACGTCGATCAAAAATTTCAACACAACGTGAGATGCATACAATCAACATGATTATAAAGTTTGAAACTCATAACTGATAAGGTAAAAACACTGTTACATATTCAACACATAGACTGATACACATACACACACCTACATGAATCTACATATAAAAATATCAGGTGAATTATTATTGGCATGATGATGAAGAGAGAGATAGAGATGAATATGCCTGAGGAGTAACTCGAAGCACATCAGAGGTAACTCAAGACTCAAGACAAAAACACCGTCTCAAGTGGATGAGATGATGATAGAAACATGGAACATGAAAGAGAGAGAGTAAAATTTTACCTCTTTGAATTGTAAGTAGAAAATGAAAAATAATCGTTGGAAAACTGAAAGCGTCAACTGATGAAGAAGATGAAAAGTTGATGAACCATCGGATGATAAAAGATTATTACATTAATGTATTCGAACAACGTTTTCGTTTCTCTCTCTCTATTTTATCTTTTTAGGTCAAATGTTCAATATCGTCCAAGTTTCTCGTATTTTTGCTGCTTCTTTGTCTGTCTTTTGGTCGATAAGAGATAAACACCAGAGTTCCATGTACAACATTGCATATAAATCAAATTCATGATGGGACAAGAACTAAGAAGAAACTAATTCTTACGAATGGTGGGAAGAAAAAAAAGAAGATAAAATTCTGAGAAAAAGAAAGAATAAAATTATTATTACTATTATTGAAGAGGTATTTTTATCACAAAGAAAGAGATAAAAGTTAGAATAGAAAAAAAGATGACCATCAGTATGACAATGATTATGATAAAAGATGAAGAGGAACAATAAATTTATTATTAATAGTGAGATGACCAAAAAGATACAATTCAATTGACACTTTTCTTTATGCATCACATCCTGTTATCAGAACTTTCAATGTCTCCACATGCACAAATTTATTCAATAAAAAGGAGGGAACAAGAATAGAATGGTCATGAAAATCCCATGATGGTCATGGGGCATCTTTTCAAAAATTCTCTAAATGAAAATAGCAACAAGCTAAAAAAAGATTAGATTCTTTTTTTACTCAATTTCTTTT